CTATGCGGTCAGCCCTGAACCGCCGGCGTTGTTCGTGCGGGCCATGTACGATTATGACGCCGATGATCACACCAGTCTGAGCTTCCGCCGAGGCGACATCATCCAGGTCCTCAACCAGCTCGAAACAGGATGGTGGGATGGAGTTATCGAAAACACTCGCGGTTGGTTCCCGAGTAATTACTGTACCATAATCACCGAAGCCGAGGATTTCGGCGACCACTTCGTGCACAGCCACCAAGATACCGATCTCAGCGCGGACTCGGGACTCGAGGATGAATACGGCGACGGACAAGAAGAGGATGAAGTGGACTCAGAAGGAAATCACCGGGACTCGCAACCGATTCTCCCCATCGAGGGTATCCCAGCACCCAAGGAGCAGGAAGAGGCCGCATTTTGGATCCCTCAGGCGACACCCGACGGTCGTCTTTTCTACTTCAATACTCTTACCGGATATTCTACGATGGAGCTTCCTTTCGAGAACCCCACGGGAAGCACGGAAACCGGCCCTCGAGACCGAAACAACTTCTTTGTCCCTGATCAGACACGGCCACCTCCTGAATTAATGGCGCGCGGCTTTGAGCGGGATGAGGACGAGTATGACGGCTCTGCATCGGAGGCGGAGGGAGAGTCGTTGATGTTGGCATCGCACGACTCGATCTCTCGTCGACGTCAGTCCTTGATGGATGGTGTCTCCCCCGCGACGTCCATGGATTCCTTGTACCCGCCCGGGAAAGATCTGAAAGCTTCGCAGCCGATGAAGCACGCCCTACAAACGACATACAGCCTCGGAGGTAACAGTACTAGTACTTCTGTTACCGAGAGCTTCTCTAGACCTTCTATCTCTTCCAACCTCCCTCAACACTTTGTCGATGATGGCTTCGCACCGCCAATCACCTGGCCCCTGCTTGTGGATAACATGCGATATGCAGTTGAGGCGTATCGTCAGACCCTTCTCAGCGGTGAACGTGCGGAGTATGTACGAAAGGCCGAGGACATTTCCGATCATCTTCGCATGCTGCTGGCTGCTGGGTCCGACACAACGGACAACCATTCTGGCAATCCATCCATTATTTCCACAAACAAGGCTCTGTACCCCTACTTCCGGGACATGATGTCCAAGTTCTCCAAGTTGGTTTTGTCATCACATATTGCCGCTGCTGACTGGCCTGGCGCCGACTCGGTCAATAAGTGTCTGCAGGAAGCTGAGGGAGTCATGCAGGGCGTATATGGCTATGTGGATGTGGCTCAACAGCAGCGTGGAGATTCTATTCACCGCGTTGTTCCTGGTTTCGTCAGCGGCAGTTCTTCCGGTGGTAGCTGGCAGAATAACGGTGTGTCCCTGAGTGCTTCGGGGCCGACATCATTCCTTGTGCCTGATGGAGGAGATTCTCGAGCAGAGCCCTCAGTCCCTCTTGACATGGCTTTCCTGGATTCGATCGACATTCTTCGGAGATCCTTCGTCGGCAGTATTCGTCGACTGGAAGAACTATTGGTGATCGACCAGAAGATTGTTACAGTGGATGAGCATGCTAATATTGCGGATGCAATTTCGGCTGCGGCCATCAAGGTCATTGAACAATTCCGTCCATGGATATCCTCCGTTGAGTCGATGAACTTGGCACCCCTAGGAACTAGCTTCCAAAATCCCCAGCTAGTAGATTTCAGCTTGCAAAAGCAAAGAGTCTACGATGCCATCGGCGATTTCGTGCTCAGCTGTCAAGCGATCTCTGCTCCTCTGGCTGATGAGTGGGCTGAGCTCCGTGGCGATTCACTCGACGATCGGGTGAACGCCGTACGAGGCATTGCTAGACAATTGGAGAACTACGTCTCCCAGATCAGTTTCTCGCTGTCGCTCCTCCTGGAACAAATTCCCTCTGAGCCAGAGCCCATTTCACGAAGTGAAAGCCGCCAAGGCGGAGAAGATGACGGATACAAGAACACACACAACCGGGGCGAGTCTCAGGCCAAGATTGCCTCGGAATCAATTGGTATCCCGTCCTCCTACGCACCAGAAAATGATGGCGACCACAAGGTCCGTAGAAATATGGACAAGGCCCAGCGATTCTTTGGCCAGGCACCGCCTACAGCTATCACCCGAGAGCCACCAATTCGGGAGCCAGTCCGTGAGCCGGAGGAGACCCCCTGGTTCCTTAAGATGGCCCACGAAGGCGAAGTATTCTATGATACCAAGGGAGACTCGCCAATTCTCAAATGCGGAACCTTGGCTGGACTGGTTGAACACCTCACCCGTCACGACAAACTTGATGCGTCCTTCAACAACACCTTCCTACTTACCTATCGGTCCTTCACCACTGCTCCCGAACTATTTGAGATGCTTGTCCAGCGTTTCAACGTTCAGCCTCCATTCGGTTTGAATCAAGATGACATGCAAATGTGGATCGATCGGAAACAGAAGCCAATTCGATTCCGTGTTGTCAATATCCTCAAGAGTTGGTTCGATCACTTTTGGATGGAACCTAATGACGAGGTGAACATGGATCTCCTGCGGCGAGTCCATACATTTACCAGTGACTCTATTGCCACCACCAAAACACCAGGAACACCCACGTTACTGGCTGTGATTGAGCAGCGACTCCGCGGACAAGACACCACTGTTAAGCGCCTTGTTCCTACCCAAAGCAATGCTGCACCACCCCCGATCATCCCCAAGAACATGAAGAAGCTGAAATTCCTTGACATTGATCCTACGGAGTTTGCTCGGCAGCTGACCATTATTGAGTCGCGCCTCTACTCTAAGATTCGTCCCACTGAGTGTTTGAATAAGACATGGCAGAAGAAGGTTGGCCCTGATGAGCCAGAACCTTCTCCTAATGTCAAGGCTTTGATTCTTCACTCGAACCAGCTTACGAACTGGGTCGCTGAGATGATTCTGACACAAGGCGATGTTAAGAAACGTGTTGTAGTCATCAAACACTTTGTGAATGTGGCTGATGTAGGTGGCACTTTAATCGTGCTTAACAAACCTTTTGCTAACCCGACTCTAGAAATGTCGCGCTCTGAACAACTACTCCACACTGACATCCATCATCTCAGCCCTTGGAACCGCACCCATTCATCGTCTGGGCCGGACATGGGGCCAGGTCAGCGGACGCACATCTGCCATTCTGGAACAGATGCGCCGGCTTATGGCTAGTACGAAGAACTTTGGCGAGTACCGAGAGACCCTGCACCTCGCTAACCCGCCCTGTATCCCATTCTTTGGTATGATTCGCAGCCACGAGGAGATTATCTCACTTGGAGTCTTCTATTCTTTTGATCTGAAACTAATCAGATCTAGGTGTTTATCTTACGGATTTGACCTTCATTGAGGATGGTATTCCTTCGCTTACACCATCGGAATTGATCAACTTCAATAAGCGGGCCAAGACCGCAGAAGTCATTCGCGATATTCAGCAATACCAGAACGTCCCTTACCTTCTCCAACCAGTTGGCGAACTCCAGGACTACATTCTCAGTAACCTCCAAGGTGCTGGCGACGTACACGACATGTATGAACGGAGTTTGGAAATCGAGCCTAGGGAGCGCGAGGACGAAAAGATTGCAAGGTATGCTGAAGCTTCAAGCCGAGACAAGGGCTCCTTGTTATTTGCATCTACCGTCGCAATTTTGCGATGATCCATTTGGTGTTCTTTTAAGTGGCGTTTGCCATTTGCTCAGCGATACCCAAATTTGACCTCTTACTCCCTTCCCTTTTCGGGCAAGAAGACAACTGCTATTTTTTTTTTTTTTTTTTTTTTTTTTTCGTTTTCTCAAACCTGTTTCAGCTGTTGAGACTAACCTCTTTTCTTTTGTGAAATCTCGTAGATTGCTATCTGAATCCGGTTTCCTGTAACCGGCCAACATCCCTGTCGAGGTGCATCTGCGGGTGCGCCACCAAGCAGGTTCGACAACTCCGCTATTCGCCCATTCGACACCGGCAACACTGGCGCCACTCGATTTCGGCCACTGTCTTACAGGTCTTTGATAAACACGGGCCGTCCCCTTTTTGGGGCCTTTCTTTGACCCCGGTGACTGTCTCTAGGAAGTCTTAGTCTCCACTCCTCATCTCCTCACCTCTCGGAGCAGTCCCGGGGGGCTATGATGGATACCTGCAGTCAGATCTATCACCTGCATGTCAATGATTCCAAATGATCCACATATGGGCTCCGCCCATAAATGCCTGTGTCTTCATTGGGCAGTTCACCACTACCATAACCATCACCATCTCTTTCTTCGCACATTATTATTGCACCGACGACGTTGTCATTTCCGGTCCTTGATATATACCAGATACCGATTCCCCGACATAGACCCCTTTGATTCGCTGGGATCTTTTTGCTTTTTCTTTGTTATCTATCACATCCGAGACTTTCAGCCCGAGGGCGCACCCCCGACCTCATCTCACCACACCATACAGTACCTATACCTACCCTAACCTCACTGTGCCGTGTCACATCCTGACTATACAGTATTCTTCGGTGTATATTTTTCCTTTTTTGACCCTCTGCTTCCATTCTCACCTTCTCTTTCACATTTCTTTTCTTATTTACATATCTCATTCACCATATCCCCCCTGGTGTTGTGTGTTGTCGTCGCCGGGATGGGGTGATTGGATTTCTCTTCTCTCTTCTCTTTTTCTTCCGCTTAATGTCCTCGACGCTGTCTTCTGAATCATGTTATGTCACGACCGACTTGATATCATTTTCTGGGTTCCTGTTCCTGTCTGGTGGGTTTCCAAATTCACATTGTGCTGCTGGGACTTGAGCTGGGTGGTTGCTTCTTCTACTTCTTTGTATCTATTGTGTTCTACTAACCATTTGATCTTTGCCTGGGCTTTATATCTCGGGTCAATAGAAGTTGATTATGATATCTTTTTGTTCTTAGACTTGTTATACTAGATGTGTCGGCTGAATTCGCGTTGGCAGGTATAATCCTAGAGTGCGTGGTTGGGACAACGTGACTAAAGCAGGATTACACTACTATTTTCATGAATGAGAGGTCGTTAAGTTCGTTCGTTCATTCGCAGGAACTGCTGTTGTAGATACTCTATCATCATGATTCATTGCAGAGGCCGCTGGACATAGCAAGGCCTGTCAACTGGAACAATGCCAGCGAATGTAGCAAAGATATCAAACATCAACCCGCTAAGCGCCAATACACCAGTTGAAAAGAAAAGAAGCGTGCCGGTCATGTCAACATCTACTGTCTAAGATACAATAAAATGTGGGATCAGGCCGTGGAAGAGGGATCATTTCCAATGCCGTGGAAGAGTTTCATCTTCACTTCCGACGCGAGCAGACCCTTCGTTTCTTCTGCGACAATGCGCTGTCCACCGCGGACGACCTTTTCCAACTGTTGGTCCTTGGTGGTAGAGCCAGTAGTTCGAGGCCCTGTGTTCTCCATTCCACGTGCGGCTTTGCGTACCTTCTGACCGAGGTCCAGCATCTGCTTATTGCCGAAATCGCGCGAGGTGAAGAGTGGACTTTGACTGAGAGTTGCAACCCAGTACTTGTTCCACAGGAGAGTTAATATTTCTGCATCGAGCGTGCTCTTGAAATGGCTGACATCGAGGGAATAGTATGAGTTGGCATGTGCTCCAAAGTCCTCCGCCTTGCCAAGCGGGATAGTCTGATATTCATCATCCTCGTGGGCCTCCTTCGACGGGACAAAGCCATCAGGGAATGTACGGAAGGCACCAATCTCAACACGACCAGCGGATATGGTACGCTCAGGGTCAATGACAACAGCAACGAACGGACCCGTCATTTGCTGCGTTTGCTGCGTAGCCACATCAATGCCCGATAGCCAGCACCCATACCCGGGATGACTGTGATACCATCCAACAGCATTTTCCATGCGTCCCGCATCCCGACATGATTGCAGATATGACACCATGTACTCGTTCGCCTCGTCTTGCGCATTGACTCGGGTTTCTGTACCCTCAACGGGCAGGCGGAATGCGTCTGTCACGACGAAGGTGTTTGGTAAGATATAGCCTTGCATTAGACCCATCACTTCCAATGAGCCGCCGGAGCGGGCGTGCATCACCATCTTCAATAGTGCCGTGGCGGAGACCCTGACATACTTGAAATAGTAGGGGTCGGAGGCCCAGGGTCGTTCAGCATTGAGGGATTTCTGTGTGGCTTCGTCATATTGGTAGAGAGCATCGCGTTGGGGGTCGAAGACGGTTATCGCGTTTTCGAGCTCTGTGTGGGGGAGCTTGGTCAGTTCGTAATCGATAGTATGGATGTGGAGGCACTTACCCCAGGACTGCTGTGTAGCCTGCATTTTTGAGATGGAATGGACAGATAGTCAAATAGCAGGGAAATTATTGAAGAACCAGAGAAAAAGCAGAAAGGGTCGGGGGATTCTGCAAGGAAGTCAAGATAAAGAAGTCCAATGCGAGTGATGAAGAGAGCGGTGGGGTAGATACTGGCAGTATCTGGCGGTGTGCCACACCTGAGCTGAGCTGAGTCAGCGGTTACCCGTGACAACGATCTGGGCCAAACACGCGCGGGAAACTTGATGTTATCGCCGATTCAGCCCTGACCCGTCCCCCTCATAAACATCCATCTTCATTCTTCAATGCCTCTCCACTAAGAGCTTTTGCTTATTTCCACTTTCGTTTATTCTACGCCGCACCTTGTGTGCTGAGAACCTTGTGTGTGGCTCTCTTGTTTTGATCCCGACATTGGTCGTTGTCGCAGCTCCGCTCGGCAATTTGTCGGATTGGATACCTCTCCTTGACATCTTACGACTCTTGTCACCCTCTTTAAGGGACTTCCTTTACGATGGCGGTCGATACCAGCTACCTGACCACTCAGGTCAACAACATCGTCGAGCAGCTCCATGGCATCTACGACGAAATCGGAGTCCCTCCTCGCGAGCGCGAAAATCGCGAGGCAGAGGTGAGCTGAATATTATGGTAAAATCATGATCGCATAGCTAATCAACTGATATAGCTCTTTAGCGCTCTGTCCGAGACCCTCAACAATCACCTCAAGGTCGTTGACGAGTAAGTTGAAAACGTCAACAAAGCGCACCAGCCTAGCTAACCATATCTATAGTGAACGAGAAGCGATGACACATGAGGCGCAGCGCCTTATCACACAAATCCAACAGATGGAGTCATCGCTGACTGATGAAATGGCCAACGGCCAGTTCGAGCTTAACCGCGATGACCTTCGCATTACCTACCCGCTCAACCGGTGCATTGCCTTTTTGCGCGAGAAGAACGACGCTATGAGCAAGCTGCACCGTGAGCGCTTCGAGCAAGTCAAGAGTAAGGTTCCTTATACGCAAGTGATGCCATTGACTAACAGTTGACAGAACTTGTTGACGCACTTGAATCTTACTCCTCTCACCTCGAGCCAACCTTTGTTAAACTTGAACTTCCCCCTACCGCGGAAGGTTCTTCAATCCCACCAAGCTTCGACCTTTCACCCCTTTATGTTACGGCATTGGATGCAGAGTTCACCCACGTCTACGAAGAGTACCACCGCCGTGTCGCACAAGTCCAGTCTACCTGCGAAGAAATGATCAAGCTGTGGGCTGAGCTGGGAACTCCCCAGGCTCAGACAGACTCCACCATCGTCAAATGTTATCGCGAATCCCCCGAGCAGCTCGGCCTGCACGAGTCCGATCTCATCAGCCTGATGGCTAAGCGCGACAAATTGGTGGAGCAAAAAGCCGGACGCGAACGCAAGATTAAAGAACTCCGCTCTACCGTGGAGTCTCTATGGGATCGCTTTGGTGTTGAGAATGCTGACCGCAAGGCATTCCTGGCTGCCAACCGTGGGTGTGGTTTGCGCATTATCAATGACCTCGAAGAAGAATTGACACGTCTCAATGAGCTCAAGCGACAGAATCTCCACCTGTTTGTGGAAGATGCGCGCTGCCGCTTGCAAGAACTCTGGGATAGTCTTTTCTTTTCCGAGGAGGAAATGCTTGATTTCACCCCTGCCTTCTCTGACGTCTGCAGTGATGCTCTGCTCGAGGCACACGAAGCTGAGATTCAGCGCCTTGAGGCTCTTAAGGAGCAACGTGCCCCAACCCTAGAGATGATTGACCGACACCGCACTCTCTTGACCGATCGTGAGGCACTGGCAACTTCAAGCCAAGATGCTTCTCGTCTTATGGGCCGCGGAAACAAGGGAGAGAAGCGCGACCCTGGAAAGCTATTGAGAGAAGAGAAGCTGCGCAAACGAATTGCAAAGGAGTTGCCCAAGCTTGAGGCTGATCTCCGCAAAGAGTTGGAACACTGGGAAGATGAATTTGGCCGCCCATTCCTCGTTCATGGAGAGCGATATCTCGATGCCTTGACCCCTGTTGCCGCAAAGGCACCGCCGCGTTCCAAGACGCCTTCCGCTCCTCCCTCCACTACTAAGTCTAGCTTCGTTAGACAGCAGCCGCCCTCCCGTCCTGGTAGCTCCATGAGGGGACCACCCCCTCCTCGCTCAGCCACGAAGACGCCCACTAGCAGTGGCCCAGTCAAGCACAACACCATTGGCTATGGCGCCTCTCGGGCTGGTGCTACATCCAGGGCCGGCGCCAACTCTCCTTCCAAGCTTCCGGCTCGCGTTCCCCTGGGAAACATGCCGCATGGAAACAACTCCCCTGAGCGCCGTGCGCAGCCCGGCAGCTACTCATCTAGCACGCTCAATGGAAAGATGCCGCCTCCTCGCGGACCTCCCCCTCGGATGCGTGCGCTGACCGTTGAATCCAGAGAGGACCGCTTTAGCCACCTCATGGACCCGCCCCGTTGCAACAGTGCCATGTCAAGTGCCTATGTGCGACCTGTGAGCCCTGAAGATGTCTATGATGACCGCCAGCGATCTTTCATGAGCGCGTCCGGCTTCTCCAACTCCCAACGCTCCACTGGATTCTCTCATTCATCCCACTCCTCCCAATCCTCGCTGTCTCTGAATTCCTCCATGCAGACTTTCCCTCGACCTAACCCCTACCTCAACCATGCAGCTCCTCCTCCAGCTGCTCGCCAGGTCTCAAATGCTTCGACTGTCAACACTGCGACCTCTGGCTCCGAGAACTGGGAGACTTTTGAGGATGGATCAGACGCCGAACCCGACGCTAGCGACATTTACTTCTCCAAGCTACGTGCTGCACACGGGGGAAAGCGGTTTGCTCCTGAAGACTCAGCCGACCTCATCGGAAAGAAAGCCAAGGGCATCCGAAGTGTCAGTCCAGATGGCCCGCACCCTGGACAGGTCTTGCGCGTCGCAGGCAGTGATAATGAGTGGGCCGATGACTTCGAGTCTTACTAAATTCCCTAAAGTCCTATCGATGCCCTGGCCATAATGCAACCTGCCTCTTGGGTTTCAATCCCCTGGACATTTTCTTCCATGGCGCTCCTGATATTCAATGGTTGTTCTGCAACCGCTACACTTGATGATCCCACGACCGGATTCTGCACGCCTCATGGCTCATGATGCATCTCGGCATTCCCTCAATCGAGCTTCCTTTAGATTCCAAACTGGCCGGTTTCTTCTTTCTTACCATGATTCCCCGAGTGGCCGTCTTCAACTTCTCTTCCTGTTAAAACTTACGACTTATCATGTCAATCTTGTTCATGCTCCCCTTCATCTGTCGATGTTATTGAGCCCAATGCTGCGACTGACTGTGCCAGCTTGCAGCCTTCCAGGATTCCTGTCCTTCACGTTCTTCCGATCGACGGATCTTTCTGTCTCAATCTTCACTGGGTTTAATCTTCACTTTTTTTCTGTTACTTTGGCATGGTGTTCTCCTTCGTTTCTCTGTCACTTATGTTTTTTCTTTGGCGCGGTGCTCACGGCTTTTTTATTCCCTCGATCTCCGGTTTCTGGGGTCGGTCTTTTGCTTTCGTCTTAGCTACTGCTTTTTCGTTTTTTTATGTATTTGTCAGCGAAGTCAGTGTTTGAATAGTTGTTGTTAATCTTATCTGATTTATCAAGCTTCCTGCTTCCAAGGTCCAAGCCCATTTTCAATGAAGTCGTAGTTGTGCTCCCATACTGTTCATTCATGTCTACGTGGGGATGCGTTGACATTGGGATAAGATTAAGTAAATCAAGATCAAAGCCGGCAAAATATACATATTTATAAGCGGTTTATATACTGCTTATCTACCCTCACCTTAACTCACCGTAGGTTGTATGAGCCTATTCGGGTGAGCTGATGCTCTAGATGATCTCAGAGGCCGATGATCTATCCACTAACTACCTTAAATGATGCATGCCAGCCATCGTCCCAGTGCAAAGCAAGAGTATGCATAATGATTGTTCAGTTACACCGCAACAACTCATCGACGGTAGATAACAAGAATGGTAGCTGACCAGAATACATTTTAGGTATATCTATAGTACAAGTAATCCATTTACAACCCTACGTCATCTCCCAGACGCAAGAGTTCCCATCCAAGAATTATCCTCCGGCAATGTCCCCTTAGGCACCCTCCTCCCAGCAAAAGGCACAAGAGACTGCGTCGATGCCTTCGCATCCTGGATACGACGCACAGTCTCGTCCCTCCCAAGGATGACCATCGTCTCGGGAATACCTGGACCAGGAGCTGAAGCAGATAATGCCCAGCGGAGGTAGTGGTACAACTCTTTTTTGAAGACCTTGTCTGTTGCGACAGGCGCTGCTGGTGCATCGGTGGCGCTTGACTCAACTTCTGGAAGCACGACGCTGTCGGAGCCGTCGTAGGAGGTTATGTTGAAACGGTGGGTTTCGATGTTCCAGTGTGTGGGCGGGACGAGGGTTAGGGCTGCCGCTGCTGTGTGGAGGGCTTGCATTGGGACTTGGGGGGATGAAGAGGATGAGGATGAGGGTGCCGGTGTGGTTGGTGCGTAGGCGACACTGTTTAGCTTGGGGGTGAAGAAGGTTGAGTTACGTTGGACGAACGCCTGGGCATCTGTGTAGGATTTTGCATCGGCGCGGATGAGCGGCGCGATGTACTCAGAGAGGGTGCGACCCTTGAGGATTGTTGCGCTGTTGGGTGTTAGGTATTGTCTTTGACAGGCGTCGCGGTTATCCAAAATTGGTAGAAGACTTACAGCTTGTCGTGAGGGTAGTCTGCTTCCACCACGGAGCTCACCCTGCTCACCATCTCGTCGAACTCAGGGCCACCTCTTGCAGCGAAGCGTTGGGCATGTGCTTTTTGAAGGTACCAAAGCTTTTCGAAAGCAACAACAGTGTTGCCTCGAGTGATTTTCAGGTTGAACTAGAGGGATTGTTAGTAACATAACCTGCGGTTTCATGCGATGGGAACGTACAATTTGCTCCAATTCCTTTAAGTCAAACACATCGGACTTCTGAGAATGAGACCAGCCCAAAAGGGAAGCAAAGTTCACCAAGCTGGCTGCAAATACGCCTTGCTTGTCTTTGAAGGACGAGAGGTCGATATCCGCATTTCGTTTGCTCAGCTTTTGTCCACTTTTCTCCACGAGCAGAGGGACATGACCGAACTGCGGTGGAGTCCACTTGAAGGCATTGTATAGAGCCATATGCATGGGCGTAGAGGGCATCCATTCCTGAAAGAGGTCAGTCACATATTCTCAAGAGACTCAAATAAAGGGATAGCATACGGTTCCTCGGATCACATGGGTAATCTTCATACAGTGATCATCCACCACATTTGCCAAGTGATACGTGGGATGTCCGTCGGATTTGATCATAACAGGATCATCATAGACACGGTCGATAAAGTCCAGCTTCTTGTTGTTGGGCCGGTTCTGACCTGTGTTGCCGTAGACCAAATCATTGAACATGGGGTATCCTTCCACCTTTAATCGCACAATATGCGACTCGCCATTCGCCGCGCGATCTTCTGACTCCTCGGCTGAGATATCCGCGCATTTACGGTCATATCCAGGAGGCAGACCGGCCTGACTGCGGTGTCGGGCGATTGAATCTAGACGCTCCGCAGAGCAGAAACACCGGTACGCATGGCCATTGGAGATGAGGTCATTGGCGTGGGAGCGATATAAAGCGGTTCGTTCGGACTATACCGTGTTGAAAGTTAGGGTTGAACATTTGTGACAACGGAGCGGTGCCATACTTGTCTATAAGGACCATGAGGACCACCAACAATAGGACCTGCCAGAAGAGCCTAATCAGCCCAATTGCCTCTATATCCGGACATAATTTAACCCACCTTCGTCCCAATTTAACCCTGCCCATTGTAGATCATCATAAAGCCTTTGCTCCGCTCCGGGAATTGTCCGTTTCTGCCCCAATCAGCGGTTATCCATATAACAGAGCGTAATCCGTCACGAACCTGGTCGGTATCCTCAATGCGCAGGAGGAATTGGCCGCCAGTGCGCTTTGCGAGCAGATAGTTGAACAGCGCGGTCCGCAAAGATCCAAGATGAAGGTATCCGGTAGGAGAGGGCGCGAAACGCGTGCGCGCAGGGCCGTCCGGTAGTTTGTTCTTCGAGTTGCGGGCTTGAGCAGAAGTAGAACAGCCTCTGCATTGAATGCAAGTCCAGCGACGAGCAAATAGCCCACTGTGAGGCCTCATGGTGTAGAGTCAAGACGCTGTTGCGGTTGCGGAGGAGCGGACTCGGCGCGGAGCTTCCGACAAAATTTCTATTGGAAATTCACTCCGCCTCTTACTTGACCTTCACCCTCGTCTCTCTTTCTTTGTCGGGTTAGAATTCCAGTTTTCTCTTCATCGAATAAAACTCCGATCGTATTTCCCCGAGAACTGCGGCTTATAAGTACGTTACAAGCTCTTGGGTGGTCGTTCGCGCCTGCTAACGAAGTTCACAGTGGCTCCGGCTCAGGTTGACCTCTATGGTATGCAGCCCACGCTAATGCCCAACTAATGCGCAAGCAAGCCGAAACAACTATTAACACGGCCTTGGATTCAAACAGAGGTCTTAGAAATTCACGCAACCGCATCTAAGGATGACATCCGGAAGGCATACCGCAAGGTACGACAATGTCGACACTTCATACATCCCGCCATACTAATATGTTAACAGGCGGCGCTGGCCCACCACCCCGACAAAGTCCCTGAGTCTGAGCGCGAAGAAGCTTCAGCTCGGTTCAAGTCTGTCCAGGAAGCCTACGATATCCTCTACGATGACCAGAAGCGACACCTTTACGATACACACGGTATGGCGGCTTTCAACGGCTCTGGTGAACCTGGAATGGCAGGCGCCCCGGACCTCGATGATATCCTAGCACAAATGTTTGGCGCCAGCATGGGCGGCGGCATGGGCGGTATGCCTGGTATGGGAGGCATGGGAGGTATGCCCGGTGGCCACCCTAACCGACCCCGCAAGAGCCGCAACGAGGAGCAGGACTACGAAGTCAGCCTGGAGGATCTATACAAGGGCAAGACCGTTCGATTCACCAGCACCAAGAATGTCATTTGTGGACACTGCAAGGGCAAGGGTGGAAAGGAGAAGGCTACTGCGAAGAAGTGCTCGACTTGTGATGGCCATGGAGCCAAGGAGGTCCTGCAGCAGATGGGTGGTTTCTTGACCCAGCAGACTGTGACCTGTACCACTTGCAAGGGTCAGGGTTCATACTTCAGTCCGAAGGACAAGTGCAAGAAGTGCAAAGGCGAACGGGTCACCGAGGAGAAGAAGATGCTGGAGCTTTACATTCCCCGTGGCACGAAGTATGTCTTACTCTCTTCGGTGATGCAATATGATACTGACCTTACTTTAGACAAGGAGACAAGATTATCCTGGAAGGTGAGACTGACCAGGTGCCCGGACAGGAACCCGGCGACATTATTTTCAAGATTGTCGAGGAAGAGCACCCCGTGTTTGCTCGCGCCGGCTCCGATCTCCAGGCGACGATTGAGGTCACATTGGCTGAAGCCCTGGGCGGCCTTTCGCGCGTCGTGGTCAAGCACCTTGATGGCCGCGGCATTGAAATCCACCACCCCCAGGTCCCCGGCGAGGTCCTGTCTCCCGGACAGGTTCTCAAGGTTCCCGGAGAGGGTATGCCCCTGAACCGTACCGATGCCCGTGGTGATCTTTACTTGGTCGTCGATGTCAAGTTCCCCGGCTCTGACTGGAAGCCTACTCCGGCGATGCTGGAAAAGCTAAAGGAAATCCTGCCCAAACCCGGAAAGCCTATACCCGCCGAACATGTGGATGAGGTCGAATACGACCCCAAGGCCAACATTGAAGAGTTCGGTGCTAAGGATGGACACGCATGGGAGGACGAGGACGAAGACGATGAACCGGCGCAGTGCGCTACTCAGTAGATTTCCTCTTCCGGCATACACGGCGTCTGGGGTTTTGCATTTTAAGAGAGATGTGAACAATACAGTGCTCTCCAATTCTTTCTAATTGTAATGCATCATGGACCACATCCCATTTGGGGAGTGGATCAGTGTGGAGTGATAGCGTGGGGGTTTATAGATGTAGATGGACGTTCTGTTTAAGGTGTAATCTACTCACTTTATTATTCTATGAACATGTTTATAGCGCAGCCAGATGTACCGAGAGAATAGAAGCCAAACACCCCATAAAAACCAACATCTTCCATCTAATAGCCCTACTGTCCGGCGTGGGATGCCGTGGGGTTCGGCCCCTGTCACGGCTCTCGGCTTTCACATCGGCTTCCCCGATACTTTCCAACAAGTTTTCCATTTTCTTTAATGTCACTCCAACACCCTCAATAACAAATACCCAAAGGGCCCCAAACCACCAGAACCCCTTATAGCACCCTTACACCATCTCTCACTAACTCCATAAATTTCCCGACATCAAATCCCCGCAAACATGCCATGCGACACCAAAACCACCTGCGCCGGCTGTTCCTGCGCCAGCACACGCCCACCCCCAAATATTGAAGACTGCGAAGCCGAACTCCTGGCCCTACGCAAGCGCACAGTGGACCTAGAGAAAACCCTAGCAAAACTACAAGACAACCCAACAAAAGCACGACAAGGCCGCAAACTACGCTCAACACGCTGGTTCAATAACGATGAAAACCCGGGCATGACAGCGCTATATATCGAACGATACTTGAACTACGGTATCTCGCGCGAAGAACTCATGGCCGGGAAACCAGTCATCGGCATCGCGCAGTCCGGCTCTGATATCGTGCCGTGTAATCGGCATCATCTTGAACTGGCGAAGCGCGTGCGGGAGGGGATTCGGAGTGCTGGCGGGATTGCCTTTGAGTTTCCTACGCATCCTATTCAGGAGAGTTCGCGGAGGCCGACTGCTTGTCTAGATCGGAATTTGGCTTATTTGGGGTTGGTAGAGATTTTGCATGCTTATCCTTTGGATGGGGTTGTGCTTTTGACTGGGTGTGATAAGACGACGCCGGCTGCATTGATGGCTGCTGCTACTGTGGTATGTCTTCCTTGGAAATTAATATATGGTTTATGGTGGACTTTTGGAGCTAACATGTTGCGGTAAGAACATCCCGGCAATTTGTCTGAATGTTGGCCCTATGTTGAATGGTTATTTGAAGAATGACCTGGCTGGATCAGGTATGGTAGTATGGAAAGGGCGAGAGATGTACGCTGCAGGCGAGATGAACCGCGAAGAGTTCATGGATTATGTGGCTCGAGGGTATGTCTCCACCAGCAGAGGAAAGAAACACCCACTAACCCATCTATAGAGCACCGTCTGTGGGCCACTGTAATACCATGGGCACAGCATCAACAATGAACGCCTTAGCCGAGGCACTAGGCATGGCTCTCCCCGGTTCAGCAGCAATCCCAGCCCCATATCGAGAGCGCGGCCAATGTGCCTACGAGACCGGCGAGCGTATCGTCGAAATGGTCCACGCAGACCGCAAACCGAGCGATATCATGACACGTGCAGCCTTCGAAAATGTTATAGTAACCAACACCGCCATCGGCGGGAGCACCAATGCACCAATCCATATCAACGCAATGGCCAAACACATCGGTGTGGAGCTCTCCCTAGACGACTGGGACCAGATTGGCTTCCACATTCCTCTACTACTCAACATGCAACCCGCCGGCGAGTTCTTGGGCGAGGAATATTTCCGCGCAGGAGGATTGCCTGCTATCATGGCTGAGCTCTTAGACGCCGGAAAATTGTACCCAGACGCACTAACCTGCAATGGCAAAACCGTGGAAGAGAATGTGCGCGGACAACATACCTGGAATCGAAAGATTATTCACTCGTATAGCGAGCCTATAATGGTCGATGCTGGATTTGTGCATTTGACGGGCACGTTGTTTAACTCCGCGATTATGAAAACATCTGTGATCTCGCCTGCATTTCGACAAAAGTTCCTCGAGAACCCGGATGATCTGAACGCTTTCGAGGGTGCGGTTGTTGTCTTTGATGGACCGGAGGATTACCATCACCGACTCGACGACCCCGCAACTCCGATTGATGATACAAGTATCCTGGTCATGCGTGGTGCGGGACCATTGGGATATCCGGGTGCGGCGGAAGTGGTGAATATGCATCCTCCAGCACGTTTATTAAAACAGGGAATTACTTCATTACCGTGTATCGGAGATGGGCGTCAATCGGGTACATCGGGCTCACCGTCTATTCTGAATGCAAGCCCTGAAGCTGCAGCCGGGGGAAACCTTGCACTGCTTCGTGATGGTGATAGACTGCGTGTTGATCTGACTAAGCGCCGTGTTGATATCCTGATTGATCACGAGGAATTACAGCGTCGTCGTGAAGAATTGGAGGCTCGGGGTGGGTTTGATATGCCTGAAAGTCAGACGCCGTGGCAGGAGATTTTCCGTCGTGAGACTGATCAGCTGAATGAAGGTATGGTTCTGCGTGATGCTGTTAAGTATCAGCGTGTTGCGCAGCAGTGGGAGGAACCGAGGCATAACCATTGAGTTGATGCTCCTGTTTGTGTATAATGATGATATCCAGGTCAATAATGTGGGGGGATTGTAATATTGACTAATTAATGAAATAGATAAAAACAGGGAATAATCCTATCATCCTAATAAGAGTGGAAAACGCCTGCGACTAAGTAGTCAGTTTTCCTGCGAGCCATAAAGCTGCCCATGCATAGCACAGTGATCACCATCAACGCAACGCGAAATAATTAGACAATCAATCACAGATAAAAACGGCAACATAAAAATAAAACAATCAGTCCTGCTGCTCTGGTTTAGCACCGATTCCAACCGCTTAACCAGCGGGATTGGCACCGGTAAAAGGCGTCCGTTTAGTCTCCTTGAAAGCTTTAGTCATAGAATGAACAGAAGCCCAAATCCCCAAACCAGTAGTAGATCTACGTATCTATATCTATATACATCAACTTTTATACGACCCAAATCTCACGCTCGATCTAAGAAATCCGCAATGCGACGATACATCTCCACAGGATTTGAATACATAGGGAAATGCCCACAGCCGACAATATCCGCCAACTCAACACCCTCCCTCTCCAACAACGGCAAATAAGACAACCCATGCATCTCCTCACCAAACATAAACATACGCGGACAAGGCAAAGCCAAAAACTTATCTATCAAATCCGCATGATCCGTCAACTCAACCATAGACTCAAAAATAGGCCGAACAGCAGCGGTGCGAACACGATGGCGCAGCGTACTAGCATACATAGCACTACCAAAAACTCCAGATGTACGCGTGCGCTCAATAAAAGCATTCATGAATGCCTCCGGGTCATCAGCGGGGAATTGGAAGATCTGGCGACTGAGGAAGCAATCCTCGGGCGCGAGATTGCCCTTGATATTCACGAAGCTGAGGACGCGGTCTGGGTGGCGGTTTGCAAGGAGGAGAGCTGTGAGACCGCCCATTGAGTGGCCCATTAGATGGAATTTGGTGATTTTGAAGTGGTCCAGGACTGCTTCTGCGGTTGCGATCAAGAAAGGGATGTCGGTGGCGGCGAGGTTGTCGCTTTCTGTGTGGCCACATCCTGGCGCATCGTATGCGATGTAGCCATGCTGCTTTAGTGCTGGTTGCAGGGATAGGTCTGCAAGGTCCTCTTTGCTCGAGCCAAAGCCGTGGAGGAAGAGAATTGGGTTGGGCTTGAGGTTGTGGATTGTTGAAAGGCGAAGGTTGACGCCTTTGACTTGGAGGGGAGCTCTTCGAATGTGACTGGCATGATGAGTATATATGTTAACAATTATTCCACACTGACCTCTTTATATTCGTGAAAAGCTTTTAGTGACTATGAAGACTCGGTCAAAAATTCGGCAAAATGTCATGTCACCGCGGTTTACTCAGCAGAGTCATCGCCACTCAAATGGCAAAATCGAACAAACTTCAATTAGTATTACTTAACGCTACCACTTCGTTTCAGATCTTGTACACTTAAAATCCCTCCAGCTTGTACAATGGCTCTAACTTCGCCGGCCGGAACAAAATGTACCGCTGAATAAACCAGGGCAGCCATGTTCCAACCTGATAGCGGGCATGTCGGTGGATGGGCACACCAAAGGTATAGTCGAGCTCTTCAAGAGTACGTTGCCTATGAAATGTTAGATAGGAAATATTGATACCCGGAGAACCACTTACATTGTCTCAGGCACGATAAAGAAAATAAGAACGAAGGCAAGCATATTCAAGCCAGCGTAGAATCCAAATGCTGTACCGTTCACGTCAGCTATATCCATTCTTAAGCCTGTGGAATAAACTCACCTCCAGTTGCCGTCATCTTTGCCAAAATTGATGGGAATGAGAGACTAAGAACACTCCCAACGATATTGTTCACACAAATGGTAAAGGCTGCGCCAAGCTCTCGATGAGACAAGGGAATGCTTCGCTGAAGTAAATAGACGGGATAGGCCCAATACCTGGTCGGTCAGTAAAGTCAATCATACCTGCAAAGAGTCGATAGCACATACCAGGACCATAGAAAGCACCAAACAGATAAATAAAAAGTGCAATCAAGGGCACACGAGCAGGAGACCCCTCCGGAAGCAAGAAGCAACATCCAGCCGCAAGAAGACACCACGCCATATTAGGGAACGTAAACAGCAACAGGTTCCGCCGGCCGAACGTGTCCATGGTATAAACAGCGGGAATGGCAAAGACGAACATTGTTAGTCCGAACCCTAGGGATGCCAGGAGACAATCCCGAGGTGAGTATCCCGCTTCCGAGAAGATAGTACTTGAGTAAAAGGCCATTGCGTTGATTCCGGAGAATTGCTGTGCTATGACGATGAGTGAGCTTGAGATCATTGCTCGGCGGAGACGGGGGACTGCGAATAGTTCCCAGACTCGTGAGGCGAGTGAGATGCCTGAGAATGCATCCCGCTCGGTCATGACTTGGCAATGGGCGTAGTACTAAGTCGAAGTTAGGTTAAGATAACTTTACTTATCAAAGGAATTGAGAATATAAACGTACCAATTCTCTTGCAGCAATAAGCTCTGTATTGCGGAGCCGACAGAATGATTTGAAAGCTTCTTGGTAGCGGTGTTTCTTCATGAGCCATCGTGGGGATTCTGGAATTACACTGTTAGCCTTATTATACTTAGAAACTGAAGATCAATCTTACCAGGGCAGAACCAGACGAATATGAGGACTGGCACCGCTGGAGCAAAAGCAGCAGCTAACTGAAATCGCCAGGCAAGGGGTCCAACCCGGAAGAAGATAAGATTCGAACAGAAGCCACTATTAGGGTTAGAAAAGTCACGTAAGATGTATCAGGAAGAAAAGACTTACACGAAGATACCGAATGCCACCCATAACTGGAAGGAAGTGACCAAACCACCTCGGATAGATGCAGGACTGATTTCTGCGCTGAAAACGGGAATAGTTGAGATTTTGACACCCATTCCTATGTCAGTAGTCAGTTTCAGGTCAGGTTAGGCTTTTGGCGTATCAGTCAATTCCATACCGAGTCCCATGAAAAGCCGGCAAATCAACAAGCCCCACCAATTTTGGGTGAATGCCTGTGCCAGGACTGGGAAGACACAACTATAGCGATTGTTAGTCTTGCATGTGGTGGTAGCACAGGATGTACATACAATAGCCCAGTCAAGAAGATTGTGCCCCGACGACCGAGCCAGTTGTTCAGGGGATCCGCTGCCCATGCACTGCAATTTGTCAGAAAAGAACGTTCACTTGAAGGATAATGTTCATATTTACCTCAGAAGACCGAAGAGAGTAGGTCTAAAGATGTTCAATTAGAAAGGTTACCTCGAGAATGATAAGTAATACATACCCTGCATTGATAACTCCGACCAACCATGTATTGTCCTCGATGCCGAACTCCTTGGGAAAGGAAAGGTTGGCACCGTTTGCTCCAGTGTTATCCCATCCTCTAAACACCAAGTTAGATAGAGTCAACCCCCCGGAACAAATTGTAACTTACTGAATGGCCGAGCCTAGAGAGCACAAACCAATGCTGTAGTATAGAGCTCTGGGAAGATGCCATTTGTCTACCCACGTCAGAATCTCCATATCAACCCAATATCAAAGATGACCTACGTGTAGTCTCCCGGCGCAAATAATACTTATCATCATCCGTCAATTCGGGAAGCTCTTCAAATTCCTTGGGCCGCTGAGCAACAAGAGCTCCCTTCTGGAACGTTTCAACATGTTCCTCGAACCCATACTCCTGACAGAACCGCAGCACCCGATCATAAAGATCATCTTTGGTAATCCCCGACAACGGATTATAAATCCTATACATCAAAGATCAGCAGTGACCAACACACTCGATCCACCCAATCCACCTAACACGCACCTTGCATTCACATTGCGACTATAATCCCCCAGATGCGGAACCTGCGACTCAGCATCCTCAACAAAGACCTCCCTAGGCTTCAAATCATCATCCAAGCTGTGCTTCGACATGATGTAAATTGTGGCAATCGAAGTATGTCAAGTAGATGTGGGTACTTTGTTTATCTCTTCTCCCTTGCACAAAAGTCCCTGTAAGCCCTCTATATATACCCCAACCACCCTATTCAACCCCATTCCACCTGTCAAATCGACGATGTTCCCCGGGAAAACTTAAACCATCAAAGAAATCCGGGGTACACTAAGGCGCCCGGACCAATGACCGCGTCCGTCCCCCGCTCCCGCAGATGTGGCGATCGTCACCACTTGCTCTGCCCTGCGTGTGCCATCGGTTAGTATGCCGAGAGGGGGTTGGACTGCCCTGTGTGCGACCATGTTTGGGTGGTCCTATCAGAGTCTCTGGTATGTGTGTCCTGTGTGTGTATTGCCTCGGGAATGTGGCGGGCTGGGAATGCCCTGCGTGGGTGTGCGGGTCGGGAGGCGCTTTGGATTTGAGTTCTGCGTATTAAATGGTGCGACTCGTCGGTGGAACTTCGGGAGGGGGTTGCCCTGTGTGTCGCTGTGAGATGCTTCGTGTCTTTTGTTGTTGGGACCTTTGGTCGAGCGGGGTTGGTGGTTGGATTGGGTTGTTGTGGTTTGTATATATTGCTGCTTCGTTCGTTGGTTTGTTTCTACTATCATCGAAGAATTATTATTTCATTTGCTTTGATTCTCTGTTCTTAATCACTTGGTTAAAAGCAGTTACAAGTCTTCTCACAATGGGTAGCGCCGGTACACAGACATGGCTCGATAAGTTGTCGGAGCAATGTAAGCAAGATGGCTATACGTGGACATTCAGCAGGTCATCTAACACATCGCAGTAAATGTGGACGTCGACTGGATGGACCCAGCATACACTCTGAGTATGCCAATCAAACCCCACGACATGACCAGCAACCAGGGATGGGTCCACGAGCAAATGTGCAACCCAGTCAATGAAGAACTATTCAAAAGCGTGGTAAAGGAATACAAGGACAAGGGCTGGCTGGCTATTTACACGCGCATGGTATAGTCATTCCACGACAAAGAAACAAAAAGCAAAACTTAACCAAATACTTCTATAGGCGGTCTTGATGTCAAAGGCAAACATCGACAACATCCAAGGCCGAGTCCTCCTCCAGACTCTCCCTTCCAATGCCTACAACCACGAATTAACCCTCGAGCATGCTCGCGCTTATGCCCGTGAGTTCGAGAGCGTTGGTATCTCGAAGGATCGCTTCTGCATTAAGATCCCCAGTACCGGTCCTGCATTGAGTACCTGCCCGATCCTGTTGGAGGAGGGTATTCGTACGTTGGGAACTGCGCTTTTCAGTGTTCACCAGGCTATTGCGGCTAGTCAGGGTGGGTGCCTATATATCAGCCCGTACTATAATGGTAAGAGGATCCGGATCGGGACTTCTTCACTTCCAGTTGTTAACGGGTGCTTGTATAGAGGTTCGCGCACACGATGAGCGAGAGCTCTGGCCCAAGTCCGACGACCCGGCGCTGCTGCATCCGATGTCGTCGCGTCTCGTTCAGATTCTTGAGACGTATAAACGTCTCTACAAGGAGACTGGAAAAGAGCAGCCGTTCCTCAAGAATGCCAGGTAAGTCCATGCGGATAACCGAATTGCATGTGATGAAGTCGGACTAACAATGTCACCAGTTTCATTTCGCCACAGGAGGCAATGGCGGCTGGTGAACTTGGCTGTCACTCTGCTACCATTTCTCACATGGTGTTGACTGAGCTCGCCAACCTCCCGTACGATGGCGATAAGCAGCCTGGAGAAGGTGTGCCCATGCCAGCTCATCCATACTTGAATGCTCTGCCGACACCAGCCCGTCTTGCAAAGATTGCAAAGATCGACGCTCTTGCAAACCCAGATTGGGATGGAAAATTGGCAAGCACTGACATTGACTATCTTGCCAATAAAGGTGCTGAGCTGGACAAGGCGAATGAAGCCGATGCAGTTACCAAGAAGCGTCTTCGTGAAGCCCTGGCTTTGTTTGTCGCTGCCGAAAAGAGAAGCCAGGCAAAGATTGAGGAAGCCATGAAGGTTGTCTGATTTTTCGACAGTGTCGCTTTTCAATTCGGTGCTTAGCACATGGTTGCAGAAGGATTTTCTAGGTCGTTGCCTGCAATTTGTCCCATGGATATAGATAGACTTTTTGGATCTGAGCTGAATGAAATTGTTGATTGCTGCATTTGATCCATGGTAGCCTGGTGGGCCTCTTCTGGCAATACATTCAGACTTAGATGCTGCAAGGGCCAAATAGTCGTCTCCGGGCTTTCGTAATGCACGCCATCGTCTCTAGGTGGTGTATCATTCAGCATTCCCACCTGTTGGGTCCAGAATAGTGCCGAGTTGTCAACAAGATGCGAAGGTCCAATGTCACGACTTGGGTCCACATCTTGTGGAGGTGTAGTGGTTGAGATAACCTGGTGCTGGTTCCATAGAAGACCCGCATCATCGGCGATATTTGAAGGAAAGGAAAGTTGATGTGAAACTTTAGGCGGGCGGTCCCACGCCCATTCCGGTAGATCTACCACACCGACACCCGTTTCCAAAGTATCAGAGACCTGAGTGTCAGGCCCCTGATCACGGAATACGGGAGCTGATACCTGCGGCACAGTAGAGGGAGGCTGGCCTAGTCGATCGCTTGCCAACGGAGAACCACCCATATGCCGAGAGGCTACCGGCTGCTGCTCGCTGGAGTCCTGGTCTTCAGCCAGAGGATCGACAACTGGAAGCTTCCCCCCAGCATCCCTAACATAGCGGGATCTACCGGCCTAGCTTGGCGCGGGATGCAAGTGCCAGGATGACAAAGGGCCCGAAGGCTGTTAACCTCTCGCAGAAGATCGTCGCGCTCGGTCATCAAGGATTGCACTGCCTGCGTAGCTTGAAGATACCTAGCGTGCTGGGCACGGTGATAGGCAATGCTCGCATCAACAATAGCGTGCTTGGAGGGACGCGGCTCTGGCTTAAGTGTTGGAAGCAACTCAGTCAACTCCTGTGTTGGTTAATCAGCTATATTCCAGCTAGTAAGGATCATGTGAGCCACCAACCGTAAGGCTTTCACTGAAGGCTTCCCGACGCGACTTCTCGAAGTCTCGGTGGACAGCTCGGTCTTCGGCGGTCCAGTTTCGAATGCGCTTCTTCTTTGTTTTTTGAGACATTGCTGATGAATGGGGATCTATAGATGATGTTGGGTTCATTTTGGGGGGTTGGAGGAGGGTCGATCCGGGGAAGTGGGGGTCGGGTACTAAGCCGGACTTGACTCCAGGGCTACATGTACTCCGACTTTGTTCTGATCGGAGATGTTGATATTTAATTGATGATCGGGTTTGCTTGGATGTGAAAATTGTAGGAAGCCTTTTTGGTCCTAGTCACGAACGTACCACATTGGCAGTAGCCCTGTACAGGGCTGCTCACATGACCCGTGCGGAGTATGTGTTGATCTCCACTTTCAAACCACAGATGTCATTTCAACTTTATTCACCAGTGCGTTCCATTCATTTGGCAAGTTGCTTTGTCAGGAAAGAAAAGTATATGTCATGCGATATAAACCACGCCGGTTAATACAACAGGGGTCATACATGTGTATATAGTGCCACTGATGAAGTTTTGGACAGTACACGAAAGGCTCGAAGCGAGTATATCGTTCCATGCAGTTCTTTCCGCTCTACTTTGACTTCTCTTTTTTCGCCTTTTTTTGGCCATTTTCGAGTGCCTCGGATTAATCATGTATATTGTATAACGATGGGAGTGTGAAAGAACTTATGGCTTATGACTATATGCATAACTGAACTTCGGCATTGAAGAACTAATTGAGAATCTCAAATCGGCTTTCATTAAGGAGAGTGTATTATATATACAATATACATGTGGTTTCATTTCAGATCATCCATATTAGACTTCCTTCGCACTCCAAAGTTGTTCTCATATTTAGGGAAGAGCAGCGGGAGCGTAGCTCTGGTCAGGCTTGACAACATTGCCGCCCTCAACCTGCTTGTCGGTGTAGGCAGGCCAGATGATCTGGCGGGCCTTGTTGTCGACAACGGAAAAGGTGGTGAAGCCATTGCCCTCACCGAACTGGCCGCTCCAGCCGGAGGTGACGGTGTATCCACCGCAAGTGACAGGGCCACCGTTGGCGTGAGAGGCAGTGTTGCCCTTCACAACGTAGTTGCAGGGGGTAGCGGCGCCGGTACCGGGGTAGATGCCAAAGTTCCATGTGCAGGAAGTGTTCTCGGCGTTGCAGGCGCGCTTCATGTTCTGAATGGTCCACTGGGGACCGGCGGCCATCATGGAAACGCTGGCAGTAGGGGCGGCCATGATAGAAGAGGCGAAGAGGCCGGTAGCGATGAAAAGCTGAGTGAGCTGCATGGTTGCGATTGTGTGGGATATTGGAGGAACCGAAAGGTATAATGTTTGAAGTATGAGGGGGTGTGTGGATGAGAGTAGTGAAAAGATATCGATGGACGGAATGAAGGAGGGTATTTAAGTCTTTTCTCGATCACATTTACCCTCCATCATGCCACTAGAGCAAAGACCGGAGCATGATTCATCGAAGTCATTGGGATTTCTCATAGCTTCTCCGCTATACCTGGAAATAGATTTTGTCTACTACCGTATATCAGCCGATGTAACAATACAAACCAGACACGCAGGAAATACTCCACCATTTGCTTGCTAGTGCTGTCTTACTTATGTATAAGTGAGACACCTTGGGAGCCTGAAGACAATCACCACTCTACGGGGCAACTTCCAAGGTGAATACGATGCATAATGTAAGACACCTACGAGACACCTCCAATCACATCGGATGAGCCGCAGAGCCTACCCCGCGTATGCACCCACCTGGAGCCACATGTTGCCGATCGCATACCGGATTTTCAGGCTGTTAGGTGCAGACCCTGAATGACGCTGGTCAGATTGAGTCCGGTTTCTCGATCGATCAGGTTGCCTAAGGCCGTCAGGATGTCCCTGTGACTTCGGAAGGTATACGGGGCGCAGCTTGCGGAATCCCTCTCACAAAGAAATCTTAGTTCACGTGCAAAATCTAATACTCAGACATTCCCCCGAGGATATGGAGAACATAGAGTGAATCCAACTTGTTCGCTTCGAGTGGCAATGTGGAGTTCGGTGTCCCGGGGAGCCGAGCACTTAACTTAAGTATCCGAAGCGGAGATGTTGCCGTCAATATTGTTACTATTTTTATACTCAGTTGCAGGTTTCGATTTGATTAACCAAGGTAATTATGATGGGCTTCACCCCGTTTATTAGACCTAAAGTAACTGAAGACCTCTTGGTTTCACTAAGTTGACTGTGCTATGAGACATTCCCAGGCTTCCAATTTAGTACCAGCATGAGGATCATACACAAGTCGGAGTAGAGCTATATAGAGTACAAGTAGTATGTTATCCTGGCCGAAAGACCCTGATCACAAAACATAGAAGATAAATACAAAATTTTGGATAATTCGTACTCTATGGTGTGCCTGTAGTAACATCAAAAACGGTCAGGGGTGGCCATGCAGGGCCTTTAAACTCATGTCTCTCCCCTTTAAAGAATGCCTAAAAAAGAAGACTCGTAATCTAATATGCTCCGAAGCTGGCGGTGGCTGGGAGCCTTCTCGAACATTCCGACATGGGAAACAAAAACAGTGTACCTTCGCTGGTTCATCCCCAACAGATTCGCAAGAACTCGCCGTTAATAGCCGCAGACACTTATTGGCATTGTCCAACGAGTCAAGGCCACTGACTTTACATTTGTAGAATATGACCGCATTTGTATAAAGGGGAAAATGGCTCAATCGGGACGAGTTGGAGCGAAGCTCTCGCCATGTAATGTAAGAACTTCCCAGCACTGTGTGAGCGGGCTATATTCGCGCCTGTCCAGGAGCCACCAAGGTCGTCAGATATGATAAGCGAGAAGGTGGATTCAACAGAGTGTCCCTTTTAGCAATGGACAATGGACAATGAACCAAATATCGTGTGTTGCTACTGATCTTGTGGTATTTTGACTCGAGGACAGTAGGTTATGAGATTATCGGAAAGCCACAGACTGGCACTAATGGAACCAGAGGAATATCAACAGGCAACGATGGGCTCTGACTCGCCCACAACGAACGAGCTGCCACGGCATTGTAGGCCAAAATCTACGCTTTATTAAGTCATCATACTGACGTTGATCAATTGAGGAACTTGTATTGTCATCAGACAAAAGAACAGATGGTTCCGAATCTTCCGTCACTGGAGACTAAGAGCTGTAGGATACTTAATCTACCCTGCTTCATTCTAAGCACACATTCGGCAAATGAGGGCTTCTGTGGGCGCGAAGATATCTTAGAGCGTCTTGCGGCGGAGCGGTTGCCTTCAAAAAACATATGGGGTTCTGGTCTACGGCAATTTGCCCTCTGTGGGCTCGGCGGAATTGGAAAGACAGAAATAGCTCGCGAGTACTCTCGACGCTACAAGGACTCCTATGATACAGTATTCTGGGTAGTGGCAGATGAGATTGCGAAGCTTGACCATTACTACCAGCAATTTTCGCTAGCACTAGCACTCGAAGATCAATCCGAGTGTAAGAGCCAGGTTGTCAGCAGGGAACTTGTGAAAATATGGCTCTCCAACCCTCAAACGCATCTATCGGGGACGGATGAGCTTGTCAATCCTGGCCAAACCGGTTCAGAAGCAACCTGGCTGCTTATTCTGGACAACGCGGATGACCCGATGATTCTGGCAAACTACTGGCCTCAAGGAAGTGGATCTGTTCTTGTCACTAGCCACGACCTGTTGGCTAAAAGCATGTTTACGAGTAGACCTTCAGGTCTGGATCTGGGTCCGCTTTCACAGGAAGACAGCCTGTCCCTCTTCAAGTACCTCACTGTGAATGAGCCAGGAAACGATACAGGATGACAGATATCCAATGTGCTTGAGGGCTTTTCGCTTGCCATCTCCCAAATGGCGGCTATCCTTCGACGGCGGGACCTTACTTTGTCACAGTTTCTGTATCAAGAGCATGAAGAGTTAATATATCAAGATCACGAGGAGCATGCCGGCCTTTACGGGACAAAGTTTGATACCAACTTGTTATCATATTCTCACTCCCTTTCCACTGTCTGGGCAGTTGAAAACCTGAGACCTAAGACTCGGCGACTTTTGGAGCTGATTTCATTCCTTGACCCAGATGCCATCGGGGATGATTTCTTAATGGAGGCATCAGTGGCATTTCTTGCCGACGGCGAATTCAAGAGACTCTATTACGGCGGTGCTCGAGGGGATCTTTTGCGGTTATCTCTCATTCAGAAGGACAGTCAAAATCGCCAGATATCAATTCATCAGCTCGTACAAGATGTGATATTGGCGACCAAGGATGTTGAGACGAAACGACTTAGATTCGACCAGGTTGTACAACTTCTCTGGAAGAACTGGCCATCTGCTTTGCCCAAGCCATCAAAGGAGCCGGAGCTGTCTCAGGCCATGTCAAGGGGCAACAGACTATGTGTTGAAAGATGGTCTGTCTGTGCAGACATTTATCCTCACATTCTAAGAATACATCAGCTCTGGCCAAACACTTCACGTCCATCTGAGGCCACCAGGATACTCTTTGCAACGTTACTTAATGAGGCTGCATGGTGCGTATGTCATGCTCAGACCCTTTTGTTGCTATACGTTCCAATGTCATCAGGTATCAAAAGGAGCGTGGACGAACAAGGCAATTCGACGGCTTTTTTGAAACTGCCCGCAGCATCTGCGAATCCTCAACACATGCAGATCGAGATTCTGTCGAGACCTGTGGTCACGTTACCTAGATAGAACTGAGATTAGCTAGTTAGAGAGCTCGCTTCCCGAGTCTCTCTCTCTCCCCGTCCTTCTCCAGGATCAATATCATTTGACATTCAGATGTCCAGCTGTCTTTCTCACCACCTCCAACCAGTCTTTTCATCAATTCGGAGATCGGGAGGCAGGTTCGGAAGGTACCTGGCATCCTGGGAAGAGGCCAGAGCTAGGAAATAGGCACGGAAGAAGTGGTCTTGCGAATTTCAAGCTGTTGTTGATGTTGACAGCCCCTCGGAAACCACAGATTTTGCTACGCGTCATTAGCATGAGGTTGTAATAGGCAGCGTAGAACATACACATCATTTGTGTCCTTGTTGACTATGATCTTTGCCGGGTCCGAAGGTACCGGCTGGTATCCAGCTCCTATAACTTCACTAATTTTAGTTAGTTCAAAGTGCACGACCATGAAAAAGATACCCAGTAACGAACCTGAAGGCCTTCTTGAAGTTCTCACGGATAGCCTGTCGCTTGTTGTAGGGAACACCCCAGAAATACTCGGGATCGAGGGAACATCCGCTAACCTCTTCCCACACCAGATAGATGATGTATCCGCCGGGGACAAGATCATCTGCTTCTTGTTTGCTGGTTTGATATCCACGGACCTCAGGGACAGCAGCGGATCGGATCTCTGTGAGATGCAACAAGGCCTCCACTTCTGTATGCTTTCGAGGGGGGCAGGCCTGGTTCTGCCGTTCTCTCGCACTGTCAAGGCGAGTACCTTCAAGAGGAATCTGTTTGTAGATACGCATAAGGGCAAATTTGTTCTCGTTGCCGGCACCTGCAAGGCGACACCGATATTTTCCAGCGGTGAATGCGGGACCCATGCCATCCTCAAAGTCCTTTTGGCTAATCGTCGTTGGACACTCATTCACCTTTTTGAGAATGACCCATTTGTGTTCGGGGATGAAATATGACCCTGAAATGTTCCTCCGAGGTGTAGTGATCACATCACCAACCAATTTGGGAAGAAGTTCCATTTTGGTCAAGGTAGGCGTGCAGAAGTAAGATGGAGAGGAATGATAAAGGTTGGAGAGGAAGATGAAAATGACAACGAAATTGTCACGTCAAGTGATTTAAAGTTTGGATAGTGCAAACAGAGAAACTTACGCAAGTTTGCCTGATATGGAAAGTACCTTTACAATACTTTGCCCACTCGTGCTACTAATTCCCAGCATTCAGCGCTTCTTCTATATCTTGGACTTTCCCTCCGAACTTTCGGGAGCTCCAGTCAATGCGCATACCCTCTTGTTTGGTTTTTGATACTACCCTCCACAATAACTCCCAACCTCTTTCTCTGTGCGCGCACTATCTTCTGCCCCGTACATCATGCTCATACCCCTTTGTTGCTATATGATCTAATGTCACCAGGTATCAAAAGAGCGTGGACGAACAAAGCAATTCGACGGCTTTTTTGAAACTGTCCGCAGCATCTGCGAATCCCCAGCACATGCAGATCGAGATTCCCTTCTTGCAGACATCTACTTCCGCTTAGGAGCCCTCGCCATGGATGCGAGCGACTTCCACTCAAGCCGCATCTACAAGGAGCGTTCTTTTGACCTAGTTTACAAAATATGCACAGAGTTAGGAACTGCAGACGAAAGAATTTACCTCGCCTATGCAGAGCGAGGGTAACACGCTTCTTTTGGAAAGTTTGGCGTCGAGAGAGGCGGCCTTGGGTAAGAATGATACAGGATCCATGCGGACTGGACTGATTCTGAGTGTGCTTGGTTACCTCTACGCTACAAAAGGTCAATGGGATGAGAGTTTTGAGTATCATCAGAGAGCACGGCACCAGATGCGTGGGACATTGCGTGACAGGGATTTCTATATTGCGAATGGGAATCATAAGGTTGCCGAGCATCCGCTTAGCACGCAATGAAGAGGCGATGTAAGTGCTTGTTCTTTTTGACGCGACAGCTAAGCATATCTCTGACGACATTTCATAGTATAATGATGAACGAGGCGTTGGATATCTGGTCACACAAGAATAAGATTGGTCGCACTACTTTCCTCAAAGGCAAGTTGTTGGAATCAATGGGCAAGACACAAGTGTCTCCCATTGCGATCAGGGTTGCCGGTCGCCTCAGGGAGGAGATTACCAAGGGCGATCGAGATGTGGAGAGCTTAACGATGGAGGGCTTTCATGGGATTGTCGCTTTCTGGGCTCGTTGATTAACTTCCTTTATATACAGGAGGAAATAGCGCTACAGCTTTTTGATTGGCCATGTAAGCACCCTGCGTTAGGACATTGATATTCGCCAATAGGATCGATATGGAAGGTCGTCATGATTAATAATCTTAGCCGGGGGAGCATATAAAACGACAAGTGTGAGGCCTTTTCTGTCCAGTTACCGGTATACTCAATTCTATGCCAATTTGAAACTAATAAGTCGCCTGAAATCATGCATTCTTTAAGTCTCGTATCTACCCGGAAAATCCTTTCGGGGTACGACATTCCCATGCTGGGGTTCGGGGTAGGTGGTTAGATTCGCAATGATGTCAGAGAGAACAAGAACTAACTTAATTCCACAGCTATATCAAGTGTAAGTCAGAGAAGGGATTTACGGGTATATTTGATTGAATTTCTGACGACTTTAGACCCGGTGAGGTCGCCGAAGACGTTACCGTCAAGGCGTTGAAAGCCGGATATCGCCACGTAAGGCGGAAGTCCTTCGCGTCAGATTCCAGCTGCTAAAATCGCCTTTCTCCAGATTGATTCCGCGGCCGTGTATGGAAATGAGAGGGAGGGTGTCTCTGCCGTAGAAAAGGCGGGACTCAAACGTTCGGATGTGTTCCTGACAACAAAAGTTTCGCCGCGAGCTACCGGATATGAGGCAGCAAAAGAGTCTATTAGGGGAAGCTTGGAGAAAGCTAAAACGGATTATTTTGACTTGTAAGCAACCTTACATCACGATTATATCAATAGTGGACTGATTAGAACAGGATCCTTCTTCATGCTCCATTTGGAGCCAAAGAGGGCCGTCTCGGTGCCTGGCGTGCCTTGGTGGAAGCGCAGAAAACAGGAAAGGCTCGTTCAATCGGCGTGTCCAACTTTGGAGTTCATCACCTGGAAGAGTTGGAAGAATATATCCAAGGTGGTGGAGGTGGTAGGATCGAGGTTGGCCAGTACGAACTCCATCCTTGGCTCGGGCGTGCCGATTTGGTAGACTGGCTTCACAAGCGTGGTGCAGTTGTCGAGGCATACTCCCCTCTTGCTAGGGGAACTCGAATGAATGAGCCCACCCTCCAGGCAATTAGCAAGAAACACAAGAAGACCCCGGCTCAAATTTTGATACGCTGGAGCCTCCAGAAGGTTAGTCCTGAGCGTATGGAGTCTTTTGTGCGAGGTGGTCTAGCTAACGTTAACCTATTTTTACAGGACTTTGTGCCACTGCCCAAGTCGGTTACTCCCGAACGTATCAAGGAGAACGCGGATGTATTTGACTTTGAGCTGGATGAGGATGACATGAAGCTCCTACATACCGAGAAATATTCGCCCTGTGCTTGGGATCCCACTACCCAGCGGGACTAAAGCCCTTGAAACAAAAAAAAAAAAAAAAAAAAAAAAAAACTCCAGCACGTGCAGTAATAGTTGACTTTTTATTCTTTGAATCAATTTTATTGTTAAACCAGGGAGACACGGCAACAAATGTCACAGTCGACTTCTGTATACGCGTAACTTGGATAACTATACATAAAAATACCGAAGGCTATTTAAAATGTCCCCTGCCTGCTTTCAGCTGTGACCTCTGCAGATACAGCACTTGCTTTGGCTATAAGCAAATTGAATATACTGCATGTAGCCTAAATCAAAGAGGCACCGAGATATAAGATGCCTTGTCACACTCCATGAATCACTGGCTGTAGTATCGTCATCTGCCTAAATCTGCGAACCAAACAAGAAAAATGCCTGCTTGCTGCTGAAATTGGGAACTTCGCCCATAACTTCAGCTGCTTCGGGCCTTTCAAAAGCTTTCTGGAAGCCTTCTTTGCTTTCCCAGGTAATAATACTTCCAAATGCATAGGCTGGTACCTACCGGAGCTTTTCCATCCTTACAACGAGCGTTAACCACATTTCAACATCGTGGTTGCCTCTCCAAAAGTACCGAAGCAAGAAGGAACCATCCGGCAATGAGCTTGCGCTTTGATAAGACGAGCTCTATATACCTTTTGCGACAGATTTTATCTATCTATCCTCTACTCCGAGCATGCCTACCGAATCTAAAGTTGCGAGGAAATAGTAGTTTTAAAGTCTTCTGGCTCGCGGCCAAGCAGTTCACGCAAGAGTGGAGATGCAGAACTAGCCTCTCCTCGGCGGAAAGCTTCAAAAGAGCTTGCCCAAGCTGTGCCGTAGTCGACGCCACGGTAGGTGAAGTTCGTGCCCACCTTAGGCTGCTTTCCAACCTCTTCATCAGAGACCTGGCGGATTGCCACGGGCTTTTCGCATGTTTGGCTAGGATGTCCACCGTCTCTTGAAGAGTCAATACCTTGGTACCAGAGAGGAGAACCGTTTTGTTGCGGAATTTGAATTTGAACTCCTTTGGGTTCTCAGCGAAGCGTTTCAGGAGCTCTGCGGTGCCTTCTCCCAATTCCTCGTGCTTGACCCGGGCAATGCCAGGGCCAGACCAATCATGCGCCTTGATCTCATCAACTGGGTTGCGGGGATCAAAGAAGGCGGTATAAAGGATTGTACAGTGATATTCGAAATCAGTTTTACCACCACACTCTCACAAATTAATTCTCGAACCCCAATCTGAAACACGCTAATCCAGATATGGCATGGTGGTCGATCTCTCAAGTGCCTAGAAAGACCTCGTATTTAACATGACGCCGGTGGAACCTAGACCGATGTATTTTACACGAAACTGCTATACATATGCTACCCCCGTGCCCCTCGCTCTTCCCTCCTGTCCATCCCTTCTTCACCCATGATTATTCTTCAGCGTCACCCAATGTTGTGCCTAGCAATATGGCTCCAAGTCTTCCCCCTGAAAGATGTATCTCATCCGTGATATGATAGAGGCCGAAGAAGCCGAATGCAGCAGGTTGTGATCGTCAATATTCGCAGAAACTTGCGGCAAATTAGAAGTCTCCACGAGAAAATTCATTTTGATATAGCCTATCAAGACGATAATAAACATAATATAGCTATAGTATAGTCTCTGCATTTGCACGAAGATATAGGAAAACCTATCAAATAGGGAAAAACCCATACCGAGACTAGTGCAACTCTAACTAGCCACCTTAATGCAACCTCAATGTCCATATTAAATAAAGCAAGTTGGAGGCCTGCATTATTTATTACCAAACAATAATAACGTTGATGGGTTTGCGGCGCTCACATACCTTCTCGACTTCGATCAAGATTGTAATGAAACTTGCAGGTGCATGTTGATGCCCATTCACTACATCTGTCAGCCACCTGTGTAGACATGGCCGTGCAAATTCATCTCTATGTCATAGGTAATACTCACATCCTATACCCACCACATCGGTCAGCCACCTATATTAACATCGCCGTACAACTCCATCTCCATATCAATAGGAAATACTCACAACCTATATCCACCATATCGGTCAGCCACCTATATTCACATAGCTGTGGAAATCAATCTCTATCTCAAAGGGGAATACTCACAAGTCTATCCACCACATCGGTCAGCCACTTATATTAAAATAACTGTGTAACTCCATCTATATCAGTAGGAAATACTCACACCCTATGCCCACCACACCTATTAGCTACCTATATTGACATAGCCGTATAACTCTATCTCTATCTCAAAAGGGAATACTCACATCCTATACTCACCACGTCGGTTAGCCACCTATATTAACATAGCCGTGTAACTCTATCTCCACCTCAATCGGAAATACTCACAATCTATAACCACCATATCTGTCAGCCACCTATATTAACATAGCCGTGCAACTAATCTCTATCAAAGGTAAATACTCACAAACTATGTATGCCCACCACGCCTATTAGCCACCTATATTGACATAGCCGTGTAACTCTATCTCTATATCAATAGGAAATACTCACACCCTATACACCAAACCTGTTAGCTACCTATATTGACATAGCCGTACAAATCTATCTCCATATTAAAGGGAAATACTCACAAACTATACCCACCATATCGGTCAGCCACCTATATTGACATAGCCGTGCAAATCCATCTCTATGTTAAAGGGAAATACTCACATCCTATACCCACACGTCGGTTAGCCACCTATATTAACATAGCCGTGTAACTCTATCTCCACCTCAATCGGAAATACTCACAATCTATAACCACCACATCGGTCAGCCACCTATATTAACATAGCCGTGCAACTCCATCTCCACCTCAGATAGAAATACTCACAACCTATATCCATAAATCGGTTAGCTACCCATATTAACATAGCTATGCAACTCTATCTCTATGTCAAAGGGAAATACTCACACCCTATATCCACCACACCTATTAGCCACCTATATTGACATAGCCGTGCAACTCCATCTCCACCTCAATCGGAAACACTCACAATCTAAAACCACCACATCGGTCAGCCACCTATATTAACATAGCCATGCAACTCTATCTCTACCTTAATAGGAAATACTCACAACCTATATCCACCACATCGATCAGCCACCTATATTAACATAGCCGTGTAACTCTATCTCCACCTCAAAAAACTCACATCCTATACCCACCACATCGGTCAGCCACCTATATTGATATAGCCGTACAACTCTATCTCCATATCAATAGGAAATACTCACACCCTATATCCATCACACCTATTAGCCACCTATATTGACATAGCGGTGTAAATACATCGCTATATTAAAGGGAGATACTCACACCCTATACCCACCGTATCGGTCAGCCACCTATATTGATATAGCCGTATAGCTCTATCTCTATATCAATAGGAAATACTCACACCCTATATCCACCACACCTATTAGCCACCTATATTGACATAGCCGTGTAAATGCATCTTGTGTAAATGCATCTCTATATCAAAGGGAGATACTTACACCCTATACCCACCCCATCGGTCAGCCACCTATATTGAAAAAGCCGTACAACTCCGTCTCCATATTAATAGGAAATACTCACACCCTATATCCACCACACTAGTTAGCCATCTATATTAACATAGCCGTGCAACTCCATCTCTACCTCAATCGGAAATACTCACAATCTATAACAACCACATCGGTCAGCCACCTATATTAACATAGCCGTGCAACTCTATCTCCACCTCAAAAGGAAATACTCACAACCTATATCCATAACATCGGTTAGCTACCTGTATTAACATAGCCGTGCAAATGCATCTCTATGTCAAAGGGAGATACTCACACCCTATACCCACCATATCTGTTAGCTATCTGTATTCAGACAAATACCATAGAGAACAAGCACGAAATATGAAGAGCTGATCATACCTGACGCTTATCCAGCACAACTCCTCTAGCTGAGTCAGTTGGAGCAGCCATTGCCATACTGGCAATAATGGCACAGACGAAAATGAAAGGCTGCATTATATGGTATCTGAGGTTGTTTGTGGGCTGTAGGCTTTGGCGTTAGATGTCCGTGGCCAATAAATTTGGACCTTCACACCGAGACATACAAGGGAAATGTAAGCCACTTGAAATTGAGAATAATCTGCGTGTAATCGACAGAATTGGAGGACGAAGACCAGAGTTACATAGAGATGTAATACTATTATTTATGTCCAAAGCTTCCGTCTCTATACCAGGAGAGTAGCATCCACATTGCTATGCGACATACCAGCTACGCCACAGAAAGTGGATACCAATCATATTTTGTACTACCTTTCCTTATATGGAGGGAATTTTCTTAAGTTATTATAAACCTACAGTGATTGGAGATTCCTAGGTATTAAACAGGGGTGTTCCATAGATAGCACCCTGGCCCCTTGATTCCGTTTTTCTCTAGCGCTTGGCCGTAGCGGCATTGTGCCCGTGGCTGAATATCACGCTTCATCTTCTTAGTGGCTGCTTCACATATTCCATATACCGAGACTGGCAATCACTAGATATATTGTTCTGGCAAGAGGGTGGCCCTTATACAGCCGACCTTCTCAACACGCATGACGACTTCCACAAATTCTGACTAGGGAAGGATAAATTATCCAAAGATATCGCCGTAGAATCTCTTACGTCGCCCAAAGCATTTCAGTTCTTCCTATAAGCTCTTTGCGCAACGAGCGCATCACCTCTACTAAGTGCTAAGCGTGCAGCGAAATTGATCCTTCCCTCGTAATCCGGGTATATAGTTTGCTCAGGCAACTACGATAGCCTAGGACAGCGGGCCAACTTTGCACAAAAATCCCTCCCCCCCCCCTGCTGACCTAGAAGTATCGAGATCCCGCTGAATTCCAGCGGGACCAAAAAAAAAAAAAAAAAAAAAAAATGAAAATACTGATCGACATACAAAGGCAACAAAACGGAAAGAGCAAGCTATTAAGCAGAAGAGAAAATCCGGTATATATGATGTCAAATGATCAACAAACAGTCTTGCTGATGTTGCACCTCGGAGCGGTTACATAGCAGGACGCTACAGGCCGCATCAGCAAGGGGTGATCCCCACATAGCGCATAATATACATTTCCCCCTTGAACGCGTTGAGTTCTTTTTTCTGCAGCCTCCACTCATAGATATCATGCGGGCCAGTGAACGGCAATCCGGATATATAACTCAACACCCGAAAGAGCACTAAAACTATAATTGCAATCACGGCCAAAAGTTTCTAATATTGCCATTATAATCCAATAAACCTCCTATACACTTATATGCTCCAACGCCAAAAAAGCAGGTTGTTGCTATATTATTTCATAAGTAGGGATTGCTCTCTTCACGTTCTCAACCCTGGCTGTGACTGATTCTCAAGCCCACCAGGCGGGGAGGGCGGGGAGGGACTGTAATTGGACGGCGTTGCGTACCAAAGTATTCAGCGGTTGGAGCGTACAGCGAGTTGTGTTCCTATGGTTCAGGCCGAGCTAAGAGATGGAAATGTGCTATGGGCTCTGCGTTATCTCTACACACGATCCACACGATCACCGGCCTTGAAAGACCCCTGTCAACTTTTCGGAGTGCCAGCTTTCAATGGACGCCAGTAACGAATGAAAATCGCAGTAGGTAAGGGGAGCCATGGGAATAGAGAAGCTTGTTTGCCTGCCAGGGTTACTTCTCTATGGCGCCACTGCAGCCTTTTATTGGATGTCAAGTGAGTGTCGGCGAAGGCGGCATATGACGAGGAGGCCAAAAGACTCGAGGGAGGAAAAAGGATCTTGCCAGATTGTTACGATTCTCCTTCGGTTTGGTCGGCTTTCATTACGGGGAGTTACGGTACTGTAACAATGACTCATTTATCTTTACCAATGAATACAATACAGCCCTGCAGGGATTACTGAGGAAGGGCTAAAATTAGATTGGCGTGTTTCGGGTCAGGGATTCGGGAATGAATTCGAGAGAGTGCAGTGTTAAAAACTGATTTCGAATATTCTGTAACATTCGGAGTAAAGACCTTCACGTACAACTGTGTACGCAAACCCGGGGTGCTGGCGGACGCACTCTTCGAGATACTTCTCGGTCATCAAATGGGGCCGCATCACATGGGCCACTGTTTCTTTGTTATCTTCGCGGCCGGCGAATCCTAGAGATCCGTAAAATATGTATTTTGCACCGGCGCGGATAGCGAAGTCAATCGCAGTTCGGTGACGCAGCAGCGCTAATAGTTAGGGATAATTGATCATTGACTCAAATACCTGACCTCGGCGCGGTGCTCCACTTCGATTGAAGCATACGAAATGAGGAACAAAGTGTCGATATCTTCAAAAGGACGCTCCAGATCCGCATTGGTGTCGTAGTCAGCCTTTCGGACAGTTGCTCCGGCAGCAGCCGCAAAGTCTAATTTGGCAGGGTTGCGATTGAAAGACGAGGTTTTTAGCAGGATAGCGAGGGAGAAGATGCTTGACAGTGCCACCGCCAATGCCTCCCGAGGCAGGAAAGACGCCGATTCTGTGACTGGCCATGGTGAATAGAGAAGACAAAGTGTGAGTAAGTGGAAAGGACGAAGACCTGACTACCGTGGAAAGATTGCGATTGCCGACCTTTTAAGGCTGTATTTTAATTGTATGTGCTCTTTGCGTTTCAAACCTCTGATCGAAGAGTTTCATGATGAGAGAACTATGTAATTTGTCATCTAGCTATGACATCAGAGGCAGTAAGTTGCGATGGCAAGTATGACCAGAAGATAAAATTAGAGCCGAGTGATCTAGATGGATTTGAAATGAGCCTGATGACTCAAAGAGGCTCGAGGGGCTGAAAAAACTTGTCTTCCACAGCCAAGACTGGCGTCGCGCATCTTGCATAAACGGGTTAGCACGGTACTAAGTTTTCAAATGCTCAAGTTTTCTCTAGCGCTCCATCGTGTCTGGAGCTAAACGTCATACGAAAGCCGTGGCAACAATCTGCTCCACCATAATTTGGAGATGCAGGACCTTGGGTCAGGTGCTACGACAATCCACTCTGGTTTGTTGACAATCAAAATCCCGATAATGCAGGGACAGGGATATTGCCAGGTGGGATGATGATAAGCTTGAAACGTGCAGCATGCATCACCTCATCTTTCGGCTTTGTTGAGAGGCTTGATACATCACCGACGATCCGCACGTGGAAACTTTTTTTTTAAATGACTCCGAATGTGCATCTGGGCAAGTAAAGCTAGAAGAAGACCCGGAACCAATCCTTGCAAGCTAGGCCAACGCCGAGACGCGACACAACATAGGGCTGAGCCAGAGCAAACAACTGCGCCACAAAGAATTTTGCAGCCTTGACTTGGCCGGGTATTTCCCGTCGGGAATGTCTGCCAAGGCCTCGAGACTGGGTCAAAGGAGGGTCTGGGATACGGAAACCGCCTTCCGCCGTTGGAACATGGCCTCGAATGTGAGAGAAGGCTATGACGGTGAGAGGAAGGGATCAGCCACAAAAGCCCAGAATAGGTGGAAAGGAGAAAATCCCGCGAACCATACGAAGTGCCAAGGCTCGGCTGGTCCCGCAGGAGAAAACCTCGTCAGTCACAGGGATTATGTCAGCCATTGTGGCGCCCTAAAAAGTCTAGAGCTACCAAAAGAGGCTTGGTGTGGTGGGTCTCTTGGCGATTGACTTTTTTCCTTTAATTCTCCATACATCAAACACGCACATTCCTTATTTCTACCTTCCTCCTATATATCACCATGGTGACTTTCCTCCAGTTAAATGCTTCCTCTGTAGCATGCGCTGAGCTTTAACACTGTGTTGCTGTCTCTTGGCCTAAGCTCACATTGATCCTATTCGCTTTTCACCCTCCTCCTTTCTGAGCTCTTCGCTGCAAGCTTATCGACTCCGTCCAGCTCAACTCCTCACCGCATCGATAACAGAGACTCTGGCTTGTGCTATCTGACCTGGAAATTCTCAGGCCTCGCCTCGGACCACCTCGTGCCAAGTGCACCTGCCGTCTCACGTTCTTTGTCTCTCTCAGGGGTCTTCACCGAACTTTTGTGAACACGGAAGACCCGTCGAATTTCCATCTCTACCTCGAGTTTAACTATTTTTTGTTTTTATTTGTTACCATGGCTGTCGACTTATAGCCCTTTCCGGCTCCTGGTTTCCCTGCATTTCAGCGCTTCTTCTATACCTTGGACTTTCCCCCGAACTTTCGGGAGCTCCAGTCAACGCGCATACCCTCTTGTTTGGTCTCTGATACCACCCCCTCCACAATGGCTCCCAACCTCTTTCTCTGCGCGCGCACCGTCTTCTGCCCCGTCTACTGGTTCCAAAAGGGCGATCGCGACAGCACCCTCAAGGAGCAGCATTGGCAATCCCCCGTCCCCGGAACCTACAAGTTCTTCCCAGGTCGCGGATGGCACCTCATCCACCGGGATGGATATGAATACGACGAAGAAAAGCCAGCTGCTCTGGTCTACTGTCGCATCCTCCACCGCTACATGTTCGAATCCGAATTAGAGGAGCGCTGCCGCTGGTTTGATGCGCCGCTGCACAAGGGCGCGCGCCCTGAAAAGCTGCGATTCTTCCTTCTCGATGACGGTGTTCACTGGGTTGCTGGCTGGGATGCTCATGGCAGCTTCATTCCTGGCCCTTATCCCAAGTGGTGGCTCGATGAGGATGGCTACACTATGCACCGTGGTGCCTCTCCCCCTACCAGTGCCAATGTCTCCCGCTGCAGCAGTATAATTGCTGGCAAATTTGATTGAGCAACTGCTCCACCCCTATGGGGTTGCTTAGACAACCCATCTAATTGTGATCGGAAATTCCATCATACATTTCATTAGCGCTGTTGTTTCGGTCTTGCGAAGCGTTCAAGCGTGTCCTCTTTGTTCATGATAGCCCTCAAAAGTGATCGGTTTCGGTTTCATGTTTGTGCTGGATTTAATTTTGTTCATGTTATGGGTTATACGAGGGTTGTTTTATGTTTCACCGGTTTCATTTCATATAGATTTCAATTTAGATCAGACTTCGGATCATCTAAGCGTTTCAGATGACCAACATGGCGCACGGTTTTTTATCTCTGTTTGGCGCCTTGCATTCTCGAGATGATCAATACGAATTGAGACAATACATCTTACCACCGCACATCTTTCCTATTCATGGTAATTATCCCGCATCAACAGACAGTGCTCCTATCCCGCGTAGTCTTATATTACGATTCCCAGAACCAATGAGCACACGGCCAATAACTCATACCGGCTGATAAGACTATATACAAACCCTGTCATGTTCCCATCTAATGTTAACGTATTTCCCTAGCGAGCTGGCCACCCCCCGAGCTGGCCACCCTAGAACACCATAGTAAATGCGATAAATTACAACATAGTATCACAACAACGGCAGGTTATAGGGACTTTTCCTTAAGAACTAATGCTTTTCAAGTGGTATTTAGTCTCTAACAGGAGTTCAAAGAATTTCTATAACTTGGTAATTGAGATATAATCAGATATTTATGTTTCTAGCTCCTAGCAACGTAATTTTCAATACCGTAACAATGTAGGTTTCAGATTTCGTCGAAAGCTATCGGTAAATAATTAAATAAAATAAAAACGTGGTTGTTGAGATATCAGTGTAGAATATATCGTATTTACTATGGTGTATTGGGATGGCCAGCTCGGGGGTGGCCAGCTCGCTAGGGAAATACATTATATCACCTCACAACTTCGCCCCCTCCTTAACAAGCAACTTCTCCAACCCCTCTCTAACCCTCCCCTCCATCCCACCCTTCCCAACCCGCATAGTCTCCCTAAGCACAAAAACATGCGTATAAGTCCCAACCATCTTAACACCCTCTTCCCCCTTCTTAAAGATCCCCACTTCCCACGTCACGCTCGACTTGCTAAGCTTGTTCACGCGCAGCCCAACCTCCAACTGATCCGGGAAGCGCACGGAAGCAAAGAAGTCCGCCTGTGTGGAGACTATTAGGCCGATTTGGTCGGCACCTGCTGCAATAGCCGAGGGCTGGCCTGGTTGCGGTTGTGGTTGCTGCGTTGGTGTTGGGTTATTCACGCTGAAGGGATCCATGCCGCAGTGTTCGATTAGGTATGTGTTTGCGATTGTGTCGAAGAGGTGTGTGTAGACTGCGTTGTTGAGGTGGGCGTACATGTCATTGTCGAACCTGGGGTGTGTTAGGACTTTGGGTAATGGGCTTGGGTTTGGAGGTGGGTGTTGGTGGTTGGACTTACCATCTCGTTTGGTGGACTTGGTGGTAGCCATAGTCGCTGCGCTTGCGCTGTTTTTTGGTTGAGTATTCTGGGGGTGCCATTTTGAATATTTTCGCCGACGGCTGTGTGGCTGGGAAATGGTTGTCTCTATGTGCTTAATAGCCTGGGGCATCTCAAGGAATGAGGTTATCTCCGCGTTTCCTCGGAGGTGATGGACCTCGGCATGACGGTGATTAGGTAAGAATCTTGAAGATCTCCCAAGGCTGGGCATGTGGATTTGGTAGATCAGCTAACACTCCATTAATTGTAAGCCTTCGACTTATAGATCTACATCAACTATGTGATTGTTATACTGAGGATATTCGATGGCCTGGCTGTATATAAACATTGACTAATCAGGGCCCTCGGATCACCTTGAATGTGGGGCGTACCTGATAACACGCGATAGAGATTTATTCTTTTTTCTTTTCCCCAGACAACTTCACTTACTCTTTGCTCTTCGACTTGTCGCATATTCTCTCTCCCTCCTGGCTCCTTCGCCCCGTATAACGGCCTATTTGCTGCGGCAAGGCAAACTAAAACTCCCGCCAAAGCCCACAATGGCCCTCATGAACGTCGAGCAAGTGCCCCCCACCAAGCCCGTGGAGAAGACCCCGGACGTGGTCGTGACCCCCTGCAATCCCTGGACTGCGCCATACTATCTGGATGGTGGATTCCGTCGCATCAAACCCTACCACTACACCTATAACACCAACTGCAAGGAGCGGTGGCGCGGTCGTCAGTTGGTCGAGATCTTCACGTCCGAGTTTCGCGATCGGAAGCCGGAGTATTATGTACGTTGATTGTTTGGCACAGGAGAATTGCGAACTAACAATGACCAGAGATCCGCTCTTGAAAAAGGCCTTGTAACCGTCAATGGCGTGAGAGCCTACCCAGAAACCGTCATCAAAAACGGCCAAGTCATCTCCCACACCACCCACCGCCACGAACCCCCTGTCACAAGCCTCCCCATCGGAATTATCTACGAAGACGAAGGGCTCATTGTCATTGACAAGCCCGCCGGTGTTCCCGTCCATGCTGCAGGCCGATACAACTTCAACTCAGTCGTGGAAATCCTGCGTGCAGATCGCGACCCCAACTTCGTGCCTCGCCCATGCAACCGCCTTGACCGACTGACCTCCGGAATCATGTTCATCGGAAAAGACCCCCAAGCTGCGGAGAAGATGGCCACCGCTCTTAAATCGCGTACAGTACAGAAGGAATATGTCGCGCGCGTCAAAGGCAAGTTCCCAGACGGCGTGGTAGTCTGCGACCAGCCCATCATGCAAGTAAGCCCGAAACTCGGTCTTAACCGCGTCCGCGCCACCGGCAAGGAAGCCACAACCAAATTTCGCCGGCTGGCCTACTACCCTCCCACCGCAGGATCGGGATCCAGCACCCCGGACGGCGAGCGCCCCGCTACACCCCCTTCAACATCCCTTTTGAGCGAGACGGAAGGATATAGCATCGTGCACTGCTTCCCTCTCACTGGCCGCACCCACCAAATCCGAGTCCACCTCCAATTCATGGGTCACCCAATCTCTAATGACCCCATCTACTCCAATAGACGTGTCTTCGGCCCGGGGCTCGGCAAAGCCGAAGCAACCGCCGAACGCGACGAAGAAATCGTCGCCCGGCTATCTCTCATGGGAAAGACAGAAATTGCGGATACAGTGTCGTACCGCACACATCTAACCGCGGCACCGAACGTACCACCAGGCACGGATCCGGTCCTCGTCAACGAGATCATGTACCGCGAACAAGTCGCCGCATCCGAAGACTACGCCAAGCGCAAGGGCGAGAAGCTATCCGGAGATCTTTGTGAAGTTTGCGGTACGGAATTGTACTCAGACCCCGGTGCTCATGAACTCGGTATCTTCCTGCACGCTGTTGCATACGCTGATAAAGACGGTGACTGGGGATACCGCAGTCCGATGCCTCACTGGGGTTTGCCTCCGCATGGCTGTGAAGGACCCACCGAAGTGCCGGATTGGGTTCCTGCCGCTGAAGGCGAGGAAGTCGTCATCGGGCATGGGACTATTCCTCCTGGATTGGGTGATGAGGATCATGCTGTTGATGCGAATACTGGTTCTGTCATCCTCGAGGGTGTCGGGCTTGTTAATATTGCTGAGGCGGCGCGTATTCAACAGCAGCAGGCTGCAGAGACGGCTACGGCCTAAGATCGAGTGTTTGTATTTGTGGTTTTCGTTGCAAATCACTTTATATACCATGCCCTTTCTTGTTGGGATGTGTTTTTCTTGGTGATACCTCTTCGTTGACTTGGGCATGACTGGTTTGCTATAGAATATTCATATGCATAGCGTTTTGGTGCATGATATATACATTTACATTTATTCTATTTATGTTAAGCCATGATATAGAGATCAAACATCGCATTTCAGGAAGCATGTCTAGTTCATCAGCCCTCTGCCATTCCGTACTCTATTTCAATAGTGTCAATTCTGCTTAGAATTATAGTTTTACTCCGGTAATAGCCCGGCTAGTGTTAGTCTTATCCCAAGAACAGTGCTTTATTGGCTACATCTCCCCCACCATAAGGCTCAAGCTAAGCTGGGCGTGTCGGGCAATATCATCTCCGCCGTGGCAAAGGAGTCAGGAGATAACTTATCTTCCATAAAGCGATGCTAGTATACTCAATAATCTTCCAATCCTATAAGCCACTATGAAACCCCTCAGTCGTATCCCCATCGACATCCTCCTCTCAATAGCAGACATCCTCCCCCTCGAAGACCTCCTCCATCTACTTCAAGCAATCCCCTATCTAACCCCTAATCTCCCATCAAAACTCCTTGAAACCCAAGATCCAAGCGGAAACACCCTCCTCCACCTCCTAGTCTCATCAAACCTCTACACCCTAACAACCCTCCTCCCAAAACAACAACCCAAAGCCCTAAACACACCAAACTACGACGGCCAAACCGCCCTCCACAAAGCAGCCCTGACCCAAAACCTCCAAATAACAACCTACCTCATCCACCACGGTGCAGATATTCAACCCCGAGACAACAGAGAAGAAACACCACTCCACCTAACCTGCCGCACAACTTCCCCAGTCTCATCCCAAATCCTCAACAACCTGCTAAACACCGGCGCCGATCCCTCACCCCATAACATAACCGGCTTCACGCCCCTCCACGAAGCAATCCTCTCCCACCAACCACCTTCAATAATCAGAACTCTCCTAAAAGCAGGCGCAGACGTAAATGTAACAGCAGGACGGAAAAGATGGACACCTCTCTTCTATGCTGTTCGCTTTAGCATCGAATCACCAACTGAGGTCTTAATCAGCGCAGGCGCAGATCCAGTCCCCTTTACCCATGCCAATGCCAATGCCAAGGACAACTTACAAAAATGTCTTTCGCCATTTCCATCCCCGAAACGGGGAATCGAAATCGTAAAAGCCGTCCTGGAAGGCGATGTCGATCTCGAACAACGCGATATAGATGGGCGAACGGTGTTATTAGAAACAGCACGCGTAGGCGCGGATGAAGCTCTAGCATTGCTTTTGGGTGCCGGCGCTGAAATCAGGGTTTGGGATGGTAATAGGCGGGATGCGCTTTGTTTGGCTGCTAGTATGGGTCATTGGTCTATGGCGAAGAGGCTTGTTGAGGCTGGTGCGGCGGTTATGCATCGTGATTTACTTGGGAGGGATGCTGTTGGTTTGGCGATGTGGTTTGGGTTTGAGGATTTGGCGAGGATGTTGGTTGTTGAGAGGAGGAAAAGGCCTTTCAGGTGTTTCTTTGAGTTGGTGGTTGGGAGGGGATGGGGTGGAAGTGTAGCTTGAAGAAAAGTTGATGTTTGTATGAGTTAGGGTGCCCATGGGTTCTGATATTGCTGTATGTACGCCTATTTTATCCAAATTCTTAATGTAAATCCTACTCGCTATCCCAACGCCTCGATGTATATACACTTATCCATGGGTGGACAGCGGAAAGAGTTCCCATGGATCACCAACCCATTTAGATCACTTCCTGACATTGTCCCATCCGCTTCACCGCAGCATCTACTCGCCACAACATCGTCCCCGACTTCGTGCCGGGTGCAGGCTTACCGCGCAGGACAGCCTTGGACGTTGTGCAGCGGGATTCTGCGGTGAGGCGGTACTGGATACACTCCGGGTCTGCCGCGCAGAAGTCGGCACAGTCAGGGAGAGAAGCAGGAGTCTTAGGACCCTTATAATCCTCTTGGTTATCGCCATCCGGGGCAAAGTTATCCCAATTATCCAGATGATCCGCCAAAGTCGGACGAATAAGATTGCGGAAGATCTCATTGTACGTCAACTGCGTCGAGTTCGTCTGTGAGAATGTCAGAACCGTCCCAATATCGTCAAGATAGCTGAAACGGAGTACAAATAAGATACTCACCTCAGCAAACCACATCTGCTCAAACTCCCAAAACCGATCCACATCCGCAGGAGTCATATGATGGAAAGTAAAAGGCGCATGACACCAAGGCGTAACCCCAAACCCATCCCTGAGCATATCCTGCTCCCAAACTGACTGTGTCGTAACTCTAGGCCAAGACCAAGTAAGCCCAACACCCGCCTTAGCAAGCAACATGCCAAGCACACAATCACCCGCCCATTCCCGATCAGTCGTATCATCCCACTCGCCAACATTAGCCGTATGATAATCCGCCGCGGCATGAATAGCCGCATGCGAAAGTACAAACCCGGACCCACCATGCGCAAACAGATTCGGCCCAATTTGCATCTGATTACCCAGATACAGCCGGTCCGCCGAATCAAAACTGGATAACCAGGCGAGCAGATTCGGCCAGATCGGGTACGTGTCTGCCTCGAGGAAAACGAACCAGTGAGCATCTGGGCGCGCGTGGCGCGCTGTGTGGATCATCGGTAGGAATTTCCACTTGTCGAGCTTCCAGCCGGGGTTGTCGCTCATTCCCGATGGGCCGTTGGCGACTTTTGTGTGGTCTTGAGATGTTAGGGCTGTGCGGCCGCCTGAGCGGGCGCGGTTGTAGAGGGCGAAGTCGATGTTGGATTGTTTTAGGGATTCGGAGACGTTTTGGAAGACGTCGTAGGTGCGCACTCCTGCTATGTCTTCTTCGAAGTCTGAGACAATGATTTTGTGTGGGATGCAGCGGAGAGTTGTGCGTAGGTGCACTGGTACTTTGTCTTGGGCTTCGGTTATGCCAGTTTTTATTACTACTAGGATGTTTTCCATTCCTGGTAGTGGTGGGCATGTACTTGGGACATGGTCTGTTGTTGCGGTTGAGGGTGAGGGTGAGGTTGTGTTTGTGGTTGTGGTTGTTTCGATTTTGAGGCCTGGGGTTGGTTCGATCACGTCCTGCGTGGTACTTGATCCCAGGTTTGCGTGAATGAGGTGTAATATGAGAAGAATTATAACCACCGGTGCCAGGATTCCCCAGCGACCATATCGGGCTGGGAGAGGCATTGCGAAGAGCCGGGAAGGTGGGTGAAGCGAGGAAGAACAGCAATTCAATGAATATAGACAGTAGAAGTGTCGGCCTCCATAGCCAGCTGGAGTCGATCAGGAGTCGATCAGGAGTTGGAGATCGTGAGGGGGTTATCGAGTCTTTAAGTTATGGCGCGTGGGGGCTGTCTTAGGCTGACATCCACTCGAGCTAGTGGCACCACTAAGACTTCTTCGACATGCCAGCCGTTCAATGCAACTGTGTCCTGTGCTCTCCAGGGCTGTGCTGTGTTCTGTCTGTATTCGCATCGGAGTCGCTTTGCCTGTGTCACGTAGCGTCGCCAGTGGGTCTGTCGATCTGAAACGTGTGCAAAGTGATCGACTTCTATGGCAAGGTCCGGATGTTTCACTTTGGCTGATCACTTCCATGGTCAGGATGAGACATGTACTTTGGAAGATATTGGCAGCGAGTAGGGGGATATTGGGATATCGGGGATGGGACTGGGATGGACATTTTAGGGCTATTCGGCCAAGGTTCACTTCCCCTCTACTTGTACAATGTTCAGCAGATCAGACTACAATCTGCCACACCTAATTCCTTGGATATACTTGAATATGAACCGGATGTTTTGGCAATTTTTGTTGTCATTTCAGAGAACAATTCTCTCGCTGTTTAAGCGCCCGGCACTATGACCAAGCCCGAGGACATGCCCACAATCCTTAAATTTCGTAATCGCCGGAGATAATAGCACCGTACAAAAACCCCCGACCCTCTACACCGACATAAATGAACTTTTGGATTCCATTTAAGCCTCGGTGGTGACACGGCCCTTGGCGTTGGTGACCTTGACACCGAGAGCCTTGGCCTTCTCAATAATGTCAACGCGCTTGCGGGAAGAGACGGCGTGGCCGATCCTGTTCAAGTTGTTAGTCACACCACTTGGGTCTGGTATCGTGGAATGGAAAACGTACTCAGCAGCGAAGGTGCGGTTGTGCATGAGGAGGAGCTCAACGTCCTTGGTGTTGTGGACGAGGAAAGCCTTGTGGCCGGAGGGCATCATGTGGCGGGTCTTCTTGTTGGAACCGTAACCGATGGAGGGCATGGCCTGCTGGCCCTTGAAGCGACGACGCTGGGCATTGTCAATACCCTGGGGCTTTCTCCATGAAGCGCTACAAGGATATTAGCATTGATTCGTTGCAGCAGGCATGTATGTAGAGCTTACCCGACACGCATGAACCGGTCAGACTGGTGACGGTTGAAGCGGTTGGTACCTATTGCGATCGATGTCAGTCCTCCATTCTGTTTCGTGAATTGATCGGTGCTGTGTTGTTCAAAATCCAAGAATCGAGCGCGAAAAGTCTCTGCAGAGGTTGTCTTCGGGTCGAGTCTTGGCCTTCGATGTTTTCAGATGTCGCCCTTCGACCTCAATAACATATTGATTCTTTCCAAACAATTCTCCAAGCAGTGATTCGTTTTTCCAGGTCGTTGAAATCTCCATGTAATCGATGATCGAAGGGCGATGAAATCCGGGGGGAAGAGTTTGGTATAGGGACACAGGGCGACATACGCTTCTTCACGATAGGGATGTGCTTCTTAGCGGCGACCATCTGGAAAGAAATTAGTGACTGAGACGACGAAGAATTGGTGATCCAAAACTCACCTTGTCGGTATTGCAGGGTCTCGCCGGGCGTTCGAGAGTTGTCGTGTCGGAGTTCAATCTCGAAAACTTCTCTCTCAGGTTCTCCGGCGCAGAGTGGGAGACCCACACTAGTGCGCTTTGAGCGAGCTAAGCGAAGCGGTGGCTTAGGTCAGCGTAGGGCAGCGTGTACGGCTGTGCCCTAGCCCTAATATTCCTCTTTGGGATTCCTCGTCGGGTATAGCGTATTAACTATACAGTTGATGTCTTAACGTTAAGTTCATTTTCATGAGTTGAAACTAGTCTATACATTTATCTACTGCAAATGCAACTCGATCTTCTCTCCATCCTTCTCACCACTCTGCAACATCTGCTCCAAAACCTCAAGATCCGCCAACGCCTCCTGGGGCGACTGTCGGCTAGCAGGCTTCCCATTGACGATGGATACCGCAAATTCAGCCACCTCAGGAGCGACGCCTTTACCGTCAAACTCAATAGTATTCAGAACACCATTGACAGTAACGTCATCAAAGTTCAAAGTGACAACACCCTTCTCGCAAGCGAACTCAAACACTTGATCACTAAACGTCGATCCCCATGACAATGAAACAACACCCGTAGCACCACTGTCAGTCTTGACAACAGCATCAACCGTATCAACCGGTGGCAGATGAGCCTGCTGCAGCTGCGAATGCGCCGAAAGAGTACTGATACGCACCGCAGAGCCCAGGATCAGACGTAGACCAGCAACCATGTGCACGCCACCATCCAATAGGAAACCACCCTGGTACTCAGGGGTCTTACGCCAGGCAGTTTCTATCACACGTAGTCAGTATCAGTATCAGTATAAGTATCACCCATGTAATCCCCGGTATCTCCTTGATCAAGAAATAGAAATAGAAATACATACGGTAGTACTTGTTATCAGCCTTAACCAAGTTATGAACATTAACCCGGAAGTTCAGAACCTTGCCCAACGTCCGCACCTGCTCAGCCGCAAAGATGAACTTAGTCAAGTAACGGAAGTTCTCACCAACGGACCAGAAGATCTTGCTGGTATCGATGTTCGTCTGATACCATTGCAAGAGCTCCTGGGCAGTGGCGATATCCTTCGCGATAGGCTTCTCGGATAAGACATGCTTGCCTGCCAGTAAGGCTTTGCGGATGAATTCCGGTTGCACCAAGATTGGAAGACTGTTTCTCGGGTTAGCTTTTGTCTTTTACTTGCCATACGAAGTGACTTGTTGAGGATGGGAAGGAGGGGTGGTATGTACGCAATAATCACAGCACCGATATCAGATCGAGCCAGTAGATCAGCATAGGACCTATCCGCTCCTGAATCGTCAGAGTAGAGATCCACAGCGGATGTACCGCTAGCGAGGTCCTTGGCTGATTTCAGGGATCGCGAGTAGATGGCCTTGAGATCGAAGTGCTGTGCCGCTTGTACGGCCGGCTGCAGTGGGCGTTAGCCACATGCATATAACGTGGAGACTAGGTCAACGTTTATACCAGGTGTTGCTCTTTCGCAAAGAGGCCTGTTCCAGATGTTAGGTCTAGTGTACATCAACGCGGGGGAAAGGTACGTACCGCTGCCAATGATAGCCACGCCAATTGACATGATGGATTGTAGATAGTAGAAAATAGTTTATAGACTAGAGAGATATAAAAAGGGAGTCAATTGAGAAGTTATGCAGAGGGGTAGTGGGGAATCGAATGATTCGAATGTTCTGAGCCACTTTGGGGGACTTTGGGGAAGGTCCAACCTCAGCCGTCACGTCATTGCAATCTTATACTTCGATTTCGACTTCAACTTCTACGCGGAGACTCCGTTTTCAACAAGGTACACTATTTAAATCCACTCAATGATTATGCAAAGAATCCAAAAAGCCAGCTAAGACCAGGATACCGATAACCAAACACCAACCCAATAATCCAACAAGGGAATCCCAAATCCCCCAAATCCAAAGGACGCCAGGGTAATCCATCATCAAAAAATCCAATCATATCGTCGTAAGGAATAAAATCCAAAAACAAAAAAAATAACCAAAACCCAGTCCAAGTCCTAGATCCTCCCTCACTGCCGATTAACCAAAGCCCTCAACCGCTCAACCCTAGCCATGGCGTTCTCCAACCTCTCAAGCCTGGACCTCTTCTCAACATCCCTCCGCTCGAGCACAGCAACCCTTTCCTCAAGCTTTGCGCGCGCCTTCCGCTCCTGAGCAACCATCTCATTCGCCTGGCTGAACAATTGAACCGTCAACTCCTCCAGCTCGGTGCTAGCCTGCGACAACTGGCTTTCGGCGGCTTTGCGCAAACCTTGTTCGCGTTCTAGTGCATCCTGGAGCTCGGAGGTGTTGTCGCTGCTGGCTGGGGAGGCTTGGGCTGGGTGGTTGTGGTTGGGTGGGTTTGGGAGGGTTGGTGTGGCTGGGGGTGGGACTGTTGATGTTGTTGTTGGTGGTGCTGCTGGGGCGCTGGTGGTGCTAGTTGGTGTTGCGCTGCTGCGGCGGTAGGGGAGGAGGGAGGTTAGGGTAGCTAGGCGGCTGTGGTAGGTCGCTGTTGTTGGGGAGGTGGTTGGTCGGGGTTGATCTTGCGGTGTGGAATTTGAGGTTGATGTTGATGTTGAGGGTGGAAGGGAGGCGCTGCTGCGTGGTGTTGAGTAATTTTGTGTCTGGGATTGCGAACGTAGGCGTCGGATTTCGTCTTCGTATTCGGTGAGTTTTGTTGCTGTCGGGGGCGATGGTCAGTTGGTTTGTTTTGGGGGAGATGGCAGGGAAGTGGAAAGAGACAAGACGTCTACTCGCCTCTCTCGGGGAGGGTCTTTTATCGTGTCACAGACTGCAGACTGCTCGCCAGGGCAGAGAGGCTGCTGCTCTTAGACTGTCGAGGGATCACACTGCTTACCTGTCGCCGAAGCGCGAGCTGTCAACATATGCAGCTGCCCCTCCAACTCCTGGATCCTGTCCTGAGCCCCCGAATCATGGAGCCCTTCACCCCAGCACATGGGACATTGTTTTTCGGATACCGCGACACCCTTCATAGTTCCAACGAGCGTGGTGGTCGTGAGCGTAGAAGTGGTCGTAGCCGACATGACATGGGTTTTACCCCGGGATCAGGGTAAGGTTTAGGGTAACGGGTGGGGAAAGTAGAAGAGTAACGGTCAAGGTGAAGTTGAGAGAACAACGAAGCTGAATATGAAGGAGCGAACTGAACTCATAGCCTTGGGCACATGGACAGCCTCCTAGGAATGTCCTTTGAAGGGGCCAACCGGCCACTCTATTTCTTCTTGGCCAATCGCGTCACAGTGCCTGTTTCAAGGATAATTTTATTGTTTCATTTGGCTGGTGATCTGCATTTATTGCGTATGCCATGCATGTCCTTACATTCTCTTGATATCAATATTATATACAGTCTTTGCCTGTCCAGACCTTGGACTACCCACGTTGGTGGGTCCGTACTCCGTACCTGACTCCAATATATTGACTTCAATATACTCCATAGTATCACTAAAATTAGACTTGACTACAGACCAGAACTATCGAGTCTCAAATTTTCAGTGAAACTGCTCGGCCCTATTTGATACAACGGTAGTCTCGACCCTACCTTACAGGGGCATACGAAAACAAGGCTGTCAATGAAGACTACATTTCATTCTATGCTGGAATCAAGGAGGAAAACAGGGAACGGAGCAAACATGACCATAAAGAAAACTGGAGATGCAAAAGTCCAGTCTAGAGATTTTAAAGCAGTCGAAGAGGAGAGAAGCAAGGAACAGGAATTGATTGTCGTCAGCATTGTGCTCATCAGGGTGCTCATCATGACTATCTCATCTCTCAAGGACATCTTGATCGCGTGGCCGAGAAGGACCAAAGAGAAGAGCACATCAACACTCCAACTCCCAGACCTGGCAAGGCAGACAGGTTGACGAGAAAGAAACAGGACCACCTGTGGTCAATCGAAAAACGGAGAGGGAAAAATGGAAACAGAAGAATGAAAGAAGAATGGAACATGTATTCATTTCGCATCGGCTGTAATGGTCATGGGCAGATCACACGAATCACGCATGGGAATAATAGCTAGATAGCGAACAAGACATAAAAAATGGAACTTTTCGGACTGCCAGATCATCATAGCGAGGACTAGATGTGTATCGAAAATCTAGCCCACGAAAAAGAAAAAGAGATCATGAAACCAAGGAGTAGAGACGTGGCAAGGGCAAAGGCAAGGACAAGGACAAGGAGAGAACAAAGCTCAAACAGAATAGCGACCGTCGCGCACTTCGTATAGCCGGGGCAGATGGCAATTATGAGTGACAGACTTACCCAGGTAACACTTTTGGCGTGGATAACACTGGAAAAATGACTCTGGTTTAATCCATCTGCATACCGTGAGCATAAGAATCGACGGTCGCTTCGGGGTATCGATAGGTCTATGCGAATCCACGACCAGTCTGTCCACGGCGGGCGTTGCGCTGCTTGCCCACTGTCACCGTGCTCCATCCCTCGTCGTCACCAGCAGGGGCAGCCTCGCCGGCCGGGGCGCGCCAGTTGCCGTTGGTGGTCTCCTTCTCTGCCTCGGCGGGAGCTGCGACCTCTTCGGGCTCCTTGTCGGCGCTCATGCCGCTCTCATCCTCGCCGCTCCGTCGGAGAATCTCAAAGTTACCACCACCCTTGGGGGTCTCGAGAGCATCCTTGCCGTTGTGGTCCACGGCGGTGGTTGACTTCTCCTCCTTGGCGGTCTTTTGCTTCTCAGCTTTCTCGGCCTTGGCCTTTTCGTCAGCCTCCTTCTTTTGGCGAATGGCAAGCTGGCGTCTCTCCTCCACCTGGCGCTCACGGGTGGCAGTGTCGATGGGGCGAGCGGCACCGAAGGGGCTGGCCTTGGAGTCACCGGTCGAAGCGGGGCTGGCGGTGCTCTCGGTAGGGGTGCTGCGCTTCTGCAGGTTCAGCTTGGGGCGGGTAGCGGGAGCGGCAGGGGTGGCAGAAGGAGAAGCGGGGCTGGTTGGCTCCTTGGGGGTTTCGTCAGGGCGCATTCTGGCGCGCCACTGGTTGTCCATATCGGCGGCAGTGGGTGTTGGCTCCGGGCGAACGTGCTCGGGGCGGGGAGGGCGAGATCCCTCATCCTGAGAGCGACCCTCACCCCAAGCGGCCTCATTTCTGCGGAAGCCGGAGTTGGGTCCATCGTTGCTGGTGGGGCGGCCCTCGCGGGGCGGGCCTGCAGGGGGCGAAAGGGGGCCCTTGCGCTCCCAGTTGTTGAAATCACGAGGCTTTCCATCGGACTCGAAGTTGCTGCGACGACCACCGCGGTCGCTGCCGGCATCAGAGGCGGCATCCATGCCACGTCCGAAGCTGGAACGTTCGGGAGCACGGCGCTGAGGCAGGTCGGGGAGAGGGCCACGGCGGGACCAGTCGAGGTCCCGTCCTTCCATGCGAGATTCCTTGGCTACATAGCTTGTCAGTTGGACCGTTTGTCGTGGTCTTTCTTGAGAACTTACGAGGCTCGGCAACGCTGGTACGGATGGAGCGTCCCTGCAGGCTGGAACCAGACAGATCCAAGGCCTTCTGCAGACCCTCAACGGTCTCGAACTCAACGTATCCGAAGCCCTTGGGGGCCTTGGTCAACTTGTCCTCCACAACACGGACATTTGTCACACCACATCCAGCGAAAAGGTCAGAGATATCAGCCTCGGTGGCTTCGAAAGAAAGGTTGCCGACGTGGCAAGTGTAGGGAGGCTGGGTAGGAAGATCGAGAGGCTCCCGGACGGCGTATCCACCACGCTCGCGCTCTGTTCATTGTCAGATCTCATGCTGCATATAAGGTGCGGAGAGCATCATACCAAAGCCACCAGGACCAGAGCCAAACATGTCACCACCAGCGGGGCGGCGGTTGAAAGTGGAGGTCAAAGGCTGGGCTGTTCAGATCGTAAGCGATTGTCCAATAGTGGTATAGGCATGCGATATCGGCGTTACATACTGGCTGCACATATTGTTAGTACGGTTCAGCAAGTTCAATGGCGGGGATCTGCAGCTTACATGGAAGGGGCATATCCTCCATCTCATCAGCCCAGGAGCCGAGGCCTATGTCTGTCAGTCACCATGTCTTTACCTCGAAATTTCCGATCGCTCACTTTCGTCAGCCAAGAAGGCGCCCATGGACATCTTCTGGGACTTCGCTTTAGGAGCTAAACATATCGAGTTAGCGATCGCCCATGAAGCCTAGGTACAACGGTCTGGAACGAACCCATGATTGCGGTAAGAAAGAAAGAAACGCGCGGGATTTGTGCGCGCTTCTTAGGCGGTAAGGTTGAGAGGGGAGGATGAAAAAGAGGAAATTCAAAGACACTTGGTAAGACACCAAGAGTAAAAATCAGAAGTTGAGTTCAATATCTTCAACCCACAGTGGAAAAGTTGGTAGAGGGGAAGTCGGCTGCGGCATGGAAGTGGACGGGTTACTAAATTTTTAGTGATGACGCTAGCCCAATCAGAGCCGCGAGATCGGTCTATACCGAACACTTCGATATTCTAAGAACTTACTCTGTAATTAACAGCTCTGGTTTATTGCGTTTGGCTTGGGTTGTCTAGCTTTGGGCTGTGCCTTGCCCATCGTTTTACTGTTCATCTCTTATCTCCCCACGTTCTCGGCTAAAAATATACTCTTATGTGAGACAACATAGGTTTGAACACAGGCGAAATTGGTTGGCTGTTTGTCACACTAGATGCTCTTGGAATTTGTACTGTAGACTCGCCTGCAGAACCCAGCAGTACCACAAGCCCGACTCATAGACTGTGTCGTGTCAATACCGCACTAGCTGTATACTTGCAGGCCTTCTAACACGGTCAGGAACTCACAAATATAAAATACGTCAGTACTTGAGTCGCAGGTACATCTTGAGCTAAAACCCTTGCATACCACGGCTGATAGGCTTGCAGCCAGCCAGAAACCTGGCTTTAGGTTCTATCAAGACGCAGCTTCATCGCACGATTTGACGTCACGGGGGCTAGAAGCTATGAATGAGCCTTTACGTTGAAAGAAGGTTCTCCTCGACTAGTTAAAAACCAATATCAAGAGGGTTTGAGGGGAAAGCCCTGATTATGGGAAAGTCTCACGGGTGATCACCTACTGCGGAGAGTGTGGGGATATATATCTACTTATGAACAAGATTTTGGGAGATCTTCAAGCCCCCACCACCACATAATTAACAAGGAATTTGTGATAGCATATCAACAGCATCCCTATCCGTATCTGTCTAATTATTACTGGTGGATTTTCATATCTTCAGTGCTACCCACCTGGTGAAGAGCGGACATTACATAATCAACATACATCACGTGAGCGATAGTTTCTATCTTGGCTTCCTGCTTCGATAATGGTAAATAGTTCCCTGTATTATTGAATATCCAAGCGAAAGGGGATTCTGATGTATCACTCGTATTAATCGCAACATGGGCGACCAAAAGAACAAAGATGGCGACTTCTACTCCAACGCCCTCTTGTCTGCAGCCAAAGTGGGAGCCCTGAGCGGTTAGTATTACCTTGCCCAGGAAGACAACCACATGTACCGGAACTTGAATCGCTGACATACAAGATAGGAGGCGCTGGTCTGCTCTATGGCGGAGCTGCAGGAGTTATCAGATCGCCCAACCCCGTGGTTCATTCGCTATCATGCGGCATCCATTGGTTTGCATGCGGATCGACCTTCTGGTGTATGTGGAGCCATGCCATCTTGATACAGCTGTCTAACCTTTAATGCAGGGCTTCGAAGCAATATCATCAAGCTTCACTACCAAGATAAAGCCTCCCCAAGGAGCGCACATACGTGAGCGCTCTATGCGGTGGCGTCGCAGGCGGAAGTGTAACGAAGCTTATGGGTATCTTCTCCCGCACTGGAAGCACCTCTTGTGGCAAGATCTCTAACCAAATCGTATAGGAGGCCGGCTGGTTCCGGGCGCCATCATTTTCTCGCTACTTGGGTACTGTGGCCAGAGTGTCTTCAACCGAGTCGACGCCTGGCAGATGGCAAATGCAAACAATTCATCCAAGCCCCTTGTACAGCGAATGGCTGAGTCCAAGTGGATTCCTCTGCGGACGCTCTCTGACGAAGAGTACCGGGGTATGTTGGGGGAGAAACTGCTGAGTGTGGAGGCGGAGATTGCCTTACTTGATGACAAGATCGCGGAGCTAGAGAAGTCTCGTCCTGTCCTTGCTTCCCCCGCGAAGTAACCCTCCTATCATCCGAGCTCAGTGGCTCCTGCGTTACACTGTCCACGGACTATTCGGGCAATGAGTGAACTGCAGTGCACGGACAATCTTCCAAGGTTGGGACCCTAAAGCATTGTACGTGTCAGCTCGTAACTGTTCGAGTGAAAGACAAGATATGAGAGGGAAAATGTATATTTTTGTAAGATATCAAAAGAGTGCCAAGCTTAATAGAGAGAAATGACAAAATGATCTCCCCTGAGTGAAATCTTGGGTCGCGTGTCGATCGTGAACCACTAAAAAGGAGAACTCCATTGTTCTGCATGAAATCAGCCTCCAACCATACCATGTAAGCGAGGTATGCAATAACAGGGATATAGGTAGGCACATAGTAACGTTACTAGTAAAGAACAAAGGCGATAAGCCGGTTGGAGGGGACTAATTAGTGTTCCGCTTTTTTGGCCAGTTCCTCCCACCTGTCCGTTAGCCCACCACCTGTCACTTTCTCCATATCCCCCGGCATGATTCCTCAGCACTTTACCTCTCTTCAGTCAGGTGTGCAGTTCCTACTGAGACTTTGATGAAGGTCACTGTCCTGGAATTTGGAATCTGTGATTCCGCCAAGACAGACAGTAGTGATCGGAGGATCTAAGCAAGTGATACAATTGAACTCGACCGCGATACCCTCAATGTGCGACTCGAGATTGCCTGCCTGAGATCAGCCCCCTGCTGGTCGCGACCCGCGATGACCCTCTTTAACCCAACCTCGATCCTCGTGGGGTTTCTGCTCCTTTACCTCTCGTCCTTTTTCATCTTCGCTATCGTCCGGATCGCGACGGGAATATCCATACAGCGGATTGGTTACTTCTCACTACGTCGAATCGCATACACGCCGAAGGAAGGACTACACATTGAAATCCGCGGTCTCGGATTCTCGCTACACCCCCCGTCATTCGCCCAGCCAACATGGATCAGCATTCGATTGACGGATTTAAAGGTCACGGTGGACTCTTCGACCCTTGGGAAAGGAAAAAGCGAGGCGCCCCGGGGCATTTTGGAGTCTCCCGGCCCTTCCAGCCCGTCCGAAGACCGTGCCACGCCTGATTTGAGTAAGAGAAGCGGGAGAAGCAAAACATGGAGGACCTTGACGCGAATTAAGGAGCGCTTGAAGCGGCTGCACCGGCAAATCAATTGGTTGGCCTTGGTGGACTTGACTGCTATCAATACAACAGTGCATTTCGTCGAAGCTGGCCAGATCCAGGTGGGATCGCTTTCACTCTCGGTCGACACTCGGAGTAAAATGGTGGAACGGGGCAAGCTATTTCGTCGCAAGAAGGATATGTCGCGAGAACAACGCCCGGCCGAATGGATAATGAACGTACAGAATGTTTTACTCAATGTCGACGGTCGAGAGCCAATTGAAGTGTTGGATAATGTGGGCGTGAACCTCCATGGTCTTCTCTACAAGGACTTGGACGGGCTCAGGGATGCATCGGTGGCCTTGAAGATTGGACGAATGCATGTACCATATGACGATCTTCGCACCATGTTGCAACGCATCAAACCGCCCCAGAAATCCGCAACAGGACCCGCAAGCGTGGAAACCGATGACGAGATGTCATTTGCCGACTTTGTGGAGGAGCTTGACAAGCCTGGAAGCCGGGATGATTCCATTGTTCAGACTGTGGCAGATTCCAAGGAGTTTGCAAGCTCCCTGCTTCGTGGTATTCAGGAGATCCAGATCGCTCTGAGTTTCTTCCGAGTCTCACAGAGCATCCAGTCTCTGTCTGCGGGACAAACCCCGGTTTATCTGAATGTGGTTTCTCACGAGCTTGGAATCGATCTTCATCGGATGGACCAAAAGAGTCCAGAGCATCGCATGTATTTCCAGCGAAACGATATCGCCCACCAAGCTCTTCTTGCTGCAATCTCCCTTTCAGTCAGCTTAGACGACGGGTCGGGCGAGACGGATAATATTCTATACATCCCCATGGCTACGACGACCATCAAGACAACATTACCATCGAAGACAGTGAACGCCTTTGACGACAAGAATGCCGAAGAGCGGAACACGAATGTCCTATTCGCAAATTTGGTTATCACATCACCCTCCGTCGACCTCCAGCCGAAACACGGTTCCAGGCTTCTAAAGCTGGCCCAGAGCCGAGCCTCATCTCCCCGAGGGAAGAAGCGAGATAACCATCATTTGATTTCTCGGTTGCTTCCGAAGGCAAGCATCAAATTATCAGTTCACGAGCCTGTGGTCCGGTTCGTTTTGCCGATCGAAAAAGAGTCTGGTACTCCCGATGACTACAACCTTCTTATTTCCTCGATATCTTCCATTTCGCTCGATATCGAATCATCCCATTCCTCCGAAGGAGGTGCTCACTATTCCCTTTCTTCTGTGTACCGAGTTGCCTCCCATAAGTTTTACTACCAGACTCCGGCGGGGAACAAACACAACCTGCTTACAAACGAGAACATGGAGCTAAAGGCCCATCTGAACGCCACCCCAGAGGTCTGTGTGATTGCTTCAGGAAGCCTGAACGAGTGCTCAGTACACATGATCGACGGGGAGGTGAACCGTGGCATCCGCGAAGTTTTGCAGCAGTTCATAACCCAGATGCAATCGTCAAAGAGAGTCCCAATGCCAACAAACGAACGCAAAGCAAGTCCATTGAGACGTGTGCCCGCTTGGCTGCTCCAGTTCCAGTTTGAAGCCACAGGATTTAGCGTGGAGATTGCTGGAGTGGACAGCACGGTTTCTGATATCTCCCGAGGTGTTTCTTTCCAATTGCAAACGTGGACTGCAGACTACAAAGCCCAAAAAATCGAGTCAAATGTTGGAAGCATCTCTAGACGACGTACTCCAAGCCATTCCACCATCGGCGATGAGTCCCCCTTTCGATTCCCGCCTACCTCACCCCCTAAGAGCACTCAACGCGGTGCTGCGGATGGTCGACGACTGGCGATTCACGCTCGTGGGTTCGACGGCTTCGTCATTGAGTCAGAAGATTATCTTGAACCTGAGCCGTTCTTTTCCCTGCCTCGATTTGAGATCGCAATGAGCACCAGTAGTGATCGTCTCGGACCGGTTTTGCACGTCACATCTGTCTTCAAGGGCATCTACCTGCAGTACTCATTGTACCGGTTCTACTGTCTTGGCGTTGCAGTCTCGGTCATCCAGGATGTCCTCACGCCTCTGCCAGATAAGTATGCAGACTCAACCCTAGGCAAATCTAGGGGACATGCCAGCATATCCATGCCACCCCCCCCAGCTCATAAATGGTCACCCAGAAAGGAGTTGATTACGTATGACGTCAAGGCAACAGTTGTTCAGCTCAAGGCGAACTTGCCCAATGATCCGCAAATGATGGTCCAGATTTATGGACTCGCGGGTGCTTCCCAGCGTCTTTCGACTCCTTATGTCAGGGCCAATCTTGTTCGCTTGCATGCAGAGGCCCCGAAGCTCAAGGGTATCTGGACACGAATTGGCAGTATGAACAATGTCAGACTCGATTTCCGCACAAAGAAAATGAAGCATGGCAACGAACTGGTCGAAGAAAAGTCTATCGATTTGTGGACGGACTTTATCCGACTGGGCGTGCCTCATCACATGGTCATGCACCGCATTTTCGATAACCTGATCAACACCTCCAAGGCTTTCAAACAGTTGCACCATCGCTTCAAGAACCGCTGCAGAGATTTTGTCTCCGAGAGAGAACCAGAAGCACCGAAGAAGGTTCCAAGAATTTCTCTGCGAAGTAAAGCACTTCTGTTTGAGCTGGAAGACGACGGTTTTGAATGGAAACTGGGTTGCATCTATCGGGTTGGTCTAATTGAGCAGGCTCAACGGCTAGCCCGGGCGGATGCATTCAATTTGAAAGCCCAGAAGGTCAGGGACTGCGATCAACGGCGCGCCACGTCCCGGCTACGAGCCAAATCGAGCAGTCGGACGCTGCGCAGTGAGCGAACCAGCCAAGATACCAGGCGAAGCAGAAGCGCCGAACCACGACCCAGACCCGGCACGCAGGAGCGTGGGAGAGGTCGGAAATATCGATATGACACCGAGGGTGCGACCTGTCTTTCGTCAGAACAAAAAATCTCTACGGATTCTGCCTGGGGCCGACTCCAGCAATATAATGCCCAGGTCTGGAAAGAAAAGATTGACGCAGCGCTCAAGTTCCAGGGCACTTCTATCAAAGAAGTCAGGAATCTCTTTTGTGGTGCAGATGAGCCTCCTGCCGATATCAAGGAGACTGAGACTATCCTTGCCATTCCAAACAGACCTGGCCTGATGTCAGCTCTGATCAGTGATGTCAATCTTGTCATTGACAAGCCCTCATTCGCTATTGATGAGTTCCCGGCCTTTATCAACCGAATCGGAAAGGGAATGCCCATGTCCATGCAATACGGTCTGCTTATTCCTATGAGCTTTAATCTGGAAATGGGCGAGGCTCGTGTCAATCTGCGAGACTATCCCCTGGATCTGTTGCACATTCCAGCCTTACGCCCAGGACAATCGCCGAGACTTCCCAGCTGGTCCTTGCGGACAAACTTTGTCATTGCCGAAGAATGGCGCAACCATGAATCTGCAAGACAGGTGGAGGTTGAACTTGTGCCTGCCTCTGAAGGAGCCGACGGAGCTGCGCGGGAGCCGTATAAGATTCCTGTCTGGCGTTCCGTTACTCCGGTCAAGACTTACTCTGACCCCGTCATTGAGATCAACACAAGTTTGCCGACAAGCATTTCGTGGGGTGTTTCATACCAACCTGTCATTCAAGATATGATGAAGATCATCGAGGGCTTCACTAAGCCTGAGATTGATCCTTCTGAACGGGTTGGCTTCTGGGACAAGATCCGGCTTAGCTTCCACTCCCGAATTAGGGTGATTTGGAAAGAAGACGGCGATGTTCATCTACGCCTCAAGGGTTCCCGTGACCCGTATGTGGTGACAGGCTTTGGAAGTGGATTCGTCATGTGCTGGCGAAGAGATGTCAAATTGGACATCAATACCAGTGATAATCCCATGGAGTTCATGAGCGTCACCAGTGGAGAATATGTGCTCGCTATCCCCGACTACAGCACCGAAGCACGTTGGGCAAATGAGGCGACCACAGAAGAATTACTGGAAGACAGTTCTGCTTCCAGTGAACAGAAGAATGCCGCTCACTTCAAGAAAGTTGTCATGAAACTATCCGGCGACGTCAAATGGGCAACTGGCTTGGTCTTTGAACGCGACGTTGACAATGATTCACGATCCTTCTCCTTCAAGCCGCATTACGAGGTTGTCCTCAAGAACCCTAAATACATCGACCTGGAACAGCGCTCAAACTATGATGCCTACCGCGGCTTCCGCAGTGACCACATCCATCTGTCTGTTTCAGTCATTGCACCGCAAAGCAGAAACTGGTCTGTCGATACTGTTCAGCCATCTTCGAGCTACAACACCGTCCATCTTACCCCACGATTCTTCACACACTTTTTCAATTGGTGGTCTCTTTTCTCAGGTGTGATGTCGCTTCCTGTTCGCCAGGGACCGCTCTGGCCAGGAATCACAAAGACGAGCAAGAAGTTCAATCGTCACTTGGCAACTGTCAAATACAAACTTCTCCTTGCGCCCCTGTTTGTGGCTCACATATACAAACACAAGGACCGCGAAGACTACGCAGAAGACGTTGTAACGGCTACAGGTCTCAAGGTTCGACTTGATTGCCTGAAGCTTGACATTCACCAGCGACGTGAACAGATCAAAACTCAAGCCCGGGGTCGCTCAAAGCAGACCCGCACCAGTGCGATGCGCATCAACCAAGCTCAGATTGATCTTCAGTCTGCCGACTTCCGCGCTGTGTCTGCCACTATTGAGGGAACAACAGCGGAGGACATCGAGCGCAACAAGGACGATATCATTTCTTCCTTCCAGCAGCCAGTCCCATCAGTTGACCTATCTCGATTCACTATCCCCGATCACAACCTGGACTGGGTTGACATGGATGACTTCGTGGAACCAGACTGGATTCTCCCACAGGAGTCAAACCCTCGCACCCACATCTTGCCGCTCGCCTTTACCCCGCGCTTCACCTACTTCCGCAACACAGATCATGGTGATGTAGGACCCGAAGAAACGGGCTACAGTACGTTTGGAGATGAACCAACCCACGAATGTGTCATGTCCGAAACGAACGATCCTCGCCGCGTTCAGATCGAATTGGTCAAGGATCGTCTCGCCACAGTTGAAGCTCAAACTCGCAACTTTGAACATACTATCGGAGAGCTAGAACTCAAGCTCATGAAGGACGTGGAACACGATCCGAGTCTTAAGGAGGAGCATGAAATGTTCCTTCGCCAAGCCCAATCTCTGGCTAGACGGCGCAAGTTCTTGACTTCAACTCTCAATCGTCTCGAGAGGCACCTTACACGCGATGAGCGGTCAGCCAACAGCAATAGCAATATGCTTGGCAACAACGTGGCGCCTAGCAGCGCGTCTTTCCAGACTGGGCGAACAGGACGGGATGCGGACTCCACGATTGATGGCCGTTCTTCAGGCCTGGATGGAATCTACTCCTCGGGCAACGATGAGTTCTCTAGTGATTTCAACAATCGTTTCATGATCCACAATGTGCAGCTTAAGTGGAACAACTCGCTCCGGAATATCATCTTGCGGTACAGCCATCAAGTGAGTCAGCGGCGTGGATTCGTGTACTACATGTCTCGGCGCGCTGTCAAGTTCATTCTCGACATTGTGGAAGAACAGAACAAAAATAAGCGCAAACAGCCAAAAATGTCAAAGACGCAAACTCGGAGCGAATACAACGATGAAGAAGAAGATGTGGATGATCGCATCGAACAGTTGCTGAACGATGCCAAGCGCTATGTCAATGTCGAAGAGTCTGATCCACCTGACTCGAACGCTCAATCGCCTTCCAACTCGGACAATTCGAGTGAGAATATTGCACCGGAATTCACCCCCAGAACAGTTACCACTTGCGTCTTATTGCGCCTCAAATCCAGCTTCTCAGCGAAAAGAACAGGAAATCGGTTTTGCTCGTGGCCGCCAAAGGCATGGAGCTTAAGGTCGTTTCCATCATGGACAAAGAACGTGTTTCCGACGATGTGAGCGGCTTGGTGCAGCGCCGTTTCTCCTTGGAAATGGATGGTGCCCAATTCTTCGTTGCCACACAGAAGAACTTGATGACTAACTTGCAGTTCTACGCTGGCAACAAGTATGGAAATGCACCGGGATCAGCGTGGCCCCCGTGGTTGACACTTGAAGCCATGTTCGATTTCGAGTTGAATCCATTTGGATTCTCTCGTATCGTGCAGAAGACATCTGCTACCTTGCGCTACGACAAGTACAACAATCTGCGCCTCAAGTATAACGAAGAGGTTGCCAAGGGACAAGGGCCACACACTGATGATCAAGAAGATCGGATCGACACGATCAGCGTGGACTTCCCTCATTTCCGTGCGATTTGCGATTCTGCAGAGTATTATTCCATGTACATCATTGTGCTGGATCTCATGCTCTACAGCGAGCCACTTGAGAAGGTCCGGAACGAGCGCCTCGAGAGGATCATGCTCACTTCCGACTTCAGTGATCTTCGCGGTGCCCCCGAGATGGTCTTCAAGCTTCAAGCACGCATTCGTCAATTGGAAGAGATCAAGGACTATTTCCAGATAAATGCCAAGTTCCTGGACAAACAGGGCTGGGAAGATCGGTTGACTCTCGAACGCGACCTATCTGAATGCGAGGACGAGCTGTTCTTTATGATGAAGGCAATAACCACTTCTCAACGGCGGATGGAACCGAGCTCCTCTAGGGCAAATGGCGTCAATGGCGTCCTGCGCTGGAGCATATCTGCCAGTGAAGTCGTGTGGCACCTGATGAAGGAGGCTACCGAGCCGTTGATCGAGTTCCAGCTACGAAATGCCACATATGAACGAACTGACAATACCGATGGCTCGAACCACAATTTGGTTGCTATCGAGCGCCTGTTCGGATTGAACTTACTTCCCGATGCTATCTATCCCCAGATTATTGCACCGTATCTCGATGGAGCTCGCACCTTGGATGACTTCATGCTGCGCGTTAAATGGCACATGCTTGAGGCTGTGGCTGGTATTCCCGTGGTTGACAACTTTGAAGTGGCATTGTTCCCGCTGAAGGTCCAGCTCGAACGTGAGCTTGGTCAGAGAGTCTTTGAATACATTTTCCCTAATGTGGGCTCTACTGCCTTTGAGAATGGTGGCTTCTCGCCTTTCATGATCAAGAACATGAAGCCGGTTGATGGGTCTGATGAGGAAGATGATGATGAGGCTTCCAGTGGAACGCCTCTCACTCGCTCTACCAGTATCGATGGAGCAGATACTTCCTCTATGGACAGCCTCGCCATTTCCAAGGGACCTGGCGCCATCGAGCTGAGACTTCAGCCTACGCTCTCACTTTCGGATGAGGCTAAGTCGCGCGGTCATCGCTCCGATCATCTCAAGGGTCTTGCAATGACACCAATCAACAAAGACAACAATCGACTTGGTGTATCTGACACTGCGCGCCAAAATGGCCGTCCTTCAACCACTGGTGGTCTCAGCAAGAAGAAATCTGCCGACAGCATTCGCATGTTGACGAAGCAGGCCACGGAAAGATCTCTCTCGAGTCACAGTGCTGGCGAAGAAAATCGCAAGAAGTTCGGAATAGGCAAGGGATCCAACAAGAATGGCAAGTCTAAGGAACCCACCGACGACCTGTCCCAGATGATCTCCCGCGCCTCCAATTACATGACCCTTGCCCATGTCAAGGTCAACGATGTGGTTCTCTGCATGAGCTACAAGGGCAAAGGCGAACACAATCTCGAGGATCTGCATGATTTTGTCTTCCGCCTTCCAGTCCTCGAATACAGTAACAAGACATGGTCGAATCTGGATCTTGCCCTGCGTCTAAAGAAGGATGTCATCAAGGCTCTCATCTCGCACGCCCCTGCTATTCTTGGAAACAAATTCTCTCATCACCGCCCCTCCAAGCAGCAACAAAAGCGTTTCCGTGAGCAAGCCTCTTCTTCTCAACTCTTGCCGAATGCGTCTAGCATTATGACCCAGTCCAACAGCAGAGCCCATAGCCTGGCGAGCTATGACTCCAACAGCGAATACTCTGAGTCACGGTCGCGGAAGTCTATGCAATCCAATGCTTCCCCGTTGGTTAGGTCTACATCATTGAGTTCAGACACTCGTGATACGCAGGATACTGAGACTCCTATCCATGACTCCCGTTCAGCCAATGAAGTGGATGTCGATTCTCGCTGGGAGGTTCGTACACTTTTCGTCCTATTTGATATTAAAGAGCACACTTGCATACTAACACATACTTCTATAGGCATCCCGTCGATTTGTCAACCCTCCCCCTCCGGAGAGGCCCATGACCTCAGGTCACTTGTCTGTGACCGGGTCCAACAAGAATGATCAGGATGATAGGTACGGTCTCCAAATCCTTCCATTGCTCCTAAAACCACGAAACTAACAATCCCAACAGCAACATCAAAACACTCCGCAGCATCGGCCGAAAATTGACATTCCGAAAGTGAATGCCCCAGTCGCGCTGAGCAATCTCTGCGAACCTCCTTCTTTTCTTCCTTCCTACTTTGCCTAATCCTCTACGCCCTTTTAAAATCCTGTCAGCAATCCTTCTTTGTACACCACCAACAAACACCTTATATTTTCTCCAGGCCCCTCGTGTCTCACTTAGATACCCCTCTACTGCAGCCGGCCGTACATAGGCGTTGACTCATGTTTCTATATGTTTTTTATTTTATTTCGGTGTGTCTATGGCGGGGAAAAATTTCGTTTCCTTTTTACTCTTTTGATTACCCGGACTGTTCGAGGACACTTGCATAGAGGCGATAGGGGTCATTTCTTTCCTTTTTCTGATTTACCTTTTTTAAGGCTATATGTTCAACACTTTTAACTTTGCTAGGCCTAAACGGGCTGCTCTTGATATTTCATATGATATCTTTGGCTTTCGGGTCTTTTCTGAAACCGATGTCGAGATCTATCAATTCTTGTGACACCTACCTTTTGTGGACCTATACAATAGCCCAGAAATACAGGTGTTACTCGCAGAATCAACCTTAAGACCAACAGCTTCAGCTACTGATAATGGATATCGATATACCACACATGACAAAACCATCGCTATGTTAACTCTTGGGAATAAAACTTATAGTGAAACAAATAACACATCATAACTCATACAGAGACATCAGACCCAGCCACACCAAGCCTATTTATACGCTCAATCTTCTCATCAAGAGTCGCACGCAACATCTTAATATAATCAGCCGCAATCTCCATAACATCAGCCTTCGTCTGCTCCACAGACGGGGCCTTTTCCTTTTCCTTTGTAGAATTCGAATTAGAAATAGCAGTCAAGGCAAGCCCTGACGCTTTATTTCTTTCTTCGACAAATTCCGCCGGAATGAGAGCTTCCATCTCTCTGATTGCGGTATTGAACCTGTCTCGACGGTTCCGTTCGGCCAGCCTGTGGTACGTGCGTTTTTGGTTGAGATTGTCTTTTGTTACTTGGATGGGGTATTTGACACCTGGGGGTAATGTGCCGTCTTGGATGTGTTGGTAGTTTGATTTTGTGTCGAGGTTATGGGTTGAGAGATCGGGGGAAGTTGCTATTCATAAAGTCAATAAGAAAGGTTACTTATACGGATTGTTAATGGCTAACTTACCATTCTGCTGGTTGAGAAATGGGACAACAGGACTGACCTTAGGTCGCAAATCTAGGGTAGCCGTTGGGTGCCAGTTGCGTCGCTTCCAGGCCGCAGTGGAATTCTTGCGTGCAATTGCCGCTTTGGGAATTGGTGAAGCTGGGCATGGTGACGCGATGCTGGGTTGACTTGGACTGGGCGCCAAGTCGAACGGTGGGTTTCCAGTGGAGATGGATGATCTTGGCGCCACTTCTTTTGTCGTGGAGCTGTGAGCGAAGGGCGCTGTGGGACGGGGAGATGCAGTCAATCCCTGTGGGTTGCTGTGGTGCTTGGGCTCTACAGAGTCTTGGCTAACAGGCGATGCAGTACTTTGCGCCTGGGTCGATTGGAAAGTGTGCATGGGCGCCATTGGGGTTGGTTGGGATTCTTTGGAATTCTCGTTTGGTAGATGCCAACTATCTCCAGTTCTTTCCATGCCAGCTAGCGTAGAAGAGGAAACCTAGTCGGTGTGTTAGTGTGATGCTAAGCAAGCGCCGAGTGATGGTTTAAATACCTCATTTATGGGATTCCATAGATAAGGACACCCGTCGTTTTCATCCCAGTGGAAATCCATGAAATCATTTTCGTTGCCATTGATCGTGGAAGAGCTCTTTGACTGTGTTCTCAGAGAAGGATCGGTGCCCCCGAATACTGGGGTTGAGGGAAGACACGTTGGAGTGGACGAGGCAGAGTCCACATCAAGTTGACCCTGGAGAATATCTACTATTGACAGATTGCAGTCTGGCATTTGTTTATAAACTTGAAGCATGTCAGCGAACTCATTTTCGAAAGCCGAAACCATGGCAAGCTGATCGAATTCCGACATCAAATGCGAACAATCTGTTTCGCCAAAGGTGTAGGTAGAAGCGAGTGCCTAGAAGAATGGCGATTGCAAATGCAAAGTGATGGGAAAGCGAGAGGTGGTAGAGGGTATTACAGGAGGGTGAGATGAGACAAATTAAAACAAACCTCTCTCCAATGGTGGTCACGCGAGCTTATACGGCTTATATATGGCGCGATCGGGGGAAGTCACAAACAGTTAGACACTCGCCGGAAGCGAAGCTATAGTGGCCATGGCATGCATTAGAAACATCAGTTGCCCCACAGAATAATTGTGGATTGACATGCTTTACGACCAAGTAGCTCGAACCGTGGAACACTAAGAATTAGCCTCGAGGCTATATGTCTCAAAAGTTTCTGGGGATTGTCTGGAACTATCGCGTAGGAGCCTAGAACGGGGACAGAGAAAACAGATAATGTCTCAATTGCTGCATACACACCGCGATGAAACCAATACAATCCAGTTATATGTAGGAACCGGCAATCAAAAACGCAGATAAAGGCCGGTGCTGCAGTATGTAGTGGTATAGAGACTCCGGAATAATATAGGCTAAATTCCGGCGTGTCGTCGGGACCATAGCCAATTTTGTATTTATCCCGCTTCTACCCGAGGAATGTCACTCGTCTGGACTCATTGGTTCATTTGTTGCGCTAGGATTAGAGTACTTCACCTGTGGGACGTTGCTTGTACAGCACAGCTCCTGTAAGTAACATACCATAAATGGCCCCGAAGGAGGGGAATTCCCGCACGCGGGAAGAATGAAATTAATTAATACAACAAATTCCCTCGCGTCCTTAGCCCGCATACAGAGTGATTGGGAGTGTTAGAACGACAGATTTTCCTTAGGGCCCGAGTAGATGGCACAGTGGCGCGCCTGCGCAGCGCCCCCCGACTGTTTTTAGCACGCAAACCGTCAATCGGAAATTCCGCGGAACTTCCGAGAGACCGAATACGTACATATTCGGGTCCTTGAACCCTTAAAATCCACCGCTCAGGCCCTTGAACCGTACATCAATTGAGATTATGCTTTTTAGGAGCTCGGATACATATTGTAGATCTTATCTTGGCTATTTCCGGGCTAGCTACCATATAACTCTGGTCTAACGTCCATGGCTTCTTTACTTTACAACACCGTTGACCCCTCCCGGCCTACGGTAGACTAAAGCCAAATGGCCGACATCCCAAGTACCGCCCCCACCTCACCCCCGCCCATCTAGTGCTTGTTCAACTGCCAATAATTTTGTCTAGATGACACCCGTGCTAGTCTGGAGTGTGGATGTTAATGAGACAGACCTCGAGCCGAGCCGATCACCTAACAAAGTGAGTCTGCAGACTATCTCTCGTAACAAAAACGTAACATGTATACGCCACCTATCATTACTCCGTATGTCCAATTTTCGCCAATGCTCTAGGAAGATTAAGCCACCTGAAACACACTCCGATTGGCACGGCTTCTATGGAAGGTCTCCGGTTGATCGAAACTGATGCGTGAAAAACTTTTCTTTTTCTAAATCTCGGTTCTAGAACAAGGCATGTAATTTGGATGTTAACCCTATACAGTTAGGAATGAGCACAATAGAAACAGCGTGAATCATGACAATTGTGGATATCATGAACACTGTGATTCCACACGCAAGCATCTGATTTGTACCTGAGCCTTAGTTCCTGGATTCCACGGAGAGGACCGGCGAAATGTGAATTTTGTGTCTGTTACACAAATCCCTATAGTGTCTGTCAATCCCAATTTCAATTGCGCTGCGACTTCACCTCTCTGATGCCGCAATACTCTCAAGGGAAATGGCAGATCCAAAACTATGGCTTAACCTGATCATTTCATCTGCTCTGGTGTTAATCGGAGGGGCATTTTCAGGCTTGGCGATTGCATTGATGACCCAAGATGAAGTCCATCTCCAAGTCCTCGCAGCCTCTGGTGAAATAACCGATCAAAAAAATGCCAGCAAGGTCCTCGCTCTCTTAAAACAAGGAAAACATTGGATTCTCGTGGCTCTACTCCTGGGAAATACAATGACGAATGAGGCTTTACCCGTTGTGTTAGATGAAATCCTTGGTGGAGGGTTAGTAGCGGTAGTGGGTAGTACCGTGCTGATCGTGATATTCGGCGAAATCATACCGCAATCTATCTGTGCCCGCCACGCACTCAGAGTCGGTGCTTGGATGGTATCATGTGTCTCAATTTTCATGTATATTATCTCTCCAATCGCGTGGCCTATTGCAAAGTTACTCGATATCCTCGTTGGACACAACCACGGCACGATCTATAAGAGGTCGGAGCTGATGGCCCTCTTTTCTTTTCACAAAACATTGGGCAAACCCGAAGAACGACTCAACTCGGATGAAGTTAAGATCGTTCATGGCGCTCTTGGGATGAAGGAGAGATCTGCAGCTTGCATTATGACGCCCATCAAGGATGTCTTCTCTCTGTCCGCCGACGCCGTCTTGGACGAGTACACCATGGACCGGATTTACGTCCAGGGATACTCCCGGATCCCTGTACATGCTCCTGACAACCGAAGGAATATTGTCGGTTTATTGCTCGTGACAGCATTGACCAAGTATAACCCCAAAACTTGCAAACGAGTGCGCGATTTTACCCTGTCTCCGGCTCGGGTGGTACATTCAAGTACGAACTGCTTGAGTATTTTGAATATGTTCCGACAGGGGGTGTACTATATGGTTCTTGTCTCTGATAGCCGAAAGAATCCAGACCGAGTCGTTGGAATTCTCACTCGAGAGGATGCCGTTGAAGACTTGATCGGAGAAGAAATCTTGGACGAGTATGACGATCTGCGGAATAATGAGCAGAGAGCGACTCGTCAACGGAATCGTTTCCCTCTCCATCATGTTCCTTCCCGGAAGATCCTTGAACGGTCTCCTATATATGCAGTCTCAGCTCCAGAGGGGGAAGTGATCAATTTGGAAGCAGGGGAAACTGCCGTCGTTCACAAATTCGGCTCTGTGGATCGGTTCAGTGCTGCGGATCAGCGGAGGTCTATTCAGCATGTTATTTCTATATCTGAAGTACCCGCAGAGAGTTGAGCCTTGTACCAAGTCAACACGACAACAGCTTGCCAGTGGGCACCGCGCACACCCTTGGGCTCTCGGTGTCCCCGATCCTACAAAGAGAGCCGTGAAGGCTCGTTACCTGCTTGACAAAGCACATTCGGACTTCTCTAACCAATTCGGAGGAGCTTCACTCGGCCAGTGCATCAGTGTCACGCACCAGGCTGCGAAGAAACTCGCATGGATGTCAAAATCACACCCAAGCATCCACTCAACACGGTGCACAACACAAAGTCAATGTGAGAGGACTCCAATGCCAACGCCAATGCTTAAGACCAAACGGGGGTCAAAGCGGAGAGAGATTAGCCTGAAACAGGTTTCCTGCGCCATGGGGGTCAAAGATCAACTAGCGTGTGGATCAGACTAATATGCTTAATCTTAGCTGCATATTAGAAAGCCACAGAGATACGAGAGAGTAGCACAATAGGAATAAAGTATCATTATCAATATCAAATACCAGTATCAATGCTTCCTAGAAATAAAAGAGGGTATCTATACACGTGACACGAGCTTGCTCAAACAAAATGAATGCAAAAAGCTATAAAAAAGACCCTCCAAATCAATGCGTTTTCATTTTCATGTGAAGCCAAAACGAGGCAGTTTCGAAGTCAAATTCATCAGTCATACATATTACACGGGGGAAACCTCCTTGGCCGGATCGGTATCTGGTATGCCGCCGAATGTCTGCTCATGAGGGGTCGCATTCGAATCGTGAGGAACCTCAGCACCGGAATTGGAGGCTCCATTGGGAGTCCCATTGCTGACTCCATCAGGCACTTTCTCGGGAGCCTCAGAGGGCGTGGAAGGGGCGCTGTGCTTATCACGAGCCCAGGGGTTAACGCTCGCGTGCATAGATGCGAAGCGCGTACGCGCTGTGGGCGCGCTGATATCGTCGACCCAAGGGATACCACCTTGGCCACGATTCTCTGCCCACGCTCTCTTTTCACGGCGGAGATCACTCTGTACCCAAGGGATTGTGATTATAGTCCAGACGATGGCCCAGGCAAATGGAAGGGACCAGCCCAGCTGATTGTGCGAGTTAGTTCATGTTCGATTTGTGGTTCGGACTTTTGCTTACTGTGAATGCCACGGGTTCTTCGACTGTGAACACTACCGCGGTAATGGCAGCGGCGAATACAATAGATCCTCCACTCCAGAAGCAGTTCATTTCGAAAAGCATTCGTCGGAAATAGGGACTCGAGAGGTATCGTGTTCGAAGGGCGTATCGGTATATCTGTCCACCACCACCGTCTACTGCAACCACATCCTCAATAAGAGCGTATAGAGCGGTCGGCATGACGGAGCCCTTGGGAGTAGACGAAATTCGGAATGGGGCTTTAAAGCCCATCATACGGAAGATGTCGAGAGAGAGGTAGACGATGCCGAAATAGAACATGACGGTCGGGAGAACCATGGCAATGAGACGCACTGGTGGACATGTCAGTATATGATCAGCGATGATGACATTGCGGAGTTGATCTAACCATATGGTTCGTGAGGTACCGATCCACTGCGATCTTGTTAGCTCGTTACACGAGATTCCATGGCGCATTCCAAACTTACGCGATAAGCTCGACGGCCAAGATCAACCACACAATTGTGAAGTTGATTTGAAAAAAGTCCAGCTGTGGCATCCATCAGTGTCCATATCCATATGCATTTCTGAGAGAAAAGCCTACCCATGACACACGGGCATTCAGCGGTCGAGCGCGCGAGTTTTTGCGGAACAAATTGTAAAGGCGGTAAAAGTATTCGAAGACTGAGACACCTCCCAAGGATGCGGTGACGATTGAAAAGACTGCGCGAGATGCAAATCAGCGATTTGAACGGATATAACGGATATCTCTTCCAAACATACCCACGTTATGGGATAGATCCGTCAGATACCATAGACACCAGTAAAAGATCAGTGGTTGGCCCAATGTATCGATCACGAAAATGGTCCAAAAGAAGAGAATCGACTTCTTCCTTGTATGGAGCGAGTAGGGGAGCGGTGGCGGCTCGGTGTGCGTTGGAAGTTCGAAGTTCGCTAGTTCGACTTGCGCTGGCTCTTGCGCTGGCTCTTGCGCAGGCCCGGCTTGTGCAGGGACGGTTTCTTCTTCCATCAGGGCGGGACCGCTTGATAGAATTTTCAGGGGTACACGGGTCAAAACAAGGGGGATATTAGGACATGGCGTGCAAGTTAAAAGGAAGAAAGAGAAGAGGCGCAAGACCAGAAAATTTGGCCGGAAACGACGGGGGCTCGGGTACATCCGTTGCCATACAAGTTTGGCTGTGTTAGTAGGTACCTGACGTAACGTGGCGTGATGTCATTGAAAACAAACCTTCGAAGTATCTACACAGCCCTCTTCAACTCTTCGAGATTTTTCTATACTTTATCTCTACTATAACGTTATACTTAATTAAAAATCTTTCCTTTCCCTAATCATGTCAAATAAAAATCAAGGATCACTGAAGACAATGGTCATTCGACAAATCCGGTTTGCCAATAGTGCCCCTAGAATGATTTGATGTCAGTATGCAGTAGATATGTCGACATAACTTATAGCGTGCATTAGATGAAGAAACCGGTAATAGAGTCGAGACCTGCTCTGCTTACATCGGTGCACCGCCGATCCCGACCCTGATCGTTTGTGTTTCACATCCGCCATCTCCCGCTATCACTTCCGGGATATCCTAATGCCACGCATCTTCAAACGGGTAATCGTAATATCCTGACATTGAGACGGTAAATTATGATTATGATGATGTTTTTGTCTTATCACATGGCAAGCTTTTGTAGTTTTTGAGGAAGTAGAGGGAAGCCCTGTAAGTTGATAAGGTGAGAGTTGAGGACAGAAGGCGGTGTCAGGTGACAGAAAAAACATGGACATTTGAGCGGTGGACAGTGGCAGAAAAGGCAAACTGGAGCGACCGGAGTTCGAGTCGACAACTGATCTTTTCACCTCCTCACTTTTCTCTCTCTTTTTCCCTTCACCTTCACCACATCTCGCATCACTTCTTACTCATATCAAATCATATCTACAATTATGTAGCCATGGCACCAAGTTTACAGCTACTTATTGATTACGTGCTGAACGAAGTCGCGCTGTGCGGAAACCAAGGTGTGTATAGCTCTTCGCTCAGACCCACATTTCATCACCTCGGGGATGCATGTCATCGCTTGGCGCCGAAGCATAAACGATCTATGCTGAGCCCTTTATATACATCGCTCTGCTTTTCGGCCTTTCCACTCTTATTATACAACCATGCTCAAATTCCGATCTGCTCTGTTATATTTGCTAACCCACTTCAAGGCGCAACTTTATCGTTTGTTCTCCAAGCCATCACAGCTTTCTATCAAAGTCAATCGCGTGATGGAACGCATCAACAGAACGTCGATCGTCGTTTTCAAGCAAAGGTCTGGAGCTGGCTCACGAAGAACCCAGAGGTGTCTGTGGGCCAAAAGACTGAATTCAACCATCTCACGCTGGACGAGGCCGAGCAGCTTGACTCGCAAGCTCCCGAGGCCGAACCAAATGCCGACCAAAATCATCAATCGCACCTTCGAATTTTTGTCTCAAGTGAGCGAACATGGTTCGCTATCACTGGACACGAACCAGACGAAAGTAAGGTAATGCCGCTTGAACTCGTCCTGCTGTCAATTATCGCTTCCCGCAAGTCGGAAGGTATTGTACAGCCAGAATTGGTCAAGCTCAGTGGCCAGGACAAACGGTCCGTTCCTACCCGCACGGATAAGTTACAAGCCAAGGGATACATCGATAAGCGTCCGGTTCAGATCAGAGGGTCTCGAACAAGTCTCTGCACGCTGAAACGGTTCTTGCGCTCCACTGCCAACGAAGGAAACGGACAGTCACCGGAACAATCCCAGGCAATGGCGATGATCGACTTTGACGCTTTCAACGACAAACTATTTGAGATTCTTCGGGAACATCAAATTGTTACCCGCAATGATCTGAAACGGCTTCTGGGATTCGATGACCCTTGGCGGTGGCGGATTTTGTCTCGTGCAATTCGCAAGTATGAGCGAATAGGTGTTTTGAAGCGCGTGAGAGCGAAGTCACAATACGAAAAGCTGCACCCCTGCATCAAGCTTCAACGGGAGCCCACAGAAACGGATCTGAAAATGTTCCATGAATTTAAACTTGATGTCCTGGACAACAACGGGGTGAGGGATCTCGGTGACATAGACCAAGACGAGCTGGATATTGCAGGCAAACGTGAGCTTGAAGCAGACGAAGGTGCACTCAACCTGATACGAGAGCACGTCGAAGATGTCGGACGGATGGTGCCGAGTTGGAATCCAGAACGCAACACCCACAACCAGATGTTTGACATCATTGAGCGAACGGGTACCTCGGGAATGACAAACCAGGTAAGATAAATTCATTATTTTAAGCGAGCATCGAGCTAACTAAATGTATAGGAAGTCGCCCGAGCTCTCTTCGGAAACTTCTACAGGAGACCTACAGAGAATATCTTGCAACGTCTGGTCGATCTTTGGCAAATGTCCCAACCGCTCCATCTCCGCCATTTTGCAATCGTGCGAGATATGGCAATGCAAAAGACCACCATGTTCTATGTTCATTATGCTGGACACAATTTCGCAAAGCTTGTGGAAGCTGGCCAGGCGTCCTGGGAAGCGGTCGAATTTCCAGAAAAGAAGGCTAAATCATTGAAAATTGACATTCCGCCCTTCAATGTTGTTGCTCAGCTCGATGAAAATGGATTCCCCAAAAGGAACCCTCTAAGAGCTTCTTAGAGAACCCAAACGCTACTCTACGTGACGGGATCGTCAATGCCAATCCATCGGATTACTTGCTTTCTACAAGCGATCCATTTGTCGTTCGACTCCCTGACGGCAGAAATGGTATGCCCTTTCCTGAAAGGTCTAATAGATTAGAAATATGGGTACATATGGCTAACAATGTCTCGCAGTTGTACGAACCCGTCTCGACAAGCTTCCCCCTGGGTCCAAACTACATATGGATGTCCGCCCGCGGTCAAAGGGGCGCCCCAAAGGCGTTCTCAACAAAAAGACGATAGCAAAGCTTGCTAAGATAGCCGAGGCCAAAGGACTTGCAGCGAGAGAATCTGAAGTTAGAGAATCCGCAACCGAAGAGTCTCCACGCGAAGAATCTGCAGCCATTGAAACTTCGGCGGTTGATCCTGCAGCCCCAGAGCCGGAACACCAATCCACATCCAAAAAAGCTCCTGCTCCGGATGATTGGAAACATGCTATTCCGCGGAAGATAAGGAAATCAGCCGCTAGGGCCAATGAATTCCAGGGAATGTCGAGGATAGAGAAGCTCAAAGCACTCGGCATGGATGAAAGCTGGACTGAGTACAAGGTTCAGCTCATGGACATGCCTGTACCTGGGGTGTACATTACCCCCCATGGGCGAAGAAGGCCCACTGGCAAGGCCCGAGGTCGACCTAGAAAGAGTCGAATTGCAGTTTTTAAATCACCAAAACTGGCCGAATTCCCTTGGTTTGTCAATGACGACCTTTCGGATGATGAAATGCAAGAGGACAATACCTCAGCTCGCGCGTCGGAGTCCGTTTCCAATGAAAACACAGCTTCAAATACTCGCTGGCCCACTTTGAACTCGCCCGCACCGTCATCAATACCAAACACGAATGATCCGGAAAGCGGAAGACCCTCAAAGCGTCCTCGTCTTGGAGACACCCAAGGCGAAATCGATCAGGTATCTTTGGAAACGTCCGAAGGAACTTTGCCAGACAATGCAGCTCGAGCGAGTACAGAGAATATGACTGCAGTTACTACACCACGTCATCGAGACAAGAGTGGTGGTAGTGTACATCCACTCGAGGATGAGCAAAACCAAACGCCTTCAAAACGACGCCGTGTTGGAGCTTCCAACCCAAGCCCAAATAAAGACACAGCTACAGCATCCTCACCGGTCAAGCCATTTGAACACTTTGCACCTCGTGGAAGTCCTGCGTATCCCCAACAGTCGAATACCACCAGGAAAGGCCCCCGGCAGCATAAGAACCTCCTTAGCACAGCTGAAGCACAGCCACCCGTCGCACCCCCGAGGCCTCTAATCGAGAGAGGCGGGTCGATTAGTTTCCTCCGCAGAAAGGTGATCCTGGAGCTTATGGAAAGGGCTGGTGGCGTGTTCCCCACGGGCGCTGCGCTTTGGTATCCATTTGTTTCGGAATGGATGAAGGCGAGGCCCAAGGAGAGACCAGATATGCGGACCATCAATACTGCGGTCAAGGTACTGGTTGATGCCGGTCAGATTCGGCAGTTAACATTCAGTGGCAGAGACAGAAAGGGTGTGATGGTCACTAGAACATTGTTGATGAAGTCGGAGCTCTCTCCCGAGGATGCAAGGGTCAAGAATCTGCAGAGTAAAATGCTAGCCACCGATGTCCACGAACCGAGGCCGATCTTCTCAGAGAATGTGGTATTGGACCCCGGATTGACAAGAAGCGGACGTCGACAAACAGGCGAACCACCCAAACAACAGAAATTCAGATTTCCTTTGGAAACTAAAGCTACGGTCACTTTACATCAAAAGCCTGCATTTGCGAAGGCCGCAGAAGCACGAAGAGGGAGAGCAATCCAAAAACGCCTCATGCGGGGCTTGCAAGCCGAGGCCGACGCTTTCATGTTGGACGAGGAGAGTGAAAGGCAGTATGGAGTCCAGCGGCTTATGACAATTGCACGACCCCCTGTACTAGACATGAATGTCCACCCGCTCACCTCGGTCATTCGCCCTGACAGGAAATCGGCCCGGAAGGGATCTATCAGGCGCCTCGATACTCTCATCAACCCCAAGCAACGCATGAGGCCAATCTCCAATATCAGCCAATATGCCCTGTTAATGGCACCGGTGCAGGAGTTCCATTCAACCAGTGGCACATTTTCCACCGGCTCGTGGCTCATGAAATCAAAGAAAGCAAAGCGCGGTGTCACCGCTGAGCAATTCGTCAGCAAATTGACTGAATTGGCCGACCAGTCACAGATCTCAGACACCTTCAACGCAACAGCTGATAAGATTATGAAGTGGGAAATTGACCACGAGAACGTTTTCAACTCCAATCTTGAGGGCATGCAAAACATCAACCAAACTCTACAGGGTGAATTCGAGACAGAGCCAATCAGCGGGGAAATTCGATTTGAGATAGACATGCCTCGACCGTCGCCACTTCCAGTTCCAACGCCTATGGAGACGCGGTCGATCACTTCCCGTCGCCTACAGACCGATGATACATTCCAGCTCAAACGAAAGAAGCGACGTAAGCCGCGTCCCAACCGCCGTTTGGCCGCACTTGATGAAGTTGCAACACCTGATAAAGACAGACCCGCACCTCGCCAATTGGTTCGTCGGCAGACACGCAGTTCAATACCCGAGCAACTGCTCCGAAACATCATGATCGCCATAACAGCCGTCCGCGTGCTTACTGGTGGATTGGATGCAAGGGTTGTCGAGTGGAATCTCGTAACACGTGCTTTCCCAGAGCACGACCCATCGGCGATGGAACAAAAGGCACGGCGGTGTCTGAACAGAAATCGTCTACAGATTGCGAAGATGCAGAGGGACTTTCAAGAACGGTATCTTGAAGCCTATGAGAAGGGTCTGGTTCCGACCATTGACTACAACGATTTGGAAAACTACGACTGGCCTGGTGTTGTAGAGTGGGCAAGCACTCACTTAGATGTTCCTCTTTCCCAGAGCATCCCAGATCTTCCTGCAACACGCGAACAGTTTGACGCTGTGTTCGAGCTGCGCGAGGAACCTCTCACAGCAAGCGACGAAGTCTATCAGTCCGTGCATGGTTCCACCATCAACCATAAGCGCGCTCTTATGGCCCGCACTCCATTCGCTGTTCCTGTGATTGAAAAAGAACAAGCCGGACTTACTGTACGACAGAAGGGCGTGGCACGTCTTGAGGATGCAAAGTCCTGGGTCCGCGCAAACATCATCACCTCGGAGGAGACCTACAAGTCTGCCGAGGCAGCCGACGTCCTGAACCGCATTGGCGAGCCGCTCATCACAGATGCCACACAGGCGCTGGTGAACGATCGCGTCATCACCATGACGAACAGTGGCCGCATCCTCCCGGGCCGCAACTACGATATCTCAGATAACTTCCTGCAGACGCTCAGCCGCAAACGCGCCGTCGACAGTACCCAACTCGTTCGTGCTGCCCAATTCAAAACCACGATCCTGGACCCGCAGCTCCAGAACCTCGGCATCTTCGATGTCAAATATAACGCAGAAGACGGCGACATTCTCGCCCTCATCAACCTTGCTACGTCTGGCCGTGTCGAATTACGGCCTTCTGGTGCACCCCGCGACAAATTCGGTCTTACAGATGGTGGATATCTCACGCGGCAAATGGATAAAACTCGTCTCCGTTTCCCTGTGAAGGTCCTTCCCACCGAAAGCTATGTCTACGGAAATCCCATCCTCGAACAGACGACATCTATTCCACCTCCGCCGCCGCCGCCTGTATCACCATACACAGATCTGGGACGCAGGTGTCCAATGTGGTTCGATATCCACGGTGAGCTTGTCCCTCGTCTCTGGACAATGGCTATGGGTGCCGTCCTCGGGTGCATGGTGCTTCGACCCGGTGTCAATGCACGCAGCATTTCCAACATGATGAAGCCAACACTGGCCCCGTGGGAAGTTATTCTATTGTTGCGATGGTTGGCCGAAGTGGGTGCGGTCAAAGGAGATGGAAATGACGAATGTGCCGCCTGGCGCTTGCAAGAATGGTGGTGGATGGTTGTGTCCTAATTTTAAGTCCTAAGTTCAAAATTCTGATCTCAGACCTGGAAACTTCATGAATTGTAAGAATAGCAGAAAAGATTCAAAATTTTCACAAATGCCGTGTTTGATTTCAATAAACATCTAGAGGTATCTTGGTAATGTGCATATAAACTCCGTAAATGTAGTCCCACCCGCCCAAACGCAAAAAGCAAAGATATTGCAACAGGAATGGTCATATTTCATGTTCATAGATCGTCGACGTTGGCGACTCGTCGTAATACCAATATGATGAGAGCAATAACGACGCCGACAATGGCTCGGTCCAGCCAGACGCCCTCGGACGACTCTTGATCCAAGGGTATTGGTTGAGCAGGGATCGTGCGGGTAGGTGCAGGTGCTGGTGCAGACACAGGAGCTGCAGCTGCAGGTCTCGGTGATGATGCAGGTGTGGGTGCTGGATCTGGCGCTGGCAACGTGGCAGGGACAGCCGCAGCAAGGGTGGGAGCAGACGGCGCAATTGGAGTATTTTCGCCCTGATGGCCAGAAGCTTGAGCTGACGCCTGCGCTGGAACTTCACTCTGATCTCGAGCATCACCGTCCTCCTCCTGCTTCTTCTCCTCCCCCTCACCCTCCCCAGTCCCTACCCTAGCCCCTTCAGTCTCAACATCAACCTCAACCCCCCGGTCCCGACAAACTGCCCACCACCGCCTCATCCCCTCCAAATTCCCAACTCCACACTCGCGACAAACCCAACTCGTCGAAGCCCTCGCAAACTCCCTCCTAAGAGAAGGACTCCCCTCCATCCCCCCAACCTGCCCTTGACTCTCAGCTCCCATAATCTCCGACCGAATCGCCAAAAGCGCCGTGCGCACCCCCAAGCCGGCTGCCATGTTTCCTCGTGATGACCCGAGATACTAAGGCAGATCTCGCGGTTGACTTCGAAGCGGCCGGATGGTGTCAGGAAGCGGAAGGATGGCGGGCGCAGTGGGTATGTCGGTGGAAAGGTTATGCGGCCATGGTACAGACCTTGACTGTAGGGGGATGGAGATGGTGGGCCTACTAGTGTGAAGTGCCAGTCGTGTAGGTTGTCGTCTGTTATTGGTGTTGCGGTGAAGAAGGGGCTTGGGTTTTTATGGAGGTCACCGCTTTCTTTTAGGAGGCGGCGGGTTGAGGGGGATGTCATTTTGGTGTCTCTCTAGCTTTCTGTGTGTGCTTTTGTTAGATTGAGAGGCTGTGTATGTTGTTGATGTGGATGTTGGAGGTTGGAGAGGATAAGAAGTGGAGAATCGATAAGATGCCAAGTGTCCCGTCATTATCAAGGTTGTGCATGCTTACATATGCATCATTGCATAATATTTTGATATTTGAATATTTGACGTTTGAACATTCAATGCTTAATTTATATCTTTGCAGCATGCTATGCTACGCTTAATCCCAATCTCGCCATTCATCCGTATCATCACGTGAAGCCTGAGGACGCCCAACTCCCGGATCCAACAATCCATTCCCCTCAACCTCATCTTCAAAATCACTATCCCCAGGCCTCGGCCTCGGAGACCTTGGCGCAAGAGTCTGCATGGAGACACTAGTCGGAGGCCGTTCAGGCGTGGTACCACGTTTTGGGGTGCGCAAGGGTTGCGCGGCGCCAGCAGGGTCTCTCCAACTATGACTGTTATCCAGGTTGCGCTGGTACAGTTCGCGGTAGTACTGCTGTTCCTCGGAAGATTCCTGCTCTCGCTGAGATCGCATGCGGTCCCGTGCTTCTAGGAATTTCTCACTGGGTTCCCAGCCCCAGCCGTCGCCGGTGGTTGTGCAGATTGGGAGAGGCCAGAGGAGTGGTCGTTCGCCAAAGAGGTGGAGGAGGTTTCGACGCCAGCCGTGGTCGAAGGCGCTGGGCATTTTCTCGTTATCTTCGTCGTTTTGGTACTCTTGGTACCTTTCATGTTCGCGTTGTCGTTCCATTTCGGCGTATGATCGCGTTAGGGCCTGTTGGGCTGGTGTGAGGTGGTTGTCTGGACCTGAGGCACCGGACATAGGGTCTGTTGAGCGCGGGTCTGGAGATAGGTGCTCTTCACCTTCTTCCGCACGAGTGACTCCTGGGATGGCATTGGCATGCGCATCGATGATCTGGTTTCCATACCCTTGCAGTCGACCGGTCAAGCTAGGTTCCGGCTCACCCCAGTAATTATCGCTGGGCGGCTGCTCATTGCGCTTGCGGTCCAACGCCTTACGCAAAGGCGAGACATATCGCGTTCTCTCTAGACACTCGATGGTCGTTGTCCCACGCACAGCAAGACTAATATGCCAAGCTGTAAATCCCGTCAAGACCAGCCCGATAATACCACCAAGAATCGCCAACAAAACGACATTCACAGGTAGAATGGTATCCATGTACTGGGTGTCGTTGAGGATCTCAGTCCAAACCCAAATAGAAGCAACGCTAAAAACAACCCAACAAAACAGCGAGGTGTAGATCAAAAATAGTAGAAAGGCTTTGTAGTTATACAGTCCCACGCACGTTGCCAGCCACGGGCAGTGGTGGTCCATCTTCAAGACACATCGCTTACACGTTGAACAATGATGCGCGCGGTCTGGTTTCGGGCATTGGCATTTCTTACAGTACCGTGACTCGCCAGTCGAGCTGACGGTGTATGACGTGAACTCCGGATATTCGGAGACAGGGACGGCGCTGTATTCGTGGCGGTCAGCGCCGCGGCGGGTCGGCGATCCCGGGTCGGTAAAAACAGCGACAGTATAGGAGAAGTTGAGGAGGGCGTAGAGTGTGAATGCGAGTGCTGTACTTGGGATGCCTATCATGATAACATTGTTAGTATACTTGGATAAATTGCGTGTAGATAAAAGCCTGTGCAGGCAGCAGGCCGAATGCGGCGTACCGATCCAGTCACTCTTTGAGGGCTTGATGCCGATGCTGATTGCAACGTAGACTGCCCATGTTGTGAGGCCGTAGACAAAAGCGAGTGGAAAGCAGCTTGCTGCCGCACAGCAGTAGCGTTCACAGCGGAGAGCCCAGGCTCGAGGGCGCCGCTTCGGCCAGGAGGGCGAGGTTGGGGGTGACGAGGCCAAGGTGGCCATTTCGGGGTGTTCACGGTACAGACTTGGGAGTGAGGTGCATCGGGGAGCCTCAAAGGAATATTTCCATTATGAAACAAAGCAGAACACAGAGGTGAAGTCAGACATCGGATTTGGAATCTGAGTATCAGGTGAGATCAGGTACATGTACGGTATGCGTAATTTACTTCGCCACAGCCTTAGTGTGGCTGTGGCGTGGTGGATATCCAGAGTTTATTTTGGGAACAACAGCAATATGAACTGGAAGAATAATTGATCTATTTACAAGGACGATCTGTTGTATAGTAAAATGTGGATATTTACAGTAATGCTAATAGATCCATCAACATGTTGATAGAATGCAATAAAATGTCAAAACATAGCAGAAATAGCACGATCACGTGCTGTTGGTGTTAGTGAAAGTCAGAGTATTCTGCTTGCACCAGCCATTGACAGGCAGACAACTCAAGCGGTAGCACCACGAGCAGTTCGAGGTAGGGTATCTGTAAAAGTCGACAAGCAACATAATGAAACCAATCAGGACCGCCACCAAAGCACCGGCGCGGACAACCCACCACAACCACCAAAGAGGCTTGCGGCCCTTGAAGAAGTTGATGGGGTTCTTGGAGTTCTCGATATCCTGGCTCGAGTTGGCCATGCCGCGCTTGCTCTTGAACATGTCCACGAAAGAGGTTGTCTTTCTGTTGTCGGGGGTAGCCTGGCCGGCTCCACCGCTCATGGCGACGTATGGCTGGCGGGCCAGACCGATGCGCTCGCGGAGAACATTGGGGGAGCGCATGATAGTTAAGCCAATAGCAAGACCCATGATGAAGCCACCGATATGGGAGAAGTTGTCCAGCCCGGGAAGAAGGCCCAGAACGAAGGAGACGGCCACGCCCAGGATCATGATAATAAGCTCGACCCATGGGGACTCACGCTGAGTCCAATCGTAAAGAAGATCGAGCAAGTAGAGCGCGAGGATACCGAACAGGGCACCCGAGCAGCCGTCACTGGGGTCCAATTGAGAAGCATAGTTTCCACCCAGTACAAAGCCGAAGATACCACTGGCAAAATATGTCAAGGTATACCGCCAAATTCCAATCATGCGCTCCATGTCCGCGCCCATGGTCATTTGAACCAGCAAATTGAAGCCAATGTGGACGAAACCTCCGTGCAAGAAAATGGGAATAATGAAGCGGTACCACTGGTTGGGAGCGGGGTTATCATCTGTTGATCCTCCGACACGGGGATTGGGAACGCCGCCAAAGCCGCAGGATTCCGACAATGAGCACGACTGGTCGGTGGTGGAAGTGGCATTCGGGCAGGGCCAGAAGATAGTTGTGTTGGCGTTCTGGATTCCCTCCACGTTCTTCATGCACGGATCGTAGCGTGCTCCCATGTAGATTTGGACGTACGGTGAAGGGCCGATCATCGGATTGAAGGTGGGTTTCGTTTCAATAACCGAACCTGTCAACTGGGCTAGTAGAGGAAAGCTTCGGTTAGTCCTTTCTCCGAGACGGTTAAGCGCCGAGAACCGAACTCACCATTCTTGACCAGTTCGACGATGAACACGATGATCTGGGCCAAAGTCAAGATATATGTCATCCAGGCGATCTTCTTCTTGAAGAACCCCTTCTTTCGGCCATTACCTCGTCGGCTATCTTCTAGTGCCCCTGGAGATGGAGGGTACTGCGTCTGTTGCTGCATCCAATCCGGGTTGTTGCCATACTGTGTCTGGGCTTTCAAGGGAATGTTCTCTGAGTAGTGGTCGCCTTCTGTTACACGTCCTGCGGTCTGGTATTGTCCATTGTCCGAGACAAAAGATTGTTGACTTTCTCTGTTGTGATAAGGGGCGGACGGGTCGTCATGGTTCGCGCTGTGGCTGGCGTAGCCGATTCCAGGGGCTATCGTCGGGGTTTGATGTGTTGAACCAGGGACAGCTTGGTCGTATGTTGGAGGTTGGGGGATGTTCTGGTGATAGTAGTCGTTGGCGGCCATGATGGGCGGCCGAGGTTGGTCTAGCAGGATCGGAACAGGGAGATCCTTGAAGTTGTTGAGAGAAAGTGAGATTGAAATAAGCTTCTTTAACGATGGAGAAGCCCTTAAAAAGCGAAAGTGTTGGAAAGTGAGGTGTGTGAAGAAGCAGGCAGTCACATTACTCAAAAGTTATTTTTGGGCCGATCGACGCAGACTCAGCCGCGCGGTCTGCGTGTTCCACTCCGCCCTATGCTTCACCCCTACGTATTTCCTGGGTCCTCCGCCCCTAGATTCTCTGTCTCTTGGCCCAGTCCTACTACGGTGTAGTACGTTGGGCGAACACGCACACGATCTCAGCCTCATGCCAAGCATTGACTACGTACTGCTATACTCTGTTCGGCACCAGCCACACGATAAATCGTAAATATATCCATGTTAACATTATGTATTAGACTGGTATCAATAGAATTCATGGGCGACTGGTACAAGTAGCCAAAGCAAACAGAGCACCCACAAGAATCATGCAGTCACGGGAACCGTGATTCGAAGTCGAGCATTGCGCCGTGTACTCCTGCTCAATCATAATACGCGGGGAAGAGGGGAGAAGAATCAAAATCTGCGCATCATCCAGTCCCAAGAAGCGGGACTGTGAGGGTATATATGCAAAAAGAACGAATGTGGTATATCCTTCCATGGAGGGAGAACGCGGTCAAAAGAACGGCAAAGGGAACGGAAATTGAGAGATGGACACGGATATGTGCCATGTCCCTGGAGCTCACACGCGAGACCTGGCAGCCCGGGTATATCGGAGGCATTCAACAATTGCGACAAACCGGAGACCCGATGCAAAGGGTGTGATTCCTACATTAGGAGTGGGCACTGCATTGAACTGTTTGCCAGAAAACCAAATCACGATTGGCGGTTCACACAGGACAGGATGAGTTTTCATGCTCACCCAGGATGCCCAGAGTTGCACCCATTTGCTCGCCGCTCTGGCCGGTCAGGAGCCACAGGAGGCGGAAGACTTTGGCGTAGAGTAGTGACGGGAAGTAAAAAAGCGCCCAAGCCAGCAGAGAGAGCACGACGAGGACGAACGTGTTAGCCACAAATTTCTCGCTCGGCGTCATGACGTATAGCCCAAATGTGACTTCGTATCGGTAGTATTCGAGCCGTACGCGATCTATACCTTGCTGGACGAGGTTGCGATATTTGCGTGGGAAGCCCCCTTGAATGTGGCAGTGCTTCTCGCCGAGGAATATCTATTCATGAGCTCGTTCATCGCTGCCGGGGCAGGTGGAGAAATGCGGTCGGACGTGGACGGAGTATAAAACGATGGCATTTCGGTCATTTTCGCGTCATAAACATTTGTTGGGGAGAGGGAGATGATCTCGCCAATGAAAGCGCCAGGCAGGGCAGGAGTTATCTTGGCTTTGCCGTTGTCAAGTGTAGAGGAAGAGACAGACAAAGGGTAAAGACCCAATGTAAGGATGCTTGTCAGAAGAGTAATATGTACGGATGAAGGCGGAGGTAGCCAGACCGCTAGCTGTTATAGTCGTTGGAATAAGAAAAGCAGAAAGGAAAGAAAGGAAAGCATGACGCCTAACAGGTTACATCTCAGCCCTACCTGCTTTGGAGGAAGGAGTGGAGAGCAGACTAGGAAGGGGTCGGAACTATCGGCAACAAGCAGGGAACTCGGAGCATAGGTCCATTTTGAGGCATTCCAGATTTGGTCTATAGAGTTAGTTTGGCATTACTCGTGCCTTACCAAGGTTGCATTGTTCTGGTTCTTGGCTTTGCAGGAACCAGGCACAGTTCCGAGAGCTCCGACAACCCCGAAAGCGATGCCGTTTTCAAATCCCGTAAGTGACCACGCTGCAAGATAGTCGCCTAGGGAAAACTTCAAGATCGGTTCGATTTCAGAAGATGGGTCTAGCTAGGCCAATACATCCGATGTCCGAATGTCTAGCATGCACAGTCATTAACTGAAGATCCGATATGCAGGACGATGACCTGACAAGGTGAACATGAAGCAAAGCAGATGAGAAGTAGACATCAGACGAGGCTATATAGGCAAGTCGTGAAGAGAAGATCACAGCCCCTTTCTGGGGATTCTGCCGCTGATGTCATCGCGGTTGCCGCGTTTCATCTTTCCCACCCCGCTCACATCTAAACACAACAACTACCATGGAAGACCCTCTCGTTCAGGCGCTGCCTCCAGCAACAGACTACCTGACCTACCTGACGCTATTGGAATATCAATTAACCCCAGAGCGTTTGCCACTTCTCCACAAGCTCCTGCAAGATGAGAAGCTTACGACGAACATCGGTTGGGACCTGGTGAAGCTGCTACTTCCCATGCTCCCCGCATCCAGCGACTGTCTCCAAGATGTTGCGCGACTGGGAAATCCCCGTGAAGTGATCTTGCGTGTCTCGGAATCTCTGATGCAACTCCAGCCCGAAGATGAAGACGACGAAGAGGCGAATGACGCGGGGCTGCCCCTACACATCTTACAGTTCAATTGCCTTCTCGGAATGCTCTCGGTACTCCATACACGTATCCAGACCAAGGCACCTAGTCGATTTATCGCCACCTCCCTTCAAGCAGCCCTAGAGGCATACACATCGATGCCGACCAACGAGACCACCCTCGCCTTCCTCGAGTTCCTCCGTGCGGTTTCTCCGTCTAAACGACCGGCTCCTCCTCCACGAGCTGCTAGCGAATCGAGTGTTCTCAAGGTTGCCGCAGCGTCAGCACCAGATCCCGAGGCAGAGGTTGCGACGCCATCTCCATCTGCCGATAATGAGACTCTTCTTGTTCGGAAATTCACACAGTTTGGTCTGCTTGAGTTGCTCAAGTCATATCTCTTGAGTTTCTCCGGCCCTGTGGACCCGGGTATGTCGTGGACTATTCGCATGCAGGAGCAGCTCCATCCCGACCTGCGGCTACCCGCTCAGTCCCAGACTGATGCATATGGATCTACCAAGGAGCTCAAGGAGCGTGATATGATAATGGGCAAACTGGTGGTATGTTGATTATATAACTATAACGTTCCGCAAACTTGATTCATATCCTCTAACTGGTTATACAGGCTCTATCACGTGACGTTGGAATTGATAACAATCAGCTTCTATCAATTATCTCTCAATCACCCACTGATCAACCGGCGCAGCTCGACTTCGAGGAGCCACCGAAAAATCCCGATGGGATTCCACTCGAGCGACATGGCTCACTACTCCTACTGGCAGCTCGGGCCGCAGGATCTACCCTATACGCCTCTGGACAGCCGATGCCCGACCTGCCCGTGTTCCCTAACCTTGCACAGATCTTCAACTACTTTGTCGGCGGCCACACAAGCCTCGATGAAATTGCATTTGGTCAGCCGCACGCACTACTCGACTCTCTTATGGCCATAACGGTCTACGCTTTGCAAGAGCCCGTCAAAGCCGCGCCCAGCGAAACCGAGTTCAAGGAGTTCGTGGTGACCCTTACTGCGTGCACAGCCCGCCAGAGTCACGGCATCGTTCGCCAAATTCCGGCCGCGGTTTTCCAAAGCCATCCATCATCGGAAACCAGGTTCAAGCTCATCTACAAAATATTGGAAGATGATCGCCTTGTATCTGCCCGGGATAGTGCCATTTCATGGTTGAAGGATGAACTGCTGCGCAGCTCCGATCAGTCATCCGGCAATGTCTTCCAATACCCGCTCTACTTTTGGGCTCTCTTCCCGCATCTATTCTCCCCCGTCACGGCCTCCGGTTCAGCGCCCAGCATTGTCGCAACTTGGACCCGTCTCACCCAGACCCAAGGTCCGCCACTTCACTCCGCACTGAATCTGTATTATCTGCTGCTTTCTTCGCCTTCTCTACGAGAGCAACTTCAGCTCGAAAAGACCGTCAAGTTTTTCCGTAGCCAGGTTTTGGAACCCCTTCGGCAGGTGTTCCACAGCTTCGAGTCCGATCTCGCTTCCAAGGGAGGCGAGGGTGTCATTGAAGCTGCAGTTGGCGAGGAGATGTGCCATGTCGGTAACGCGCGCTCTGTTGGGCTCATTGGTCTTACTCTAGATCAGATTGAGGAGGTTACAAGTGATGCCTTTGGTTCAGATGAAGCCGATCTCAATGACCATTCTGAGGCCGATGAAGCTAAGGTTTTGGACATTCAGAAGCGGATGGATTTCTGGAATTAAGAATTGGTTTAGGAAATTGTACAGAGTCTTGATATGAACGTTTCAATGAATTAACGGTTCGATTTTGAATTTTGCTTGAGATTTGTATATTGTTGCCTGAAAGCAAGGCGCCAGCAGGATTTGCTTGCCTGGATAAAACGGCTCACATCTTTTCTCTTTTCCCTCTTGGAACACAGTTCAAGAAAGATGGATGGGGACATGAGCCAATTCTGGAAGCACCCCATGGAGTGTGCGCTACGGAAGAAGCATCATAATTGCCACATAGCCTGTTCAAAGCACGAGAAGGCTGGACTGGGCGCTTGTAATTCTGAGCACTTCCTTACAACCAAGCACAGATGTGCGGGCCTTTCCAACTGGCAAGTGGCAATTTCGGTAAGATAACTCTACCACCGAAGCCCGCAACCTTCGCACGCTTCCTTATAAACAAGAAAGGATACTTAACATGACATCAAACAAACCACCTACACACAGAGCGGATGCTGTATTTATAGTATTAGGTCTGCAACGAGTCAAACAGCGGTGATTACTGGGCCTAGATAGACGACAAAAGCCCCTCTATCATCATACGGTTGATTAGCTTTTGATGTAGCATTCAGAAGCAATTGATGAAAGCACGAATGAAAATAAAAGGAAGCTTGATATGATCGTGATGTTGTTGTGTAAACATAGGTGAACGAGTTTCGAGGATCGACATTGGCAAGGAACTACATCACAAGTTTTGTTCAAGTTCGAGTGCGGTCAAATTCAGCAAAAGGAACGTAAGTTTGAATTCCACCAATCTATTAATACATGTTTGATTTCATACACGTGCCGTTGTCATCCTTTCCTCTCTCCTCTTTCCCTCCTGTTCTACTAATTCAATGAATTGATTTGGCAGAGCATGTCGAGATTCTGCCTTTTGCGACCCGGAAAGCCCCATACAAGCGTCACTGATCTGAATGTAGCGCTCTCGGAAGGCATCCCATATCACAGGGTCTTTTCCTGGTCGGGGGTAGTAAGGGTCGTTACCCCAAAAAGAAGCGACATCATTGAAGTCCATAGTCATCCTCCTACATAAATCAAAGTCCAATACCCATAATGAATGGTCTCCAAAGACACTATTCCCTGTTTCAGGTGATCCTCTCCAGTTGGAATCATCAGGAGGCGCTAGAACAAACTCGATATCGTTCCCATCAATTTCACCGATCCAATGCACTATAGCAAGTGTTTCGGCCATTGTCCTCGCGTACTGCTGGATAGCATTTGATTCCATGCCGATTGACTCCATCTGATCGATATGAAGTGGGTAATTCCGGAGTGAGAACGCGGAGAATTGCGACATACTATGTGGCTTTTGAGTTCGCCTTCGGCCTAGGTACGGTCTTATCAAGCAGTCTTTGTTCGGCTCGCTGGTGCGTATTTGTTGAGCAATTTTGGACGGACAGTAGTTGGTAATCAGCACTTCTCTTGTGGTCTCGGAAAAAGGAGGAATGCGCTGAAACTGGATCATATTGCATAGCGTATACCCCGGTGGGAACTTTTGTTGGTTCAGTGTCCTCCAGTTCTGATCTGTTACCTTGATAAAGTCGTAGCAGGTTGGAATCTGTATTTGAAGCCGTATTTGCGGTGATTCCTTCAGGGTTGTGTCGTTTGTTGTGTGATTGGAAATGGTGAATCTTTGAAATGCCTGGATGAATCGATGGTGCATTCGAATGTCATATCTTCGGAGACCGATCGGGCCCACCATCTTCTCTTTTGAATGCATAGCCTTTCTCAGAGGCTGCCCAGACTGTGCCGCAAGACCCTTTCCCAATCATATGTAGTGGTGAGTATTTACGAGACTCTTAGGCGTCATAGTGGCGTCGTGTTTTTCAGGCGAGATCTGTGGTGAAGCACTATGGAGATGCTGTGAGTTGTTGATGAGACTCTTCGGCGTCATAGTGTCTGCAGGGTCATGTTTTTCAGATAAGGTATGTGGTGGGGAGTCAGGGAGATGCAGTTAGTCATTGAAGGAACTCTTAGCAGCCATAATAGTAGCTGCGATAATTTCTAGGTGGGATAGATGGTGACTGATGATAGACCCTCTAGGTAGTGCTCAGCTGCCCGAGATCGACCAAGGCTCAACATAGAAAATATACTTCGTACCAAACGTACCCCTTGATTTTACTAACAATAAAACCCATGGATCTCATAATGAACCTTGGAATGCAAAAAGTGTTTTCATGATCAAATTCATTAGTTTTCGCTAGAAACAGGTGGCATTCTGATTGTTGGTCCCTAGGGGTTCTCTACTTAATCCAAATGCTTCCTAACAAGTAGTGAGATGAGAACGCCGGGGCCTCAGAAGCCTGAATAGGAAATATATTCACAGCATTGTGGGGACGTCTATTTGCCTATACTGCCTAGGCGCAGTCTGGATACAGCGAACCAAATTGCATCCATGAATTACTTATTTACACCCGGGGCATGGCTTCTACGAACCGGAGAGCTGCAACCACAGCACCGGCATATGCCGCACTACCTTGGCTTACTTCGAGCCCAATATTTTGTGATCTCATTTTGGCATGATCTACCCGACCTAGGTTGGTACCTAGATAACCTTGGAAATGATCTAACATCGAAATATTAACATTATATGACTCACGTCGTAAATCTACTCCTTACACAAGCCCCATCACATTATCCACTGTGAAGACTGGGGCTCTCCAAACATTTCAGTAATTTAGCAGACTCTGATAAGTAATATTTAAGCAATTCCGCACTCCTTTGTATTGTTTTTCGAGGTCAGTCCCGCTGCTAATAACCCCCAATTCTTATTTGCCATTAAGATTTGTGCTAACGTTACTGTGATCCTTTAGTGTTGACCCCAAACGAGATGCGACTCACTCTGTGCTAATTCAGCAAGTTTTTGTTCGAGACGGGATAGAAACCTATTAATATTGTTATCACAAGCACGGCGTCGATAACAGCAACAGGATTCGGAGCAGCGTTTAGGGATGCCAGAATATTAGAGGGGGGTTCTTTTAGCACAAAAAGGCGCGTAGATTCATTAATATCATCAATCACCTTCGCAGGCGTTCAGCTCGGATCACTGGAGGAAAGAGCACTGTGCGATCAGGGTCCGTGATTTCATTAAGAACAAGTGCGCCATCATTGAAAATACCGTCCCGAAATGCAGTCGTTCCGATTCTCGAACAAGCAACAATCTTCCCGGTGCACTTCCCGTTCTGGAACAATTCGAAAGTCCACTCAACATTCTAAGGCTTCTCGATGTTCGCCGCAAAGCGCTCGGCATTTGCCTGGAGGGCGGTGGGAGATTGATTGATAGCTGCTGTGGGGGACTGCGTATATGCCGATGTCGAAACTCATGCTGCCAGAGGTTGGTTTTGCTCTTTTGGAGCTCGCGCGATTTTGAATGGCTGTGGCGTGGGAAACAAGACCTTTGCTGTGGATAGGTGCCGATTCTCTAAATTGGCCTGTATAATAGACCTGCCGATGTAGTCCGTGTCTTTGCACAAGTGACTAAGTCACAGAGCTGGCAACGACGGAACGAGCCTCGTTTCTTAGATCGTCCAAAAGTCTCAGAATGTCGCCTTTGATGGTCTCTCCGATGTCTATATCTCGGGAAACTTGAACTGTGCGGATGCTCATCTTTATAGGGACTGAGATGCTGAGCTAGTCCTTTCAGGAGAGTGAATGACTCCCGCCCTACTTAAGTAACTAGTATTTATCTTACTACTTCTACGGTATACGTACGTATAAACTGCCTTAGAAATTCGAGTTAGCTTATGTGTTCGTACGCCTGAAGTTATCTCTCCTAACCTCTCCCGACCGTCCGTCCCCCTTACGTTACTTATTATTCCCCTCTACCCCGTAGACCTCCTATTCTAATATTATCGCTTCTTACTTACATACGTTTATTTTCTTCGCCCGATAGGTAGACTAAGCTCAGATCTCCCTTAACGTATTTATTTTGGCTTTACAGGTCACTCAATCTAAGTGGGATGCAGGTCAATTCTTAATAATAATGTTAAATCACCAGCATGTCCCCCAAGTCTTGTATACAATTCGCATATAATTTCGTCGTCTATACACAGGAGCAGAAGAGGAAACAAGCATATATATATTGAAGCCTTTAGAACACGATTTCTGGGATTGTCTCTAAATATTTCAGCTTAACATGATATTCCTACTAAGATATGATTTATATCAAAAGGATCTCCGATAATGTCGTATATAATGGCATGAGAGAGGCAGCATAGTCAACGGGGTCCCACTGTTGCTCGTGATCAGCCGCGCATGCATGCGGGGTGAAGCACATGGCGAGTCAGCTTATACAAGTACTCTAGAGGTGTCCGGGTAACTTATATTTTGACAACTTAGTTGCAACCACTACATATAGCAAGCCCAAAATAGCACACAGCAAAATAGCCAGAACAAGCTGATACACCGCCACGTTTCCATCGTGGCTGGGCAGCGGGGCGCATTTAAAAACAGTCCCCCGCTCTGCAGGCATCCTTGTTTTGCGGACTTTCTTTTCTTTTGACCTTCGGTATCCTGATCTTTCGTTTTCTCTTCTCTACCATCGCCATGTCCAACCAAGATGACCTGGCCTACGGTGGCTACTACCAGGCCGAACGTGGGTCCGGAGACGGATCTCGCGGCTTCGGCGACACATTCAAGAAGCTCCGCGACACCTACAAAAGCCACCAGGGCTCGTCGCAGTCTGGCCAGAATCAGACATACAACCCAAGTGGCTACCAGGGGGTACATTGTGCCAAACCCTCATCGGTACCGTGCTGACACTCATCTCTGCTACAGCAAGGCTACCCGACTCAAAGCGAATCCTCACAATACGGATACAGTCAGGGAAGTGGACAACAGCAACAGCAACAGCAACAACAGTCTTATGGAAAACCACCCAAGGAAGACAAGCTCCATGGATTCCTGGGGAAGCTCCAAGGCACTGTGACCGAGTTTGGGACCGAGTTCGCGCAGAAGTTGGGGACCACAATCGACCCCAAAGCCTACGCCGAGTATGGACCCACCAAAACCACCGAACATCGCTTTGGCAGTTTCGCTCCTCCCCGAGAACATAACGACGCAAAGTGGTACGTCGATGGCTGCTCGTATTTCTGGGCTGTGTCTCGCGCACTGGAGAATGCACGGGAGTCCATCTGGATTCTGGACTGTAAGTTTGAAGTTCCCCGTACCGTGGAATGTGGCGTTAAGACGTAATCAGGGTGGTTGTCCCCCGAACTATACCTCCGCAGACCCCCGGCAAAGAATGAACAATACCGGCTGGACCGAATGCTGCAAGCTGCAGCTCAGCGCGGTGTTCGCGTCAATGTGATTGTCTACAAGGAAGTCACACAGGCACTCACTCGTATGTATATCTCTCCGCATTGAATTTGCTGAGCTAAGAGGTGGTCTACAGTGTCTTCCTCTCACACTAAACATGCTTTGGAGGGCTTGCACCCCAATATCGCAGTCTTCCGCCATCCTGATCACCTTCCTGATCGCCAAGAGCTCGCGGCCTCTATCACTTCTTCTTTCCAAAATATGACTCTTGACTCAGCAAGCCTCAGTAAGATGTCCAAGGACACCATTAAAGGGGTTTACGGCATGAATGACGATGTGATTCTGTATTGGGCTCATCATGAGAAGCTCTGCTTAATTGATGGTCAGACTGCTTTTATGGGTGGCTTGGACATGTGCTTCGGCCGTTGGGATACCCACCAACATTCGATCTCCGATCTGCATCCCTCGGATGTGAACCAAACTGTTTTCCCTGGCCAAGATTACAACAATTCTCGTGTCCTTGATTTTGAAGATGTCGTTCACTGGGAGAAGAATCAGCTGGATAGAAAGTCCATGTCTCGTATGGGATGGTCTGATATCTCTGTGAGCCTTCACGGTGCAGCCGTTGAAGACCTGCGTCGTCACTTCGTCGAGAGATGGAACTTCATCTACGACGCGAAATACAAAGTTCGGAGTGACACAAGGTACGCAAGATTAGCGTTGCACGGGCGTCCTACCTCGTCAACTGGCCAACAGCAACCTGGCTCGCAGCAACTGAATCCGTATCCGTCGGGTCAGTCAAGCCCGCAGTTCCAGCAACAGGGACAGTCACCCACCCCATCCTGGCAACAGCAGCCTAGTCCAAAGCCCAGTGGAACTACCTCTACATACCCACCACCACCGGCTTCGAGCTCTTACCAACAGACTCAGTCCCAGTCCCAGTCCCAGCAGCAGCCCCAGCATGACCAGCAACAATCCCATACTGGGTCATACCAGTCATATCAGCCTGGGAACACTTCGAACTACTCACCATCGCCCGCTCAGGTCTCGAATCAGTACCAATATCAGGAGCAACAGAATACGTCTACTTCGTCTCAGTCCGAGAATATCCTGTACCATCCTCCGCCCAGTCCAACTCCGCCCAGTTATCAATCGTCGCCGGCCCAGTCTAGTCATTCACCGAGTCAGGGTACATCCCAATACACTTACTCTGGAAACTCATTCCCGCCTCCCCCACCTGGACCTCCTCCAGCTCAGAATACTGCGCCTCCCAGTTATCAAGGCTACCAGAGCCAGCACCAGGAACAGACACCTTATTACCCACTGCCGCCAACACAGGCCCCCACTGAGACTCATCAGAGCTCAAGCCAAAGCCAGACGCCTTACTACCCCCTCCACCGGGCCAGGAGTCATCTCACTCCAACACGCGTGGAATATATGATTACCAGCAATCCGGCGATCGCGAAAGAGGCTCTTTGGCGCCCCGCCGCTTCAAAGAGGATATAACTCAATATGGGAACTCCCTTCGTGGTCAACTTGCGGGACAAATCCACCAGTATCAAGACCGACTGACCACATATGGCCGTCCGTCGTCGCAAACCCGAGGAAACATGTCCTGCCAGATTGTGCGCAGCTGTGCAAATTGGAGCAATGGCAGCCCACTGGAGCATTCAATTGCCGATGCATACTGTGCCATCATTCGTAACAGTGAGCATTTCGTCTACATTGAGAACCAGTTCTTCATCACTTCGACAGGCGAATCACAGCATCCAGTGAAGAACAAGATCGGAGCTGCGATTGTTGAGCGTATCCTGCGTGCTGCCCGTGCTGGACAGAAGTACAAGATCGTTGTGGTGATTCCCTCTGTCCCCTGCTTCGCTGGTGACTTGCGGGATGATGAGACACTCGGAACACGCGCGATCATGGAATTCCAGTACAACTCCATCAACCGTGGTGGGCACAGTATCATGGAAGTGATCGCCAAGGAAGGCTTCAACCCCATGGAATACATCCGTTTCTATAACCTTCGAAATTATGATCGCATCAACAACGGTGGAACGATGGCTGCGGCCGAGCAGCAGAGTGGTGTCAACTACGAGCATGCTCAGAGACAGTATGACATGAATACTGCCGGTCCTGGTGGATATGCCCCGAGCACCACCCGGAGTAACTTTGACACAAGCGCTCCATTCCAGCAGTATCAACAAGCAGCTCATCGATTCCAAGGAAGTCATGCCTCTACTAGTCGCTGGGATAGTGTTAGCGAGTGCTATATGCTCGGCGGAGAGGATATTCGTAAAGTGCCCTGGGACGGTCACCCGGATGCTGAGATCGATGCATTTGTTAGCGAAGAGCTCTATGTTCACTCAAAGGTATGCTTACCCGAGTTCCATGATGAACCAAGAAATTCTAACAAGAATAGGTGATGATCGCCGATGACCGGGTTGTTGTCTGCGGATCTGCAAACCTCAACGACCGCTCTCAGCTCGGCGACCATGACTCTGAAATTGCCATCGTCATCGAGGACTTCACACCCGTAGCCTCGAGCATGAACGGCAAGCCATGGACTGCCAGTCGCTTCGCTGCATCTCTTCGCCGCGAGCTCTTCCGTAAGCATCTGGGCCTTCTACCACCGCAAGACTATCAGCGACCGGACGCAAACTTCGAGCCTGTGGGAGTTCCCAACCAATTCGACTTCGAATGCCCCGAGAGCAAGGTGGTCGCCGATCCCTTGGCCGATACTGTCCAGAGTCTGTGGAACTCGCGTGCACACACTAACAGCGAAGTCTTCCGGAAGGTGTTCCACGCAGTGCCTGATGACACAGTGCGCAACTGGGCTACCTACAAGGAGTTCTATGAGTACTACTTCCACAAAGCTGACAAGGAGGCCGAGGCCCGGGAAGGATTCGCCCGGCCGGCGCGATTCCAGTGGGGCCACGTGGTCCGCGATGACTTCGCGCCTGGTGCGGAGGGAGCGAAGCAGGTCAAAGAGCTTCTCAGCCAGGTCAAGGGTACTCTGGTTGAGATGCCTTTGATGTTCTTGATTGAGGAGGATATCGCGAAGGAAGGATTGACTCTGAATGACTTGACGGAGCCGCTCTATACCTAAGGAGGAGAATGTATTTGCTGAGACAGCACGCTCAATCTGCTTATCATGCATTTGCCTTTTTTGATTTACATATTCTAAATTGCTACAGCTAAGCGAACTCAATCTTTTGTTTGGTAGCGATCAAGCCCTGATACCGGAGTAAAAGATACACCGACCGTCAGTCCTGGGCAATCAAAACACCACATTTGGCATGTTTTGATGCCGAGCCCGGGCAATATTGTTCTCGAGAACAATCGTAGGCGCAATGTGGTTGATGTGATTGGTGGACTGGCGGTCTCTTTGTCTCTTATGCCTATCAGACCGAGTCACATACTCAACATTGCACTTTCTCGGCACTATGCCTTAATATTGTTCTGACATTTAGAGAAGCTTCACAATGCAGCCACCGTCCGTGCCTGAGACAGGGGTGTCCTTCACGCCTATCGCTGTGGCGTTACTCCATGAATGACGGCGGAACAAACCAGTCGAAGCGACAGCTCCTTCGGCGGGAATGCGGAATGCGAAGCGGAACAATATCAACTTGCCCTCATTCAATGTGCAGATTGCAGACGTTAGGAACAAAGTAGGATGCCAGAGGCGAGCTTATCTGCATTCATGAGCTCGAGAACAATATGAACCGGACCCGTAATGGGCGTTCCGTCAAAGCAAACTCTGGCATTCTGACCTGATTGCACGCATTGGCGAGCCCAACGGATTGGATTTCTCCATTCAATGTGACATTCGCATTGAATTTGCCAATGCTAATGGCATCTCGACCACTTTGACTGCCGAAGCAAAGCTGAGCTCCTCGAATATAAATTCCTCCTCCTTCTCCAGCCAAACATTTTCTCTTCCTCATCACTCACAATCTAATCTTTCCAACACTCTATCCAATTTTTTAAACTTACGCTTTTTAAGCAACCCTCAATCTCCAAGATGTCTCCCTCCCAGATCCAGAACGGTGCCGTTGTCAAGGGTGAGTAACATTTCGAACATACTCTCTGCTCATCATAAAAATCTCCTCCTACCCTACCTCACAATCACATACTAATATCCCATCTCCAGCCTCTCCCGGTGGTGGCTGCGTTGTCATGTAAATTTCTTTCCATGATGACTCCCAATTCCAACGTCCCATCTCCCACCATGGCCTGACCTGAACACCGCTGGTCAGCCATGGCCGACAAGAAAACGCATCAACATCTTTCAATCTTCACCACGGACTCTTTGTGAATGCTTTCAACCAACAAAAAAAAAGATAAAGAAAAGCTTCCCTCGAAAACATGACCAAAACACCTCTTTGCTTTTGTTTTTTCCTGCAGTCGACTCCCCTCATGCTTTGGTCCGCGCAGCTACATCTGTCCACCAGATAGATGCAAGTGTCAACGATCATTTCTCATGAAGGCCAGTCCGTCTTCCCAGTCCAGTTCATTCCTTCCTCAATACAAGAAACAGTTGTTACTCTTGACAGTTCCAGTTTCGTGAAATCGCCTGTTCGGCTCTTCGGCAGGTTTCATTTCATCTCATCGGCTGTCGATCTTTCGACTTTGTTCTTTTGTTGACTTCTTCGTGGACGAATCGGGAGGTAGAATGGCTTTAGTTTCAATTTTTCCTTTCAGCTACATTTCGTGGGATTTCTTCATACTCCAACATAAATTCGGTTGATTGTTGTACCTTTTATTCTTTTTCGATGGGGTGATGGTTCCTTTCAGTTTTCTTATTTGATGAATGGGCTTGATGAATTGGGATATTATTTGTTACTATTGGTCATGGTAGCTGATAGGAATTGACCTGCCTCCTAAACTTTGCTTTTTCTTTCGAGTAGATTCTGGGATTTCTGAATAGGTATCATTGTTCATGGTTCCCATTGTAAACAATCCGAGTATTGAGCCTGTGGTGCTATCTTGCTTGGCTCTGCTGATAATCTTTCTGAATATTCTTCTTGCATGCCTAAATAGCCTAGTGCTTTATTTTATTTTATTTATTTTTTATAGCAAAGTCTCTGGATCCCTACATGCCCACAAGAATAGCATATGGAGTCTGTATGATCCCATTCTTTGGTACGTTCGAGGCTTAGAATGAGATACTGCTATAACACCCATCTTATCATAGTTGAGATCGCTATTGTAGATGGCAAATATTTTTTTTTGTTTTTTTTTAAAAAAAAAACCTCCCCCGCCCAGGTGTACAGTGCTCATACTATTTGACGTTTTAGAGTGTTAGCGGTAATGTTCGATCTGCACGGCAGGATGAAGTAACTGACTTGACGGCGTTGAAGAACTATGCAGTTCGGATGTATCTCTCAACTTGATAGATTTCAAGTGCCAGACAGTCGTGAATATATTAGGGGTAGAGGCAGATAGACATGTATAGCTGATTTCGCGATTTATAAGGGAAAAAACTATATTAAATCAGGAATCTCAGATACAGATGGAACGAATTGTCAAGTTGATGCAATTATACACGAATTACTCGAAATTACAGTCATGTCTCATGAGTTAGAACAATACTAACAAGCTTCAGGGTTTAGGCCAGCCATCGAGATTTCCAAACCACCGCGACCTATAGATCTCATCACCGATATTAATCTTGCGTCTCTTTCCGTTAATCACCAAACTCGTGTGGAAACCACGGAACTTGGTCCATAAGGACTGCACGTATATGAAACTGCCGTCGGGTGCAATATTAAAACTCTTCAGGTCCGACTGCGGCAGCTCCTCCCACTCCCCGTCAGTATACCCGTGGCGACCTTCGGTTGTAACCTCAAACCCGTGCAAGTATTTCTCGGTGACATTCTCATAATGTTCTGTGTACTGTCCTGTCTCGATATCAAACGCGTGGAGACCCCGGTCTTCCGACACAAGGAATTTCCGCTGATTAGGGATAGGTACTAGGTCATGCAAACCTGCCCACCAGGAGTATCCCTTGCCCCATTCAGCCTCGATCCGTTTTGCCTCGGGTAGTTTATAGACATATCTATCATCCTTCACCAGTAGGCCCGTTTCCCTGTCCCAGGGATATCCAACAATAGTCCCGTATGCAGGGACCGGATCGCTGCCGTCCGCTGCGGCGTCTGTTCCAGCAGCCCACAGCATCTGACCCTGCTCATCCCAGATCAACCCGTGTATAGCTCGCAGACCGGTGATGTTTTGAAGAATCGGAGGGTTTGCCATAAGAGGGTTGGCGGCGCTAGCATTATAGACAAGAATACCGTCCCAGGCTCGCTGACCAGTAGTACCCACGGCGAGTAGATCGCCCGGGAGTGGTTCGAGTGTATGCGCATTCCAGAGGACGTCGTTTCTTCTACAAAGCGTAAAAGTAAAAAATTTGTCGGTGGCTGGGTTGTCGGGCGTGTGGTTCATAACAACGGCAAGGTCACTATAGACGCCTCCGACGCTAGTGCCGTTATTCATGTATTTGACCTCGGTGGCATCATTCGCGTGAGCATAGAGACATTTGTGAACATCGTGGGGGAGTGGTTGCGTGACGTCGTCGCGGTGGAAGCTCCAGCTCACGTCACCATGGCGGTCATGAATCTTCCAAAGGGGCGGGCGACCATAGACCCCCGTTATAATCTGGTGCCAAGGTCGGTGTTCGAGACGGAGGCGTTCTTGCGGCTGAATGGGAGGGATATAGACGTCGGCGAGAGGTTCGAAGAGAAGTGATATCCAACCTAGGAATCCGGCCAGCATGATAAATAGTTGTAGCAGACCAGCTAGGGCACTGCTTCAAAAAATGAGACGTCCATCTTCCCCCTAAGAAATGTCTAATGTCTCCTCGGATCTTCCATAGCATACGTATGTCCAGTGGAGAATAGGCGGGAGCTAGTCTCTGTAACTGGATCCTTCACTTGTTTATCTCCACGCACTCCATACTTCGTACTCGTTCCCTACACCGGAGATAGCGCAACGCACTTTCCGAACCTTAGTGAAGGCTTGGCAACTTGGCGCGAAGTGGGGCGCGGCATGTTATCGTTCAACCTCCCTTATTCGGCTTAGCACTACAGTACTCTATCTCAGCCTATCTCAGATTGCAACATGGGTTGTCTTTCAGAGAAACGGAGGATGTTGGAGAAACGGAGGATGTTTGTTATTGAATGCTTTGCTTCGTGGTCCTCGAGGGCAACTATTCCCTTACATCTTACCATTCCTCATTCTTACCAATGTACTGGCAATTTTGTTCTCCCCCTAATTTGAGATGATGAGACCAAACCAACACCCATTCGGTGATTGGCAATAGAGCTACATTTACACCCATGCTTATCGCGATGACACACGCTAGTATTTATCAATGTTTGTGATCGGTGCTTTAGACGCCGTAGCCCAGTTAGGGCTCTTATGCATGTAACCGGCCCCACTGCATCGCCCTATGACCTGCATCCACATCTCCATGCTTGCCGGGGTTTCGTACTTTTGTTCAACTCATAGCATCCTCTCTTTCCTCTTTAGGTTGGATCATATTCTTCTGTACTGCAACGTCCTAAGCAGCACCCATGTCTATACGTTTATCTATACGCTTATCTGCTCCTCAGTTCACCTCGCATGCATCATATTTTTACATGGGTGTACTGTACCATCCGGTTAGTGCGAGTGGCTTATAAGCGCTTACAAACTGAATTGGCACTCGTGAGTATATATTGTATTGCCTCGTGTTGATTACAAGAAGCCTAGGTCCTATGTAATCCCCGTCAATGATAAAATCAGTACATACGACCATAGGGTGTGGAGAACAGGGCTTCCCGTCCGCTCAGCCGTACTTAAGCCACACGCCGGTAAGTTAGTAGTTAGGTGGGTGACCACTAGCGAATCCTTACTGTTGTATGTTTTTTGTTTCTTTTTTACCTCCTTTACTGTTATATACAACGCTTTCAGCCATCACTAGCTTTTGGAGTATGAACCATAATTTTGCCATGATTCAAGGTCGGGGGGAAACAGGTACAAAAGAGAGGTAAAAGGAGAGGTAAAAAAGAGGTGTGAAACCTTGATATAGGGCAAGATTGACTTTTGAGCTGATGCACCAAGAGACTGCCGTATCCGTCTCATCCATCACTCATCATAGGTTCTATTATAGAAACCAAGAGTGCATCCTGCCCATCTGCCGAGCTCGAGTCTGCGGCCAAGGATTGTATCTGAAGCCTGTTACCATTCCCCTTCCCCTTTGCCATGCCGTGTTGTATTTGTGCGCTTAGATTCCGTCCCTAGGTGGCTCTTCGGGGAGTGCCCAATACCGAAAACAGACAATAGACAGAGCAGCATGTATCCCACCAAGACTTGGAGTTATAAAGTTCCTCTGAATGCAATCTACCATGTGTTACCTCGACGTAACTGGCTATCCAAATTATATACAGTCCAATCTGCCAAGACCAAGATCAAGCCCTCACTCCCAATATTATACAGCAAATTACCTCTCTTCACTCTTCATCTCAAAAACAACCGTCTTGATGATATCACCAAGCCGTCTCACCTCCGATACACCATCTTGATCAAGCCCAACCCCATAAGCATGCACAGGCGCAGGAACAGTCACCACACTCGAGACATTGACCGCGACCTTCTGCTCATTCCCACCAACAACCTCATCACCACCCAAAATCCAATTCTCACCACCATCTGCATAACGATCACAATCCTCCAAATCCGGTATGACAAACCCAACACCAGGGTACGGATACTTATGAGGTGGCAACGCCCACCGCCGCCTAGACCCAACAGTCTCCGAAATCCCACCCTCACCGTCTCCTTCCCTATCGCGATGCTTTCTAGTCCGGTCATAAGACGACCCCGAAAGACAGAACCGAACAACGGTCGAAGCGAAGGCGCCGAGGTGGAGATAATGGCGATGTTCACTTCGACTTGTGACTAGAATAGAGTCTAGATCGCGTCGTAAGAAACGTCTTTTGTAATCATATTCTTATCGCAATGTCATTCGCCTCTAATACTTTCAGCCCACGGGTCCAAACGAATTATCAGAAGCGTCCAAACCAGGCAACTTGACTAGCTTGCCTAGAGTGTCGAAGGCGCAAAGTGAGATGCAATGTCGAAGTATATGGCCGGCCGTGTACCAACTGCCCTTCTTGATGGCTCTGGCTGCATGACGACTCGTCACAAGACCCGGAGGCCGGCCCAAATCCCATTCCAGGCTGCGACTGGGGAGAAATCCCTGAGCTAGGGAGATCTTCGGGCAGCTCGATCACCGCGAAGCTCGACCACCATCTCGAGCATCCGCTGGCGTTGATGAAATGTTCAAGAGCGCGGAGCATAAAGCTAGTCCCACTGAGCCTTCATCACTCAACAATCTTTCGCATGCACAGACCCTGTGCAATCCAAAGCTTTTATACATTAACACCGTAAGTTACAACTACCAATCTTCTCTTTGTGAAGGATGAGATATGAGACCTGTCATGAGGAACAATACGAATCTGGGTATGACTAACTTACCATTGCAATTGCAGAAACCAACGGAATAAGGGGACAAGCACTACCGCTCCCCTTTTCATATTATTCTTATATAGAAGTACCAGAGCTTCAACACCTGCAGCCAGACGAGATGGCCTTCCTGGAAACGCAAAAAGCTACCTATATTCCCAGTCAATCTCTGCTCAACATTCGTCTGAAGCAGTATTTCCTCTATGCACATCAATTATTGCCTATCTTCGATGAAGGGGATTTTTGGCCCATCATTGATATGAAAAGAGAGCATAAGCCATTGATTTCGTAGCGGTCTTATTTGTTGCCAGCAGTGTGAGTATTGAGTTTGCCTCGACATAGGGACAGAAAACTATCTGTCATCATCCACTATCCAAGTATTTCGTAAATCAGGTGTCACTGTACAATTGTTACATTTACATACCTCGGTAGGGTTATTCCTTGGGTGACCCACAGTGGATCTGTCAACTCAACATCCCGGCTCTCCGATTGGCTTGATTATTGATCACTTCAAATATTGCACCGACTGCCTATGAATTCATCCCATGATTCTCTTCCGAAACCTATGACTACTAATGTTATTTATGTTTTTGACGTATCCAAAATGGGAAGCGGTGTATAATTTCTGGGGAGGGTTGCCAGGGGACGAGACTCGCGGCGAAAACTATATAATAACCAAGGTACCCTAATTTCACCGTTACTACTGGAGCTCGGTGCATCATATTCACCTAATCCAATCTCTATGATGGAATCAAAACCATTCAAAGTGGTCATCGCCGGTGGCAGCATTGCCGGGCTTGCTCTTGCCTTGATGCTTGAAAAGAACGGCATTGACTTCATCGTATTGGAAGGCTATGGCAGCATTGCACCGCAGGTTGGGGCTAGTATCGGTCTGCTTCCAAATGGTCTCCGCATTCTTGACCAGCTAGGATGCTATGAAACGGTTCTGGAGAAGGCAGAATATCCTGTCGACAAGTACTTTTTCCGGGATTCTCAGGGACAGCAGTTCTGGTCGTTTGAGGACTTTAATCGGGAGACAGTGGATCGGTTTGTGTATTCTTCCTTTTCTAACTAGGAAGTGAGCTGACCGTTTCTCGTCTCAAGTCACGGTTATCCGGTGATATTTTTCGATCGCCGCATGTTGATTGAAGTGCTCTATGACAAGATCCAAGACAAGTCTCGAGTTCTCACCGATCAGAGAGTTCAAAGTATCAGGAACGGTGCGTCGGATGTCACTGTCACCACCACCACCGGCCGGGAAATTACGGGAAATATCGTCGTCGGGGCAGACGGCATTCATTCAACTGTGCGCCAAGAAATGTGGAAGGAAGCGCAGAAGATAGATCCCTCGTGGATTGACCCTTCAGAGGCATCCGGTACGTATACTGCAACCAATGCATATATTATGGCTGACCACCGAGAAAAGCACTTCCTGCGACATACTCCTGCATCTTCGGTATATCAGAAGGTGTAAAGGGCATCGAAAAAGGCACGATGCATTCGGTATTCAACGAGCATTTTTCATACTTGGTCCCAAGCGGGCCCGGTGACCGGACCTACTGGTTCCTTGTGCTCAACATGGGAAAGACATTGTACGGCGACGATATCCCTCGATTCTCAGAAACGGAAGAGAAAGCAGTAGCGAAGGAGCATTGGAACGACCGGATTACTCCCACGCTTCAATTCTCCGATCTATACAAGAGCAAGATCGCTTCGGTGCACACACCGCTGCCAGAGTACGTGTATAAGAAATGGTATTTTCAGAGAATGATGACTATCGGCGATGCGAGCCACAAGGTACGTCTGTTCCTTGCATAAGGCCGTGGAGAGACTGACCTAGAGTGATCTGCTTCATAGTTCGAGCCATTGACCGGTCAGGGCGGTAACAACGCTATCGAGACAGCGGCTTCTTTGACAAATCATCTTGTCGCGGCTCTGAAGCGCTGCAGTTCTGGGACCCTGTCGACTGCCGAGATCTCCAAGGTTTTTGAAAACGTGCAGGAACAGCGTGAAGACCGCGTTTGGGAATTAGTCAAAGGATCCCATGCGCGACAACGTGTTGAATGCATGGAAACACCGCTGCTGAAACTAGTTGGAAAGTATCTGATTCCAAACCTACCCAGATACAAGTTGGTCGACAAATGGATCCAGATTTATTCCCCAAGTGTATCGTTGAACATGATCCCACAGCCAAACAAAGAGTGGGAAATTGCCTACTACGATGAGCGATTCAGAACACCATCTTCCCGCGGCCTCGCAGGCGTTCTTCTTTACGCAGCTTACTTCTTCCTTGCCTGGTTGGGCCATCGGCAACTGAAGATAGCGGGCACAGAGAACGGGACTTGGGAATTGCTCCGTCAAGCAATGCAAAACGGCTCAATACCGCTCACAGGAGACACAGAGGTGTCTCTTCGCCGGGTTTATACCGGCCTTGCGTTTCCTGACCTCATTCTCCAAGCCTTGGTGACGTTCTTTTCGCCTGCAGTTAGCAACTTCTCCAGACCAGAGCAGCCGGTGCAGGTACTGTACTTCCTTGCTTCAATAGTTCCATTGATGGCCATCTTCACTGTTGAAGGCTACCGACCGCGAAACAAATGGACGCTCCTTGCGATCCCATCGGTATGGGGTGTTCTCTATCAGCTGCGTGGTATTGGAGTGATCGCGCCAATATATTTCGCAGCGAGCACTTACATCTCGTCTCCGATTACTTATTTCTCTCCAAGCTCGCGCAACTTGGCTCCCTCCACGGCTCGCGCGATACTTCCCGCTGTGTTGGTTGGATATGTCCTGCCGACAATGATGTTGTTCTTCCCCTTGGAGAATGCCCCAGTCACCCGACAGGCCTTCATCGCCCTATGGCAGCCTGTTCCAATTTACGTGGTTATTTTCACAGAAATATTCTCTGGCATAATCAAGCGTGTTGAAGGGTCCAAGTCGGTCACGCCTTCAACGGACAGCAAGTCCAATCATGATCTGCCTTCGTTGCAAATGCTTTACGCATTTACTGGCTGTATCGCTGCGTGCTTCCATCTTGCGTTGCTGTCCAGCTGGTTCGTCTCTGGTAGCAATTTCCTGGTCAGGGCATTTATCCCAGCGGACTCTTTTGCGCAGACATCCACACTCGCAGATGGCATCTTCATATTTTTCCAGAATGATTTCCTACTTGTTTCTGCTGCCAGTCTTCTCTGGAGCTGGTCCAATGTATGGGACTTGTATCGTATGGGAATTTCGAATGTTTCCATGTGGGTATCTTTGGCAGGTCTGGCTCTTGGATATGTGGCGGCTGGACCGGGTGCAACTGCGGCGGCTGTGTGGTACTGGAGGGAGGGCGTTATGAGCCAAAGGAAATTCCGTTCGATCTCTCAATAGGTTCACTCTCCTAAAGATGGGGTTTCTTGCAATCTTGACTCGCCGGTGAACGAACGGTCATCAGGATTGGGTTCAGTCTAGAGGCTTAACAGTAGAGTGTCAAGCCGATTGTGAAGTAATCCATTGGTGAACCATGCAAGTTTTCCCCCTTGGTCATTTGTACATACTACACGGACGGTGTAAGGTAGTTAACACTCGGCGTAAGCTTGAACTTTGCCGTATTAAATTTGTACAAAATTCATAAATCATCAAGTCCCACATGGCAAAGAAGAAGCCACATGTGATTTCACCCTGTCGGACTCATCGTGGGAGTATTGATCCATCTCACATTTTGGGATACTACTCTCTCGACATCAGATCGGCGAAAGCCAGCCACGCAGCCCAGCCCGACTGGGAGTCGGCTTAGTACTAGTAGAATTAATAAGTATTATCAAAAGGAAAGCAAGTCCAGATGAAAACATACTGTTGATCAACTTGTACTCATCAATAACCTTCATCGTACCGGGTACTGATCCATTCAAAGCCAAAGTTCCAGTCTCCTCAATCGACGATATTGACGATAGCAGCGAGGGGTATTCACCCAATCCAATCCCTTCACTGATCAAGTACCCCTCAATATCATGAACATCAAACCAGTCTTCATCAGAATGAACATGGATCATGCCGTTCGTTCCCCGAAAGAGCTCCAACCTGCTCGGCAACGCGTCATGCACTGGTGATGGGAAATGCGTCCCCGCACCACCGAGGCTGATGAAAGGAAACCTAGTATCGAGGATAGGATTACAAATGTGCAGACTCACAACGCGCTCGAAATACGCTCGGATGTGCGCCCTTGGCATGGTTTGTAACGATAACCCGAACTCGGGCCATATGTCTTCGTCTTTATATTCAAGGTTTGACAGGAAGCGATAGCCACTTTCTGCAACAGCTCTGAAGAGTCGCTGGGTGAAGGGCGTAGTGGCATACTGAATCGTGGGGGCGTCAGTAACGGGAGGAGAGAATGATCTGGGGAGTAAGGCATCCGATGGATCATCTTGCAATAGAGTGTTTGCAGATGGGATCATTGCTGATGATGAGTTTAGAAAGCAATCCCAGAAGTTGGTCTGTGATGGGGGCTGAGGGTTGGCCGGTGTCTCTGATACGTATTGGCCCAGGTTGGCATCTTTGATCTGAGACAATTCGAGACCCGAGCTGGGTGCTGTATCTTGAAAAGAAATGGCTGCTTTTTTGAACTGGGATACTATCTCGTTCCGGAGTAGTTGGACTGCATGGAAGAGCCGGGGTTGAGACCACTGCGAGGCACTTTGTATGACCTGGTCATCAAATGCGTGTATCGTTTGACTCATAGAAGCAAATGCATTTTCTAATTGCTCGACGCGGGCTTTCAATGACGATAGTTGTGATTGTTGGCGCGATCGATAGGCCCTTTGTGCCTCGCGGACCTGAGCCCGACGCGTCTGCAAATAGTCAGACTAAGCTGTTAATGTGGCAGCTGGGGCCCACTCATATTACATCAGATTGTTTCCGGGGTCGACCTGTCCTTGTTCGAGCAGACATTGTGGTTTGGGGTTTGCAAGTGTACAGAGGCAAGTGTCAGATTCGGAGAAATCGGCAATCCGGTAAACGCGCCAAGACCCAGTTGGCGGTCATTCGACATTCCGCATTTTGCACTAAGTATGGCAGTGTAAATATAGTTTAAATGTAGTTCATGGCTTTATTATGATGAGCTACCTTTTTCTAGCAATAGTCCGCATATTGGATCAAACTTTGACATCAAGTGTCACATTTTTTAAAATATATACACTGTGATCAAACGTTCGGTAACCAAAACAAAACCGCATATAATTCATATAATGCCTTAGAAAATAGACATACTCACAGTATTATCATAGTCGATATTCACCTCCACACTTTCAATCCGAGAACTGCAAGTACCAAATATCCGATCCCAAACGCGTGTCTGCTTGCCATAGTTATGGCTCTTCTTCCACCCCTGACGATGATGCAGATCATGGTCCTCGATCACCATCTCTGCATCAAACATTCTCATCAACCATGTCAGAGGGTTAGGCGGCGAAGCATGGAGACGAAGACCACTATGTCCAGCAAGCTCCGCAAACATAACATAGAGCTGACAAACATGCCATTCGTAGAAACCCATCGGCATACCTATGAGTTTCATAGTGAAATAAGTCATCAATGGGATCCCCGCAATATCGAAGAATTCCTGTTCCGAGTCCGCATAAATGGTAAGAAGTGGGTTCGGGTGTTTCGTCAAATGATGTGTTCGGTGGAATTTCCAGAGACCGTTCACGTCGTGCATGATACGGTGGTACCAGTAGAACCAGAAGTCCAGGATGATGCCGTAGAGACTGACTTCAACCGCAATCCATTTCCAGTCTAATGAAAACGGTGCCTCGTTTGCGTTATAGGTGAGGTATGTTGTCATCAGGGGACGCACGAAGCCCGCCAGCAGGACCGATGTCAAGGTTTTGGAAACCCCTACATCCGGTACGCCATCCCGTTCATGTTTATCTCCATCCAGGAACCCATATTTATGGCCGAGTTCGCGCAGGCTTCGGAGTTCGCGAGTTGTAAATAGCCTTGAGGCATAGTAATAATAGAAGAAAGCGACGATTGGATGGAAGTGACCGCCAGTGATCCAGTTATAGAGCTGGTGAATAAGAAGTGGGATACCGGCATGGACGATGACCCAGCGGTTCAGGGCCCAATCTGAGACGTAGGGTATTTTTTCTTCTTTGGAATGGACGGGCACTTCTCGGTCGAGGTCGACATGGTATACATTTGCGTGGTCAAGGATTTTGTGTGGTATCTTCCATTGTTCTTTGTCCCCCGTGCGCCACGTGGACTTCATTGAGTCTTTCGGATTTCGCATGGTCGTCATAGTCGTAGTCACCTTGTATGTGCTGAGATAGTGTTGTTCGAGAAGTGATGGACCATGCGGCCAGGGCCCATCTTTATCATCATGTCGATCTTCATGGTGGCTTTGCAATTATAGGGCAAATACCGAGGCTCCTTGGGGTCAGTGCATGTGCTCGTCAGGACCATCGAGTGCCGGGAATCTAACCCCATTGTTTCCCCCCAAAAGTTTATCCCACGTATAAAATCGTCAGTTTATGGCATCATAAACTCGGTTGAAAGAGCCTGGCCGAACACTGATTGGTGAGTCGCACTGGTTGCCTATGAGGGTTTAGTCTGGTGGGTCTGTCCTGGCGATCATCGTGCAAGTTTGGGGTTGTGAGCATAAGACAACCAATTGTTAGGAACAAGGATGAACCATAGTTCTGAGTAGACGATGAAGTCGGAGATTTGTACAGTTTCAGCAGCGCCCGAATCAAGGTCATGGGGGTGATACAGTAAGATTTTTTCCCTGATGGTGTGGTGGCGTTTCTTTCGGTTCGGATTTTACAAGTATGTAAGAATTGGGGACTCTTGGGGTTTGAATTTTGACGATTATATAATGTTCATTCAAAAGCAAAATCAAATCCTGGAGTAGATGCCTAGAGGTGTCTCCAACGCATATGTCCAGCCTCTCAAATGCAACGGGTCGCCTGGACCATAGTTCCTAAGGAAGGTCACGGGGTCGCGTCAAAAGGCTAAATCTACGCTTATTTTAAAGTTGATTACATGTACAAGATAACTTTGATAGTATTCATTTGTTAGTTCGATAATACGATGGATGCGATATTAGGGATAGTTACTTGTATTAATTCGGTATCGAATCTGGGCATCTGATAAATTCCACTAGGAAAGGTGCCGTTGTGGAGAATTCATCTAGTTATACTCCGTATGGAGTAGAGCAGATACATCAGAGCACTTCAGGTTTTGAATCAGATAACGCAAGCTACGTTTCTGACAAAGCCAAACTAAATATAGATTGGACCTAAACCGGTTTCCCCGCAGTTGTTATCAGATCACGACCACAGGATCATTGAACCATCAACCAACCCAGCCAGGTCGAAACCCAACTCTGCGCCAGTAATATCTAGAATTAATCATGTCTCTCGCAACCCTAGATGTGAGTACTGCTCTATCTTCTTCAGCCACCCCCTCCCCGCAACCCCGCTGACATCATGGGACGTGAATAAGACCACCCAACATCCCTACCTCCCCGCCGCATCTGCAACGCTCTTCAAAGCAAAGGCAGCCCGAAAGCTTAGCTTCGAGAAGATTGGTGAGCACCTCGGTCGCAATGAAGTAGCCGCCGCTGCTATTTTCTACGGTCAAGCCCGAGCATCACCCGAGGACATCGAGAAATTGGCCGATCTACTCGGGATACCCAAGCAGCCACTGGAAGATCAACTCAGTGGCTTCCCTGATCGGGGCCGCTCTGTTGAGATGCCGCCTAAGGAGCCTCTGATCTACCGCCTCTATGAGATTGTGCAGAATTATGGATATGCCTATAAGGCGGTCCTCAATGAGAAGTTCGGGGATGGTATTATGAGCGCCATTTCTTTTTCCACCAAGGTTGAGAAGGAGACTGATGAGGATGGAAATAACTGGGCTGTTATCACCCTTCGGGGTAAATGGTAAGCCTATCCTGTCTTGATCCTGTTTGGGCGATTATCTAATATGAACAGGTTGCCCTTCTCCCGGTTCTAGATTGAGTTGACTCTGGGAGCTTCGTGGTATTGCATTAAATACTTGGAAGCTAGCACATTAGTATCGGGAGCTAGCCAATTGACAAATCAAGTTCAAATAAATGATATGCGGGTATCAGGAGTCGGTCGCATAAATGTTGATACACAAATGAGAATGACTTCTCTCATCGCCAGGTAAAGGATAAAAATAAGCGACGATAGTAGCAAGCGGCGCGTACAGTTTCTCCGACAAAAAGCATAGGACTTTTACGTCGTATCCACTAGGTTACGTCGCGAACTGCCTACAAAAGATGCGGCGTTGACTTTGTTAATAATGAAGTTCTGTGTCTAGCTATACGATAGCTTACACTTACACTGCATGATAGACGCATACGAAATATATACAGCCACGCTATCTATGCCTTAGTCTTACGAGAACCGATTGCTGGTAGTAGTCCTGTGACTCCCTACACCGAAGAATTCCGAATAAACATGGGATGGTGCTATACAAAGGGAAGAACGATGTACTTATGCTCACTTTTTGATCACTGCTCGCACCGGCACTACCCTTTACCCCAGGCTACCGGCAGCCCGAACTGCTGGGCACCCAGCGATCCCGGACCCATGACAACCGCCCCCGGATTTCGGCTCTACTACGTTAAAGATTTCCTCCTCCACAAATATCTTTCCTCACTCCACATTCCCCGTTTTTCTAAGTGATTTCATTTGCTTACATCATGGCCGAAGAGGCCCCCAAGCCAGTGGCTTGCACCTACTCAAGCTGCAAGCAGATGTTCTGGAATATGGGGGACATGATCACTCACAAAATCACCTACAAACATCACTTCTACTGCCTTCCATGCGATCTGGACTTCCATTCTGAACAAGCGCTCTACCTACATACAACGACGAGCGACAGCCATATTACCTGTATCCACTGTGGTCTTGAATTCCGCAGCCAAGGCGGCCTGGACGTTCATATCAAAAGCGTAAGTCTGATGCAGCTATCAACAGCTATACCTTTACAGTGCTCATCTCTCTGCTGTCCTTTTACTGCTATACAGGTATTAACAGTTCTCCACAGAACCACGAGCAGGTCAAGAAGGTTCCCTGCAACCACTGTGACGCCCCATTCAAGTCAGCTTCTGCTGTCATCATGCACATCGAAAGTGGCAAGTGCCCCGTCGTCAACGAGGGAGGTCAGCGATGTGGTGAAGTCAAGGCCAAGGCTCCCGGTAGAAAGCACATCCTGGACATGGGCCGGGTCACTTCCTCGCCTGAGCCACAGGCTGCCCAATTCTCTGGCTCCAGCGAAGATAATGAGCGGGAAGGTGGCGTCAGACTTGACCTCGCTTCCAACCCGACCCACCACGCTTCTTCAGCTGCTGTCGCCCAGCGCTCCGGACCTTCTCCCTCCTCTGAATTTAGCATTGACAGCTCCCGTGATTCCCCACCCGAGCAGATGCTGGCAGCGAGGCGTTCGCTTGACCTTGAACCTGGCGGCGTATCTCTCTTCCAGCAAATTCCTGTCTATGCCCCGGATTCTTCTCGTGATGGACTTGTCCGCCGCCCTGATCCCAGCGAGTTCAGCGGCCCACTGCCTTTGATGGAGCCTTTCGAATTAGTGATCCCCAGCCCTATCACTGATGGCGCTCTGCCTGTCTACCAGCCAATTCCTGTGTATGCCCCCGATTCTACTCGCGATGGTCGTTTTCCCCACGCTGATCCCAATGAGCAAAGTGGTCCACTGCCCTTGATCCCATCTCTCGAGCAGCCCAGCTTCACAGTCCTTCATCCTGATACTGCTGTCCGAAGCAACCCGTTTCTTTCGACCTCGACCCCCAACGTTGCAGGATTGTCCCAGCATGACATGAACATCCCACGCCCAAGCGTAGTCTCCCACCGCAAGCTCCTGAACGTCGACCCACAGGAGTTCTGGAATCCAGAGAAGGGCCGCTTCTTCTGCAACTGCGGCATTTCCTTCCTGACAGTCCGTGAATTTCACACTCACATCATTGTCGATGATGATGGTACTATCAAAGAGTAAGTTGCCTTCTCCACATTGCATCATACTCACATCCACTCTCCGCCTCCGACCACCACCCAACACCAATGTTTGTTCTACCCGTTCATAAATTGCTAATACTCTCAAACACAGCTGCCCCCGATGCTTCAAAAGATTCAACAGCCTCGCCGCCCTTGTCGCCCACGTCGAAGCGCCCCAGTCAAAGTGCGCCGCCTTCGCTGACGACGACGTTGAGGATGAAATCAACGAGATTACCCGCGGATTTGCTACCTTCAAGAGCCACCCCAATGAGCTCGAAATGGGTGAGGACCTGATCAGCATGGATACCAGCAGCGAGAATTACAAGCCGACTACCGCTGCCCAAACTCAGGAGGACAAGAAGCTGGCTGCTGAGTTGTGGCGGTTGAAGTTTGAGTAGATTACTTCTGCTGGTGTCATCGAATACTGAAACGGAAATTATCGTGGTTGCTTTGGCTTGGTGCAGTTGAAGGATCAGTGCTAATGCTGCAAAGCGTTCAATAAAGAATTATCAGAAATCGCGGCGGAGAACATCGAAATTAATTTTGCCCGTTGGGGTCTGGCTATGGGCTGAAGTGCTAGGGGTTTATGACTCCACGGTGGTATGCTTTGGCTTGCCGGATTTTGCGGGGTCGCAGTTAGGGCTAACTTTTGCGGCTTTGAGAGACTCGGGACTGGAGATGCTCTTTCGTATTTCCATAACTAGTGCTTTTTCTTTCTTTTTCATTTTTTATTTGTCTCGCTCTCTCGCATTCCTTCCTATTTGACAAGAAGAACTAGGTTGAAAAACCTAGATCGAAAATCCAAGAATGACAATGGTAAATGAAAAAAAGACTAAAAGACCGCATTTAGATTTGCTCTAAAGTAAAGGGTATTGTGGAGAACAGAAAAATAAAAGGCAAGACCTGACTCCGTCGTCGCACAGTTCTGGCGCAGCGCAGAAAGCAGCAAAATCATTAAAAACACATTTGAAGCATATGAACCATTCAATCAAAACTCGGCCCCATCTCCGTCCCCAATGATCCACATATCCTTTAATGGCCAATCATCCCCAGAAATATCAGTTTGTCCTGTAAGCGTAGAGAATAATGTCGCAAGTATCAGGAAAGGTTCATCGCAGATCGAGAGCTTAGGGGAGAATACCGCGCATTTAGCAGCAGCCCTCACAGCACTCAAAGCAAAGAAGACCGGCGCAACTAGAGCGGTGTCAGTCCGATATTCAAAACGGCATCAGTCTTAGATAGATGCGAAACACTTACACGCCGCAGCAGATATCGCCAGCGCCACCACCGCGCAGCTTCATCATGTTCTCCTGGGAGTTCTAGCAAGAGTATATCGTTAGCTTGGATCCTCACAGATGCAGGTATCACAGATCACGTACAGGCTGCTCAGTAATCACACGGTCGGTAGAGGGAGCCTCGGGGCTGGTAGGTTGCTGGTTCTGGACGGTAGCGGTAGTAGCGTCCCAGGTTGCCTCGGGGGCAGTGGACTCCTTGGAGGAGAACCAAGAGAAGAGACCGTTGGCGAACATTTTGGGTTTTGGTGAGGGTTTGGGTAGTGAGGAGGGCGGGTGAGGAAGATAGAAGTGGGTGGAATGGAAAGAGAAAACGTGAGTGTACGTGACGGAAATCAAGAAAAGATTTGATGGGGAAATGGGGAACTTTTATAGTTTTCAATTTTCTGTACTATTGCACTACTGTATCAATAAAAGAGGCTGCAAATCAAGAAATGTGGACGGTCCACTTCGGGTATGTCGGAGGGCGTCGTAATGAGGCGTGGAGATGGAACAGGGGCTTCTTGTTATTGGATGTGTTTGTTCCACGGCACTAAGCCCTGCCACGTTGATACATGCCAGAATCAGGCTTCAACTCTATCCTTTGGTTATATTATGTGGCTCTTTTGTTAAACTCCTGGTTGACAAATTGAAGGGGAAAAACCTTAAGCCGCAAAATGGAAGAAGATAGCATTATTGAGAACTATCGAAGTATCGAGATATCGAGTCTCCACTCAGTTGGCTAAGCTTCGGGTAAGCTTTGTGTTATTTATAGCACTGTGGCTCAGCAGGTGGCTAATGCCGGTGCAGAAGAATGGAGTACAATGAGTTATATGCAATCGTCATGTTCTAGAATTCCATATCATATGCAATATGCAAGTGATGCTGGACACAGAACGAGGTCGATCAGTCGACTGTGCCTGTGTCACATGACCTGCACACCTGGCACAACCCGGCCCCCGTGAAATTTGCATTTCCTCAACCTCGGCCTCAAAACGGACCTGGAGATCTCCAACCCCACAATCACAACCATGTCATCTCCGGACCCCTCAGAAATCCAAGCTAAGCGCGAAGCAGACTACAAGCGCTTCAAAAACTACGCCGCCTACGCCTTCCTAATCGGCGCCCCAATCCTAATCGCCCTCCCACCAAGGAAACTAGACCCCCTCACGGTCCTAGTTCTCTGCTCATTCGGTGCATCTGCAAACCACATCGTACAAGATCGCACCGGCCGCAGCATTGTCGACCGCATTGACGCCCGCATTGCCGGTTTCTCAGGCGGCTTCTCCAGCCTGCCTAGTGAGCGCGCGCAAGAAATTCAGGAACGACTGCGCGCGTCCCGCGATGCCCAGATTCGTCAGGCGGAGGCTGAGTTGTTGAAATCGCAGGCCGATGCTAATGCATCTGGCTCTGTTAGCGAGGAGTTGGAGAAGCTTAAGGCCCGGCAGTCGCATGAGAAGGGGGTTGTGCAGCGGGTTTGGATGGGTGGGGAGGCGGAGGGTTGGAAGGAGAAGAGGTTGAGGAAGGAGCAGGAGGCTCTTAGTGAAGGGAAGGGGTATGGTGATTTGATTCAGGAGCATATTTGGGATGTGTGGACTTGGGGTGGGAAGGATAAGGAGAGCGGGAAAGATGCCAAGGAGGAGTTGAAGGTTGAGAAGAAGGATTGAATCGTCTCCCTTGGATTTTGCGCCGCCTTTCAGATACTGTTGATCTGTCTGCTGCTGCGCATTCGTCTTGTACAGCATCGCCCCTCTCCTTTTTTGTATTATACTTGGCTTTGCATTGGGATCTGGCGTTTTCTTGCATTTGATTCCGTTTCCCTGGGGTTTCCTTTTTCGGGCTATGCTAATACTACTGTGAACGAAAAGTGTACTGTTAGTTGCGGGTATGTCAATCCTCCACAGCCAGGTGGTGCTGCTGGCAAGCATGTTTCAGTTACCGCAAGTGCTGTAGGTGCTGCTCGTGTTCCATCTTTTATGCAGTCCCGAGGTCGACTCAGCTGTCTAATGTACGCCGGCCTATTCAGCCGTCCTGATGGATGGAGCCATCTAGGTTAATCCAATGACTTCAATCTACGCAGTAACAGATAGAACACGAGCAGTATCTACAGCACTTATGGCATACAAGTGGTCGATTAAAATACTTGGGTGAACTGGGATGGCTGCGATTGGTATTCCTGCTGGAAATCAGCTGCCTCTAGTCGTATTCTTTTGTCGTTGGCAGCTATTTTAGACCTCCTGGTTGAGCCACAGAGGTGCTATCGGTGCTGTTGATCCTGGATGTACTGCTGCTCTCGTATTGCTACTCGTACAACTGCTGTCCCGGTCAATTGCTATCGACAGCCGAAGCAGTTGTAGATCAAGTCCAAAATCATCCTTGCATCAGAGTTGCCTGATTATTAGATGCAGCATCTCCCCAAAATTACTACGCAGACGCCAAAGGAGACATATCTTTCCACATCATCTTCCAGTCTACAATCTACATTCTACGTATCTACGAACAGAAACACATGTTGAGAATGTGTGACGCATATTGATTTCACAAAGCCCTATAAATAGGATTCCTTGATTCCTCCAATTCATATCAATCAACCAACTGACCAAGAACTACCAACGAGCATGGCCTCGCGATAACTCTCAATCAATCCTTGAAGACATTTCAAAGTTTCCCCTTTTCCCTCCATGGGTTCTCCTCCAAAGTAAAAGAGATTCAAGTTCACATGTATATGCCACAACATTCACAAAGGAACAAAAAATAACCTATACAAAATGGTATCAATACAAAAGTAGATATTTCCAAAGGTTCAAAATATAGAACACAGATGCAGATGCAGACCGAAGGAACTCATGCAGTGCAGTTGTAGTCAAGCAGCACAGAAGGATCCAGTTGTCCAACGAGGATGGTCATTTTGTGCGCCTGAATAAAGTGGTCAGTCAATTTCCATGTGATCTCCACAATCACAGTGATGATAATAACGGGAACGGGAACGTACGATATCTTGGAGGGCCTGAGCGCCTTCAGCGAAGGCTTTGATTCTCTGTCGGGACCGGAATTGATTAGTGAATGTTCGTAGTGAATGTCGCCAGGGTTTTAAAGTAGTGTATTCCTGGAATTCACCTACCGGGCCGGTAATGAGAGGGGGCGCGTCGATCATTTCGATGTCGCTCTGGTAGTAGTCAGTAAACGGTATGGAAGGGTGTCCGAAGAAGGTGGTGAGATTGGAATTGTAGCGGAAGAAGGGGGTTAGGTCTAGACGTACTGGTTCATCAGATGGTGCATCTGTCATTTCGGTGTCGATGCCGATGTCTCGGAATACACGTTGGAATTTTTTGGGCTGTTTGGAATTGTTAGACTTTGTTTGTTTGTATTTGTATTCAGGTTCATCCTCGGATTCTGATTCATCTTCGGACATATCTTCGTCTTCAATGTCGTATTTATCTTCGGACATGTCTCCATCTTCGTCATCGGGGTAAGGATTGGTACTTACTACGTTGTTGAAGTGGGCGTTTTGACGACCGGCCCGTTGATTGTATCCACCTCGATTGAACTTTTGAATGCCTTGGTTGAAGTTGCGGCCTTGATTGAAGTTTGAAGGGCGATCCATATCAACGTCTTGGTGTTGATCCTGAGAAGACAATCGCTGACGGCCTTGGTTGGCCCGTTGATTGTTCCACTGTTGATTTTGGTATTGGTTACCACGGTAAGGACCGTTATTGCGAGACTGATACTTGTTAACATAGGGACTGTGTTTGTGGTGACCACAGTGATATACTTGATTAGTCCGGTTTCCGTTCCTTGCATCCATCTTCTTCAAGTTAGTAACTAGTCTCCGATCAAATGCATGCACAGTGGAACTTACAATGTTTCCAGAACGAACACCGTTGTTTGGCGCGTTATTGCGTTTGTTATTGTAGCCAGTGTTCTGATTCCGATTTTGATAAGGAACTTGATTCCTTTGATTGCCGTTCGACCGGTTATTCCGTTTTTTATTGTAGTCGAAGTTGGTGCCAGGAGCGCCATTGAAGCCGCCAGGAGCAGCAGTGGAGGATCCGCCTAAAGCAGATGAGGCGCCAGGAGCAGCCGAGGAGTCCGACCAGTTGTTGCGTTTTTTTTTGTAGCCGGAGTTGATGCCAGGAGCATCTTGAAAACTGCGAGGAGCAGTGGGAGGATTCGACGCATTCATGCGTTTTTTATTGTGGTCGAAACCATTGCCAGGAGCAATGGGCGTATCTTTCCGACGGAAGACGCTGGTGCCTCTGTTTTTTTGCGAATTGAAGGACATCTTGTCGATACCGTTCCTCAAAACTTGTGTAGTTTTGAGCGTGCCGCTTCCTCTACCGTAAAAAGACGTGCACAAGTCGGACCACTCACTTGTACTTCCAAGAGCCAGATTTCCAACTTCAGAGATTCCCAGCACCAATATTTTTGGATCCACCCGAGTGCTGAGGTCGCTTTTTCACAGTTTGTTTTCTGCTAGTATAACGGGGTCCCAGTTCACACAGTTGTTTCACCTCAAAAGAATGCTGACTCCCTACAAGTCCAACCACTTAAAGACAATCTCCTGATCAGGCACACTTGCACAGGCTCAACAGCTTCAAGGGCGGAAAACAAGATGCTCTTCTTGAGACGGAGGTGGTTTGTCTATAAAGTCTAACGGCGTGGATGAGGAGGCGAGGATGGGTAATGCCGGAGAGGAGTTGCCGATGAAGGCGTCGATGATGTTGTCGAGGTATGTATATATGACAAGCAGGACTTGTATATACTCCAAATGATGATACAAAGTAGACACAAGACAAAGTTAAGATGTTGTGAGATGCTGATTGATGGATGCAAGGAACTGGGAGATGGAGGGAAGATGGAGGGAAGATGGAGGGAAGATGGAGGGAAGATGGAGGGAAGATGGAGGGAAGATGGAAGAAGGGGAAACGGAGAGTGAGTCAAGGATATAGCAGTCTACAAGGGTTCTGTAGCCCTAATTATGTATTCTCAACGTCAAGGTAGTAGTATTGATACTTGGATTCGACTAAAATAGTGTTCAAAGAAGCTTTAGGAAAAGCATCCATCGCCCAGCATGGGAACAAGCCGTTTTATACCGAGTCCTATGTATGCGAGATATAGATGCAAAGCAAACAAAGGGCATTATCGCAAACAAAAAAGTTCTGGAGAACAAAGAAATCCCTGGTCGATCTACTTTCAAGTCTGGTTGAACCAAGAATAGCTTCTGCTCCTGCCGATTTGCCCTGGATTTGAACTCAAAGTGACTTGGTCCCCTGGTAGCTCTTGGTGGAGGACCTGGAGTATAGATCCATGACAACAGGAATAAATAGAACATCTGACTGCGAAGCCTACCAGGTGAACCTTCTCAGGGCAGTTTCCCGAGTCTTTCCGGTGTGAGCCAACCTGCTGCTCTGTGAAAAGGGATAGAAAGCGACGTCAGTATGTTCACATCAATGATCTGGCTGTTGGAGCGTACTGGTGCGTACTGAGCCAGGGCTGATGGGCTCACACGCCGCTAATTACTTTCAGATATAGAAGAAAACAATATATTGCTCGAGTGGCTTTTGTTTAAAATAATTAGGAATTGCCGTATCCTATCAAATAGAGTTAACCAAGGCCTTTCTTTTGACGTAGGCATTCTTTGTCTGTTCTGTGTCAGAGGGTTGATGTCGCTATTCCCAATTAGGAACATAATGTCATTGTGACCACCCATCCTGGGGATGGGAGATACTAGGTATAGACGAGGAGGACAGTGATAAGGGAGTGCGTAGCATGATCAAATATAATTAAGAGCATATTGAAATCATTCTACGCTACAGTTGCCAGATAATTCCGTATTTAGTGCTAGGTACGGAAATGATCGAATAGCGCGGTAGACTGCAAGACCAATAGCCCAGAGGAAAACAATGCAGCATACAGTGTAGTCGATAAGGATAAATATCATTCAGGTTTCAAACTGCTTTGCAGAACAACACAATTGCCATCACTTTTACGCTAAGAATGCAGGATATTATACAGTTAAGGTAGATAGTAGACTAGCAGCCCACCATGCCCATTGAACCCAAGCCATGACCCAGGCCTCCAAAAAAACAGCCAGCTATAAAGGTCAACTACCGTCTCCTCTTCTTCGAATCAGCCTCATCCTCCGCCAAATCACCAGCCCTTTTCCTCTCATTTCCCATCCGAACGCGCTTCTTCTTCGGCCGTGGCACACTAGGCGACGTCGCCTCGTTCGATGCAAGACTCTCTCTCTTTCGCTTATCAGGCTTGGGGTTATCCTTCTTTCGTCGTTGTTCCTCCTTGATCTTCAGTCTGCGCTGGACTTCAGCCGAGATATCCTCCGTCCCGAGTGATGTCGACGTGATGTCTCCCTCGTCTTGCTCGGATGGCTGTGAGACATCGCAGTGTCGTTTCGAGGCGCGTGATTCGTCTATGGATGGGTCGTGGGGTGTTATTTCGGGTTCTGGGTGTGTTGTGTCTTTGTCTCGGGAGCTTCGACGTCTTTTCTTGCGCGTGTTTGCTTCTGTGTCTGTTGGTGGTCTTTGGGGGGTGGATCTTGAGGAGGAGCTAGAGGAGGTGTTTTCTAAATCTCTGTCAACTTCCTATGCTTGTCTGCTTTGGGAAAGTGGGTGTGTTGCGGGGTCAAATCTCTGGTTCGAGGCTGTCGGGGACTCACTGTTCATCTGCAACGAGAATTGTTAGTCGCAAGCTTGAGAAAGCATAGCCATATGGGAATAAACTCACCATGTTCTTTCTGGTCAGCTTCAGCTGGTTCATCGCCTGGATGGTCTTGTTCACCATCGACGTCACTGCTTGGAATGCCTCGCCCTCTGTTGCGGTATGCGCTTTCACCTGCGTCAACATCTCGAGGTGGGAGGAAAGGGCAGCTTCATGGCGAGAGAAAACCTAATCATGCAAGAGAGTCTGGGTCAGCTGCAGCTCTAGCGCGGTCGGAGACGTAGTTCTTGCTCTCTCGAGTCTCGGGGCAGATTTCTCGCGCCGCAACAGCTTGCTCGGAGCACAACAAACAAGACGTACCTCATGCCAAGGGATCGTGCCATTCGCACCATGTGCATCTGGATTGGCGCCATGGGTACTGCTGTTTCCGTCAAAATTCATGGTGGGCTTGGAATTGGAGTTGGAGAAATTGCAGGGATCGGCAGATGAACCTTCTCCGCGCCAAGACACTGGCTTAGATCGCGCCTTGTGAGCTTTAAGTGTACGACATAGAATAGCTCCTTATCGAACTGCTGCCTATGAACAAACAGATAGTCGATTTTAAACTTTTGATTTGGTCTTAACGTGGTATCAATCCAATTATTCATGCATTATGATTCAATCTCATTGTACACAGCTAGTGTAACCCCAACGCCATTCATGCCCATAACCACCCATTTCACCGAAAGGATCAGATATTCCCAAGACAAATCATACAATCAATAACACAGCTACCAGGCACCGGCGTCAAAGTCAAATCGTGACAGGTCACTCTGTGCATCTTCGACATCTTTCTTGGCTTTCATGCGCATGTAGAAGATCGGACAGTCACGAGACGAGCAAATGACCTCACAGTGAAGACTGCCTTGGCAACGCTGGCATTGAGTCCACAGGCGACCGAATCGGACTTCCAGGTCAGACACCTTGGTCAAAGTCTTTGTGTATAGTTCTCCGAGACGTGGACGGCAGTTCACGCAGACAGCACCTTCCATCTCTTCCTTGCTGGAGAGTGGTTTCTTGCATCCCATGCAAGTCTGCGTTTTCTTGGCGAACTTCATCAATCCACCCAGACTTGACGCGGCCTTTGAGATAGACCGGGTGTGCTCGCCAGTAAGTAGCTGGCCAGCCTTCTTTTCTCCAAGGATGGGTTCGAAGATACGACCCAGGGGATTTGCGAGCTGGTTATCGAGGTAATACTTGGTGTCGATGGGAATGTTGTTTTCCAAGACGAAGATGGGGTCTTCTGCTCGTTCGTAGCCCTTAGAATCACTGGCACCCTTGATCATGACGTAGGCTACACGGTCACCCAGTGTTGGTGCAGAACCTGCATCACGCTTGTGCATGCGCTCAGCAAGTTCGACGTGAGCCTGTTTGCCGGCGTAGTCTTCTTTGCGCTTGGACAGCGCCTTGGTGATGACTAGTTTCGACATATCGATCTTGTTTTGGAGAAGATCTGAGATAGTGGCTTTGACATAGCTGTATGGTTCGTTAGCTTCTTGGCCCGAGTGGATAACATGAATCACCACTTACTCTTGAGCGCCATCAATATCTCGATCAATCAAGATCTTGTTCAGCACGGTTTCAATAACGTTCTGAACCATCAAGCAGTTGTCACGTCGCACAGTCTCAATACCCTTGGTATCCATCTTATCATGCTTGTCGGTCCTCGTCCAGTAAAGTCCGGCATATCGCTTCTTGTTGATCAAAAGATAGGGGAAATACACCTTCTCAAACTCAAGCTTGATGGGCTTAATGAACTTGGACGAGACGTACTCGGCAGCTTCCTGGCCAAGCTTCATCGCGTCTTCTAGTTCGGTGACACCGAATTTGACCATGACTGAATCAGTATCACCGTAGATGACTTGAGCATCGTGAGAGTATCCGTTGGCAATGGTGTAGCGTGCTTCCACCTCTTGTTTTGTCTTCTCAATCATCTGACGACCGTAACTTGTCGTACTACTGGCAATTGGCAGACAGGGCAATTTGCCAACTGTGGCACCAGTAAGACCGTAGACACTGTTAGCACTGATTTTCAGAGCCAGCTGACGACCGTTCAATACCGCCTTCTTGAACGAGTCTGTCTCAGTGGCCAACTCCTTCTTCGCGCGCTTTCTTGCGGACAACAATTCCTCAAGAATCTGGGACAAAAGGCCTTTGCGGACTTTTGTTGTGCAGAACATGTCCCCGTTGGGGGTGACGATGTAGTCCTCATCTTTCACAAATTTCATCTTCTCAACACTACTCTTGTTGAGCAAGGTTGTGTAACAGAGGTTGTGTGCTTGAATAATCGAGGGATACAGGGAAGCGAAATCGAGAGTGGCAATTGGAACACCGTAATATCCTCGCTCCGGCTCAATGACGGTGGCACCTTCATAGTCCTGTTCGTCTTGGGGTTTTGAATTGGGGATAACAAGTTGCTGCTCGCGCGCTTTTCGGAAAAGCTGACTGATGAACTTAACTTGCTGTCCTCGGGACAGAAGGAAATTGAAGGGAACACCCGTTACCCTCGCCATTTCTGTATAGTTCACCAGACACATCAACTTGTCCATTAATCGCTGTGGTAGGTATGCATCCTTCAAACAGTAAACTGCCAGACGTCGCCTTGAATCGGGTGTTCCGTTAAAGAGCTCGGTAATCATTGTATGGTGAACGTCCTCCTTTTGCTCTTTCAAGAACTCGTAGGATACGGAATTAAGGGTATAACTTCTCAACTGGTGATCTCTCTGGACCAATTGAAGTAGATCGAGTTGGATTCGGCCATTTGTATTCGTTGCTTTCGTGTCTCGGTTGCCCATCTGCTTACTGGAGAAGTTGGCATCCTTGGCCTCCGTCTTCATCCCCTTCAGTCTGGTCCAGAATGGGAACCCGGTGCACTTCAGGTGTTTGGCACGATCCAGCAGATAGGGGAAATCGAAGTTGGCAATGTTGTATCCGATGATTACGTCGGGGTCCACCTTCTGCACGAAATCAGTCCACGCATCGAGCATCTTTTCCTCCTTTTGGAACTCTAAGATTTGCGTGTTGACGATGAGACTGCACGTATCGAGGACGAAAACGTTTCTGATGAAAGGCTTCGACTCTCCATATCGAGTCACAACGTTAGCGATTTGGATAACCGGGTCTATGTTAGGCTCCGGGAAGATGCCCTTTCGACCGGCACACTCGATATCGAAGGAGAGAATGCGGAGAGGGGCCATTTTCGCCCATTCTCCATTGGGTGCGTGAGCAACCATATCATGATAGTCGACACTGGCCTCAATCTGGCAATTGGACATCCTTGCGGAGCCCTCGGGTATTATGCGGTATTTCCCGGCCATTGCCTCGACCCAAGCCATTCCGGCGAGTCCAGTGTCAATCATGAATCGGAGGAGATATTGAATATTGTCGAATGTGAGGATTCCGTCTGCACCGCTCCACATTCCCTTGTAGTTCATGCTTCCACTACCGGACTCTAGCGCGCTCCGCAATCTAGCGGCATTTCTCGGCTCGGTGACGGTGATTTTGATGTACCAGCTCTTCTGATTCCCCTGGAATCCGTAGATGTTTTCGCGCATTGTGAGCTCAACATCTTGGATGACAGGCATATGCTGTCCCAGCTTTGTCTCCAGGAATCCTTTGTAAGGGATACAGTCATCTTTGGTGAAGCCGACGGGGGCGGCAATGTATAGGTAATGTTGGAATCCAGTGACGTGGAGGCATACAGATTGTCCAATCTATATTCGAATGTTAGTTGCCGGGCAAATCCAGAACAAAGGGAGAGATATTACCTCAGTAACACCGAAAAGCCGAATTGCGGGCTTGCCTGCCAGTGTCGATTCTTCTGCGTCAATCTGTTGGAAACAGATGTTTTGCGTCTTTTGGTCGAATTCACCAAGCGGGGGACGCTCCCATTGTTGGTCCTTCTCGGAGTTGTTTTCTTTGAGATTCCCGATATCCTGGGTCAGCTTCTCCAGCACCTCCTCCTCAAATTGACTCTTCTGCGGTTGATTCGATCCGATCTTTCTCCGAGCAGCCTGTGAAGAAGGCAGTTGCACGGAGCCCTCATTGTCGAGTTTCCTCTTCTTGAGCACGCTGGCAGACTTCGAGAGACCAACATTATTGGTGGCGTCGGCCAGTGCCCGCTTCGAAGATGACATGATAGCTTCGGGCATGGTTGCAACTCACCGCGACTGCAATGAATGACCAAGGTAGGTTGGGGAAAAGTGAGACGGGCAACTAGTGAAAGTCGCGCCGTCTCGCGTTCGACGTGACGTTTACGCGTGGGGTCACGTGCGATAAGAGATAGCTAAATGGGGAAATCGCGAAATTCGGATGAACGTGACTGGCTGGGCGAAAAGCGTCGTTTCACTTATTTCATTTATTGTCTGTATATACTTATATAGTTATACATATGTAGTTACTGTCTAGTAGGTTCTTTGTAAATTATTCCCATATATGTGCTGTGGTGGCCTATTACAATAGTTCTCGTTCCCGCCGGCAGAAACCGATGACTCTTGTCGGCTCCTTCGGCTTGGCAAGTCTTAACATCTTTTTACCTTCCTGACTTCTTTCGATTTTCTCTATAAGAGTACACTGGCTACCATCTCATACAGATACAAAGTGGTGGGCCAAGCACAAGACCCACGCCCTGCGCAAGGCAGTTTGGAATCTCATGGAAGCCTGGGTCAACCCCTCTGGGATCTGTGATATGTTGACATTTGATCCAAAGCCCAACGTGGCATTTTGAAATCTACTCTCTGACATCTCACTCGCTTTTGTTACCTTTTGTCTTGTATCATCTGAGGCTGCTTTGCATTCAAATAAGAGGCTACAAATTAACTGCGGGGCACACGCCCAACCTCTAAAAGCAACGGCAATCGCATTCTCTTTGAAAGCAAGTTGATATTTCTTCAATTTCCAAAGACCTTGTTTGATTTTGCATGAAGACACGTTCGATTTTTTACCTTCATGGCGCTTGCGCAAGCACTGAATTGAACCATACCTCTCCTTCTGTCATCTCGGTCAAACTATCAGCATGTCGATGTTCCGGTCAGCAGCGGAAATGTCTTCATCGGACTCTGAATCTGGCTCTGAAGAAAGTCAACTCCAGGTGTCCGGGTGCTCAACTCCTCGTCACTCCCCGAAAGGTCGGACCGAAAGCCCCCAGAAGGGCAAGTCAACCAACCACGCCTCGAGAGAATCAGAATCTACAGAAGATGTCGGTTCCTCACTTTCATTCGATGACGTTTCCACGCTACCGCCGGATGCACTTGATGTCAACATTGACCGTCACGCAAATGTCATGACAGCTGCCTTATTGGAGTTTTACTGTCAAAGTCGAGCGGCAGATATCTTGAATGCGCAACGAGGCTCAAGACAAGCGTATAGCCGACATAGTCCTGAAGCACACTACCTTGGCAAGCAATTGTACAAATACAAATCGCAATTCTTGTCGTCTCATGGTGTCTTAGCAGACGGCATTGACAAAGAAGAATTGGGGCCAACTCGGCAGAGCTATCGTGATAACCTTGATTTGCTCGGCATCTCTGCCCTCGATGAGATGAAACTCAATGACCCTCATGTACGGTCTCCTACTATTGATGCAGGAGACAATCTCTCGTTGATTACAAAGTCATCAATTCACAGACCCGGCCTTGACGATGCAGAAAGTCCCTCAGCGTTCTGGAGGGATACTGGTGCAAATGCGGGCTTTGGGAGACACCTTCCTTCTACACGCAAAGTTGATTACCTTTCGGCCGATCCGAACGCGGCACCGAATCTCCCTCATCCTTCCATACCTCTCTTTGGCAGTTCGCCTGTTGGGGTCCCGCTATTCAATTCTCCGAACGTCCCTCCATACAACCATCTATCCAGATATTCTGTTGAATTCAGTGAACTTAAGGTGCTGGGACGTGGATCCTTTGGTGAAGTGTACCATGTTACAAATCACATTGACGGGCAAGACTATGCAGTCAAGAAAATCCCACTCAGTCAAAAACGACTAGATCAGTTGCAGTACGGAGGTCAAAACCAACTTGAAGTCATTATGAAAGAAATTCGAACGCTTGCCCGACTCGAGCATACAAACATTGTCCGGTATTATGGCGCATGGGTCGAGCAGGCCCATCATTCACATCCGCCTGCTGCAGAACCTCGTCCGCTACACACAGCATATGAGCGCACGCAAAGCAATCTACCCTCTCCCGATACCCCCAATGAACCAAGTATGGGGATTGTATTTGGTACTTCTGGAAGCTCAAATAACGACTCCCATTCAAGTTCCCTACCCGAAGATCATAGCTTCTCCGAGAGCATTCGGCGCTGGGACAGCCATGCCACTGGCTCTTCCCGTCAGTCAAAGAAGAGCTCGCGAAGGGATATAGACGAGGATGACGATGATATTGAGTCGATTCCTCGCACCTTTGATAATACATCGAGCTACGGGGAAACCGATGACATTTTCACCGATGGGGGTCTCAGTCAAGATCAGTCCAAGCTCCAAGTTCAACCTCGTTACCGACCTGGCCAGCCACCTCCTGCGGTTATTCTCCACATTCAGATGTCGCTCCATCCTATTTCATTGGGCTCGTATCTGAATTCGCAAGCACCTCTGAGATATGATGAGAGTTCACCGCCTCGCCGCCACTGCTTCCATCTTCTGCCTTCCTTAAAACTCATGCTGGACATTGTTTCGGGTGTTGAGTACCTCCACTCGAAGGGCATTGTTCATCGCGACCTGAAACCTGCCAACATCTTCCTGTGTGCACCTGAAAATGGCACGGTAGATATATGCGATACATGCAGTTCTGGGCAGGATTCTCCAGTCCAATTTTGCCGCCCTCGAATCGGAGACTTCGGTCTCGTGGCAGATATTTCTCACCTCAACGAGCCCTCACGCGGCACGGTTACGCCATACCGAGAAGGTCCCAATATCCAAAAGGTCGTTGGCACCGAGTTCTATCGTCCACCGGCCAATGTACCGGGCACAGAGAGCGATCCAAGCTCGCCAGCAGGCTATTTCGACGAATACAGAATCGACGAAAAACTCGATGTCTACGCACTCGGCGTTATTCTTTTCGAGACTCTATACCGCCTGAACACGAAGATGGAGAGACAGTTCGTTCTAAATGACCTCACTCGCGGATCAGGCCAAGATCCGTCTGAGCACACTATCTTCCCGCCAGACTTCACCAACAAAGTTGATCATGGCTCGATGATTTTGGACGATGGAATTTCGGTTGCAGATTCTCTAATGACTTGTATGAAGGGCATGCTAGAACCCCGGTCTCGACAGCGCTGGACCTGTCAACAGGTGAAAGAACACCTGCGGAAAATGAAGAAAGCAGTGCGTCGACTGGAAGCGAATGAATGATGAAAGTGGAGGAATTTAATAGTAACGATATACCCAAATAGTAATACATAACTCCCCTCTATACACATATATACCCGATACTACCTGGCACTCGAGACCTTCTCTTTGGGCTTTAGTGCTTACCTCTTGGGAATTACTACGCGGACCTAAGAATGGTGATGCGGACATAACGCTATCCCAGTTAGGAAAATCGAGTAATTGTATGAAACCACTTATCACAGTCCCTGTTATATAAGACAAACCCTAAGTACTAGCACTATCAATTGAGTGGGCCTAAGACCGAGAGGAAGGGGTGCGGTACTCTGTCCAATCCGTTTTGTATTGCTTAGTCCATAATGATCGAGTCGACCGTAGTACCTAAGATATTCAAGATTCGTCGCCTGAGCTTGCTTTTCCCCGTCCCCCACCCTTCTGACATATCGAGGTCATGGATTTGACAGCCATGTCTCGGTCGAACTCGACACCTCCCGCTCACTGAAACATTCTCCAATGTTCGCCCCAACCCACTTTCTCGGGAAATGTCTCACCGTCTCCCCACCCAAAGCAGCAATCAGCTTACACCAGCCGTGTACTCACAATGATACAGAGAGTGCGCTGCCCGACCCCCGCTACACTCGGGGGGCCTTGAAGTTCTCGAGGATCTGACTCGGCACAACACCGCTATTTTTACACCCTCTTTTTTTTTTAGTTCGTGTTTTTCGAGAAAAAGAGCAAAGCATTCAATGACCCCGCCAAACGGTTACAAGCCGAGGTAGCGTTATGAGCTGAGGTGAGCCCTTTGTCTCTCTTTGGAGCTATCAGAAACCGCCCCACTAATACTGGGCACACGTATGTGGGAGACATGCAGCGAGGGCTTTCCTCGAACTTTGATTGTTCTAGAAAAGACGAATCTGTAGTGAGACCTCTCGCAGTGATATAAAACCCAAGATTGGCCCTGGACCTGGGGTTCTTGAGACCACAGCAGCACCTCTTACAGTATCCACACCCCTGGCAGCTTCTTTCGCTCTGTGCCAGTGAGCTCAAAGACTGCCAAAATGGACTTTCTCCAAGTCATCGCTCTGTTCTCTTTCTTCTTCGCTGCTGTCGGTGCGTTCCCTCAGCAGACTGCCGCAGGTACAACTACCGCGACTCCGGCGACGATCACTAAGGCTGCGTCGCTCAGTTGCTCAGACGGGCAGACAGCTGTCTACACGACAGATTGTACGATGGGAACACCCACGTCGTACTGCGCTAGGCCGGAGCCCCCGATCCAGTGCTCAGAGGGGTACTTCCCCTCGGTTTGGCACCCAGGTCATTGCATCGAGCAGTCGACCTGTTTCCCGCTTGATGCGTCCTGGATCACGACTGAGTGCTCGCATGGCGCGGTTCCTTGGACAACCTCGACCTTGTACGAAGGTACCTTGGCGGGAGGACAGTCGACTATTATCAGTGGTGAGTCCTTCCTTTCTTTTCACTTTCCCTCTTCAATTTGCCCCTTTGTCTCTCTGTCCCACCAAATTACAGCCAGCATGTAGAAAATGAAGCTAACATACGTGGTGACTCCCAAAGCCGTTTCCTGCTCCTGTGCCAAGGACCAATGGTATAGCATGACTATGCTCGCAGGCGCATCAACCGTTGACACTTTCTGCATGCCCTCAAGCTCCTGTCCAGCAGGCATGACAACCTCAGTCTCAGTCAATACATACTGCGCAACAGCGCCGGCAAGCGTATGCTCGGATATTCCGCTGGAAACAAACTACTGCAAGTGCGAGAATGCAGCGCAGACACCCGTATATCCCGACTCTGTTGGAGCGGCTCCAACCGGATGTGAATTCTGATCGAACTTTGTCAAATATTGGTCAAACATATCGACAGGTTCTAGATCTTAAGCTCAGATAGTGTCTTCTTCTCTAAATAAATTGTCTTCTTCTCTTTGGCGCTTCCTTCACAAAGTCGACTTCCGATACTCATTATTTCATGTGCCCTGTTCCACGTGGTTTGTTTAACAACAGTCAAATCTCACCAGGTTTCACAGTTCTGAAGAACGGCAATTGTCTCTTCGCAGAGTCGCCAAATTGCTCTGGTATTAAAACACAGCTTAACCTTGCCTTTATGCTGTTGGCGACACTATTTTCGAATTTAATGCGTGTCTCGTAATCTGAGAATACATAGTTGCACAAGTATGGAGCTAGCGTGTCGCGGGATGTATGTGCTGCTCCTCTTCATTCTCCTCCTTTTCCCTCCTTTTCCCTCCTACATTTCCCAAGGTAGAACAGAACACAAATGCCTCTCCGAATTATTGAAGGCGAGTCACCTGAACCGGTTCCCTGGGGGTCCCTCCCATTAGATATCTATCTTCTATCAGAATGGGAAACACCTTATCCGGACCCCTCACAACCCACCGAGTTCCCCTCAAACCGCCGCCGACGGCTTATACTCTGGTTCCTCGCATTAGGACAGGAGGGCAGAGCAGTATATACCCCCTATCATGATCAATCAATTAAACTTTTCCCTCTCTTCCCCCACAACCCTAAACTAGCCCAATATCAATTCATTAGCCCTACCAAGCCCGCACAGGAACACCACCTATACCCACTGAGGCTCAAATAGCCAAGATCCTCCTCCTAGTACGACCCGAGGCCCTGCGTCCTTACGCTGCATATACCACCTGTCCAGAGGAAGGCCTCTGGCTCCGTCTCTGCTACAAAAAAAGGGAAAGAAGACGCGTATAAATCTATATGGTCCCACAATGAAGAGTAGCCTACGTCGGTCCCGACGGGCTAGTCCTCGACGATGAAGAGATTTTCGGGGGCGGCCTAGACTTAGCAGCCGCGCTAGAACTTTTTCCCGAGCGTGTCACGAATGAGGGTTCTTCTAGATATATCAAGTTGAGGGAGGAGACGTTAAGAGAGATACTAAGTGATTTAGAGGATGATACGGGATCTAGTAAAGGGGACTATTCTAACGAGATTAAGGAGTAGGTGGCAGAGTTTAGAGCGTCCCGTGCGGAGAATCCGCTTCTATGGTATGCTCTATATCATACTGCTTGTGTTATTACTCATGCTTTAGTGGAAGATAAGGTGGCGCTTGATAGTAAGAGGTTGTTACATATGTTTTAGGACGATTGTGGGAATATGGTGAGGCAGTGGCGGGTGGAGGATGATGGAGGAGAGGACAACTTTGATGGAGCTTAGCGGAGGGTGCTTGGAAAGAGAATTTCATTAATGGGATAGGAGAGCTTGGTCCTGCTTATCATAAGGGTGGAATGCGAGGACCCCACTACAACATTTGAGGTGTTTAGGTAGTACTTGTAGATAGGAAGGAATAATTCATTCCCATCTGTTCAGGGGAGGCGATTCGCTCCGAGATGTCTCCAGGGCTGGATATATGAGCTATATACATAATAACAAAAGAAAAAGAAGAGAAAGTGGCATAAACAAAAGGAACATGAGACGACCACTTTGTATAAAAGCCAGTGATGCGTCTAGTGCTGTGAACTATTATAGCGTCTTCTTCTAAGACTGGGGGCAAAACTATGTAGTAGTGATTAACGGGTGATGGAAGAGAGAATGGTTCTTTGCTTAAACCGCTATGGGTCACGGCCAGTTCGCCGCCTGAATGATCCTGACCTCGAGAACAAAAGAAAAGATTTTTGGTTATATAGCTGACATCCGGTGTTCAGTTGAGGCTCAATGTAAACTCTCTACTTCATATTAATGGACATTTTCATAGCAACATTATAGTCCGAACATTGAGATTGACATGGAAATCTGAAGCACAAATGTCCATGAAATTGGATTTCTCCACTCAATGACACCATCAACCCACACGATGTGCGACAGAGCCTAGGTTTAGAGTCATCGTAATCCCATATTGCAGCATCCCCATGCGTGATTATCCAAATCCAATCGACCAAGCCATTCGGTAACCCAAAATAGGAAATGGGGGTGAAAATGAGTACCTTGTCAGCTGCCTTTTCCCGTAAATTACCAGTACTGTCGCATTGATACCCAAACTGCCTCGAGTCTCTTAGAGGAAAACATCCTAGCTTCTAGTCGAGAATTAGACCCATCATCTGCATTTCTGCCTCTTAACCTCGTGTTTCTTCGTCGGTCTCAGTCTAGGGGTTCTAAAATATCTCATATCAGCTACAGACATTGTCCAAGAGCGCTGGTGCCTTGGCATTGAGGACCTTGGGACTGCACTCCGCCACCAACCATGGAGTGCTATTGCCCGGAGTAGGACTATGGAGTCTAGCCCACGAGATCCATAGAGATTTAATACTCATATATCTGGCAAACCCTTATTAACTTATAGAAATAATTCCAGACTTCGACTCTATCTAGTTAAACCGAACCGAAAAATGTCTTATTCACCTATTCGCCGACTGGTAGTCTCACTATCATGACTATAGATCTCCAGCGCCCTATCATATTCACCGATCAAGTGACTTACCCATGTGTCGTACTAGTGGAAGGGAATTTCAGGACGACGTTAACTACGTACATGAGCCAATAAGCGGATTAGGTTTGATTTCTAGGAGAGTGATGATATAGTTAGGATTGTCACCATCTCTAGCTCCCCGGTCCGAAGGGTTGAGGTGGCGTTTGGTTGAAATCCTCACGGGTTGAACAAGAATGCATCTCGAACACTGTATTGGGAGGCAGCGAAGCGTTAGCAAGGATGCAATAGATTTTAAAAATATTTCAATTTGTTTGCCATTGTAGACTCAAGGGGTCATAATCTGTAGAAAATGGCATTCAATGGCCGTATTCGGTCAAAGGCTAGGATGTTGATATACAAATAGACTGTATTTTCCCAAATCCGTTACTCAAGTGAATCATTAGTCACGTCCGATCAAAGTATGCTAACACAATCACTGCATGTCTAGTCCTTTTGGAATCAAGAGAACCCTTCGGTTCCGCGCTCGTTTCCTAATATGCCACTGCTATATGAGTCTCCGATGAGCCTCCAACTCAGCAGTATTGATTGATACTGTGGGATGACCAGAATAGAGAATGATTGGAAACGGAGGTGTTTTTCAATGCAAGGCAACACAGAATGCATGTATATCACAATGAAGTTTTCTTAGCAAGAGAGGCCTCCTTCGGCTATTTATATCGGCGAATACCGTCAATCTTCTTTCCAAATGCGAATATAACCGAAGCCAAGCAACCGGTTTCCTGAGCTATTACCAAAACACCTGTGTCTTATACGATGCAATAGCAATTACGCCAAGGCCGGATGAGAACCTTTGAGGCACCAAGACTTCCTCTCTTCTTGGCGTCGGAAAGCAGGGTCTGCGAAATTAATCCCGTTGCTGTGGCTATAAAGTGCAGTGCTGACCCTGTTTGCATTTTCTTGAATCCATTAAAGCTCAAGTATCCCCTATTCGTATCTGTTTTACTATCACAATGGGATCTTTTTACAAGTTCCTCGCCATCACGATTCTGCTCTCATCTGCCGTATTGGCCCAAGAACCTGGTGCATCTCCCACTGCTTCAATCGGCTGTGAACCACACGGAGACCATTGGTATTTTTTGACTTATTTCTTTTGCTTCGCAAAGTGACTCTAGTAACGCTTTTGACTCAAGGCACTGCGACGGTCCGGCCTCGACCACTGCCTCTCTGGGCTCGTCGACAGCAAGTGATGCCGAAGTGGCCACCACCTCGGCCGCTACATCGACTACATCGGCCAGTGTTACCCCCACGATGCCCAGTCCTACCGAATCTGCGGGCTGCGAGCCGCATAACGACCACTGGCACTGTGACGGGCCCATCGAGACTTCCAGTTCGAGTGCTTCTGCAAGTGCCTCTGCGAGCTCTTCTGCCGGTGCAAGCGATGAGGAAAATGGTGTGGGCACAAGGGGAGTGGAAATGTTCCTGCTTGCTGGGCTGTCTGTTATAGCTGCTGGATTGAATGTTTGACGCGCCGATGTCGGCTCGTGTATAGTTCTTGAAGCAATGATCCAATAGCCGTAGGGTATGTAAATTAGCGGTCCTACTGAATACCTTGAAACTAGTGAATATACGTCTATGGTTCTCTTCTTGATTTTATTGCTACATACGTTAAGTTCTAAGACTGGGGCTATGGTTCTAAAGGGCATAGAAAAAGTCTAATATATGCCTATGCTCATAATATTTTGCAATAAAGTGAGTCGTTATCCCGTTCAAAAGATGATATTTATCATCGCGGGCTTTTGAAAATATCACTGCTGCAAGCAGGTACGACGCTTGTAGGCATTACCCCCTCTTGCTCGCAAGTCAGAGATGGTGTCTATCGTCAACTTGAAGACTTTATCAGCCCCTCTAGCGTCGGGATCGAAAAGAGCACTTCGAGACGTAATCACAAAAAGGCCAGAACCACCGATATTGAGCACTGGTAAAAAACGTGAAACCAAGCTCGACTGAACTGAGCGGCCAAAAAGAAAACAAACGAAGGGATACTCAAGGGAGTGGAAAACGGGACATGTCAACGAACATTTAATCAAAAGGGACTTTTCTCCGCGTGAATGGTGTGGTCAAATTTAAGAGACCGGCCACTTCGCAACGAGAATTTATGCTCAATCTAACCCAACGGTACCCATTTCGCACGCCCTCTACGTAGGCCATCATTTGGAATGTACTGGCACTTATCACCAAGCCACCGAAATTCACGAAATGAGTGAAGGGCCAAGGATAATATCTTTATCTTCTCTTTCGTATCCTTTCCCGAGGAAATATTTTGGATTCAGTAAAGTTTAGTCTAATTGTCCTTGTAACTCTATCATGGGAACTCTGAACCTGCTACGCTTACTATTGTCACGCATTCAATGCTTCAAATTTAAAACACAAGTGTAAATATTTATATGTCAGTTCGTCCATGTTATCTTGAACTGCAAAATGTAAAGCAGTTGCTCAAGTAGTCAAGTCAGACTTCCGGAATTGGATTATAATGTTATTGTTATCGATCATGGTGTTCAATAGATTATACGCCAGAGCGTGAAATCGAAGATTATTCTCTCTGTTCGTATTAAGCAAAAATGGCGAGAAAGAACATCGCGGTAAAGAGACACTCTGAGTAAAATAGTAAGAAGCATGTATACAGCAGTGTGAGGAAGATCGACACTCGGGCCTCGGTCTGGAACTCTCCCCATGATTTCACAGGCGCCGAGCTCTTCCCCGCATAATCTTTAGTGTATGAACATACCAAATACATAAGAAGCAATGATTTAGCAAAAACACCGCCATCACAATAAAAACTATACAATCTAAAGATATCCAAAATGGCAAACCTCCGCCCCCCATCAGCCCCCTACAGCGAACCCCTCCTCCCTCAACTAAATATCCCAAACCCATACTACAAACCACATCACCACGCGCTACGCGCCCACGTCCGCGAATACGTCGACACATACATAGCACCGTACGCGCACGAATGGGAAGAAGCAGGCCAAGTCCCCGAAGCCGTACGTCTGCGCCACAGCAAACTGGGCTATAGCATCGTGCACCCGTTGACGAGCGAAGAGGATTCGGCGGGTCTGGCATTGCCTGGTGGTGTACCGCGTGAGAAGTGGGATACGTGGTGCTCGCTTATTGTCTCGGATGAGCTTACGAGGGTCGGGTATGTTGGTGTTATTTGGGGGCTTGGGGGTGGGAATGGGATTGGGTGTCCGCCTGTTGCGAGGTTTGGGAGTATTGAGCAGAGGAGACGATGGTTGCCTGGTGTTGCCCGGGGGGAGGTAAGGTTTTGTTTAGGGATTACGGAGCCTGATGGTGTGTATTCTTTTGTTCTTGGATATCGTTTGGATGTGGAGAGGTGCTAATTGATTATTGTTGGTTTAGCTGGTTCTGATGTTGCTAACATTCGGACTACTGCTTTGCGTAATGGGGATCATTATGTTGTTAATGGTGCGAAGAAGTGGATTACCAATGGTATTTGGGCGGATTATTGTACTGCTGCTGTGAGGACTGGTGGTCCTGGTAGGTCTGGGATCTCTTTGCTAGTCATTCCTTTGGCTGCTGCTGGTGTGACTCGTCGGCGCATGCATAACTCTGGTGTTAATGCGAGTGGTAAGTGCTTGCTTCAATCATACCCGAAGCGTCGTGGGTTAACCAGACATAGGCTCAACCTACATCGAGCTGGACGATGTTCGTGTCCCTGTTGGGAATCTCCTTGGTGAAGAGAACAAGGGGTTCCCGCTGGTCATGTCAAGTAAGTCCCTAAGATGAAGCGGAGATATGATCAATTCCTCATTTCCCATTCAGACTTCAACCCGGAGCGCCTTGCACTGGCCTGTGCATCCTTGCGATTAGCCCGCGTCTGCGCGGAAGACGCATTCAAATACGCCATTCAGCGCGAGACATTCGGCTCGCCCTTAATTGAAAAACAAGTAATCCAATCTAAGATCTTCAAGTTTGGATTGATGATCGAACCGGCCTATGCATTCATGGAGCAGCTTGTTAATATTCTCGAACTTACCAAGGATCACCCCACGGATGATGTGAACATTGGTGGTATGACTGCCCTGCTTAAGGTGATGTCCACGAGGGCTCTGGAGAAGAGTGTTCGTGAAGCACAGCAGATCCTTGGTGGGGCTGGGTATAACAGGGCTGGTAAAGGTGCGCGGATTGAGCAGATTAGTCGTGATGCTCGAGTTCATGTTGTCGGGGGTGGGAGTGAGGAAATTATGGCTGGTTTGGCTTTGAGGGAGGAGACTAAGGCGCTGAAGACCCGACGGATGGCTCTTGAGAAGAGACAGTCGAAGGTATGAGGTCTGGAAGACTGTGAGGATTGTTTTTGTAAGCTACGGGCTTAATAAATCAAATGTTGGAATGTTGTTGTTGCTCTGGTACCCGAGGCATATTTATGTCGCTATCCGCCGCGGAGAGCATACATGCACGAAAAGGGTCAGATGTTGCTAGGCAGCATTGTCAAACTCCTTTATAGCCGAATCTGACTGCTACAAAATCGAATATTCGAAAATAAGAGATATACTGCATCAAAGCAAGCTTGAATGTATGAACAGAGTTGAATAAGCTTAGTCGAGCTAGCGTTGACAGCACAGACGTCATGTGGGGAACTTCAACCTCACAACAACTCCCAGCATGGAGAGCTTTGATGATGTGTCTCTTATCGGGCCAGTCTTCGAAGAACATTCCTTCCATAATGATCTCCCAGTCGCCTCCGACCCTCCAGAACAGACTTCGTCCAAGTCAGAGAACACACCGACCTCCGCCCAACTGACCTCACAACTGGAGCGCACCAACGATGTAGGAATGATCGACGATTCCTCCGATATTTCCGAGTTTCCTCCTCTTTCCTACAATGCGCCACCGGGGACTCGAGTGGAGGAGGAAGGTGAGGGAGAGGATGAGGAGCCAAGGGTAGCAACCTCCTTTGAGCGGCGCGAATCCTCGCCGACCTCTGCGCTAAAACACCGATCGGCTGCGGATAATTCGGACTATGAGGGTATCAACCGCATGCACAAATTTACCCTGTATGAAACCGCCACTCGGTTCTACATGGTGGGGATCAACCTCGCGGAGACGCGTTTTCGAATATTGAAAATCGATCGGACCACGGAGTCGGGGGAGCTCAGTATCACCGAAGATGACATGATCTATACAAAGAGAGAGATGGTTCAGTTGCTGGATGCGATCGACGATGGCAATAAGAGCTCTGGTGGTTTGAACCAGAAATGCAGCGCATGGGCATTGCTTGGTTTCATCCGATTCACGGGGGGCTACTATATGCTACTCGTCACCAAGAGGAGTCAAGTCGCCATGCTGGGTGGGCATAATGTCTACAAAATCGACGAAACAGAACTGATTCCTTTAACCACCTCGGAATCCTCACATCTCAAGGCTGAGAAGCATTCAGAAGAGGCGCGATACCTTGCGATTTTGAATAATCTCGACTTGTCTCGGTCTTTTTACTTCAGCTACTCCTACGACATCACCCGCACTCTTCAGTATAATATCTGCCGTGAGCGCAAGACTTACCAGGATGGAATCCCTCAGCCTTTCTCGCGGGACTATCATTCCATGTTTATCTGGAACCACCATCTCCTTGCGCCCGCTGCTGAGGCTCTCAAAAATCCCTATGAGTGGTGTCTTCCCATCATCCATGGATATGTGGATCAGTCCAAGATGAGCGTCTATGGTCGATTAGTCTATATTACCATTATCGCCCGTCGTTCTCGGTTCTTTGCTGGAGCACGTTTCCTCAAGCGAGGAGCTAACGACGTGGGAAATGTCGCCAACGATGTGGAAACTGAACAGATCGTCTGTGAACAGTCAACAACCTCGTTCCATTCAGCCGGCCCAACTCTCCACGCAAATCCTCATTACACTTCGTTTGTTCAGCACCGCGGAAGTATTCCTCTGCATTGGACCCAAGAGAACACAGGTGTCTCGCCCAAACCGGACATTGAGCTCAACCTGGTCGATCCATTCTACTCAGCTGCAGCGTTGCATTTTGACAATCTTTTCGAAAGATACGGTGCTCCGGTGTATGTTCTAAACCTGGTCAAATCTCGAGAGCGAACGCCGAGAGAATCGAAGCTCCTTAAAGAGTTCACCAACGCAGTGTCCTACTTGAATCAGTTTCTTCCAGCGGATAAAAAGCTGATATACAAAGCTTGGGATATGAGCCGCGCTGCCAAAAGTCGAGATCAAGATGTTATTGAAACATTAGAAAGCATCGCTGGCGACATAATTCCGAAAATTGGCTTTTTCAAGAATGGAAATGATGTGGAATCCGGCCTTCAGCTTCAAAACGGAGTTGCGAGGACCAACTGTATTGACTGTCTTGACCGAACGAATGCTGCACAATTTGTCATTGGCAAGAGAGCACTGGGATACCAGCTCCATGCACTCGGTGTCATAGATGAAACAGCGGTGGAATACGATACCGATGCAGTCAATCTCTTCACCAACATGTGGCATGACCATGGAGACACTATTGCCATTCAATATGGTGGATCACACTTGGTTAATACTATGGCAACTTACCGCAAGATCAATCAGTGGAGCAGTCATTCTCGTGACATGGTGGAGAGCTTCAAGCGATACTACAACAACTCCTTCCTTGATGCTCAACGTCAAGAGGCGTACAACCTCTTCCTTGGCAACTATATCTTTTCACAGGGCACCCCGATGCTCTGGGATCTCTCAACTGATTACTACCTGCACCATACCAATCCAAAATCCCATTTGGAGAGAAAGAAACCCAACTACATTTCCTGGTACACACCAGAAAACCTGAAAGAAAAGGAAATGCCACCCGTCCCATCTCACCCAAAGGAGCCACTTTCACGCTTCGACGACTACTGGCTGGAATACTATCGTCCCCTCGCACTCACGTCACTCTCCAAGGTCTTTTCCTGGAAAATGAACTCCACCTTGCGCTACCTCCCCCCAGTCCGCCCCGGCCACGCAGTCCCCGATCTCAGTCCCTTCGTCCCTCGCATTCCCCCAGAGCAGATCCAGCGCGAGCGCCTACCACCACGCAGCGTCAAGATCCAGGAGCCAACCGATAGCCGCACCCGCCTCGCGTCAAACACAATACCGATCGCAGAAGAAACAACCTGGGCCCACCAACCCCCTCATCCTCAAAACAACCCCCTCCAACGGGTATAATCAAAGAGCCCACCTTCGAAGTCCACCAGTCATCCCGCATCCCACCAATTCACCTACCAAACACCCCCTCAACCCCCAGCAAAGCCCAAATCGCGCAGTGGACCCTGGGCCAACTAGTCAGCGACTCCCTCAGCCCTACGGTAACGGGCGCCGAAGCAGAAGAATACGAACGCTACATCAACCACCCGCTCACAGTCCCGCTTGTCGTCACGTCCGAAAATGAAATGACAGCCGCCTCGCTCCGAGACCACGGTTATAACCTCGATCTCCTTGAGTACGCGAATAAATGCAATGTGGAAGAGTTTGCGCTGGAGGCGAATGCTGAGGAGAATCTGGCTGATTATGCTGAGTTCTTGAATGTCTCTGAAGAGGGTCTTACTGTTGTTAGTGAGGATTACGAGAAGAAGAGGTATAAGCGGTATCGGCAGTGGTTGCGTGGGAAGAGTCTTTTTAAGCAGCGGGTTGATTCATGATGTTACGAATATTGAGGATTTCAGTAACTTCTTCGGCGTTACCTATTGTAAATTGATACCCTGATTTGAATTGAATATTCACATTCCATTGATGCCATTTCATGGAGACTTTTCTCTTCCTATCTTATATGCAACACTTTCTGCTACAAATCAAAGAAATGGGACGGAAGATACCACCAACTCAAATCATTATCTCTTCAATGAACATTTCGAGCAGGAGTCTGATATCTGTCAATATTCGCTTAGAAGAAAAGCCCCGTAAGCACCGGATCAGCCTCAACAAGCTTCTTCACATCCCCAACTATACTCTCCTTAGCCTGCACCTGCTCCTTCTGAGACTCATCACCAGGTATAGTAACAGGATTCTGCAAGACATGCAACAAAAGCTTAACAGCAATCTTCAACTCGTTCTCCAGCATTTCCTTCATTTCCCCAGAAGTCGAAGGATCCTCAGCAGCATGAATCCACGCCGAACACAACCCACTCAACAGTTCACCGCGCCAACGCCAGATACGCGGGTGTCCATTCTTAATCACGCTTTGGAGAACCATTGCGGCACTGAGCGTGAGGCCGAAGTGGGAGTGTTCCATTCCGAAGGGGTTGGAGAGTGTAGTGTAGAAAACAGGGATTAGGTCCTGGAGGTATTTCACGGTGTTGATACCGAGTTCTTCGACAAAGCTGCCTGCCATTGTTAGGAGTTGTGCCGAGAGGCGCGGGTATGGGAAGGAGGTCTGGGTTGAGGCTGCGGCTGGGGTGCTTGAACTGATGTGGTGCAGTGAGGAGATGATGTTTGAGCGGAGGATTTTGGCCAAGCTGTTTATGTAGGTTTCTTGGTCCTTGGCTTTGTTCTTTGAGAAGGGGCTTTTGTAAGCGGTTTCGAAGAGGACTAGGAGGGCTGGGTATGCTTCTCCTAGGCAGTATATGGAGCTTTCCTCTGGTGTGATGGTTGGCAGGGAAAGAAGACATGGAGTTATGGCATCTTGGAAGACGGAGGTTAGGTTTGTTCGTTGGAGGATATCTGATCTGCTGTCTTTGATTCGGACTAGTAGGTTTTTGAGCAAGTCGCATCCAATGGTTTTGAAGCAGATGTTGCTGTCGTCGATCATGGCGAGGATGGCTGGCACGTAGAGCGGGAAATGTTCTTCGAGATATTTCTTGTCCCCGGGCTAGTATCAATGTCAGTGATGAAGTTGCGGTGAAATTTTGTGGGATGGCATACGGTGTACCGCTCTATCATCCACTCCAGGGCAGTCGCAACGTAGACATCGGTTGTCTTCCAAGGTTTGGCCGACTCATCCATGCCGTCAAATCGTGGGACGGACTGGGGATGGAAGTTCTTGCGGCCGGCGGCGGTGATGGCGGGATTCGGAGTCTTTGCGAACAAGGGCCTGATACGTTCCTTCAGGATGAACTCGATACCAGGCCAGAACTTGTTGGCCTGTTCAGTAACCTGAAGCCAGTGGTTCGTCAACAGTGATGCGTTCATGGCACTGTGAGATGTTGACCATGGCACTTTTTGGCTAGTAGAGCATGCTAGAGCGAGAGTGACATCTGCGACGGCAACATTGTCGGGCATGCGGCCTGAAAGGCTGGGAAGAAGCTTGCTCAGGCTCAGCAGAAGCTCTATAGCCAGCTCTGATTCATACTTGCTCTCGTTCTGAGCCCTTTTGACATCTGTTTGCTGTTAGACCCTTTGTTCACTTTCACGAAGCTTCGACCGCGCTTCAGGCGACGTACCGGCGGTAGGCTCGTCAGACTCGGTCTTTATAAACTCGACCGAGTATGCCGCGCTCGGCAGAACGACCGCGCTCGCCCACTTCAAAATTTTGTTCAACGCCTCATTTTCGTTCTGTGTGAAGGGTCGTGGGCTTCCATTCTCCGGCAACCATGGCTCAAAGTGCTCGACATAACTGAGCATGGAAGCGATACTCTCGCATCTCTACATTCTCAATCTTCTGTTTTCTTTTTCCTCAATGGGCAAACTCACGTTCAGATGGCTCGAATGGTCATAGGACTCAACATTCTGCCAGACTTGAGGCAAATCACACTTGGATACAGCAATACGGCCAGGGGCGAAGTCATGTGGGAACTGCCCAGGCTTCTGCATGAGAGTCCTACGGACTTGGGTGCGAAGTTCATCCATAACGAAGATAGTTGAAGATGGCAGGTTAAAGAAGTGAGGGATCTCCACTAGGTTTATTTTTGTGTCATCTGACTTCACAACCCCAACTCTGCTCGTCGACCCGCGATTTCTGCCAGTACCTGTTCCTTGTCGACATCACGATGTAGCAACTGCCATTCAAGCGCCATATTAACTGCTTTGCTCATCCACGGTCCTTTTTTGGTTTCTAGGCTATTCATAATTTCATCGCCATTTACAATTGGTCGGAGGTCGCATACATCCTCCAGGTCGTTTTCTACGATGTATACAAGGAACTGGTCGTACTCGGTAACCACTACATAGGGTTAGAAAAACACCACAAAATGCAGAGAAGGACTCTTACCGTCTGCGAAGTCACGTTTTCTCATGACTTCTTGCATGATTGCCAGAAGAATGCAAAGTTTCCAGTCCTTGTTCCATGAGCGAATTTGCAATCCAATGCGCTGTCGGATTTCTGCTGGTGTTCCACTCAATTCATTGGCAAGGAGTGCGGTTTTGGTCGTAATAATCTCTTCGAAATGCAGAGCCGCGGCGCGGAGTACATTGAGCGTCTTGTTATCGGTGCGAAGACTGTCTTTTCCGACCTCAACTGCTCGTGGGGGGATTGGCTTCGCTTTCGCGCCCTTGGCCGTGCGGCCGGGGACTGAGGACCAAGGAGCAAATGTTGCGACCATCCATGCATAGTATCTGGTTTCATCGCTGGTGGTAATATCACGAATGCGTTTCGCAGCCGACTGAACCTCTTCGCTATCCTCGGACTTTGGGTGCAGCAACCGTGCCAGCGTGTTGTATGCGAGAGGCCATGTCGATGTATCGGCCTTGGCGTCATCCTGATGATTAGCGAAGATAGTGGGATATAGCTTAAGTCGGTCAATGAACTCCAATGCGCCGCGGGGGTCAGGCCCTGGATGTTATGGTTAGAAAAGCACATGATCGGTTGATGCAACTAACTCACCACGTAACATCTTTTCGAGCTCGGTTCCCACGCGTTCTTTGCTGATTTTCAGTTTCAGTGCCTCGCCGATATCTTCGATCTGCATAGCGGCCTCTGTTTCATGGTCGATTTGGTATCCCAGTCTGCTTGCAAATCGGATCAATCTGAGCACGCGCAGTGGATCATCTTTGAAGGTTTGGTATGGCTCCATGGGGCATCGAATAGTCTTCTTCTTCATGTCATCCAGACCCCGTTCAGTAAGATCCTCCAGCCGCGATTCGTTGAGGTTGTAGAATAGCGCATTGATGGTTGCATCCCGCCTCAAAGCGTCCTCAACTGCGGTACCGAACTCCATCTGTGGGTTGCGACTGTCGTCTGAGTATGTCTCTTTCCGTAGATTGACCAAATCAATGTCGAGACCAAAGATCTTAGTCGTGACGGTCTCCAGGTGCTTCGATTTCTCCGGGTTCGCCTCGATCTTGTGAAGGCTCACAATAGCATCATGCATTTCTCCATCTGGTAGGCCGTTTTTGTACTTTTCTAGGCGTTCCGGAACGTCCAGGTACTCTTTGAGAGCCATGCCAAACTGGAACCCAGTCATACTGCTGATTCCCACATCGATGTCATGGCTCTCGACACCGAGCAGTTTGTCTCTGACCCAGCCTCCCGTGAACCGCAAAACAATCTCGGGGGCATCTTGGCCTCCCTCAGATAATTTCTTCTCGCGAATGTAGTTTGCGACGTCGAGGAGGAGAGTTCGCAGGGTGCTCTCAATCGGAGTGAGCTCGAGAGTCGGCACGGCGGGGTTCATGGTTGCAGATGAAGCTTCCCGCTGAGGAGAAGGAATGCGTCGTCTCTTACTGACTCGCCCTGAGAAGTGAGAGTCTAATTCGCGGTTGCGCATGGACGGGCGACAAGGTACAGAATAAGTTCGGAGGGGAAGAGCTTGAATTGGGCATGGACGTCCTGGTTTTCTTGCTAGAGTGCGGGCAAGTGGAGTAAAAGAAAGACCAGATGACTCAAAGAAGAGCCCTAAAGAGCGCAGCCTCATTGAACATACCTAGTCGTGCGCAAGTTAAATGAAACTGAGTCAGGTTTGATTGTCGATAAGGCCTCACGTGGGAAGATCATGTAGCCCGCCTTGTCTTCACTACTCTACGCTCTGCACTCTACACTTTCAACATCCCACTTCGAACTTTCGAGATACTTCGCAAATACCCAGTTTCAGTCTAGTGCTCGTCTTCTTGTCGATTCGCTTCGTTGTCCCTGCCAGCGCTAATCGGGCCGAATCCCTCATCTTGGCTTTCTCCCCCAACAACACCTCCGTGAACCCGTAACAACTACTCTATTACACCCCAACCTCAGATCCCAGTCGATGGGGCCTGCCAATCAACATCACTAGTTTCAGTTTTACACAGAGCAGCGGTTGTCCATGACATCGCCCGGAGATGCTACTCCGGTCAAACCTCCGCCGTCCTTCTCACCCGGCGTTACGCGAGTCGCCTCCCCATCACGATACCCGGAGGAGCATGAATCAGCTCAGTCTATAGATGTCCAACTGGCCGAATCCCAGTCAGCCTCATCAGCAACCCCTCCTCTCTCAGCCACCATTTCCGACTTACCGATCCGCTCCGGCTCGCCGCACTCGCGCTCTGGGAGATCCTCCACCCCGCAATTAGCCAGGTCATCCATCGGTTCGCCTTTCGATGGACGGGCAGATGGCTCGGAAGATATCAGATCATTAATCATTCGGTCCTTCTCGCCTACAATCGCTGTTCATGCATCCGAGGATACTGATCACTTGGTGAGGAACAAAGGGTTCAAGGGGGGATTTTGGGAGTTGATCCGGCCTTTTGGAGAGACTGTCTCCGGGAAGGTGGTAATACGGGATAGCATAGGCTCAAGTCGTGCCTGGGAAGACTATGGAGTACGCTTTGTCAATTTCAAGGGGATCGGCAAGGCTACACCAAGCCGAGATTCCGGTCCGCTGGCGCAGATGGAGGAGGTATTGACGAAACAGCTGGATTCTTCGGAGGGTCTCATGGGCGCATCAGTACGGGCAAAGGATGTGCTGGGATTCCCTGCAGCAACGCCACTATTCAAATCGTACTTTCAACAACTTCTGTGTGCCGCACCCGCAGCGCCTCATGAGACATTCGGCCATCCCGTGGCCAATGTAATAGCCATCAGCTCTCGCAATCCGGCTCCACTGGAGACACTCAGGCAGCTATATGCGGACAGTACGACTGGTGACAGACACCTTCCCGACTGGGTCCATCAAGAGTATCTTCGGTATTATGTCCTGGTCCATGATGAGGAACGAGATGATATCACGGAATCTACCAAGCTTTACGATCAGATGAAGCGGCACTTTGGGCTACATTGTCATCTTTTAAGGCTTCGGAGCAGTCAGTGCGTCGTGACAGATGATGATAGTGTACAAGTTCCCCAGTGCGAATGGCTCACACCTTCAGAGCATTTGTCGGGGGCAGGTGAAGCAGGCAAGTTAATTTCAAACCACAGCCGGAAATCTGCTAACTTGCATTCAGAAACTTTGGTTGACCTCGGCACCGATGGCACACCATATCTCTTTGATTCCGATGCAACTGCAATTAGGGCCTTCATTCGGGAGCTAGTTGTGCAGTCTGTGATACCATTCATGGAAAATAAGGTGGCTGTTTGGAATGATCAAGTCGCATCGCGGAGGCGCGGTATCAGTGGAAGGTTTATATCAATGTCAAAGCGATGGGCTTTCGGATCAAGTTCGCGCTCAGGTATCGCAGGCTCGTCAGGTGGTAACAGTGGGAATTACGATTCAACGCAGCACTTCTACAGTCCAGATTCCCCCGAGGCTGTCCTACGGAAGATGGCAGACTTTGCATTCATGCTCCGCGACTGGAAGCTTTCTACGTCCACGTACGAGATGATTCGATCGGATTTCGGCAACGACAAAGCGTGGAAATATCATGCCGGCGCCCACGAGATGTGCGCTGTCAGCATGCTTCTGAATCCACTGGCCACGTCAGCCAAAATCAAGCTTGATAGCGTGGACCAGTTGTTCGAGACTGCCTGCTATTCCTATCTCACGCGTTGCTCGGACGTACCACATGCACTCCGTTGTCTTTCTCTGGCAGTCGAGCTTCTCAAATCTCGCGGCGGGTCAGCCACCGAGAGCGCAGCCAAATGGGCCATGCGGGTCATGGACTTTGGGTTGGTTGGCTCGGTGGGTCAGATTCTGTACACCGAAAGGGTAGCAGCATGCTATGCATCCAAGACACCAGTTGGTGCAGCCAAATGGGGTGGGCGCCGCCGAAAAGCCGGAATGTGGAGTACGCTCGCTGCAGACCAATGGCTCAAGGCCGGCAAACCAACACTTGCTTCAGCCTGTCTGGAAGAAGCCGAACGTCTCTATGCTGACGTATTGGAGGCAGATGGTGTGTTCCCAATGCCTGAGATGCAAAGTTTCGTCGACAACCTGCGCCATGCTGTCAAAGTTGAATATCTTGAGGCTAGAGGATTTGACGCCAGAGATAGATCGCCCACCGAAGACCCCCTAGATACTGAAGAGACCAGCGAAAAGCTCGACAAACGCAGCCATCGCCGTTCTCTGATTGGGCTTCCTGTGCAGCTGGACGCCGGAGCCCTCAACACGCAGGGTCCTCGGGACCCTGAGAACCCGAATGATGACTTTGAACGAGCTTAGACTCATTACGGCCTTAATACACCATCATAGCATATAACCATAGAATACCAAACCTGTTCAAACAGAAAGTCTTATCTCCAGGTAGCTAAGCTGTATACATCAAGAGCCTCTCACACTTCGTCACGTGGGGCCATTATCGATAAACCTTCTGTTGACAGAGCGACGGACGATCGATCCCCCATGACCTTCGTTTGCACCTCCAATAAGCATAAATTAACCACTTCTCGCAAGGCTAGCCGCCTTCCCTCTCTTCTATATACGCAAGCATCATGAGCGACCTACTCAAATACATCCTCAACAATGAGGAAGCGTTCCGCAGGTAGAGACTACAACCCCCGGAGCCCGAGTCCGGGCCCGCATCTCCAACCCAAAAGCCAAACAGCCCACCAAATACATGTACACACAAGAAAGGATAATATACTAATCCTCTTGAAATCCCAGAAACCGCCTCCCATCCCTCTACTCCGATTTCACACCGCAGAAGAAAACAAACCCAGACGGCTACGCCGTCAACGTCGCCGCATGGGAACAAGCACTCAACCGAGCCGCGAAGCGCGGCTACACATCCTCCCGCGGAATCCGCATACGATCCGGGTCGAATATCTCAGCGAAGAACGATAGTTCAGCATCGCCACCAGCAAAGCGAAAGAAGACGGATCACCTTATTCTGCGGACAGATGAGTCCTTGCTTAGGGATTTGGAGAGTGCTGAGTGGGGGAGACCTGTTGCGCTGGGCACTGTTTTCGATGAGGCAATGCACAAACGCTCTATGATCCCTTTGCCGGTTTACAAGACTACTGCTGGGCTTTTGCAGAAGAGTCAGTGGAGGGTTATTGATCCTGGTGTTTTGAGTCCGTGGAATGTTATGAGTTGGGGTGTTAGGCAGCTTAAGGGGTTTGTTGTTGGTTTGGAGAGTGATTCGGCGCCGAAGTTGCAGGTGCAGGAGTTGGTTTTGGTGGAGAATTTGCAGGTATATTTTTTTGGTCGAGGGACTATGCTTGCATCAATCTTTGCTGACTTTCTCTTTTTTCCCGACAGGAAACAGCAGACTTGGCCGTGAAGAAGGCTACTGGCGGCAATTGCTCGAAACTGGATCTAATATACTCGAAAGAAAGCTTTGTTGAGGAGTTTGCAGGTATACTGAATGATGCGACAGAGTTATCAGATGCCGATTTTGATATTTTATTGCTCTATTTGTCCCGCGACAGCGGTGCTATTGCATATGATGGCAAGGTAAGTTGACTATGTAAGGTATTTTGGCCAGAACGCCCAGATACTGATGAATGGGCAGACAATCAAGTTCAAATCCGCAGGCGAGATGCCAGAGATTACACAACAAGACACAACCATTGCGTCTATCAAGACGTTGGTAGCGACGATGTCTAAGCAGGTCACGAATTTGGAGGCTAAGATCATCGAGCTGAACACATCTGCGAAGACAGCACTGGCAAACAAGAACCGAGTTTCGGCGCTAGCCGCTGTGAGGTCAAAGAAGATGGCTGAACAGAACCTCAAGCAGAGACTTGACACTCTTATGCAGCTCGAAGAGGTCTACGCCAGAATCGAACAAGCTGCCGGTCAGATCGAGATTGTGCAGGTCATGCAGGCAAGCACTGGGGTTCTCCGTGGTCTTCATACACAGATTGGTGGCGCCGAAAAGGTTGAGGATATCGTTGAGGAGTTGCGTGAGGAGATGACCAAGGTGGATGAGGTCGGCAGCATTATGAACGAAGCCGGCCCGGTCATTGATGAGGGAGAGATTGATGAGGAGCTTGAAGCCCTGGAGAAGGCTGACAGGGAAGTGCAGGAGAGGGAAGAAGCAGCAGCCACTGAGAGGAGACTGGCCGAGCTGGACAGTGCCAAGCAAGCCTCCGACGAAGCTACCCGGAAAGCACAGGCGGCCAAGAATCTGGAGTCTGAGCTTGCAGGCAGCATTGAAAGACTTTCCAATATGTCTGTTGAAGATCGCCCGATGCCAGCGAAATAGGTCACAGCCTGTTTATGGACAAGAGATCTGTCATTCAAAGGCACAGTTCACTATTGAAGTGAGTTTCCAGTCGGGTTCGATTCATATTCATTCATAGTCATCCGGAGAGGTCGATGGTATTATTGGCATCTGAGCCTGGGTTGTTTTCAATGCGAGCACCATTCGGTGGCAGTGCCTCAGCATGCTGCTGTGGTTGAGCTTGCGCGGGCCCAGACGAACTTTCTGATGCTCCAGGAATAGTGGACCTGATCTGAGCTTCACTCTTCTTCCGCGCATTTGCAATGAGGCGCTTGAAATCGTCATCGTGGTTTGTGGACCACTCGTTCGCATTGAAGTCCTTGCGCATAACGTTACTTGACGAAAGAAATGGTGATGGCGTAGCAGCATGCCCTCCCTGCGTCCGCTCCCAGATATCCAGCTCTGAGAGCAATACCCGTTTTGATTTGGGGTTTTTGGAATCGCAATTCGCGTTCCACAGGTTCATCCACTCCGTATGGCGTCGCTGCAGAAGCGGTTTGGGACCCCACTCCGGGATACCGAGGTCCCGGAGCTTCTTTCGCAATGAATTATCCTTCAAGATGGAGTAGTTTATGGCGGGGATTCGATCGGGAGGTTTGCCTAGGGTTAGATCCTTTTGGGGTGGGGCCATCAGTGACCTGCGACGTCAATTAGCATGCATATTCTTAGATTTCGGTAATAGAATCAACATACCCAAAAGGAGCTGGCTTTGGAGGCTGAGCTTCCTCCTCTGTGTGAACGTTTAAATGTGTGAAGACCGCTTCCTCCTTCATCTTCTGGGAGCAGATCGGGCACGCGACCATGCCATCTTCTATGAGATTATTAGACTGAGTCTGGCATACGAGTCCAAGATGCCATACCTGGAATGTATTCATCGTCATCTTGGCTATCCTCAATAACCTCAGGAATACTTTGAGGAGCAATCAGCGCTTCTACCGAGGTTCTTGTGGTTCTTTGAGACCGTGTTCGTCGGCCTTGCGAGCTGACTTCTGCAACTTGCGTTTCCTCCTCTGCAACGCGGCTAACTTTTCGTTTCTTTGCCAGTTGCTTGGTATCATCCTCACCCTTCTTAAGGCGCTCTTTTTCCGCTCGTGCAAGCCCCAGGACACTCGGCCTTGCCGTCATAAACGCGTCGACCAGTTCTTGTACGGCCCAGTTACGGCGCAGCTTCAGCTCTTGGTCAGAGCTCCGGCAAGCAGGGCATTTCCCTTCGGTGCTTAGACAGCGGCGAATACATAGTGAACAGAATGTATGACTGCAAGATGTAATGACCGGGTTATCGAAGAAGTCTTTGCAGACTTGACACCGGAGCGAGGATTCGAGTGGCGCAAGTAGTGACAGAGGCGTTCCTACCCAATCGGTGGAATCGGGCAGGTCGAACGATTGATCCATTGGAGAAGAGACCTGTACCTCACGCGAGGTCTTTGTAGAATCTCAGATCTTGAGAGGAGAATGGGAGTGGAGTGCAGACGCCAAGACCCGCTGACTGATACGCGTTAAGTGGTTTGGGCACGCGTCGGAGCAACTTGCAAATCACAACGATGGACTCCAAGCTGTATCTGGCTGAGAACGTGCTCAATGAGCGACATGCTGTATGTTCCTCTTATATTCTCTTCAACATTCATGTTCTGACCGGGAATAGGTCACTTATCGCTCACTGAGCCGCGCGCTAAAGGTGCCCGCCAATCGAGCCAAACAGTAGGTCTAAGGACTTGGAGAAGATCCAGCAGAGGCTGACAATTTGGTTACTTAGGGTTCTCTTTGAATTCCATCGCAATGAGAACGCGAAGAAGCCACAGACCGTCCACGCAACCTACGTCATCTCCGGTATCCAGAAAGCACCAGAGCCAACTCCTACGAATGGCCATGCCAAAGACGAGGATGAGATTATGCAGAGCAGCCCTGACTTGCCCAGCTCGATGCCGAACCAGGATGCATCTTCAAACTCAACCCGCATTGCGTCAATCATTTTAGCTCGTGAAGAAGACCTGGAAGGTATGGTGGTCCGAAGATCTCGACGGTAGACTGAATACTGAACGAACGGGGCAGATGCGAAATCAACTTTCCAGTCGATATCTACAATCCATGTCTACAGCATTGAACCCACACCTCTCCCTGATTTGAACGTGTTGGTCGATGTCAGTCGCGAGATTGCGATAAAGTATGCGCAGGAAGATCCATTGGAGTGTGGAAAGCAATGGGGCATGGTCCAGAACCGAAATGTTAAGGTATGATCTTATCCTGGAAGCCAGTTATAGTAATCTAACGGGTACCTTTTATAGCGGAGAACTGGCACGCGCCCACCTCCACCTCCAGCAGCTAAGGCTCAGGCGCCAGCTGCTAAGGAACCAAGGCCTTCTATCGAGTCGACAGTACCTGCCAAACGGCCATTGCTGAAGGAAGTCAATCCGGCAAAGACTGAAACAAAGACCGATGATCCGAGCTCTCAGCCATCCACTTCCGCAAACTCCCAGTCATCTTCGAAGTCCGCTGCCAAAGCTGCGCCTGCCAAAAAGGGCAGCTTGTTCAGCTCGTTCGCTAAGTCGAAGCCAAAACAAAAGACAGCTGCCCCTGCAGAACTAAGCACGGAGGATGGTGAGTCGACCCCGTGTGATATTGAAACATTAGCTAACATATCGCAGTTGTGCTTGATGATGCTTCCGAAGAAGAACCAGAAGAACTGTTCCCTGATAGCGGCGACAAGGCAGCAGCTGCAAACCGCGAAAGCAGAAAAGAACGCGAAGAAAAGCTAAAGAAAATGATGGACGATGACGAAGCTGACGGTATGTGCCGAATTGCTGCAGGAATTGCAACCCTACTAATATAATACCCAGACGAAGAAATGCCCGATGCTGACGAGGACCCATCTCGGGAACCTACACCTATCGAGCAACCACCGCCATCCAAGCCAGTTGAACTTAAAGAAGAAGTAACCGTGCAAGGCGGGCGGCGGCGAGGCAAGCGACAGGTCATGAAGAAGAAGACGGTCAAGGACGAGGAAGGATACCTAGGTCTGTGCAACACACTAGGACTCATTAATATATTTGTTACTAACTTGTAACAGTGACTCGGGAAGAAGCGTCGTGGGAGTCATTCTCCGAAGATGAGCCAGCCCCTAAGAAGAAGCCAGCAGTCAATGTCCCCAAGGGTAAGGCCGGTAAAGCTGGCCAGGGTCAAGGTAATATCATGTCTTTCTTTGGGAAGAAATGAGTTCCATCCTATAGTTCTCACTCAATACCATGTTGTTTGTCTCTACGGAGTATAGAAGTAGAATTACCCAAAGAGGAAATTAAACAATGTCGATCTTCTCCGCACTCTGTGGAGAAGTGAGCATCCGTGTGGCCGATGTCACCTCAGTTCGCAGTTTAATGCACCGAAACTGAATTAGGGCTACATTGCAGATAGTGTATCTCAACATGTTATGGAATGTGACCCTGCCTGGTTAGGATCGACATCCCCTCTTAATTACCCCGGCTCCCCCACAACTCCCTCTTTTGTTTCGACTAACTTACACCTAGATGACCTACTGCCATGACTCTCTCAGTCATCCTCGCCGCGTCTCTGCTGGGCCTTGCCAATGCCCTACCAGATCGCGATAACCCGGCCATCCTAAAACGGGCTTGCCCTGACTATGTTTCATATGCATCAACGCCGCAGTAAGTACTCCCCCATCAAAAGGTACCCGGACAATTGCTCATCGGGAATATGACAGTGCTCCTTATAGCGAAGGTCCTTTGAGGCTTCCCTACCAGCGACCCGCAGAGGCATGTCGGACGTTCTCATCACCCGCCGTCGAGAAGGTCATCGACGATATAACATCGCGCCTAACAGACAAAGACCTGGCCCAGCTTTTCCGCAATGCCTACCCCAACACCCTTGACACCACTATTAGATGGCACACAAATGGATCCAGTTCCTCTACCAAGCGAGCCAGCACACAATCTGGTGCGCAGTGGACAGGCACGCAGACATTCGTCGTGACAGGCGATATCAACGCCGAGTGGCTGCGCGACTCGACCAACCAGCTCACGAACTACCAAGCACTGGCTTCCAAAGACGCGAACCTGTACTCACTTATCCTCGGTGCAATCAACACCCAGTCCGAGTTCGTCATCCAGTCACCATACTGCAATGCATTCCAGCCGCCATCTCTCAGCGGCATCAAGCCAGAAAACAGCACCCAAACGGACAAAGTCCACCCCGCCTATGAAAAGTCCTTTGTCTTCGAATGCAAATACGAGCTCGACTCGCTTGCGCATTTCCTCCTCCTCGGCACTGAGTTCCACGAGAACACCGGCTCAACCGATTTCCTAACAGACCGCTGGTACAAAGCTCTGCAGACCGTACTGCGGACCATCGACGCACAGTCTCAGCCAACCTTCGACTCAAAGAACCAGTTCGTCACAAACGCATACACTTTCCAGCGCCAGACGACTCTCGGCACCGAAACCCTCAGCCTGGAGGGCGTGGGCAACCCACTAAACAGCGATACAGGTCTAATTCGCAGTGCCTTCCGTCCCAGCGATGATGCCACGATCTTCGGGTTCTTCATTCCACCCAACGCAATGATGTCCGTTCAGCTCCAGAAAACGGCAAAGGTCATCAAAGCCGCCGGTGGACCGGACGATCTAGTCAAGGACCTACAAGCGCGCGGCGAGAAACTCGCCAAGGCTGTCCGCGAGCACGGTATTGTGCAGCATCCCACCTACGGCGATGTTTACGCCTTCGAGGTAGACGGGTATGGCTCGCGCGTTCTCATGGACGACGCTAATATCCCATCACTTCTCTCTCTACCTTACCTCGGTTTCCTGGATAAATCGGACACTGTCTACCAGAATACCCGCAAGATGATCACCTCCAAGTCTGGGAACCCGTATTACCTGGAAGGTCCGGCATTCCGTGGTATTGGCGGACCGCATGCTGGCCTTGAGAATGCTTGGCCTATGTCTTTGCTTGTTGCGGCTATGACTTCTGATGATGATGATGAGATCCTGACGAATATTAATCTTGTTCGGGATTCAAGCTTGCTGGGTCTTGTTCATGAGTCTATTAATGTTAACAATATCAAGGACTATACTCGTCCTTGGTTCTCGTGGGCTAACTCCGTCTTTGCGCAGACCATTCTTAAGGTTGCTGCTGAGAAGCCGCATTTGATCTTTGGGAAGGGGGCAAAGCCTTATACTGTGCAATAGGCTTCAGAGTATGTTTTGGGTTTGTTACCGGAAGAAGTATCAACTATAGCTCCCAAGCGGGCAATTCATTGTTATCAAAATTTAAATGAACTTCATATATAAGTCAGCATCGAGGGTAAAATTTCACCTTTTGTTCTGCAGCCAGGATTGAATATGTCTTTGGTATAGATCGATGGATCGAATCCTTCTCCTTTCATGTTCTAATTCAAGCCTCTCGTATACATAGTTAATCTGAGTAGATTCATCGTCATCTATAATCCTCATGGATGTTTCTGTGCAATGTTGGCGAAGATATAATAACAAAAGGGATATAAAATAACAATTAAATCAACACTCTCCGCAGGCCCTCAGTACCTCCAAGTACTCTTCGTCCTGTGACGGGGCATCTTCCCTTGCCACTCTCCCATTTACCAGAGCGCTTACGAGACCCCTTGCCCTCAGAGACACCTCCAGCGCCCTTCTTAGTGTCTTCGTCGTCGCCAGTAATCTCCTCTTCCCACGGCGCACCAGCACCCTCACCAGTCATAAAGTCCAGCTGGCGCTGGTGCTCGCCATTCAGCCAGTGGAAGATGCACACGTAGCAGAAGACATACCCTGTCTGGCATGCAGTCGGGTTAACGAGCTGGCCCATACAGACAGGACAAGTATTCGCACTCGAGGGATCAGCCGGAGGCAAAGACACGGTGTAAATGGGAAGATAAGAGGTAGCAGAGATAGGAGGCTGATGGCGACGGGGAGACTTAAGCGCTGGCTTTAAATCAGCAGCAGCATTCTTTTTAGCCTTCTCTTTCTCGTCTGACGATTTCCGTCGCTCAGCTGGAGATGTGAGGCCAGCAACCACGGGAGCGGGGAGGTCGAGGACCTCAGTAGCCTTTCGGGCAAGCTGACGCGAGAAATCACTGGCGTGCCACCATTCTAGGAACTTCAGAGCGAAGATCGATGCGGGGAGGAAGTACCGTAGCGAGGTCAGGGCTTGTGTATGGAGATTTTGGGGGCTTAGAAGACCGAGCAGACCACCGCCTGGTCGCTGAGAGCGGCCGGCACCAGGGCCAGGCTTGGGATCTAGCACTGCGGCGATGGCGCGGTGGTCTGCGGCGCCGAGGCGGCGAATGCGCGTACCGATCAGCCATAGGAATGGCGAGGAGTACTTTGTGTTATCGAAGAGGTAGGCAAGATTGAACGCCAGAACGGAGAAGTAGTACGCAGCGTTGACGGACGGGTATACTTTGCGTAGGAACCACTTGTAGAAGTGGAAGATGCGCTGGCGCAGCGACGGATTGGCCGGCAGATCGTCGCTGGGGTTGTATCGGGGGCCGCCGCCCATCACCAGGGATGCCTGCGGAGCAGCGTGGATATCATACCCTTCGTCAAGCTTGCGCTTTAGGTAGGGGATTCCGACCATGACGAACAGGTTCTTCCATATGTCTGTTGAGTGTAGTTTGAGGGCCTCACGCACGGGGCCAGCGGCGCCGACCTGGGCGCGCGGGATCTCGCCATTCTTGGTGCGGAGAACGCGCTCACGTTTCAAAGAGTAGAAGTTCTCCGTGAAGGAGCCGCCGAAGGTACGGAGGTAGTACCTTTCGACAATTAATGAGAGGAGGGCGTAGACTTCGTCATAGGAATTGAGGATCCGGAGAAGGTATCGCGGGTGGCGGTGTGTTGCGACTGCGAGGAGATAGCGTAGAGATGGTGGGAGGAGATCGGATAGCTGCTGTTCAGCGAGGAGTTCTGTCGCGTGCGAGCTTGATGTTAGCAATTCCGCTGTATGGGGGCCTTCCCCGTGTCTGGGGTCTCCCCATCTCCGCGGGGAAGTGTCAATGGTAACTTACCGAAGAGCGACGGCTTGTGCTCGTCGAACTCCTGTTGTAGACTAGGAAGATACTCCATGGTCAGGAGCAGTCATCCTTGGGAAAGTTGGAAATGGGGGAGAAATGAAGGTGACAGTCGCCGGAATCAGTGATCGTCTGCCGAGGCTCAACTTATCCGAGCTGACTACTCCCGTACATTCGAGTTCATCAATGAAATACAACTTTGAGGACGCTCCAAACCATTGACATGAAATTGATATTGTACATGCAGAATATATGCTATATTATTTTACAGATATTTGTTCTTCGTTCAGGCTCCGAAAGCCAGTGCCTCCTGGCAATCAGTCCAGAGGGGCATATAGAAACTCGGAGGACCATCTTCTTCACGCTTGTGAATGGTCGGGTCAGCCACCAAGATACAATGCATGATGGCAGGCACAACCAGGCCTTTTAGCGCAATCGCAGGAGACTCCTCGGTCATCAGCGGTATGCCAAGAGAGAGGCACTCGCGTGCTCGCCGTTCGTCGCCAAGTTCAGCGTGCAACTGGAACAGCTGAGTGTAATCATCTTGTGTACGGCTAAGGCCTTTTACTGGAAACATATTCCACAATCGCCAGAACCCATCGTGGTCTCCGCACTGAAATAGCGTAACCATGAGCTTACGAGCTTCGTCAGCGTCGAATGGAACATTGGCTGCCGCGACAATCTTGGTCAGCCGAGACAAAATTCGTTGGGACTTAGTTCGCTGAGTAGTAGACGATGTCTGCGAAGCACCTTCCACGGACGATCCACTTGGCGTAACGCATGTTTGATAAAGGATGTTGAACATTCTCATGTTAAGAATGGGTACGCCACGTAGGCTGAGACGATCCAGTACACTCAGGGCAAGCTCCATATCATTTTCAGGAATATCCGATGCAAGTTCCTGTGGATTCGCACCAACTGGCCTGGGGGCCAGCAGGGCAGAGACAACATCAAAGCCAAGGTCGTCCGGCAGATCGTAACCATCCTGGAGGAAATCAGAAAATGCGCTGAACAGGGCATCTTTACTGTAAGCTGAGTGCTGTCTAGACACCGCAATTGACAGCAACTTCAATCGAAGGATAGCCTTCTCCTGGGCCGAGATTTTTGTGGCGTGGTTGGTATAGAAGAGCCGTAGAAAAAGAGTGGACGTGCGATCATCTGGACCACTCCCAAGCTCGCTCCGTGCATTCTCAGCCGGGAGTTCGCGGAGGATTTGAAGCAAAGACGCCGGTGTCATTTGGGATGCGACGGCTTCTGCGCTGCCAGCGGCGGGTGAAGCTCCGATAACAGGAAGGGTAGACCCTAGGCCAGACTCAATGGAATTCATTTCGGGTACTGCGAGTCGGCGCATTGTATGGAAGCCTCTCTTTTGGTTGGGAGAGGAGCCGAAACCATCAGACATAGATCTGGGAGGTGCAGAGCTAGGCTCGGAAGAATCGGTCTGCCGAACGTTCTTTCGGCCTTCGCGGGCTAAAGTAGCCTCCCAAAGACCATCAAGGTCAACATCGGCCCGCTTCTCTTCCGTAAAGATCTGGACAACTACGTTAGTCCCAAGCTCGAGGTTGCCAAATCCTTCGAAGCCGGCATCGCTAAGCTGTGTCTGAGAGATAGCATCCTTGTCCACCACGCCCGCGTTAACACAAATCCAGCCCGTGGTGATTCCATCGTCTTTTTCATCAACCATTGCACCTGCGGCGGCAGCAGCGCGCGCCCGTTTGGCTTTACGGCGGAGTTTGATCTTCAACTCGTTGCGTCCTAGCAGGCCGTCGGCATATGGAGACAACTTGTATTGACTTCGCAGCCAGCGGCAGAGGCGATCAGCGGACACATTTAAGTGCTTCACGCTACGGGCAGTTCCAACAATCATGATCACATTGGCACCGAGAGCCGCGGGGATTTCGAGGCCGCGTAGGTCGAAAAGTTTCAGACCATCAAGACCGAGATCTTTATATGTATATTCCAGAAGGGTGGAAAGCATCTCCGGAGAGTCATTGGGGATCTCGGGGAGATGGGCTTCAGTCAACGGACGATCCTCGACCGGCGCCTCCTCCTGCAGATACCAAGGAACATGCTGTGAAGAGGCTGACGCGTTGCTTTCGGCTGGAACCGGGGACTCTCCTGGTTCAGCCAGATGGACGTCAAGGCGATGCGAAGTTGGAGGACGATCGGATCGCAGTGAGCTTAGCGTGGAGAAAGCTTTAAGGTTGGAGATTGAACGGCAGGGAAGAGAATATCGCGGGAGTCGAACACCTGAGACGGATACAAAAGACCGGAGTACCTCATGGCGACACGATTGGCATACAGCCCCTCGTAAAAGAGCCCTGCTCATTGTGAAGATGCTAAACCAAGAAAGTGAGGAAACCTGGAAGTCCTGATTTGCTCCATCGGATGATATCAACGATAGCAGCGCCAAACAATGCAAACAGCTGAGTCATCCCAAAAAAGATTCTCGGAGGGGCAAAAGTTACAAATCCACGATAACCAGACTCGAGTCCTGGACTCTATACTACGGTTAATTTTTTTTTTTTTCTTTATTTCTTTATTTCCGGCATTTTACTCAAGATGTCGATGGATCTGGATGCCCCCGTCTATATGACGGGACAACAGGAGCAGATTGCAGCAACGTGCGTTATGTTCCCCCGCTAATCCTGATAATGCTAATAATTTGCAGTATTCTTTGCTGCAACTGTGGTGCTCCCATTGATGGAACGACCTCAGCTGGAGCCCTCTGCTCAGACTGTATCCGACTCACTGTCGATGTTTCCCAGGGCATTCAACGTGAAGCCACCCTCCACACTTGCAAGGACTGCGAGCGTTGGCTGCAACCCCCTCAAAGCTGGGTTGTCGCTGCCCCCGAGTCGAAGGAACTCTTGGCTCTGTGTCTACGCAAGCTGCGTGGTCTTTCCAAAGTCCGCATTATCGACGCCAGTTTCATCTGGACCGAACCCCACTCCCGCCGTATCAAGATGAAGATCACAATCCAACAAGAAGCCTTCCAGGGTACCATTATCCAGCAGACATTTGAGGTGGAATATGTCGTCGCCTCACAGCAATGTCCCGACTGCCAGAAATCTTATACCCATAACTCCTGGCGCGCCGCTGTTCAGATTCGTCAGAAGGTTCCTCACAAGCGAACCTTCCTCTACCTGGAGCAGGTCATTCTCAAGCACGGTGCCCACAAGGATACCGTCAACATTAAGGAAGCAAAGGACGGTCTTGACTTCTACTTTGCTCAGAGAAACCATGCCGACAAGATGGTCGAGTTCCTGCAATCAGTGACTCCTTGCAAGTCGAAGAAGTCCCAGGAACTCATTTCGATGGATATCCACACCTCTACCAAGTCGTACAAGTTCACATACTCCGTTGAACTGATCCCCATTTGCAAGGACGACTTGGTTGCTCTACCACTTAAGCTGGCCCGCTCTCTGGGCAACATCGCCCCTCTGACCCTCTGTCACCGCGTCGGCACTGCCGTCAACCTCATGGACCCCTGCACCCTCCAAACAACCGATGTTCCCACCGGCGTTTACTGGCGCCAACCATTCAAGACTCTTGCCGATGTTACCGAGCTCAAGGAGTTCATCGTCATGGACATCGAGCCAACCGGTCTGTCCAACGGTCGTTACCTTATGTCCGAAGCCACCGTTGCCCGCGCCTCGGATCTAGGATCCAACGATATCACCTACTTCACCCGGACTCACCTCGGTGGTATCCTGCACGTGGGAGACTCCGTCCTCGGCTACCACTTGACAGGAACCAACTTCAACAACGAGCACTTTGAGGAAATCGAGCGTAGCCACCAATACGGCTCGACAATCCCCGATGTCGTCCTCGTGAAGAAGCACTATGTCCGCAGCAAGAAGTCCAAGAACCGCAGCTGGCGCCTCAAGCGTATGGCTAAGGAGTATGAGGAGGAAGCCCTCGCTGGCGGTAACGTACCCACCAGCAAGCGCCAGGAGCAAGAGCAGAACCGCATGGAGCAGGACTACGAGATGTTCTTGCGTGATGTCGAGGAGGACCAGGAGCTGCGTCAAACGCTTGACCTGTACAAGGTCCGCCAACAGCAAGCCAGGCCCGAGCAAATGGAGGTTGAGATGGCCGAGGATGATGATGTGGATGAGCAAGACGAGACCGTGCCTAAGATTAACATGGACGAGCTGCTTGATGACTTTGACGAGATGAACATGGAAGACAATGAATAAGCTCTCTGAGCTTACTGCGTGTGATATCCTTGACGATCATGGCACTGGCCGGCGTTTCTGTTTTGTTTCCTGGGTCTTTCAATCCAACAAAAAAAGTTTCTTATTTTCAAATAGATACATGCAATGTACAGCATATGCAATCTTCATATACTCCGATTAAAAATGGCATAGATATCTAACAGTCCAAGAGTAATAGACCAGCCTAGAAAATCTTCCCAAGCACCCTCTTAGCATCATCAGCAACAGCGCCCTCCTTACTCCCCTGAACAACCTCACTCTGCTGGAATCGTCTCCGAACGGGCTGAGCAATCTTCTTCTGCGACACCTCCACCCCCTTCTCAGCCTCAGCCTCAGCCTCCAACCTCCTCCTCGCCTTCTCCTCATTCTTCCTCGCCATCCCATCAGCAACACGCCCGCTCTCAACACCAGCAACAAACATCTTCTCTTCCTTCTTAGCGCGCGAATCCTCAATCCGCTGCCTAGCCTCGCGCTCACTCCTCTCACGCTGAACCTGTTCCATCAAATCCGTCCACTTAAATCCACGCAGGTATTTCATATTCCACACATCATCGTGGTACCAGCCTCCCTTGCGCCCGCCGACAATATGCGCATTCAGCGTCTCGGCGCAAATCTTAGCTGTCTTCTTCGAGGCGAATTCAACCCATCCGTCCGTGTAGATTTTGCGCTTGTTGCTGCGGCGCCGGTTTCCTGCTGCTGAGGGGAGGAGAGGGGCCAGGAAGATCTTTGTGATTGGTTCGAAGCCGCGTTGTTCCAGCATCGCCTTCAATGCGAAGGGCTTGAGGTAAGGTGGGAGAGAGGAGAGATAGATGACGCCTGTTTTGTTTTTCTTGGGGGTTTGCCGTTGACGGATTTGGGTTTCTTTTCGGTTGGTTGGAGGGCTTTTGTGCGTGCGATTTTGGCGGCTGCTTCTAGGAATGCGCTGTCTTGGTCTGCTTCGTCGTCGTTCGAGTCGTCTTCTTCATCCTCGTCCGCCTCGTTGGTGGCTTGCTTGGTCTTTGCTTGCTTGCGGCTCTTGCCTTTGCCGCGGGTTTCTTCTTCCTCGAGTTCGTCATTGTCGTCGTCTTCGTCTGACTCTACTCCGAAGAAGTCTTGCGTGTCGGCTGTTCGTCGCCGCTTCACGGCTCGTCCTTTGCTCTCTGCTACATTGGCTTCTGAGTCGTAGCCGCGATCGCTGGTCTCATCATCGCAGGCTGCAGTGTCCAGGAACTCGTTGTGTGTGCGGGTCGTCATTTTGGAGGTTTGAGGGAGTGTAGACTTTCGTGAGAGGCGGAAATCATCCAACTTTTTTTAATGCGGTGGTCCGTGCGCCCGCGGGACTATACAAAGTGCCAAGTTCAATCTTGAGTTTACAGATATCAGAAGAGTAAGAAATTGACAAAGTGACTTGACATAGTAAATTGTATAAACGACTTCTAGTGTATCTTCGAAGCAAGCTATCCAAGCTTCTAATGCAAAAAAAGAAAAACCTCCCAAGGTATCCACGAAACGCCAAGAAGTGGTAGTGTGGTCGAGGACTATCCATACCCGAATCTCATGATGTATGTTCAGACAAGAGAAAAAAAGAAAACAAAAGATCAAGAAGTCTGAGGCCTTTAAATGCCTAGCGACCACTTCAAGCGCTCATAGACAAAGAAACTGGTAGCAACCATGGGAATAACCTTGATATACCCGATAGTCAGCCCAACCCAAAAACCACGGAATCCTCTCTCAAGCCAGATAGTACGAGCAGTGTCGGCAAGTCCAAGACGGTGCCCATCACCAACTGCACCACTAACTTGCATGCGTCGGCGGAGGACCTCGAGCGGGTAGGAAGATGTTTGCGAGACCATACCAGCCAACGCGCCGGAGGATAGCTCTGCAACAGCAGTGAGTTGGGGTCCCTTGTCAGACCTCTTAGACGTCGAACCCGGGATGGTGGTATATTTCGCAACAGCAGGGTGACGGAGCCAGTCGCCGACGGTGTCGTGAGTGAGGAACGACATGCCAGCGTAAGGAAGCATTCCGAGGATAGTAGGAGTAAAGCCACGGTAGAAATTGGTGAGTCCAGAGCGCGGGACAATCTTGTTCACAGCTGCGGAAGCACTTTCAGCAGCAGCGACGGTAGAAGATTCGGCAGCCGCAGCGGAGCCTGTTGACGAGGTCTGCGCGCGCTCATGGTAGATCTGACGGCAGACGTCTGTCAAGGAAGAGCGGGATGACTGTTTCGTTTCGAAGGCCATTCGCACTCGGAGGAGTTCTAGTGGGTATGTAAAGAAGACAGACGTGATTCCTGCCATGCTGCCCGACGCCAGCCGGCGGAATACAGTCTCTTTATCCCGTGAAGGAATGACAACTGCGCGGATCTGTTCGTATGCAAGGAATTTGATGGCGGCGTATGGGAAGATTCGGATGAGAGTGGCGGAGTGGCCTTTGAACAGGCCCATTGCACCTTCAGAGCGCTTGATGTCTCGAATGGCTGCGGAAAGGCCATACCAGCTGCCTGTGTATTTTGCGAATTGAGGGTTTGAGGCTTGGAATAGGATCTTGACACGGTCGAGGGGTGCCACGACGGTTTTGGCCTAGGTTTCCCACCAGGGTTAGTATATGAATATCGCAACCGGGTCTTCTTCACCCGCGCCGCACTTACCGCACACCCCGCCAGTCCTCCAGCTAACCCAGTTCTTGAGATGTAATCCAAGCTCTGTTTCTGTGGCGGTTTTGTTTCGCCATTTTGCTGGCCTGCGGTGACAGTTTTTGAGACCATGGGGGCTTTTGCGCTACTCGTCAACGCGCTCGGCGATCTCGAATGTGAGATTTCGCTCATCAGAGCAGACTGCGGAGTAAATTCTTGGGTGTTGTGAGGCGGGATTCGTGATTGTGTGTTGCTGCGGTCGTGATTGACATGGTCTGAATAACCAGTCGACATGGGAAGAGAGAGCGCTGAACAGCCGAGGCCGGGGGGAAATATCTGGGGCAATAACGGTATCCCCCCTCGTGATCAGTTCGGCGATAATCAGGAAGAAAAATCTCGGGCTAGCGGATGATGTTCGGGAGCCTCCAATCGGGCAGGGAGAGGGTTCTTGGTCCCTTGGTTATTATAAACAATGTGAGAGAATGTGTAGAAGGTGCAATGGAGAGTGTAAGAGAGAAGAGACAGGTGTGTGTTCACATTCACTGACGTATTTTGGCTGGCGAAGTTCGGAGTGTACGGACTGACATGCCGATACCAGCCGCCCCCCGCAAATAACCGGTGGATTACCATACCGATACCGAGTGGCGGGCCAACGAGTCCCGAGAAGCCGAATTGTCATCCGCTGACCTACTGAGTTTATACCCGACTCTACTAGGAATATCTTCACTCTATGTTTGCATTTCTAAAGTTCACACCTGCTAATATAAAACTCCCTCCATGCTCGAAATGTTTACGAGGCAGAATAGAATGGAAATAGTACAAAGAATATCGTGGTCGCGTGACAAGTGAAGGATCAACGGTTGCGCCGGGAGCTCTGTCGAGTCAAGGTCTTCGCCTTGGTCTCCCTGGTGTCATCGGAGACCCGCTTGGTGCGCTTGGCAGGCCGGTCAGGGTCAACGTGGAGATGGCCATTCTCGGACAGGGCGGTGTTGTTCTTCCAGTGCAGACAACGGAGACCGTGCTTGTTTACATCCATATAGGTTTTAGTGCGAGTAGTCACACGTTTGGCTGGGATATCCTCCGACTCGGCCCTCTCCGCGGTCCGGGCCAGGTACGCCTGGCGGTTCTTCATGTACTTGGCGATATAGTCCTGCTGCTGCAGGAGCTCCTTCAGCAGCTTGGACTCTCGGTTGCCGCGCGGGTCTAGCCATTCGGTAAGCTGGTCAATGGCATCCGGGTCCTCGTAGTAGCCCCATTCACGGGCATTCGACAGATGGGTCGGTCCCTCCTCGTGCTTCTTGCGCTCCGCTGGAGTGGTCCCGAAGTGCCTCTGGTATTGCTTGCGCTGCTCCTCGGTCATGTCGATGAAGCCGGCGTGCTCCATTGCGTCTGGACCTTGTACCCACAGACGACCATTAGCGTATAGTGCCTCTGCAGTCGAACTTTCTGGCATGCCCTCGTAGGGCATTGCGTTCCGCTCGAACCACCAGTAGCGGTTGCAGAAACGGTCCTGTCCAAGGCATCGGGTTCGGGGGCAATCGGCCTCGCGAAGGTTGTTTTCAACCGTCTCGATCTGATCCTGGAGCTTGTCGACCTTGGCCTTCTGGTCGTCGATCTTCTTCAGGACTCGTTGGTATTGTTTCGACCCCTTTGGTTGCTTCGCAAGCTGCTCCTTTCGCTCTTTCTCCAGTTCTTGCTTGCGCTTGCGCTCGAGGGCACGATCGGGACCTCCCCGAAGCGCACGCGGCCGAGGGGTATCCTCGTCTTCAGTATCGACAGGCATTTCAGAATCGCCTTCCAGGCCAGTCATCCTAGAATCATCCAGCCCATCCAGTTCGGGAACGGGTGTGGGGGACTTTCCGTTCTTTTCGGGCTCGGGCTGGACGGCCTTGCGCTCCTGATGAAGTTGACGGAGCTCGATAAGTCTAGAATATTTGTTAGCGGTTGCTAGTATCACAATAGAAGTGTAACTTACGCTGCTTTGCGCGCCTTCTGGTACTCGATTTTCTCCTTGCGCAATTCCGTCATCTGGTTGCTGCACTCCTCCAGATAATTACGGATCGCCTTGGTTTCCAGGCTGAGCATGCAAATGATCTGCAGGGCCTTGGTGCGCATGTTGATATCGAGAGTGCGGTATTGCTCCAGCGCGGTGTACTGGGTAGGCTCTGCATCGAGAGGAGCCAAGTGTTTGAGGATGTCGTTGCAAATCTGCTCCGAACGGGGACGGGCTGACATCTGGTGCAACAGACCGATCATCACCATCTGCCACCCGCCATTGCGGAAGTCGCGTTTGCGAAGACGCTCAATCCAGCCGTACTTTTCGAACATCTCGGCAGCACGATGAATCTTGGTCTCGTCTTCTTCATCGTCATTGCCGATATGCGATTTGATGGTCTGTGCCTCCTCCATAGCCAGGCTTCTTCTGGTAGTCATTCTACCGGGCCCGGCAGCCGGCTTAGGGGGTTCTTCCTCGTCTTCGTCTTCATCTTCTTCTTCGGACTCATCCGAGTCATCAACTGGGAAGTCAGGGAGAGAAACTTGAACAGCACCGCCCTCATCCCCCGTCGCATTGACCAGTTTCTTGAGAACGGCGCAATGGATCTCCACAAACATCTCGCAGTCCATCTCTTCTGACGAAAATCGCATAGCTTGGACGAAGTCGTCAAAAGTGAAGGAATCCAGTTCGAACACCTCACAGTAAACATTAAGTGTATTCCAGGTCTCCAGAAGCAATCCCACCGTTTCAGGCTCAAGATCATCTGGCAGAAGGTCTTCGGTTCCGTCATCTTCAGACTCACCCACCATCAAAAACTTCAAAGTAGGACGATGTTGCCTCTCCTGGTTAGGAGCAAGATCCAGATCCTCAATAGGATACTTGATGGGTGGTGGGGTGGGCGGTCTTGATTCATTCTTGATGACAACATAAGGGCTCCCACCTGCAGAAAACTTCCGATCGCCAACCAGTGGCGGCTTGGTGGGACGCAAGGGGTTAGATGGGAGCAGGAATGACGGATTTCCATTCAGTGATCGCTGATACTCCTGGTACTGCGCTTCCCTCGACTTCGCCATGTCGTGTGCAGACAACTTGGACTTCTGTCCCTTTGTGGCAGGTTTCAATTCAGGGAGTTGTTGAGAAGAGAAGAAACCGAAGAAGCCGTCTTGGTCTGCCTTCTTCATTGCCTTCTTCTCTGCCACCTTGGCGCCGTATTGCAGATGTTTGGGTACCTCGATTGGGATCTTGTACTCCTCGGCGACAGAAGGCTTGACCAACCAAGGAGCACCGGTCCATGACTCCCTGGTGACATTATTCTTGATAAAGCCGCGCAGCATCAACTTGGTGAATGCCTTTCGATCGCGTGTGATGTGGTCCTGATCCAGCAGGGCCTCCTCATTTTGCCGGTCTAGGATCTTGACCAGATAACGGGCGAAAGCAGGCGTTCTGATAGTTCCGTCGGCAAACAGCTGTTCAGCGAAGTTGGCCTTGTCACGAATAGTACCATGAAGCCGGGTGCTGTCCTCCAGCAAGATTAGAACGGCTTCGCCGGGATAGAAGTCTGATTTGAATTCCTGGATTTGTTAGAATATGAGGCAATAAGAGTAATTCGAAATCATACTTCGTAAATCTCGTCCACTTGAAAATCAAAAGTTAGCTTGGTCCTATCGAATAAAACAGTAGTGGCATACCTAGACTGTCAACCCTTGAGACTGTGGAGAATTGGATTCGGCGGAGAATAGGTTCTCTCAGCGCATCTGGGAAACTGTTGTTCACTTCACGCGATTCCTCAGTCTAACAACAATTTAGCATTTATCCGTCACTCCGAGTCTAGATCATAATGTACCTCACTCCGCAGTGCCTCGAAAAATGTCAACCCCGAGTGGCCGGTGATCTCGCAGATGAATCGGCGTTGCTTGTAGAAATCCATTCGCTGGAGGTAGGGCTCGTAGGTGGTGAAGACCTCGTTGGTCTCTGGAATGACCCAAACCTGAAAGGAGAGCAGAGGTCAGCGGGTGGTGATCCACAGGTGTCGAAGGTGCTTACCTCGGAGCTGTCATCTTCAATGACGGTTTGTGGGAGGTATTGAACCGGTTTGCGTTTGAAGAGCACCTGAGCGAACGATTGTATAAGCCTCTGTATTCCGCAACATCCATGACATTTTCCGTGGCGTCTCCGCAGCCATTCCATCGGATAAGGTGCCGCATACCATGATCTTCTAAAGATTGCGTGCGGACGCGCCAGTCGACCAAAATCTATCGTCAACGGGGTCAATCATGAACGGACTAGACAAAACGCGGTCCTGGTCAGCGGATGCAGCACATTGTAGAATTGCGGAGGTGAGGATGAACACCGCGTCAACCCCGAAATTGGCGCAGAGGGGACGGGAGTCGCGGTTTGGATAGCAGAGACTCCGGCAGTTTGGGTCTGAGTCGATGGTTCACGGGGAGGGGGTCGTCGTGATCAGGCCTGGTCGCAGCCACAGATCACGCGAATGGCCATGCGTCGGGGAAATCAACGGACTTACCGGAGTAGAACGCGTCCAGTATAGTATTGCAGTGACCCAAGCAATGAGGTGCAGAGTGGCGAGTGGTGGTCCAGGGGGAGGAGATTGAAGGAGGAAGAATCAAGAAAGAAGGAAAGGCATAAAAGAAGCGGTAGATCGTTGCAGGACCGCGCCCCGGATGCTGATTGGCCGAAACGAGGAGCCCGCGGGAGCAGCAAAGACAAAACTCTCAGGACCTTCGACCTTCTCCTCCTTCTTCCTCCCTCTGCCCTCTTTTTATTGTCATTTACACCCCCAACGGGGTCTTTATTTGCACTCATTCGACTCGTCTGATTTAGGAGATTCTATCTATTATATCTACAATTTAATATTTGTATATAGCTATATTTTACTACGCGATTATCAATTTCTACTCTCGGCCAATCTCCCGGTCCTGATCGGAGCATTGGCATATCGTACTATGACCACCATCTTAGTCTATACATCACTCTAGGGAAATAACATCGAGACTCTATTGACTTGATGTTATATTTAGAGATGTGTCACCCGCGTCTAAACATTGCTTTATCTATTCTAAGCTCTTTTTGTTGGTGAGAACACCTAGCACCTCCCAACCTTGGCTTTGTTCCCAACTCGTCTCACCCCTTTTACATTCTTTCGCAGGTCAATTTGTCTTCATAAACCTGGTATCTATGCCGTTTAATCAGTCATTGACTATAGCATTATTTGAAGGTGAGCAGTCATTTCATATAGATGCATACGTCCAAAGCCTTACACTACCAGGGGCCATAGCACTTGACCTTCATCCCTAATTAAGAGACTTATTGTTTGTATTTGCATCAAGGTCTACTCGCACTTCCACTGTAATAGAGTTCCTCTTTACGACATGACTAGATAAAACAGGCAGGGTTATCAAAGGGCTTTGTATGCAATCCTTGCAAGCTACACTGCCTTGCATTTCAATCTATTTGCACCCCATATCTATTGCAAAATACCTGTAGACTGTTCCTAATGCATAGACGCAGTTTTGGACAATCAGTCATAGCTAATGTGAAGATATGAACTGTCGCCACTCACGGGGGCACAGGAATTGATGTGCAATATCGACTCATATATATGTTGCTTGCATCCAAGCCTATCAGTCCAGCACCGGGTACCTGCCTATATGTATAACCAGCTTACTGTATACAAGGACTTAATTATGCATATTATCAATGCAAGGATTCGCTCTGCGACTGTCTCTGAGCTTCCTAGAGTAGTTGCGCCAGCTGTTGATATTGACAATCAATGCATGAGCTATGTATTTTCAATATGATTTATATCGCAGTACCATTAGGTGAATAATTTGCTCAAACACTTTGAGAATCGATCAGTTTTTTAAACGAATTTGGTGAAAGTTACATCCAAGCACCTCACGTATCAGCTTTAGCAATATATATAGTGTGTGTCTCCCTACACCAATAACACGTCCAAACTACAATGACAGAATATAACAGTAATAGAAATACCCACGTAGTACAAAGCAATACAAAAATCAAAGCGAAACGGAAGCCTCCCCGGGTTTCTATTCCGGCTGCATTTGCAGGCCAACCATGGATGAGGGGAGGTTAACCCAATTGGTCTAGCGTGGGAATAGACTCCTGTGATCTGTGGGTCTGATCCACGTGGATACAAACAGTGCAAACAGCACATTACATCATTTCTCTCGCCTAACAAAGTGTCAGGTTTGCTGATACAAGTACAGTATTCCATACAAAAACGTATCTCTGTTTATTTTTGATAGAAATAATCCTATGCTGTAAAATAGACCACCATGAATCCCACCCAGCTTCCGACCACTCCGAGCGCGGAATAACTGCTCATAAACATCAAGGGCAGAAACTCGAGTCGGTCCCAACCGAAGATCAATTGGTGGCCCAGAGAGCAGTACACAATCAGAGGGATGGAGATGGTCAAGTAAAGTAGTGCCAGCCGATCAAAGACGAAGATACGGGGCCGCTCTGGGACGGGCGCGACTTGGTCAAAGACGAAGAGGAATAGCACCAACCACAGCACCGTGTAAACGGTCTTTAGGGGGAACTCGGCAGCTGTGAATAACAATGGGAAGAGTGAGACGTGTCCCGCCACTGCCAGAGGCCGGAAGGCGCTGAAGTACCGACGGTCCTTGAGTGCGATGAGGCTGAAGGGGATGATGATTAGGAGAATGGCCTTCTCGTGTACATGCCAGCCGAAGAGGAAGGATGCGTAGCCACAGAGTGTGATTGCTCCGACAAAAGTATCCCAGTCTGGACGGAACCAGAGCTTGACTAGAGGGATCTAGAGAATTGTGAGTGTGGGTCTATAACACAGAGGTCGAAATGCGTACCAGTTGGAACAAGAAGGTTAGCAAGAAGGTATGCTCCTTGGTGACCTCGGGAAGAATGGCAAAGGAAGTATCTCCCACAAGTCCTCGCGTAACACTGTTCAAGGCGTCGGTATTCACAGGGAGTCCCAGTCTTGGAGCAACTGCCGAAAATATCAGAAAAGTTCTACTCTCCATGGAACCGAGTAGGAGTAGAGGAGTACTCACGTGGAATCAGAGCTCGATCAGTGAACGAGTACATTGCCCAAATATTCGGAGCCCAATAGGCATGGCACAGCCCCCGGGAGAATGGGAAGAGTCTATCCTTGAGTTGCAGCAACTGACCCCATTGCGCAAAGGGACCAAAGGCAATCGCGAACACACCAACCACACACACTCCAAGCTTGAAAATGTTTCCGAAACGAGGGCGGAATACCGACCTAGGATCCAGACAGTAGGCGCGCAGGAGGTAGACGAAGTATGCGAGGGAAAGGTAGAGATAAATATGTTTCATGCACAACAGGACTGCGAACAGGATCCCACTGTAGAGAAGAGTCGATTGCTTGCGGGCCAAGACGATTGACAGAATCAAAACGCCGTACATGAACCCATTGTATTGGAAGTGGATGTGGTCGATTATGAAGAGGCCTGGGGATAGCAAAATGGAAAGACTAGCCACATGCGCAGCCAGCCTGTTTGGCAAAGGGACGGACTTGACGAATCTAGATGATACTGCGGTTAGCATTCTGTACTGCGTCAACACCGAGAAGAAGCGTATCTTACCGACTCAGCGCGTATACAAGAACGAATTCCGTCAAAATGACAGTTGCTCTCTGAAAGTACACGGTCTGCCACGAGTCATAGCCCAGGTTCTTCACCACCAACATTGCAGGGTCCACATATGCGGCAGCTTGGGACATCAGCCATTCAGAGGCTGCAAAGAACGGCGGGTAATCGAGTGTCCATTCGGAGGAGTTCTAAACCGGTCCCAGTCAGCGTCCACACTCAGCCTGCATGCGCTCGATAGAACCCACCTCGTAATACCATTCCTGAACAGGTAGGGAGTGGGTTATGGCGAGCCAGTTCCGATGAACCTCAAAATCGGTAGATTTACTATGATCAACAGAAAAGGATCAATTAGCTCAACACGAACACTCAACTGCGGCGAGACGGCGGCACTCACTATGCGGGGAACAGCAGAACCTTGAACGCAGCAGCGACGATGGCGCATTGCGTTAGCGAGGGGTATAATTCAGCCATTGGAGCTATTGCGCATGATAATGCGACAAAGCTGGGAGCTGAGAGAAAACAGACGCGACGAAGGGCAAAGTTTGAAGCTCCCTCCGCATGTTGCACGTGATCCGGTGCGGAGGTCAAATCAGAAGGGAAACAGAAGGACAGATATCAATACTCTAAGTGCGATATCGAGGAGCACTCTCCGCATGGACTTCTCGGACGTCGGAATTCGCCATACTTTTCTCAACAGTGTACAGCTTCATCACTTTTTTGATTTCTCGCCGTCCGCTGTTGCCATTGCTAAGGAGGCCCGTCTCTGCGTTATTGCCGTTGTTGTTGGCTGGATCACCACTCGTGTTATCTCCAGTCTTTACGATCGAGGACGAAATTGTGGCTGTGGTAAAGGCCATTGAGAGTGCTCAAAGACCAAAAAAATTGCTGTTTGAAGCTTCCAGAAACTCTCGAAACGATATAGGTCTCCATTGTCGATCCACACAACATGATGAGAACATTAGCTTCATTGGCATTGTTTGCCGCGGGAGCCACAGCTCAGATTATTGAGAGCTCAAGCTTTGGTGCCGGTAAAACGTTAGTGTGCATGGGTTGCATGGTCTTCAAGCATACTGACCTCAAGCAGGATATCACCCAACCGAGACTCCATTCCAGGATGGGCAATTGGAGGAGAGGGACATGATCCTTCTCTTGTAAGTGGTGCCATTAGGCATTGATCTGTCTGGTCTAACAGTCAAGCAGTTGTCAGACAAGCTCATCTTAACACCACCTTACCCGGGTAACACACGGGGATCTGCTTGGGCACAAAGGCCGTAAGTCAATCTCTTGAATCCAAATACACACTCAATGCTAATATATTGACAGAGTTTCTCAATCGGAATGGTCTGCAGAGCTACAATTCCGCGCGAGTGGTCCGGAGCGAGCAGGCGGTATCCTTCAACTATGGTATACCAAGGATGGCCAGGCGCGGATTGGTACCTCCAGTATCTATACAGTTGGACAATTCGACGGATTTGCGCTCGTCATTGATAATCACGGTGGAAGAGTAGGTTGCTCCCGATGTCCGCACATTGCACAGGAACTAATATCCTCACAGGGCGGAAGCGTTCGTGGTTTCCTGAACGACGGAACCACCGACTACAAGAGCCAGAGCAGCCCCGACAGCTTGGCCTTTGGTCACTGCGACTACGCTTACCGTAACCTGGGCCGTCCCTCAGTTGTTAAGCTGAAGTACACCAGCTCAATCTTCGAGGTCACCATCGATGACAAGCCCTGCTTCTCGACCAACAAGGTACACCATATCCAACATCACCCTTTTCAACATGGTTCAATATATACTAACGAAGCCAACCAGGTCTCCTTGCCGGCCGGAAACACCTTCGGTATCACAGCCGCGACTCCTGAGAACCCCGACTCATTCGAGATCTTCAAGTTCATCCTCGAGCCCGCCTCCGGCGGCCAAACCATCGCCTCCGACCAAGGAAGTGTGCCCCAAAAGCCCATCGTGAACCAGAACCCATCCGTAGCCCAGAGCGGAGGCAACCCCTCAACGGACGCCGGCATGGCCGCGCAGTTCGTCGACCTCAGTGGCCGCCTCCAGCTTACTAACAAGGCTACCAACACCATCCTCCAAGATCTCAAGAACCAAGCCTCGAAGAGCGACGCTCGCCACACGGAGTTGCTCCAGAAAGTGGCAACTCAGGACCAGATCGCTGCCCTCCTCGACGCGAGACTCGCTCGCATCGAGCAGCTGCTCCAGAACATCCTGCGCGATGTCGAGGGTAAGGATTATAACAGTCGCTTCAACCAGCTGCATGAGACTCTGCGCTCTTCGCACCTGAGCCTGAGTGAGAACCTGCAGGGTCACTTGTTGAGTGGTAAGTCCATTTCCCCGTCTCCATGCCCACCCTTGTTTCTTGTCCTGTAGATCGAGACATTTCTTCCCCATCCTTTCTTTCTTTCTTTGTTCATTCAATTGGCTAATCCCATCTCTTCATTCGTAACAGTCATCACTGCCTCATCCCCTCGCATGGGCTTCTTCCTGTTCATGTTGATCGCGTCCCAGGTCCTCCTTGCAGTATCCTACGTCATCTACAAGCGTCGCCGAGCCAACATGCCCAAGAAATTCCTCTGAGCGCGTCCTTTTCCACCATGCGCACCTCACTCTCCATCCGATGCGTGTGGATCCGAGTTTCCCTCGCTCGATGCTAGGTCTTATTCGGAGGGAGAAATCTATAACATTCTCGGGTGTGTTTTTCCTATGCGAGCGCTGGTCTGCTGTTCTTTCATTCATGTAGAGTACGAAATGCCATTACGTTTACGCAAACCTGTACTTGTCGCAAATTTACTGTTACCGTTACTGTTCCTGCTACTGTTACTGTAATAAATGAGAGAAAAACTTCAGAAAATGGCGAATATCCATTTGGCCTTTGGCCCATGCTATCGTACAGTTCTCCGAGCTGCCCGCCCTGTAACACATTCGCAAAGACAAGAAAAAAGAAAAGAGAAAAAAAAAGCAAAGTAAAACCACAATGAGAGAAGAGAAACAGGGGGAAAAAAATGAGGTCAGGCAGCTCGAAGAATTAAATTCGAGTAATTTGTTGAACGATCGCAAGATGAGAGCGATCATGAATAAAGATCAAAACGCCGGTTTTCCTTGATGCGAACGTTGAAACAAATGAGAGCAAAGGCAAAAAAAGAAAAAAGATTTGACGCCGAGATAGAATTTTTTTTACTCGGTGTCCGAGGTGTGCAGACGCTTCTGCGCCGGCTCTTCGACCGAATCCTGGTCCTTGTCATCGGCGCGCGATCGCTTGTTGCGATTGAACATGGCCGAGGTGAAGACAGGAATTCGGGGCAGGAGGTCGGAGTCATCGTGCTCCGACCGCTGAGATGCATGCGAGGGGGCCTTTGGGCCCTTGGGGTGGTTCAGTGAGGTAGGAGAGGTGGCATGAGAGGATTCCACGGCGATGCCTTCATCAGTTCGAGATCCAGCCTTTGGCGAGGGGGTTCGGTCATGTGGCTTTCGCCGGGAGCTGGGGGTCGGCTCGGGAGAGGCCGAGGAGAGCAGAGGCAGCATCGAAATCAGCGGTGGAGACTGGGGCACCGGTGATCATTCCGCGGACAGAAGTCGAGATTTGCTGCTCCAGGTCGGAGGCTAGGTTGTTCATTGACTGGGCGTCGGAAGCTCCGGCCAATCCATTACGGGCGAGGTAGTCCTCGGTAATTTTCTTGGTCAGATCCAGGCACTTCTGCTCAACGTTGTTGGCATACTTGGTCTGGCGTTCGAAGTGGTCGTCTTTGACAGTACTGATGAATTTGAGGACGACGTCGCCGGCATAGAAACGGGCACGACGTTCTTTCCAGTCGTCATCGAAAATACTCTGGTTGGGGTCGTCAGGGAGGCGAATGTCACAATCAATGAACTTCATGTTTTTGGGACGGCGCACACGACGGAAGTGCTGGAATCCATCGACCTCTTTGGTGGCAATCATATCCTCAGGAGTAACATGGTTGGGACACATCCACCCGACTTTGGGGTTAGGGGGATGTGCGCGGGGCGGATCAAGACAATCCAGATGGAAACGGCAAGGGCAGTAATCACAAGTGATAATGGGTCGGCCTCCTGATGTATGACCACACTTGGAGCAGCGGATGAGATCTCCCTTCGCGTCGGTTTCACGCAGGTATTGCGGGTTCGCGTAGATGGTAGGGCCATCTTGCTTGGGAGCTTTAGTCAGCCGCGGCACGTGGGGCGCAGGCTTGTAGTAGCGCTGGTGCTTCGGGTTGCGGGCATAGTCGCGATCGAACACGATTTCCTCGTTGACACCCTCGAAATGGTCCTTGATTTCTTGGGGAACTTGGAACTCGGTTTTCTTGAAGTGCTTGGAGTGGGCGATCAAGGTCGAAAAGCTGTTGCGGATCGAGCACTTGGGGCAGTGCCACTCGCCCTTGGGAGGATTCTTGGGATCCAAAGGAGGATCCAAGCAGTTGAAGTGGAATGCATTGTCGCATGTGTCGCAGCAGAGCAACTCGCCGCCCTTTCCACAGTGGTGGCAGTTGTCACTGTTCTCAGGGGGCTCACTAGGAATCATGTTAGCAGGTGGAACGGGAGAATGGAGCAGCAACGCGTAGAAAACACGTCAAGCAAATCAAACACGTACATAGAATTCGGCATGCGGCGTGGTTCGTGGTCGGCAGCCCAGTCGTTAAACCGGACTGAATAGACGGAGTTGGAAAGTGAAGAAAGACTGGAGACTGTCGTGTCAACAGAGAGCGACCGTGCGCGCTGGGTATCAATAGGGTGCGATTTCTTCATGCTCTGGCGTCGTGATCCTCCGTTCATCCCGGCGAAAACTGAATTTCTAGCAGACACAATAGAGGGTGCCTTTGTCTTGTCTCCATGAAGAGCCAGGTCAAGAATTGAGGCTCCGCCAACGGGGAGGGATCGAGAGCGGTTGATTTCAGTGGTATTATCAAAGTTGTAAGGATGCTCAATGGCATCTGGGGGTCCCAGTTCATCGCGGCATGCGCTGTATTGGACAACTGGAGCATTATCATGAATGGTCCGCCCGTCGTAGTCACGGCGCTTGGCCTGCAGGGATTCATCCAACTCTGGATCTTCTTCCCATCTGCGCTTGCGTTTGAAAGATCTCTCGTTGACGGGGCATGGTTTCTTGGGCCGCTTCAGTGGCGCTGTATTGGTCTTGCCGCTCGCAAACAATTCCTCAGGCCGGGCACCACTGGTATCGCGATAGATATCAGAGATTTTGAAAGCAGGTCCTTGCTCAGCGGACTTGACGGATGACAAGCTTGAGTCCTCACCGGAGGGCATGTCGGGGAGACGTGCGGCGCCGGTGTCAACGTAGTTCTGGTACCAGTTGCGGGCGTCGCTGTAGGAGTGGTTGATCATGCTGAGAAGAGCAAGCCGAAGCTCGTCGTTGGCTGCTTCACCACCGCCTAAGTTGGCAATCAGAGAGAGACGGAACTCGTCCTCGATGGCATTGGACCAGAAGTAGAGAAGCGCCAGAGCGGATTTGGGGTGGCCGCCCTCAATTGAATGGTTGATGGCGAGCTTCACTGTGTACTTGAGTTTTGGGATGTTGTATTTCTCGGAGGTAGGAAGAGGAAGAGAGTCTAGGACGGAGATGAAGTCGGAGTTGTTCGTGCTGGGATCGGGAGGAGAAAATGCGGGATCGAGCTCGTTGGCCGGAGTTGCGACTTCCGCGGTGATTGCGATATCTGCTTCTCCCGCGATGTCTTCCGCAGGGCTCTTGTCGACTGTCAGAGTCTCAGCCCCGCTCTCGAGGTCGCGCTCACTTTCGCGGGCATCAGGAACAGTCGCGACGCGCTGGGTGGAGGGCGGCGTGACGCCAGCACCGCGGTACTCCGCGATCGATGGGTATTCCCCGATCGGCTTCATTGTCGGAACCTGAGGCTTGGGCTTCGAAGTGCCCGGGGGCTTCTTCTGAAGCTTCCGACGTTTCGGTTGCGAAGAGGCCTGTCGACCGGACGGAGTGGGCCCCGTAGGGGCAGGCGGAAGGGGCCTGTGCTAGGGTTAGTGCCACGCGCCTCATGCCCTAACTGTCCTTGGTTCAACGTACTGTGATGTGCTCTCAGCCTCGCTCGGGGTTGCAGTAGCTGTAGCTATTAAAATATTAATATTGATCAGTTGAATATGAGCATGAAAAAAATGAAGCCAAAAAATGAAGGGGAAAAAGTGTGTAGAGTGATGTCCCATTTTACCTGGAGAGTACATGGGTTGGCCCACCTCAGAAGCGACCAAAGGAAGATTCGACAGGAATGAGATCACGAGCTTGGGGTCTCGATTGGATAACATGATCAAGATGTATAAATGAGAGCAGTGGGAAAGGGTGAGAGGTTTCAATCAGATGTTGGCAAAGACTAAGGAAGTGGGCAAAGACAAGGAGTGAAGTGAAGGAGAAGAGGAGAAGGTCATGGGATTTAAGTGAGCAATACAGACATGGAGAGGATGTGAAGAGCTCCGGAGAGGTACAGACTTTGGTCTGGGGGCAGAGGTGAAGGGACTGAACAAACAAGCATCACTTACTTCGTGCGCGGATGCGCTTCGAAAAGCGACGGACAGTGTCCATCTTGGCGGTTATGAAGAAAATGGAAACGTAGCAAAAGAAAGCAAAGAGAATAGAGGGTGTGGAGAAAGTGAAAGAGGCAGGAGAGAGAAGAGGAAGAGAGGCGGAAGAGAAGAGAAGAGAGAGAGAAGACGACGAGAAGAGAAACTTGGGAAAACAACTCTGCGAGGCAAAGCTATATTTCCTCTTTGGGAACATCAATAAAGCTCAGCTGTTTTTGATTTGGCCTTCAAGGGCCTTCTGGCTTCCTTATGCCTGTGCCTTAAGGCCTGACATCAACCGCCCTTCAACCACAATAGGAACTACAATGCCTTTGCTTATTGGCATTGCCCTGCTTTACGTGATAGATATTGTTGTGATCCCCTTGATCATAGAGACAGATGAGCGCGTCTGCCTGGCTGTCAATAGCCAAAGGCCTGCTCCAGATGCTATTGTTGGATGCTATTGATTGGGCCATTGATTCCTGAATCCGAGAAATAAGAAGCTGACGGGATATCGCGGCATATGCAATGCACATCAAGACAACAGGAGCTGCAGTAATAGTAACAGCCACAGCTGATATCTAGCACCCTTTGCAAATAGGGAGTAGGAGTAGGTCTCCAGATACATGGAACCCCTCTAAACATCTTCCATCTTCCATCTGCCAGGACGACTACGAATAGACTAGGCATGATATAGAAGACTTGTAGATATGTTAAATGCCCAGAAAGACATTATCCAGGACGTTGAGCCATCGTCTTTGCATTTGACCTTGATATACCGCGAGGTCCAAAATAATACCAAAGGCGAGTATCCCGATAAAGCTGTTTGCGAGACGGGATTCGCTGCTGTTGCAAATCATCAAGGTTCCAAGAGTTCCCATGATTGCTTGTTAGCTGTGGTCTACTATGTCCTTGAAAGTGGTGTGGCAGGAAAAGAGACAGTGGTTTTGCTCCATACTTATACACAGATGGGACTCGAATCTAAGAATCGAGCATCAACCATATCTAGCCATTGCTTTCAACGGCTATCATTGAGCTTTAACTCAAGTAACAACCTCTGTAAATGGTGAACGGCCGAGAGTTACGCAATCTACAAGTTTAGAACGATAGAAACAGCAACCTCATCCTGTGACAAGCTACAACACACAGATACAGACTGGCAACGTCTTGATTTGGCCCATGGGGTCTGCTCCAAGTGCTACATATAAGACAGACAGGCATCCGAGGAAAAAAACATAGAAATGTCTCCCGGCGCCAAGTTCGTCGATAAAGTATATACCGAGCTTTTTCTTTTCTCAAAAATCGGGGTTGGCATTGCCAGTTCTTTCGCACGTCATTGGATCAACTGTTTTTCTTTTGTTTTTGGATAGATTTCGTATGACCTGCAGCGAAGCTCGTCATTGGATATCTGATTCTGCTTCTGATTCAGATTGGACAAAACAGTTTCCACAACTCGATCTGTGTGTATTTGAAACAAAGTGAGCACAGAGTCCTTCGGCTAGTTGATTTACTCGTCACCACCGGTGGTCTTGGTCTTCTTCTTGTTCTTGTTCTTCTTGTTGCCGGTGGAGCGGGAAAGGGGCTGCTCGAGGATCTTGAGGATCTCTTCATCTTCGATCTTCTTGTCCGACTTGTACTGCTCGGGATCGACGGGGTTGGCGGCGGCCAGCTTGGTCAGACCGTTCTTGGTGATGGCTGGGAAGGGCGTTAGCTTCTATGCTTATGTGCATTGCGCGAATTCAGACGATACTTACCAACAGTGGTCAACAGACGAGAGACAGCGGAGCCGTCAGTCTCGCCAGCGGGCTCGTACTGGCGCACGACACCGCTGCGGACACACTCAACAACACCGACCTTGGCGGCCTTCTCATCGTCGAGTTGGCGCAAGCTGAAGGGGAAAGTACCGAACTTCTTGACAATCTCGGACAGGGTCTGGCGGGAGCTGGGGCGCTTGAGGCCGTAGGTGGTGGTGGTACGGCGGTGGAGAGTAGCGCGGTGGTCAAGGGTCTTGACCTTACCGGATCCCAGAGAGAGACCAACCTCAACACCCCAAACCTCACCAACCTCGGGGACACCGTCACCACGGGTACCATTGCCGGGGGAGAGAATGATCTTCTTCTCGCCCTCAATCTCGTTGCGACCAAAGAGCCAGCTGGTAGTGTTCTCAACAACATTGACCTCGTAGGCCTTGGCGACCTTCTCGATCAGAGAGGAGATGTGGGCCTGGGTAGGGGCCTTCTGGGCGGCGGCCTTCTTCTTCTCCTCGTCGGTACCCTGGGCCAAAAGACCGGGGGGGACCATGAGTCTCAGCAGAAGCTCGTTGGCGTAGTGGGTAGCGAGAATGAGGTCAGCCTCGCGGCCGGTAACAACTTCCTTAGCGGCACCCTTCTTGGGGACGACAACCATGTCGCAAACGATGGTTCCGAATCCATCAATCTGAGCACCAAGCTGGATCTTGACGATCTCGCCGGCCTTCAAGACAGTCTCGGCCTCGGCGACGTCGGACACCAAAGGGGTGTAGGGAGTGACATAGGAGCTAGGGGAGACAGTGGTGGGGTGGCCGACACCTTCAATCATACCGTACAATCAGTATGGATCATCTTCACGCGACCGGAAGGTGGACAAACCCTTGAGGATCTTCTTTCCCTTGTAGACCTTGGTGATCTCCTCATCGAGGAGCTTGTCACCCTTCTGACAGATCTCGACAATCTTTTCGCCCTCAACGCAAAGAGCTAGATACAACGGTCAGATCGCAAAGCTTGAAGACTCGAGTTGAGGTGCGCAACATACCGCTCACGGCCTCGAGGACTTTGTGGGAAATCTGCGCGGCGGTCTTGTACTTGGTCAAGGTGTCGGGGTTGTTGAGGGTGTAGTCTAAAAGCAATCACATTATTAGCTTTGACGAAATGGAGAGGATTCCCTTTGACCCGGGAGCCAACAGAGCTGGTCACGTTGGAACTGCCCACAAACGTCAGAGCTTTCTGGAGTTTACATACCAACCTCGGGTGCTTTTTCGTCCGCCATTGTGGAGTAAATTGAGCTCGTAGAGCAAAAACAGCTAAAATGCAGGTGGATTCGGGAAGAGTCTTCTCGTAAATCAGAAGAAGAGGAACCGAAAGTGTGCAGCGAACGAGCAAGTGGGCTCGCAGCGTTAGTGGGTAGTGGGGGGAACCGGCTGCCTTGGTGCCTTTATGCCTGGATATTGAGGTGTCTATCTAGGGCTTCGGCAAAGACGTCATGGAATTGCAGTTTCATTGACCTCATGCATGACCCCCGCACACGGCAGGAATGTTACTGCAGTTTACTGTAATATGTAAATTGTACGGACACCCGGTAACTTATACATTATGTAAATTTCGATGCATCTTACCCCAGGTTTGGAGCCGGGACACGGATGAGGATCAGACAGGATCAGACCCCCAATGACTTTTCCTCCAAGCTTCCCCTCTTTTAGGTCCCAAGGTCTCCTGACCTCTTTCTATCTACACAATGAGGACCCCAGTCGTGCCCATACGAGTTTTAACGCATAATATCCGACATGGCGGCTCAGACCTGTTCAAAGGAGAGCTGCCTTGGGGTGAACGCAAACAGTTGCTCTTGAACGAATTCGAATATGAAACTCGATACTGTGAAGAGTCATTCATTTGTTTGCAGGAAGTTCTCCATGAGCAACTGGGTGACGTTGTGGCCGGGCTGAACCAGGATATATATCCTGGAGCATCGGAGTGGGCCTACATTGGTGTTGGCAGAGACGACGGCCACGAGGCCGGAGAATATTCCCCAATTTTCTATCGGCCATCGGTTTGGCAGCTAGTGCATTGGGAGACAGTATGGTTATCCAAGACGCCGAATATACCCTCGAAAAGCTGGGATGCAGCCTCGATTCGCATCGTCACCATTGGCATTTTGCAGCATCGTAAGAGTGGCCATACGGTTCTTGCCATGAACACTCACCTCGATGATCAGGGATCTCGCTCCCGGCTTGAGGCCGCACGTATAATTCTAGGAAAGATCTACGAATACAGCCAGAATGACCTTTCCAAGCTCATCTCAGGCATCTTTTTGGCTGGTGACTTCAATAGTGAGGAAAACCAAGAAGCTTACCAAGAGCTGACAACAAGCTTGCTGGATGCATATAAGCAAGTTCCAAGCCGACGACACTTTGGAGACTATATTACCTGGACTGGGTTTGGATACGAGGATGAACCCCGTTCACGCATTGATTATGTGTTGGTACCTAAAGAGAGTCCGAGGCAAAGGCTGAAAGTCGCTGGATATGCTGTGTTACCAAACCAGTTTGATAATGGTGTTTTGAGCTCCGATCATCGTGCTGTCGTTGTGGATTTCATACTATAAGACAACCTATGATTCCCCATGGTCATCGTCGATAGAATTCTTGCATATTCTAGTACGACCTGCCTTGGGCCAAAAAAAAGAAACTCCGATAGGGGGAATCGAACCCCCGGCTGTCGTGTGAGAGACGACGATGTTAGCCACTACACCATATCGGAGGGGGACAGCGAATTACCCTCTTAGGTTTAGTCTTGACCCCTTAGGTTTAGCGCTCTTTGTCCTTATGCCTCCCCGTGCGTGGTTCTATATAGTCCCCTGCTCTTCCCCCCCTCCATCCGACAGCCCAAATTTCTTTTTCGCCTTCTTTCTCCTACGCCTCGCAGGTGAGGCATTTTTGCCATTGACCCGGATCACCGAGCTCCTGAGCTCCGCCACCCCCTTTTCCATGTCTGACTCGTAGGCTCTTCTGCGACCCCGCGTCTGCAATTCGAACTGCCCTCCCTCCTCCGGCCCTGTTTTCCTTCTCAGGCCCGACCATGGCGTCAGGTGTCAATTGGCCGACCTATATTTGGCCTCCGCGCATGCAGGCGCATTCGCCCTACACTCTTTCAGGATAATCATCCCTGCGCAGCGGGACTGCAAATCTGCCTTAGGGCCGACACACCGCGCGAGAGCCTCGTCGACCCTAGCTGATAGCGCTAGCCTCGATCTAAAACCGAAGATGACCGGATCGGATTACTCGGTTTAATAGACTGATCAGACTGTCTCAGCCGTGAGTCGTGTCATCCGGTTCTTGCTCAGTCGGCGCAGTTAAGTGACAAGGTAGGGACAGGTTTTCTTTTTTTTTTTTTTACGATGACTGTAATGGTTCACGGCGGTCATACCGGGGCCCAGGACGGCTTTCGGATCCACAAAGCGGCGAGGCGACGCCCTAGGCGGCGCGCAATCCTCTCCCCTCGATTTACACCAGTGTATCGCGCAATCTATTCCAGATATCTACGCGTCCCCATATCAGCAAGGCGCCTTGTGACCGTATTACTTGGTTCCATTAGTGATTGGCATAGATTACGAGATAGAAGGACAAGGAACCTATCATGTGGGCTGTGAGATGGAGGGGGCATGTGTCTCTGTGCTGGTCTAGTTTTACGCGTTTTGTGTTCTGTCTCGAATCATGGAACGACTGGCTAGCAGAGCCCCTTCAAATCAGTGATGGTGACACTGGGTGCAGATGATGCGCAGACAGGCAGTTTTCCAGGAATAGTAGCATCGTTGTGGTATGATCTCGGGGACGCGATCGCACGCATCTCTCGAGATCTGCCCAGTCCCCACCCCTGTCATCAAAAGGCGCCTTGTGACCGAAATCGTCGTTGGCTTCACGATTGATTGGCGTAGAGGATGAGATGAACGGATATAATACGGTTTATTCCTGCAACAGCAGCGTCATGCGGACTGGAGATAATGAAGAGGGCGTGTGTCTCCGTGATGCTCCGTCCTGCGTGTTTCGTCTTCTGTCCATAGAATGACTGGACCTTGATAGCACTACGCGCAGACGATGCGCAGGCGTGCAGTCCGTTAGTAATAGTCACATCGTTGTGGTATTCTCGGGAGCTTCATAACCTGCGCTACAAAAATTAATCCATCAAAGATGCCAGTCAGTCGCTAGCATGGTTGATATGGTTTATTGGAAGGTACCACCATAGTTCAAGTCGGATCTAAAATATATGCTCCACAATAGAAAGTGATAACCGTTCTGGAGCTGGTTTAGAAAGCGTGTCGGCGTTAGGTGCGGTTTTTTTTTTGTCCTTTTTCGGCTTTATTTCTCTAATATAGAATACAGTGATATATCTCCCCGTACCACACTTGAATGCGCATTCATTTTCTGTGACAGTCATGACGATAGATAAAGCAAGGATATTGACATCTAACGAGATCCTAGCTAAAACGTAAAAAGATGTACAAAGGGCCTGTACATGCTGACAAACTGTATCTGACCTTACAGCACTTATAGAAGTCAATCTGCCTGACTCCCATCCCCGCCAGATTTCTACCTACCTAGCCTACTCGATTGTAAGTGGAGCGTTTAGCATTGACTGCAGGATGCGACGATCAATGTCAAACATCAAAACTTGACCATTTCTCAATCCAATAGCGACCTGATCGCCTTGCACACCAGAGGTCGATGACTGGAAATCGGACGGTAGCCGAAAGAAGGGCATGTCTCCATAGCATATCCACTGTTCTCGGACAAAGAGACTCTGTGAAGAATGTAGGCTTCTGTCCTGTTCGTCCATAGCAATGCCCTTAAGCATGATTGGTCCTATGTTTGTTGCAAGGTACCGGTTACATGCTGAAAAGTGTAGGTTATACACCGGCTTTGAGGTTTGAATTTCTCTGCAAGGTCGCAACTTGAAACGTCTAGTGAAACGACGCCGAAGAAATCTGGAGCTTTTAGAAGATTTGGCAATATCCCAAAGCTTGATGGTTTGGTCAAGAGAGCCTGATGCGATCTGCTTGCCGTCTGGTGAAAAGGCCACAGTGTTGACTGAGTCTGAGTGGCCTTCTAGTGTCTTCTGAAGGTCACCAGTTGCGGTATCCCAAAGCTTGATGGTTTGGTCACTAGAGCCTGATGCGATCTGCTTGCCGTCTGGTGAAAAGGCCACAGTGTTGACTGAGTCTGAGTGGCCTTCTAGTGTCTTCTGAAGCCCCCCTGTCGCGGTATCCCAAAGCTTAATGGTTTGGTCAAATGATCCTGATGCGATCTGCTTGCTGTCTGGTGAAAAGGCCATAGTATGAACCGAGTAGCCTTCTAGTGTCTTCTGAAGGTCACCGGTTATGGTATCCCAAAGCTTGATGGTTCCGTCGTCAGAGCTTGATGCGATCTGCTTGCCGTCTGGTGAAAAGGCCATAATGTTGACTGAGCGTGAGTGACCTTCTAGTGTCTTCTGAAGACCACCTGTTGCGGTCTCCCAAAGCTTTATGGTTTGGTCAAAAGAGCCTGATGCGATCTGCTTGCCGTCTGGTGAAAAGGCCATAGTGTTGACTGAGCGTGAGTGACCTTCTAGTGCCTTCTGAAGGTTGTCTGTTGTGATATCCCAAAGCTTGACGGTTTGGTCATCAGAGCCTGATGCGATCTGCTTGCCGTCTGGTGAAAAGGCCACAGGATTAACTGAGTATAGATGGCCTTCTAGTGTCTTCTGAAGGTCACCTGTTACAGTATCCCAAATCTTGATGGTTCCGTCATCAGAGCCTGATGCGATCTGCCTGCCGTCTGGTGAAAAGGCCACAGTGTTGACTGAGTCTGAGTGGCCTTCTTGTGTCTTCCAAAGGTCGCCTGTTGCGGTATCCCAAAGCTTGATGGTTTGGTCAAAGGACCCTGATGCAATCTGCTTGCCGTCTGGTGAAAAGGCCACAGTGTTGACCGAGCGTGAGTGGCCTTCTAGTGTCTTCTGAAGGTCCCCTGTTGCGATATCCCAGAGCTTGATGGTCTTGTCACTAGACCCTGATGCAATATACTTGCTGTCTGGTGAAAAAGCCATAGTTTTGACTGAGTCTGAGTGGCCTTCTAGTGTCTTCTGAAGGTCACCTGTTATAGTGTCCCAGAGCTTGATGGTTTGGTCAAGAGAGCCTGATGCGATCTGCTTGCCGTCTGGTGAAAAGGCCACAGTGCTCACCGAGTCTAAGTGGCCTTCTAGCGTCTTCCAAAGGTCACTTGTTACAGTATCCCAAAGCAGGATGGCTTTGTCATCAGAGCCTGATGCAATATACTTGCTGTCTGGTGAAAAAGCCACAGTGTTGACCGAGCGCGAGTGGCCTAGTGTCTTCAGAGGGTCACCTGTTACGGTATCCCAGAGCTTGATAGATTTGTCAAATGAGCCCGATGCGATCTGCTTGCCGTCTGGTGAAAAGGCCACAGCGTTGACTGGATGTGAGTGGCCTTCTAGTGTCCGTATCAGAGACCCCCAAGTGCCCTGCATGATTGGAACTTTTGTCAAATATGCTGGAATTCTATCCAAGTTTTTCTTCTTCACGACGCTTGATTCAGGACTCAAGGTAATAGCGGTGCTATATATCTGTAATGGCCAATGAGACACGGTATGGTAGTGTCGTAATAGAAAACGGCTAGTATCCTGCACAAGTGCCAAGGCTAAATGGTCGTCCTTGGTAAAGCTTATAAGCAAAGTCCCTAAACATGGAGCAATATCAAACGCTCACCTTTGTTATATTCACCAGTGCTTTGAACGCTTCAATAGCCCTCGGTAGCTTGCCTAATAGGCTGAGGCATTCCAGCCATTCCAGCAATTTTGAGTGGAGTAATTTTCCAACAAGGCCCTTCTCAATAAGCCCGCTCTGCACTATCGTGCTTCGTTCGATATCCTCGAGATGTTGTACCCAGAAGTTAGCCGCATAGTCCAGACAAGACAGCTGGACACTTTCTTTCTTGTGTTTCAGCAGCTTCCAATCTTCTATGGTTGAGTTGGGTCGCGGCAGGTCTAGAAGATTGACCTTCAGCCTTTCATATAAATGAGACAGACAACCTTGTACAATTTCATAATGTCCGAAATGTTCATATGAATCAAGTATAGACTGTCCATTCTCCTCTGCCAAGTAGTCTCGAGCAGACTGATGAACAAACTCGATGTTGTTCTCCTGCATTCTAAGGAATGAAGCACAGCGATTGACTAAAACCTCAATATTGTCATCTTCACTAGTCAGGCCAGCGACACTCGGAACTTCTTCCACTTTCAAAGGTCGGTATGCCAGCATCATCGCCTTAAGTAGTCGCATGCACTTATAGACATCATCTGGCTCGCCTTCGCTCAGTTGATTTAGTATCCGATCATAGAAAGAATGCAGGCCTGGCGGCAAGTCTCGGATTGTGGTCAATGCCTTATCTTGTTGGACACTCTCGAGCCTCTTGCAGACCAGGCTCACCCATAAAAAGGTACCCTCAGCCTTTGCAGAAAGCTCGGTTTTCACTTCGCTTTTTAGTGTTTGCCCATAATTACGATAACGACTAAGCTCATCCACCTTGTAAGTGATATAAGCCTTCACAGCTTCAGAGACGTAGTCTGAGTTGAGCTCTAGACTGACTTGCACCTGGTCATTTCCGGCTAGCAACGCCCGCTCTGCGCTATCTAATGGTCGACTTGTCAAGAGCCATTTGAGTTTAGCGGGGTTACCTAGTCCATTCCGGACGATGAGTTTCAAGAAGTCGGCCATGCCACCGTCTTGACACTCATCAAGACCATCCACAATTATATATATCCTCGAAGCGGTACATCGATCCAACATTTCCAAAAGGATGTTCCAGAGATTTCTCCACGAGGTAACGTCTTCATGAAAACGGTCATTCTTAGAATCCCAGCGGCGTCGTAGAGATTCTTTCAGCTCGGTTTGCTGATTCACCAACCTCAGAATCAATCCCTTCAGAATTGATTCAAGGGTGTTAAGCTCGCTGTCGGCATTTTGGCAGAAAAAAAGGTCACCACAGTGTAGTCATGCTGTACCTGTGAAATATCGTCAATAAGACCGATCGACATCATGGTCTTCCCTTTCCCAGCACCGCCCTTGATCCAAAGCAGACAAATTTCATTTCCATTTCGCCAACTCTGATACTGCGGGTCTTGAAAGATCCATTCAAACGACTGACGACGTAACTTGTCCTTGGTCTCCGTCAAACGATGTTTCACGACTAGTGAATCAGGACAGCGTAAATCCTGGAGGCAAAATCGATCGATGTCTTCAGGGGTATTTGCTATAAAGCGTGTAAGTCTCTTGATAACAAGTCAAGAGAGACGCGGTCAAACCTACACTGGTGGAACTCTGCCGTGACCGAACCATTGTTGATTCCAACCTGGAGTCCATGGTTTATGCCGCTATAAGTCACGGATGTCATGATGGAAGTAAACTAGATACCGTAGTGTGCGCTCAAGGGAGATGCAGGTCACTCAGCTGAATGAGGGGCTTCGGGCAGCTAGGTGACCTGCTGGCGCTAGACCGGAATAGGATCGGAATATTTTGGCCTTGTCCCATTTGATTTCTTAAAAATATGGCTCCAAGATACGGATTGTAGCAGGTTTTAAGGAAATAATTCAAAATAATAGGGTGGTCAATCTGAATAACAGCAAGTGGACATTCCGACAGGAAGAGACTATTGCCTCTAAATATAGAAATTCGAGACATACAGCAAGGGATCGAAGATAAAAGAACTAGTGATTCTGCGTAGTCTTATATAAAAACTCGCTCGCTAACGCACTCCATATAATAGTGTCGTCAGAAGAAGAAGCCAGCTATCTAAATCCTCAATATCTCCTCTGTCCGTGTTAACGTCAGTCAGAACTTTTGTAGGACCTCTTTTTTCATGAAGTACTAACTTAAAAAATGGAATTATAGGTGAAAGAAACGGAATAATTACAATCGAAAGCATTACCAGCTTATCCTGGTCTGAAAGTGATCTTCGACATCCATAGTCACACGCTCCTTCGGATATTGGTTATTCCGCCGGAACTAAGGGTCGGGCATTAAACTATCCCACTTCCCTTCTACCCCGCCACTATGGGCTGGCTGCCTTGTACTCACTCTTATTAAGTTGGTGCCTCTATGGTCTTTATCGGGAGAAATTTCACTTGATTGCAGGTAATGCCCCCGCCTTCTCTTTTAATTTCCGGGATGACAGATTAACAGCTTGTTCTGCCTTCCAGTGCGCTCTCTTTTCCCCAGCCAAGCCCAGCTCAGTCATGTCGACCGATATCAAAGCCGATGCCTTGCTAGAACTTGAGATTCTAGCTTCATGGGTTTCCCAGAGCGAGATGAAGGAAGCAAAAGGGAAAAAGAATCTTTTGGAATGTGTGGACAAGGCCCGTGAAACGAAAGCGCGGCCGTTATTGGAGAAGCTGGGATATGCTACAATACGGGTAATTAAAAGACTTATTCGCTTTTAAAATTTTGATTTGGAAACGTTGCTAATTGGATCAGGGCCATTTCGCTTTGCTTTTGCGAATATGCGGAAAGGCTTCGATTGAGAAGCCCGAAGATCGAACGTTGTTATTCTTCCCCCTGTCTGGAAACGTGCAGGTTGCCGGCGAAACCCTTAAACCGGGAAACTACATTCAGCTCACAGAGACTTTGGATCTTGACGTACAACTGGATTGTCTGATTGTCGTTCTACCTTAATTCGCGTTGCAGGAATATCGGGATTCTCTACTTTCTTGTTCAAATTCACGAATTTTATAGCTTTTATACCTACATTATTATTATCAAAGTGACACAATGTATACTAGAGTGTCCCTTTCCAAGGCTAGCGAACCAGTAGCACGCAGAGCTTTATGATTCTGAAAGCTAGAAAACTTCACTCGTTGCACTGTCGAATTCGGTCGAATTGAAGCCAACTTGCGCCGTGTTGCTATAGAGCGGGGAATTGGAAAACGGTCTGCACAACGCATCGCTCGGTGACTGGTTGTAACGAGTCCCCTTTTGGTCGGTCTCTGCAACGTTGTCGAGCTGAACATTGTCGAGCTGGGGATCCGAGAAGAGGCTGAATACCGCATCGCTTGCCATCGGGTTGAAAATTGTCCTCTCATGCTCGGCTGAAGTACTATCGAGCTGAACGTTGTCGAGCTGAACGTTGTCGCGCTGAACGTTGTCGCGTTGAACATTGTCGAGCTGAACGTTGTGCTGGGGATCCGAGAAGAGGCTGAATACCGCATCGCTTGCCATCGGGTTGAAAATTGTCCTCTCATGGTCAGCCGTAGTACTATCGAGCTGAATGTTGTCGCGCTGGGGATCCGAGAAGAGACTGAATATCGCATCGCTTGCCATCGGGTTGAAAATTGTCGTCCCATGGTCAGCTGTAGTACTATCAAGCTGAACATTGTTGAGCTGGGGATCCGAGAAGAGGCTGAATATCGCATCGCTTGTCATCGGGTTGAAAATTGTCCTCTCATGGTCAGCTGTAGCACTATCGAGCTGAATGTTGTCGCGCTGAACGTTGTCGTGCTGAACGTTTTCGTGCTGAACGTTTTCGTACTGAACGTTGTCGCGCTGGGGATCCGAGAAGAGGCTGAATATCGCATCGCTTGCCATCGGGTTGAAAATTGTCCTCTCATGGTCAGCTGTAGCACTATCGAGCTGAATGTTGTCGCGCTGAACGTTGTCGTGCTGAACGTTTTCGTGCTGAACGTTTTCGTGCTGAACGTTTTCGTGCTGAACGTTGTCGCGCTGGGGATCCGAGAAGAGGCTGAATATCGCATCGCTTGCCATCGGGTTGAAAATTGTCCTCTCATGGTCAGCTGTAGTACTGTCGAGCTGAACGTTGTCGAGCTGGGGTCCACAACTATGAAGATAAGCGCCTACGGAATTCTGGGGGCCGCTTGGCCCTCTCTGTGTGGTAGGTGGCACTGGGGCCCATTGTGCTGGATTTGTTTGGTGAAATTCAATATGCCGGATGAAATCTGTATGACTTGATATCCGTCTCCTTTTGCGACGTGCTTCGCCGGTCTCTTCCGTTAAAATGGGACAACGAGAAGAGCCAGATGGTCTAGAACAAGCTAAACCAGTCGATGAAACCGAACAGTCGCTGCTAGACCTCGAAGTATTATTTGAAGTGCCCTTATTATCTGCGGTTCTTGAGCCAGGCTCTGAAAAGTTTGACTCGGATGTGTCGGACACTTCGTCAGATGAATCTGAAGCCCCTTCCGAACCCCCATTTTCGTTAAGGTAAATTCGTGGTGATATTATAGCACTTTGCATCGCGGCTTTCGCGGGTGTAGTCGGCTGATCCGAAAGCCCGATAGAACTAGGTGTATAGTCGTTGACCGGAGAGCTGGTATCCAAGTCTGCATCTATACCAACGAGTTGTTCTAAACCAAACTTTAGCCAGGACTTAATGATGAAAATATTAGACCTACTGTCATAATATAGCTGCAGCTTGCTATACCATATTGAAGTTTCTTTGATAATATCTGCAATTTGCTCATCCACCGAGATCAATAGGTTCATTGAACCTGGTTCGAGCAAACAATCCAGAAATTCCGGAATTTCCTCGTACTTGAGACACCTGAAAGGCCTGACGGTAAGTGCTGTGAAAGCAGATATTCCTAATGCAATGTCACATTGCTCAGTGTCGCATTGCCCTGTTTCTTCAAACCTTTTTCTAAGTAATCGCTCCATAACCAACTGTCTCATGCCAGCCTGGATTGCTCTGACGGCAAAATCTTTGTCTTTTGCCTCAATACCAAGCTCATACTTCACATATGAGGACATCTTGCCCCGACGTCCTTTGTTCGCCTGAACATTTCCCCTGGAGGATGCAACGTTGCAAAGTTGCTCAACATCCAAATGACCAGATTTTTCACCTTGAAGAGCAAGCGATCGCTGAGCGAGACCCCTCAGTAATTTGTATTGGTTCTCAGCGTTAGAATCACCCTCAACTCTACGAATATCGGCAAGCCTCCTATCGCGAGCAAGTTGACGCTTGATACTCAGAACTTGTCTTGGCTGAAGCTTGATAGACTGCCGTACCCAGGCAGAGACTTTGTTCAAGGCAGCTAGAAGTTTTATCGGATTGGTTGGCTTAGCGACTTCATCACTTATGGCAGGTTGCTCAACGGAGGAGCGCAGCTGAACGCAAGCGGCCTCTTCCACGGCTTCATGACTATCAGATACATTAACAATTGCTGTCAAGGATCGAGGAACGATATAACTGACTGCGGGGACTCAAAACCCCCAGACGCGCTTCAATTTCCCGAAAAGCCGCAACGGCTTCGATTTTGTGATTTTGCAAATCTTCGGTGGTGGCATTCCGAAGTGATTTAAGAGCTGAAGATATATCCATTCTCGTTGAGGGTAGTTGAAGGGCCAAGTTCATTGCAAGGGGAAATGTACCTCAAGGTCAGACACACGTACTAAAATATACACGTAAGACAAATTGTAGAGAACTCCTGCAATTTTGGGAGGGGAACCTTGTCAGACCCCTTATTCCTTGGCAAATGCTCAAATTGTCAGCGAATCAGAAGTTCTGCCTTTTGGTTCTAGATCCAATAGATTATGTTGGTGGTTAGGGGCCAAAGCGTTCACGCCTGCTAGGCCGTCGATCAGTCAGCAAACAAAGCTGCAGTAGAATTTCACGTCACGGCCAATTCATATCCCTTTCGGGAGATAAGGGCAATAATCTACAAAGCTTTGGAACTCTGGGCGGTAGATTTATATGGTTCCGCAAAGAGCATTAGGAAATTTTCTCGCATTAGGTTTCCTTTCAAAGATACAACAGAACGTATTATGTCGAGAGAAATAGCAAGTAGCTGGAAGAACGGGAGATGGATCATCAGTAAAAGTACCTTATCACCCGGTGTTCTCTTGGCGTTCTGCGTCGAGCCATCAGGAGTGACTATCCAGAACCACTGAACTGCGTTAGTTAACTTGTAACGTAAGTCCCGTTTTTATCTGACAGATTGTCTCTACAGTACCGGGTATATTTCCATCGAGTCACGTTTGTTCTATTCTCTTTCTGCTGGCCGATTATTAACCGCGAGTGTCCTGTCTTTCAGCTTTGAGCCGACTGCCTATTTTGGTAGTCTCTAGCAAACAGCTTGATGTGGTTAGGCTGAAGGTGGACACATTTGTTCGATAACGTTAACCCCTATGCGCAATTTATACATTGATTTATCTTTTCTGCAGTCCTTTTCTATTGCCATCTCTATTTCACACGTTCTAATTTGTACATTTGCTTACTTCGGGTAGCATCTCTATCTCTGCCCGTTTGCCATTAATCCGAAGACAACCTGTCCAAAACTTCTCCGCCCTTTTCATCCAAATTCGGATATTTCCTCAAATGACGTAGATCAGTCCAGAAGTCCTTCGCATCATCATGTCCTTCGCCATGTACTCCCATACGCTCTCGTAGAAGTTTTTTCCACTCGGCGTCCTCCTCTGTCCACCCCCAAGAGGCCGAGACGTATTCATACCAGATGGGATAATACGCAGCAAATTCCCAATCAAGTATTCCAGCCAGCCCTCCGTCTTTCACTATGATATTGCCCAAATTAAGATCACAATGAGTGAGAACGTATGGTTCACATTTAGGCATACGTTTCTTCAGATTGTCTAAAGCTCGTTGAGGGAACAATCTTGTAGGCGGATCATGGAGAGTAAGGCTTATGGCATCCCAGAGTTCGTTGTCGGAATGAAAAGGTCCGTGTGGCTCGCGGTCAGAAAAGAGTAGACCCGGGAAACAAGGACTTTGATCAACGCTTTGTATAGATGTTGACTTCAAGGATCGAAGCTGCTTTCGAATTCCAATAACTGCATCTGCGATATCCACTTTCTGAGATTTTGATAACGAAGACCAGACCTGCTCGAGAGTTTGGCCTTGTATCCGCTCTTGAAGTACAAAGTATCGCCCGTTACCGTCAACCCAGTCACGCAGGATCTTTGGAACCGGGATATTGGAGTAGGATGTAAGGTAATTCAGGGTGGTTACTTCGGTTTTCGGGCCTTCGTCAGGGCGTTCTTTCAAGATAACATCAGACCCGATCGACCACACTCCCCGCCTGCTTGCACCATAGAAGAGTTTGACATGGCTCGAGTAAAAGCATTGCTCTTGCTGATCGAGCGTCCAACCACAAGCGATGCAGCCTTTAGATGATCCTTCGGACATTATGGGGAAAGCAGAGAAATTCATGGGTTTATAGAAGGTGGAAAGGGGATTTACCGTTACTTGTAGTCCAGGAGGCAGCTTTTCACCGCCCCTGCCCTGCGCTGGGACTAGCGCGGCCCCGCACTTAACTTGCACGTTAAATTTGTCGTTTGGGATCCCATTCGCTGGCCACTTTCCACATATTTTAGAGACTCTCGATCCTCATTTAGGTGGGGCCATGCATACCTTCAATTTTGCTGGTGCGTCTCTTTCAAACCAAACATATCGCACTTCGGCTGCGAAAGTCTCCCAGCTGAGAGATCCCAGATATTAATATTAATATATATATATATATATCTTTTTTTTTTGAAATCGCAGGGTAAAGTGGGGCTTTACCTTAGATGGAGAACCACATAAAATGAGCGGGGAATCCCGTCCTAAATACATGCATACCAGTGCGACACACATTATGAACTGTGTGGGATTTGCTGGAAACCAGGACATGAAAGTGACCCCTCATGCATGTGATACGTTAGTAAGCCATTAACAAGTAATCTCGAGAAGCGCCCTACGCCCCAAAGGGAATGCCGCTGAGCCCTTGACCTATATATTTAAGCCAGCGGCTATGTCGGTTGGTAGATATTGGGAGTTGGCCAATGAGACCGAGCCTTCGTCCTCCCATCACAACTTTTACTGGTGCCTATTTCACAGCCTCAATATAGCAAACGACTCATTAATATCTAAATATAGGTAATTCGTTTCAGACAGACACGAGCGTCTTTTAGCATGTATTTATCTCCTCAGAGACGAAATATCAGGGGCATCGAGAGACGTAATTATGTGGGGATGACTTCTAATACTGCATGAACGATGAGGGTTGGTGCCAAAGCTAAGGACATGATGGAATGGATGAGTATTTCTAACGTTACTTGTCCATTTGCTAGGCTGGAATTTGAGATCGAACTGCAGCGCCACATGACCAGATACCTGGAGTCGGTGATACCGACTTCCGTCAATTTGCATTACCAAGTTGTCAGGATCGGACATTAGGGGCCGCAGCCGGTAGATTACTCCAGCACCAACGAGGAAAGTGTAATTGTTTGATAGTCATGAAATCAGGTGTTCCATTTGTTCAATAATTCCATGCTTAAAGAATGACTGTGGGCTATCGCCGAATACCTGTCGCAAGGTACGTAGTACGTACACGGCCATGGTGCGACAGACTAAAGAATGAACTGTGGATAGGGTGCCCAGGACCAAAGCATGATATCGATCATTGCAGCAAGAAGCTCTCCCGCCAGTACCAGGATGCATCAAAGGGGCAGTCCCATGGGTACCTCGTCATTCACAGCGTGGCCCGAAAGCTGCCCGTTCTGGAGAGTCTGTATTATCGGGGTCAGCTACGAACAAGGCAGAGACCATGGACAGTTTCAGAAAAGGAGGGAAATGAAATAAGACCTTTTGAGACCCTGGAACTTCTGCTTTGCATTTCTCACAGGGGAAGGGCTCCGGGTGAGTTATGTTATTGAAACCGCACTTTGGACACTTCATCTTGATGTAAGAAAGGTTTGTTTGGAATGATTTGAGTATTGAGCGGATATGGTAGAGCAGAATTGAATAATTACCAAACTCGGATGCCAGAGACCCTACTTATAGAAAGCTGGTGCGCAATATAAATCACGCCGAATCACTCCTCACGGCTTTGATGCATCAGAGGTCACTTAGACACGGACAAAGGTCATGAAGTGGCACTTTGGTGCATGGGCCGTCACAATGGTTTGTTTACTGTAGAAGATTTACTGTTCTATTGGTCAGAAGATCTGGGGCCATCCTGCCACGCCTCGCGCAGGTCCAATTAAAGATTCGAGAACCACTGCCGGCAGTAGTTTCTCAAAGCATCTTCCCGGATTTTACAGTCCCCAAATAGCCTATACCTATCTCCTCTGTGAGAATGGTGATCTTCAAGCCAGACAACAAAGCTCAATAACCGAAAAGAATGAATGGGACTTTCTTCTTTGGGTATGGGCTGAGAGCCCATACCCGTGTCACACCCAATCAATCGCAGGGCAGCATCTGCCCTGGGCATGAGCTCATGCTTACATGCACGCTAGCCCCTCTTCCGTCGCCAATTTGTTCTCTAGCCATTATAGGGTCCCATGTCGATGAAGCCCGCGTATGCAAGGCCGGAGAAGCGAAAATGCATCCAGTACACATTGATGGAGTATGATATTAGTACGTTTATTAGGCCGATGCCTGACCGCGTCGTTGTGCGCGCAATCCGGTACTAGGCTGGCGTGTGTAATTTACATATATTGGCATACAAATGTCGAGTCTGGGATCTCACAGTGGCGAGAATATGATCTGCTTGAGCGTACACAGAATTTGTTGGAGGCTTCCGAGTTTCGTATCGCGCCTTTTCACCTCCCCAGGCAGCTCTCGAGAGACAGTTTTATTTGGAGGCCCAGATCCAGATCGAAATTGTATGCATGGATCTGCGAGCGGCACCGTGCCTATGATTTTGGAAGAACAGCCTACCTTTTCTGATGAGTCGGGCCCTAGTGTCTCTGCCAGAGACTCAGCGCCGATTCGCTTGCGCGTGGGTTACCCTTTCCCCCTCGTTGACACCCAGTTCTAACTAAATAAGACCGTGCGAGTTTGGTTTTATCCCAAAGGCCTTGAACTTATGGAAGACATCAAAAGAAAGGGCCTCGAAGATGTGGTTTTCGATGCCATTGCCCTTCAAGAGCTTAGCGCTCAATATCAAGCCCAGAATGGCCATGGCAATATGAATGATGCCTTCCTAGTGGATCTTGCGGTATTGGAGACTGGTATACTACGGGTTTTGGGCAAATATGGGACTCTAAATTTCGTTCCTCTGAGCAGCGATGATCCGATTATTTTGCAACAACCAGCAGAAGGTCTCGACTCAAAGAAAGCTCTTTGCTATCAGCGCCTACATTCAAAATACTCACAGGAGTATGTAAAAAGGCGGCGCCTTACCGAAGTTTTGGATGTTGAGATGAACAAACTTTGGACTGACTGGTATGATGGCTGTCTTAGAGAAATTGGTAATCGCCTTAGAAAGCTCGGTTATTGTTGATCAAAGCAAATGTAATTTATTTCATGTTTACCAATTGCACTGATCACTAGATAGGGCTCAATTCTGGACAAGCAGAAAGTCGAAGTTTGAAGAGTCCATCTCACACATTATGTTTCGATATCGATTCTGGAGTATTCCCTTCACTTCACTGTTGTAAGGCCATCTCAAGAAAATAATCAAGCCCTGCGATGCTTCAGAAGATGAAGCATCAAAATGCCAAGTCATCAGCGCTAGCATTAGAACAGTACCATAACTGAGATCGGGTAATATATTTCCCACGTGGAGGTGTAGGTCATTTTCGAGACAGGGTTCCTGGGATCTCCTGCTTCTCAGAGTGTTGCAGACATCTAGCAACATTTTAGCATCTTGGCTGAGGTTTTCCGAGGGCCTCCATTCCAAGAGCGATGGAGATGCGATTCTCAAGAAGAGCATTGCCTCCAGAGCAATTTTTGCCGGCCCATAGAGGAGTTGGGCGGGAATCGGGGCGGGCTTCTGATGTGAGCATACCATCGTCACCAGAGAGAGGCGCGGGTACTCACCATGGCTAGATCTTTGGTAATGACCAGGCGCAGTTGATGGCCACCTTGGAAAGTAGAAAAATGTCCATTTATAGCCTCCTGGGTTGAATAAAGAAGCACCAGCTTAAGCTCGAAACCTCTCCATTGATGCTGTTACCACATACTCGTCTACGTGATTTGAATCTGTTTGACAAATTGACTCCATAAAGTGCTTGTCTCTATCTCGCTTCGATTGCTTCTACAAACCTACATACAAGCGTTTTTTGGACCGGAAATCGAGTAGAAAATAAATGAGGACCTAGAGCAAACGACCTCAATTGCTGCCGGCCCCTATAGGCTGACTAAACCTGCTATGAACGACCCGGAAATACTAGATCCTCAAAAGACCTCTACCAATTCGTAATCCAACGGCTGGTTATCACCGGTGAAGCATTAAAATAATCAACGACCTATTCTGTCAGCGGGTATTGTACATAATGATTTTGAGGAAAGAAAGAACTAATTTCAATCACCCTAAATCTCGCGGCGTTGCCTAGACCTGTCGTCCACCGACAGCTTGAGCATATATAGTTCTCCTCGCTCTGCACCTATATTTTCCCTAAACAAGTCTATTTTCATTTCTCTACAAGGCCTCTTCCTCGAGCCCTGAACTATACCAAAATCTCTCAACACGAAACAGACTTGCCAGAATGTCCTCACCTTCATTCTTCAACATTGGAATTATCGATGTTAATCCAGAATCTAACCTCCTTTCTGACGTCCCAATGGCCGACCTAAGCCGTGCTTTCTTCATTTGTTGGCAAGAATATTCTACAGAAGGCATACCACTGTGAGTCTCACCCCGCTAGCACCATAGCCTATTTACCTGACGAAAGCGTAAGAGACGAAGAGACTACCACTGGGGTGGAGCTTCGAGGAGGGTCACTCACTCCCCTAGGGTGTTTCATCCCTGCTATATTGCAGAATCCGCTGGTTATCCGTAATATCCGGAATGATCCGCGCATTGGAGGGCTGAAGCTTGTCGTATATGAGTGTGTCGTCTATCAATTTTTCATAGGCTTAATGACTGACGTAGTGATTTATCAAGCAGAAACCAGGGTATATCAAGAGGCCGTTCTTTTCTGTAAGCATAAGGACTGCCCCCTCATACATCCGAAATCAGCTAAAGTTGCAGGGCGTTCTCGATCAAAATGGCTGCTTCGCGGCTCAATGCTCGACCTATCTCGAACTATGTATCCCTTCCGGAACGCGTACGGGATATCATCCTTATACAATCTGCACTACGTAACATGTGTTAGCGAGGATATCGGTGTTCTTCCGTATTAAATAGTATTTATTAGCTTTGTCGAAAATCAACAATCTGAATTATACATTTCGATGTCTTCCCCACAAGTGTACAGCCTCCACAGAACCCTTCGATGAAACGATAATCACATTTTTTGATTCCAGTGAGCCTCGCTTTGCGTTTTCAAGGTTGCTAGATAGGCCTTTGCAGGGGCTTCTTGGGTATCTTGGTGATAGCACGAAAACCACTAACGTAGCACCTTCTCGAGGGTAATTGATAACTATTCAAATCCGTAACTTCACCGACCATCTCCGTACTAGACCCTAGTACTCAAAAGGTTGATGCTCCAGGCTGACGTAAGTTTGAATGACCATCTGGCAGCCAGATATAGCTTCTTGCCCGGAGCAATTGATAGCTATCTAATCCCCGGCTTCACCGATCAGCCATATCTTAGACCCAGACACCCATACGCTTAACACCCTTAGGCTGGGCCTTGTCCCATGCAGCCCGGCATGGGGGATCCCTAAGACTGGATGTCGATGTCGTTGCCCCCGTCTAGAAAGATCGATCTTGCTTAATATAGAAAGTTGGCTATCTCGGCCATACTATTTGTGCGGGACGATTCCGAAGACCATGCGCCTAGACTGCGACAAGCACATCATCGTCACCCCCTTCTGGTACTTACTTTAGTTCCATGATAAGGTGCGATCAATGAGCACCTTAGACAGTATAAATGGGTCCCCTTGTATCCTCCTGGTTTGAATAAATTAGCACCAACAAAGTTTGAAGCCTATATATTGATGCTTTTACCGCATACTCGTCTATATTATTTGAATTTGTCTGACAAATCGGCCCTATGGAGTGCTTGTCTTCTATATCGCTTCGATCGCTTCTACCAAACTGCATGCAGGCATTTTGGGAACCGAAAACCGAGCAGAAAATAGAGGAGGACCTAGAGCAAACGCTCCCAAATGCTGCCAACCTCTATAGTTTGACTGAACCTGCGATATATGAGCCGGAAAATACCAAATCTGCATCTAGCCTCCCTCTACCAGTTTGCAATCCAAAGCAAACGGAGAAGGGAGAAGCGTCGCAAATTAGTCTAATTAGAGACTGTTATAGTGAGTTTTTCCTACAAAGCGCGAAACCTTTGATAATGCCTTCTCACTCTGCAACCTTTCAGAAAACAGACTTCAAACAGACTCTATACAATCAGACGGCAAGACAGATAGCAACATCATTGTGCTCCCTTACATCCCACCAAACTTTCGACTTGTCAACGGCAGGATTATTGATGGGGAGCGAGATACACCGATTTCCTAAATGGTCAATCACACATTGAAAAAAAGATCATCCTCGAATATGGTGCTTAGTCTTAGTCAGTTTACTGAGCTTCCAGTACATCCCCTTCTCATTTCACTTTATTCTCAGGAGCGTTAATTTTTAATGGCTTCTGATATCTAAATCTCCGATATCCACTATTGGCTGAGGTGAAATAGTCCGGAATTTCTGTAGCATAATATACCACCAGAATATCTCAATAACCCAGGCATGTTCTAGGTGATATATCATGATGCACATTGCGAAGTGATTCGCGGTATAATTGAATTGCTAATCCAATAATTAAGCACACGTTTTATGTCACACGAAGACGTTTTGGATCTTCTGTCTCTGGCTGACATAGCTGTCGTTTTACTGCTCGTGATCGCTGCAAGTTCGGTCGACATTTCAATGTGGAGCTGTGAAAATCGATGATCAATGCTCGGCCAAGTTCTTCATTCCAAAGAACATTGTCACGCCGTAGATCTTCGTGAATGATTCCCAAGGCTTTAATTTCTTTGTTTGATCTGCGAATTTCCTGGCGGAGCCAAGGCGCCAGCTCCATCGATGCTGTACTTTCTCCCCCCAGCCCATCACGAGCATATGACGAATCTCTCCAGCTCCATGAAGAAAATAAACTTTCGCTAAGTCGATCGTACCCAGGAAAATAGGCACAGCAGACCCTTGGGCCTTGCGCAGGATTTGGTATACCTGCGCTTCGCGGGAGACTTCTTTCCATAACCCCGACGTGGTTCCTTTTCCGACGACAGTGTAGCCATATAAGACACAAGTAAGTTTGAACGGCGCACCGTACGCCCCGCAACCTCCAAGGGGTGTGCATCGGTCAATGTTTTCGTCCAATTGTCCTTTTAGTAAACGCACCAAATCTTCTGAGGTAATCGGATGTTGGAGATCGTCTTTGCTTCGACGATGAAGCACCACATTTGGACAGCAGTCGTCTAGAACACCGCCAGACTGCAATCCGAGTAAACATCGCTGCGTGCAAAATTGTGCATTGCGATATGGCGCCTGTTTGCCTTGGTTATCCCCCGGGTCCCGTTGACGACCTGCTTCTTGGGCAGATGGGGAGGATGTAACTTGGCTGAAGCCCCTTTTGCGGCCTATTGCTTGGTTCGAATCGGAGCCTGATGAGTCTGGAGATTGCGAGCGACGCTGTACACCCGACGGTGCACAGCTGGCCTGGGACCTTGTAGGCAATCGTCGAGCTGCTGTCGTTGGAGAATCCGGCGGGGATGACGGAGGCTCATAAGCCGAACCGGATTCCGGACTCGTGTAATCCAGGACTGTACTATCGGAGTGGGCAAGGGTCTGCTGCAGTTCTACTTTGGGAATCTGAGAACGAGTGTGGTCAAAACCGGTCGTCCAAAGAGGAAGCTCTGGTCGTGTGGAATTTCGCCATTCCTGGCCACGTGCAGGTGAGCGAAAGGCCATCAAACACAGACATAGGGTTCTTGCAACAGAAGTCTTCGGTTGTTGGAAACTATCTTCAACATCTCCATCTACCTCGCTGTTAGGATCACATAGGAAGTAATAAAGCGTGCTAGGATCATCATATGGAACACGGAGGAGGACCCGAGCAATCCCGTTAGTCACGTATGAGTACTCGAGCCCTTCCTGAATCATCACATGGTACTCCTGGACAATAGCAGAGCAGACAAGGCGCTCTGCATTATACCTCAACTTCGCTTCCTTGTTCGTAGGTATTTTATTCGATTTGACCATATCCCTCCATAAGTCCATTGGTCGAAGCCCTATCCGAAGGGTTGAGACGGGAAGCTTGTGAGGCGGCTTATACTCGACAGTCGTGAGGAGAGTTGCAGTGTTGCCGTCGACACGATGGATGCAGAACTGATCAGGTCTTGGGTTTGGTACACTTGACGGTTGGCTTGCATCCGCTTCAGTGGTATCGTTGTCATTCAGGGAATTAGTATGGTTGCTGAACTGGATGCCATCCCCAAGACAGAGCTCGTCGCGAGCAGCGGGTAGTTTGCACAACTCAGTAACTATATCGTGGACATGTTCTTCCACGGCGAATCGCTCATAGGCTTCGAGTTCTTGCTCACAGCTTATAGGCTTACGACAAAGTCGTCGGCCTAACCCTTGTAACTCATGCAAGGACGAGAACGAATGTGGCGCCCCCCTGGTGTCAACTGAAGGTAGCTGTAGACGGACCTGTAGAGCTCCGACAGTTGTTCTGGGCAATCGGTCCAGTGTTCCAACCGTGTCGGGCAATATTTCCCGGTGGGAAGGGGTAGTTTCCCTGTGGTCGAACGAGATGGTGTGTCGGCTCTCAACGGTCGAGAGAGCAGGTTGTGGGAATGGCACAAGAACTCCACGAAATTGGTCGGTCGGGTGCGCGATTCAGCTTGTTCCCGTTTCTCTTTCTCCTGTCTGCCCTCATCTTCTGCCTGCTTCCGCCTCTCCTGTTCCTGTAGATAAAGAGATTTGTAATCTGGAGAGCTGTTGCCGGCCATCGACTTGGTTAGGAAAGGGAAGCAATGGCTGGAGACAATCGCGGCAGGTCCCGACCAGCGGGACGACCAGGAGGCTTACGTCAGCAGACCACGGTTCACGGCAGAGGTATTTTCCCGGGAAACGACGTTGTGTCTGTCTACTCAATATCGTGCAATGAAATCATGGTAGAAAATTAAGCAATAGAAAATTAAACAATCAGTTTAATATTCTTTTCGACCAGACATCTTCGCCTAGACGAGGAACGTTTTGCTTACTCCTATTTTGCACCATTTTGTCCCATTTTGTCCCACCAACTATTAGCATTGTCTCGTCTAAGGTCTTCATGTATTATCCGGGCTTTGATTCCCTTGTTCAATTTGGGAATCTAATGCTGTACTCCCCTCCCCTCAGGCATCGCGAGCATACGAAGTGACCTAGAGGTGTAGAACTAAACGTCAAGTGACTCATTGAGCTGGTAGTACCCAGTGATTTGTGTTTTCGTTGTATATCGGGAGAAACAGTTTCTCAACAGGACCTAGTTGTAACGTGCTGTTGAAATAACCTTTCCCACTAACTATTAGACAAGGGCCCTGGCGGCACCTATCAGAGACCCGAGTTATGGAAAGCATTTGAAGCTTTTCTCTGTCTTCACGGGCTTGGGCAAACCATCGATCCTCCTCACATAGGTTGGCAAGCACGCCGTCTTCGTAGTGACGGACAAAATCAACGATACCGTCCGACGGAAAGAAGAAGACAACAAACGGGCAACTATCCGAAAGCGGCTGGAATGAAGCATAAAATGACTCAGGGGTCATATTGAGTTGACAACTGCAGATGTTCGATGACTGCTTGATAATGGATATTTTATTGTGGGAAGGCCCAACATTCGGAAGAAGTAAAGTTGACTGAGGCATAGGCTGAGGCTCATATACCACTGGGGCAGTGTTTATTAGCGCAAGTTGCATCGGCGCATCGTTTATTAGCGCATCATCCATAGGCGCAACATCCATCGGCGCAACATCCACTGGCGCAATATCCATTGGTGCATCATCCATTGGCGTATTGTTCATTGGCGCCGGATCCACTGGTGCAACATGCACTGCACTATCAATCTGTCCAGGAGTTGACCCACCATTTATGGGCGTAGGCATAAAAGACATCGGTAGGTCCGGAGCATTTCCATCATTGAAATCTGGAAAGAATGACCTGAAGATATCGCGCTTGACGGCGAAAGATGTCATATTTGCGCGAGCTGGCTGATCTGCTGAGTAGACATTATGCAGGAATAGGTACCTTTGGTCAAAGAGGAAGGTGCTTGAGGTTGTCATCCCACAGCGTTGCTCTAAAGACCAGTCGTCTTGGTTGTCCAGACTTTGGATTGCTGGTGGGTTTTCAATCTTGCGTGGAACCATGTCCCTAAGGATAGCGGCAATATGGTTGCTGCATTCCCTGACTCTAGATTCATCATACACAAAGAGCTCTGGGGGGCGTAGCCGAGTCAAGATTCCATGTATGGCGGCAAATTCGATAGAACCTGTTGGACGAGAGCTTTTAAGGAACTTTGATCCTGGAAAGATAAATCCAACTTTGTTCGCACACAGCTTAAACCGCGTCCACAACTCAGAAGTGTCGAACTTTCCTTTTAAAGGGGATTGGCCTACGCCAAGCGGCCGAGAATCTGTAAGGCCATAGAAATGGCGCATGGAGAAAAGGAACAACTGTCTGTAGGCTGCCCAGAATCCGTATTCCTTTGACCCTACTTTTTGAATATAATCGTTTTCTGAAATTTGAACTTGATGTTTCAAGTCGCGAGGACAGACGTAGCACTTGAACATTGACTCCCTTATGGTGCCCTTAAATTTTGGAGGGAGCACCCTCTTGATGACATCAGTCATAGCCTTGAGGTATTTGGTGTTTTCGAGAAATGTTCGAAGTGAAGGTATGATTTTTGGGTATCCCAAAGCGGCGTGTCGGAGCTGGGCCCTTATGGCATGGTCTCTGACATCTTGAAAGGCACTCCCATCTTGGAATATTTGATCAATATGCTCACGATCAGCAATAGATAATCGTGGGCATCTGCCTTCTAATAAGGTGAGGGTTGTTGGATCTAGGATCACGGGATTGAGGCACGTCAGTGACTGCCATGCCTCAAAAATCTCTCCCAAAGAATCCGCAAGCTCCTATTAACATTAGTATGGCGATGATGTCTCATAGGAATATCGTACCTCGGGGCATTTGAGGCTGGGGAGGTGTGTCCCCATGAACCAAGACTTCCATAACGCTGGGAACTGAAGAAGCAAGTCTAGCTTTTGCCCTAAATTGAGAAAAGCGTCTTTGTTTTCCTTGGGGTGGTAAATTCTGTTGAATTCGCGACACTTGGTGGGTGACCATTTCGCAAGCCACTCCTCAGCGGCTTCTGTCTCTCCTCGTTGCTGGTAGTGACGTGTATTGCGAAAAATGTCTCCATCTGCAAAGCTCTGGGAGCTTTGATCACACTCGCGCAATCTCCTACGACAGTCATCGTCCAACTTTGCAGAGTCATATAAATCGAAAGCCCACCAGTAATCGCCTGGGTCGAGCCATTGAAGCGCAGCAGCAATCCGGTGTTGCCCCTGGTAGCAACGTAGCTTCTGACCCTGTGGCAGCTCTAAATCCTTGAAATAACCGACGGGTGAGCCTTCACCAAGTAAGTGGCCTAGGTCAGTAGAAGACACTTCGCATGGGATCCAGGTAAGAGGGTCTAGTCGGCGACACCCCTCATGCTCGAATCGATGAATAAGACGATCAATATGCGACTGTCTAAAGGCTCGAGACCCATAAACATCACTTCCCTCAAATAAAAGTTGATCTAGTTCTCTGACTCTGAAAGAGCCGATGCGGGCTGCGGTCAATTTGCGAGCAGTCTCTAGATCTTTAGTCGCCATGCCGAAAACTCAGCACTCAGTCGGATAGCGTTGTGCGACAACTAAGAACCGGCCGTAAAGTTATCTGGAGTATCCTACGATACGGGAAATCTCATTCCAAATGCGAAAGCCGTGGTTCTCATAGATCAAAGTCGTGGTTTGGGTGATCCATAAAAACTGGCGATGCATGGGCCACACATTAATGAACCAATTAGTTGGGTGGTTTACGCGCCCATAGTGTCTCATGAACCAAAAGAACGTCCGATTCTCTTCATCTTAGGAAAAACCACGGTTTCCGCGAACTATAATTTTCTCGCGAAGGCCGGAGTCTTCTGATCATCTCTATCATAGGAAAAACCACGGAATTCTTTTACTCCAAGCCTATTCGGGGGAGCCTAGACATCGTTGGACTAGGTAGATCCTAGGAAACCCCACGGTTTCCGCGCGCTTTAAGCTCCTACGAACCGAATGATCATCAGACTATCTGTATCATAGGAAAAACCACGGTTTCTGTAAAATTTGGTCTTCTCGCGAACCCGAGGGTCCTTTGATTATCGCTATCACAGGAAAGACCACGGTTTCCACGAGCTCTGATTCTCTTGCGAACCGCGAGATCATACGACAATTTCTGTCGTAAGAAATGTCACAATCCTTTGTAACTCTCGGCGATTCCCTATGAATCAAGCACCCGTCAGACTACCGGTATCTTAAGAAACACCACGATTTTCGTCCACTTTGATATTCTCAGGGTCCAAAAGATCATAGGATGGTAACTATCCTAAGATTTACCACCATTTCCCCAACTTGAATCATTTGCTGAATCAAACAAGAATTGATTTTGTATCTAAGATAATACTTAATTTGTTACAACTACCATATAATTGGTTTGCAATCAATAGTCTACGATTTTCTTCCACGCTGATAATCCCACGAATCAAAAGGATCATGAGATAATACTTGTCCCAAGTTTTACCACGATTTCCGCCCACTGAATGTATATCTCATATACTACTTGATTAGTTAAAATACTGTTTGATCGGCTGTATGCAAGTATTGCGCAACTGAATAAATAGAGTTCTTCTTTTTCCTCACGTTTGGAAAACATAGAAATGAACAAGCTATATGTATTCTTCTCTATTTCATCCTAAGTTCTTCAGAAATAACTTCTACTTCCTTAGCAGCTACCTCTCGGGAAAACCGAATATATGGCTTGAGGCACGCGGCTCCCGGAGAGAGCTGTAAAAAATCATGCTAGTCATCGTTAAACCGGATTTAGGATACCCAAGAAGGAAAACTGACTTTCAGGAGTTGACTGGCAGGCTGTGATCTGGTAGACTCAACAAAATCTATAGCGTTAGATCCCCAGTCAGACACGAGAGAGCCAACTTTTCGCAAGAATGTACTCGGCTCAAGACATTCAATGATTATGTTGCCGACAGACTCAATGTCACTTTGTGAGTCCCTAATATCGTTATTTTGAAGCATGGAGGTTCCTAGATTTCCTAGTTCATTTAGTATTTGATTGACTTCTCTTATCATGACAGCATACCTATCTTGACGGCACCCGTTACTGACAGAAGAATAGAGCTCGATGATATATCTCCATGGGTTATCTTCAGACGTTTGTGAATATGCTCGAGGCCTGCCAAAATCTCCCGTGAAAAGGCCGCCACTTCAAAAAGCTGAAGGCGACCAAGGGGTGAGCTGAAAATTTGACCTAAGGAAACATCCATGATCTCATAGACCAGAAATATGGCGCCCTCGTAATATATTGCCTCTTGTAGTTCAACAAAGTTTTTATGGGGGCTTGTGATCACTCTTGATAGCTCTGATTTGGTGGTTTTCACCTCTTTAATAATAGCCTCCGAGAATGTGTTGTTGTTCGCATGAACAACCCATCCGCGTCCTGCTTGGTTTATCTTGAAGCTCTTTCGATATCGACCCCAAGGGTTGCAAGCTGTCTTTGACAGTGCAGTGAAAGCCCCCTGACGCTGCTTCTGAAGTTTAAGTGCACCCTGTTTGGTTCCTTGGACTGTCGATTCAGGTTCTGCTAGAGGCCGCTTCAAACGGGCGTCGGACCTAGGAAAGACAGAGACCCGATTATGGGAGGCTTTGGGATTGGTACCCTCCTGAGCGGACATTTTTGCTGAAACTTTGTATTAAAAAGGACAAGGGAAATGGTGGGCTTTTATCAGTGACACACGCAATGCTTGAGATTTAAAATCGTGGTTTTGCCCCACTTTCCAGGCGGTACGCTTTAAATAAAGGTCATCACCTTCCAAAGTCCTTTTTCCAACTAAATTTGTTCATCCAAATGGATATTTTCTTAGTTTACCTTTATGTCGTGGCAGCACTATTGTCTTTACTTTTTCTTCAGCAATATTTTCATCCTCGGCCGACTTCCCGTATCCGTCGCATGTACGGCCTAGTTAGGCGACACATAATACTCCCTTATTTGCTCCGAAGGCGAGCACTATGGGGTCCTATGACGAGGCTACAAGCAATGGTGTATTTTATTTACATCGGTGGCACTGTCACATGCAATATACTTGGGGCTACAGAGTTAGATAAAGCTCGGGCTCGTGCTGGATCACTTGCCCTGTTACATCTATCTCTTTTGCCTGTGGTCCCTCGCTTGGCATTTGGTGCCGCCTTTTTTGGAACTTCCATTCATACTTATCACCAGCTCCACAGAGGAATAGGTACTATGGCTATTTTTCAGAGCGTGCTGCACATAATATTGTCTACCCAGATATCCCCATTTGACTTGCGAGAAGTGCACCAGAAGAATGGACTGATTGTGAGCAATCCTGTTATCTTCAAGGGTGGTACTAATCATACATAACTAGGCTATGGTTTCTATTGGGGTATCGACCGTGGCAGTGGTTCCGTTCATCCGTCGTCTTGCTTACGAAGTGTGCATGAAATTGCATCTCTCTATAGGGGTATTTGCCGTGGTGATGGTTTGGATTCATATGAAAGACAGGTATGGCTTAAATGGCAAGCTTTTGATCTCTGCTATTGGCCTACTCATCATCAGCACTATGTTTTATGGCGCTCGCGAGCTGTTTCGCAACATTACGAGAAGTCAAGTTATGACTGTTGCCCAGCGCACGCCCTTGGCAGGTGCTGTGAGGTTAGACTTTACGCCTCCTCGTCCATGGGAAGTTCATGCGGGTGACTACGTCTATCTCAGAGCGCCAGGTGTTCATCCATTATCCTTCGCGGAGTCTCATCCTTTCAATATCATATGGTGGGACCAAGACAAATCTGGTAGGGCAAGCAGGATCCAGCTTATCTCTAGGGTCCACTCTGGATTTACTAAAGACTTATCGGCGATCCCGCACGGCTCACTCAGGGTGCTGGTGGACGGTCCATACGGAAAAGCTCTGAACACAAGATACTGGGACAACTTCCTTTTTGTTGCTACGGATATTGGTATATCGGCTCAAATGCCTTACTTGAAAGAGCTGATTGATTTACAACGTCATCCTCGCCGTCTAAGTAGGGTTTCGATCATCTGGGTTGTTGAGGATGACCGTAGGCTGCTTTTCATCCCAAAATGAGGAAGGCGCTGACAAAAGGAAATCAAGAGCACAGAGATTGGGTAACAGATGAGGTGCAGCACTTGCTAGATGTGGACGCGGCATACATGGTAAGCGGGTATTCCAATCAAATCTACTGAGGACCTAAAACTGATTCAAAAGCTCTTCCACTGGACCACTTATTCCAAGACCAAGATAGATACAACTTACGTTGCACGTCGTGGACGCATGGTATTTGGCAACCCGCATATGAAGACGGTTTTGGAAGAAGAGTTTGGGAAATTCTCTGGCAACGTTCTACTTTCAGGTGAGACCACAGCTACCACATATCTGAATCTATCCTGATGATTTGGAGTATCCGCGAGTTCCGATACAAAAGATGACTGTAGAAGCTTTGCTTTGAGTAAAGGAAAACGTGTCGATTACTTTGAGCACGAGTTTCAACCCCCAAAGCAAACAAGAAACCTCTTTGTACCGGATGACAACATTCCTTTGGTTGCATAATGCTCGGTTATATATCAGAGATATCTCATCTACTCAATGAGAGTACTTGATCTAGACAGATAAATATGCAGGAATCAGAATTGCTAGTTTACACCTCTATCAAACCATCTTCCCTCCCTGTAGTGAACAGTATTCTTCAATAGACTTTTGCCCTCACAGGCTTGATGCTGACACTTAATTTTTGGGACTCAACGCTTATTTTAGAGCGCACACTATTAGTAGAGTAGCCGGTCAGTCCATTTGCTCACTAGTTACTTATAGTGAACGACACTTCCTGCTATGCGCGGGTCACCTAGGTCTGTGAAAATCTCTCAAACTGACCTCTGCATAGCGCCCCGAAGCTAAAAAACAACGCTAGAAACCACCAACGGAGTGGTACATAAACCACGCTTTTATTGCATTTGTCACTGAGCTGTTGGCCTCAGGGCAAGCTTAGCGCCCGCTACGCTTTCGCGCTTTCGGGTGATAAAAACCGTGGCATTTATTCCTTCTTGTATATTGGAAATAACTCTACTTATACCTGCTAGAGATCCACTAGATTTACTTTCACAACATATTCGATTGAATGAAAATGCTGAACCTCCTTGCTCGCGTCTATCGAAAATTTGGGCTGGTGGCAGTACATGTTACTGTCGTTCGCGAGAAGCACGGCTCAATGCGTGTAACTGAGTCAAAATTCCCCTCAGATTCGCCGATAGATGTGCGCACTCCTATTATCTACCTTCGTGGGGATTTTGAAAGCTTACATACGCTTCTAGGTCGATATACACCTCTCTATTCCTTACGAATGCCGCACACAGAGCTTCAGCTGCTTTCCAGATCACAAGGATGCTTGCTAAATCTCAGACTAGTAGGGCTATGTAATAAGAGATACAATTATTCTTTTCGATGAATCCTCATATCGATATACTATGTCAAACCTTACTGAGATCTCGATATAAATGAGATAGCTTAAAGAAACATTCCACCACAGAGCTTATGCCTTTAATTGGCGATATTGCACGTAATTTCGATATAAAAAATTCAATGCAGACTTAAAGGGAAAACGGCTATGTTTATGGCGTACTTCATGGCCAATAAAGAAGGTCTGTTAAGCCAGTCTTGCGAATATCCTGCCATAAATCATGGCCGGACAATATCTCTCCTACGAAAAGGCCGCACGTACAGTAGTAGATGGCAGCACCCGAAAGTCGGCTGAGCGGAGTCCTGATAGTGGGAAGCCGGTGGGATACCGGTGGGAGCCGGATTGCAGATAATTTCCCTTCGGCATCGGCAAAGCACGAGCACTCATACATTCTCAGCTCAGTGGGATGCCGACGGGCAGCGTGAGGCCGTTAGTAATTCTACGAATCAAATCCCTCGAACTCTTATCCCTTTATTATGATTCCTAATCATTGAGATTATGAGATGTATTACTGGGGCAAAAGCCGGGTATAAATATCAAGTAAACTCCTCGATGTTTGACCCATAGACCCATTGCTCTGTGTGAACTATATCACATTTCTGAGATCATGACTCCTTCCATCCTCATCGTCGGCGCCACCGGTAATACCGGCCGAGCTGTCGCCCAAACTTTGCCAAAGTTGCTTCGATCTAGCAGCACTTTGTCTAAGCACCGTATCATTGCTCTCACTCGCTCCTCGGGTAGTTCAGTGGCACAAGAGCTTGGCAAAATAAAGGGAGTCGAAGTGATCGAACAGAACTGGGTTGAGATCACCGCGGACTGGCTCCGCGAACATCAAGTCGCTAGAGCGTTCATTGCATCCCACCCTGAGCCCAATCAATTTGCGGAAGAGTCGACCTTCCATCTCAATGCCCTCAACGCCGGCGTTAAGTATGTCGTGCGGATCTCAACTACGGCTGCAAATGTCCGCCCGGACTGCCCCGCCTACTATCCGCGCCAGCACTGGGCCATCGAGGCTCTCCTCGGCTCACCCGAGTTCGACAACTTGCAGTGGACCTCTCTTCAGCCGAACATCTTCTCACCATTCATTATGTCACCTGCTGCGGAATTCATCAAGAGATACCGCAAAACTGGAGAGCAGGATACACTTCGGTTGGTGCTATCGGAGGATGCACCCATCGGCATTATCGATCCTGACGAGGTTGGTGTTATTTCAGCTTATCTCTTGTCTCAGGACGACACTTCCGCCCATAACAAGGCCAAATACGTTCTAAATGGACCCGAGGACATCACTGGAAGGCAGATTGTCGCAATGGTTGAGCAGCACATTGGTGCACCCGTCAAAGATGTTAGCTACAAAGATGTCTCGTTTATCGACATGCTGTATGAGTACCAGTATGCAGCAACCAAGCAATCGAAGAACGTCATCTATTCAATGACGCGGGCCGCCGAGACCGTGTGGGAAGGGAAATGCTCGACTTCTACTACAAGCAAGGAGGTTCTGAAGCTTGCTGCTCCAAAGCGTACACCTGCTGATACCTTGAAGGCTTTACTTGAGGGCTGAGGAAACCATACGTTGAAAAGTGGTTTAGGGGATGATACAACTTGCTTGTACTGGAAAAATAGGGATCTATCTGACTTATACTGTATAATACTGTATGCTATGCCTTCGCTCATGTTATGCCAGGTTGCGGAGCTAATCGGAGGGCTATATTAGCTCCAGGTCTTGAGCGCGGTTCTCTAGAGTATGTACTATGAGTCACCATACAAGAGAGACTCAACTACAAATAATTCTAACCTGGCATAAAAGCTACGAGATTACCTACAATATTATGTTGCAATTGAATCTACTTTCCGCCGAAGCTTTAACATCAACACATGTTTCACTCGCATTACGATTTTATCTTCTTCCGCCGCGTCTACCGAGCATCCAAGAAATCAACGACACCATATATTTATTATGCTCAAATATCTTATGAACTGACATCTATTCCTTTTTGGCTAGGCACGCCTGCAATTGCATTGTTCATTCTGGTTGAGCTAAATCAAGTGTTATATATCCAAGTCTCTGTCCTTCCAAAGCGTAGACATGATAAGCGAACATCATTTCTTAAATCCATCATAATTCCTCCGAATCATCATTATTGCCTGGCTGCTGCATATTCGGATAGTGCATATTCGTATACTGCATTGGCTGCTGCTGGAATGGGTGCGGCTGCTGGAATGGTTGCGGCTGCTGGAATGGTTGCGGCTGCTGGAACGGGTACTGCTGCATATTCGGTTGCTGCATGTTTGGCTGCTGCATGTTTGGCTGCTGCATGTTTGGCTGCTGCATGTTTGGCTGCTGCATGTTTGGCTGCTGCATGTTTGGCTGCTGCAGGTTTGGCTGTTGCAGGTTTGGCTGCATGTTCAGCTGGTGCATGAATTGCTGCATAAACTGCTGCATAAATTGCTGCATATTAAGAGGTTGCTGTATGTTCATCGGCAGACCATTTTGTGAATTACCATGTCCGAATTGCTGGAATTGCGGCATCTGGGATATGCTGGAACCTGCTTCAATTTGTTGTTGCATAGGAGGGAAGTAGTTGGCATCTCCCGCACTAGGCAAGCCCAATATCCCACGCTGTGACTGGTATCTCTTGGACTTCAACGTCAGGCCAGACAGTCCCGATATAGCATCCTCTAAGCAGACATCAGGATCAAAGCCCATAGCCTCCGCAATCATTCTGTCCGCTTCCCTTGCCGAGAGAACCTTCTTCAGTGATGATCTTGAGAGGCCAACCGGACCCTCAAAGGTCCCGTTATTCCCTTGATAATAGAATCCAACGACGATATATGGACATCTATCGCGTGTAGGGCTTATTTCCCCAACTGCGACCCACTTCAGGCCATGCTCACATCTTTTGCTATTCCGAATGTGGTCACGGAGGTCCCTCACTTCTTCTTCGCCTCTCATGGTGTAAGGAACACCGACAGATTTTGCCCCTTCAATAGCCATTTGGCCTCCAGCTGCTGCACTTGACACAAGACGTACTCTGCCGCTTGCATCCTCGGTCACAAACCGTGCGCCGACCATTCCAAGAGACTGTACCATTTGAATTCTTTCCCCGGTAGAGGTATATCCAGGATTGATCAAACGGCTGACCTTTCGTGGTATCAATGTAATTGTGCGTGTCGGACCTCCTGCAGAGGTATGATGTAGCTGAAGCCCCATTGACTCGGTCGATTGTGGCACCAGCCCCGGCTGAGATCCTGGTGGTACCAATCCTGGCTGAGATGCTTGTGGTGCCGATCCTGGCTGAGATGCTTGTGCTGCCGATACTGACTGAGATGCTTGTGGTGCCGATCCTGGCTGAGATGCTTGTGCTGCCAATACTGACTGAGATGCTTGCGGTGCTGGTCCTCCCTGAGAACCTTCCGCCGAGTTGGTAGCTGTACGAGATAAGTCTGCCCATTCACTTGGGTATCCTTGCGCCTGGCAGAACTGTTCGACAGCTTGCATCATGAGATGCTTCAGTTCTGGTTGAAGAGCGGCTACTCTCCATTGCCCTAACAAGCTGTCATAACGAATAATCCCAAGGTCTGCATCTTTTCCTCCCTCGATGTTCTTCTTTCTCATGTATGCATTCGCATCGTCGAGAGTTTTCACAGAAGCTTTGATGTTCTCCGGGCAAGCTGCGCTCTTGATATCAAGTCTTGGGTCCTCTTGAACTCCGGAGTAAAGGACTCTCAGGGTACCAGTTGCATCGGTATGAAGCTTTCTATGATATGGAGAGAGCTCTCCTTCAACGTGTAGCTCAGCTGCAGCTGCTCCCTGATAGAATTGGTCGTTCTTGTTGATTTCTCCTGGGAAGAGTCGCGCGGACCCTGTTTCGGCCCACTGTACCACTGGTACTCTGTTAAAAAGCGCCGTGGAATAATTTAGTCACTTACATCCAAAAGCCGCATCTGCCTTTTTCTTCATCTCTGGATCTGGATACCTGTCAGGATGAAGAATGAATTTCAGTTCCTTGTACTTGACGCTCGTATTCTGAGGCATCGCGTTTTCCCACGCACGCCTAATTTCGGATGGGTCTTTTTGAGCACTGAGGATCGCCTGGACCAGCTTCACACGGTCCTCATGACTGAAGTCTTTATATCCCATGTCTGTATCCCCGTCAGCATCCTTGTTGTTAACATCCTGAGTAGATGGCCCCGAGGAAGACTCTTCCGAGAGAGAAGGAAGAGCAGGGTACATTGACTCTGAAGCAGGAGAGGGTTGTGCTATCGCAGGAGGTGCAGTCGGTTCGGGCACCACCTGGGCGGGAAGTCCCCCGGCCCTCGCCTCATTGCTTGGCTTCTTTGACATGTTTCTCTCTGTTTTTCTTTTGATGCTGCTTTCTGACTCTGAATAGAAGGAGTAGTAGGAAGGACTGGGCTTCGTCTTAAATAGATGCTGGAGCACGCTTTTTTCGATAACCACGCTTTTTTCGACAACCACGCTTTCGACCTCGAGTAACGGTTTTTGAACGATACCGTACTTGCCATCCTTTATTAAGTTTTACGGCGCGTTTCTATTTTTTGCACAATCACAAATGATCCCCGTAAACTAGAGTCTTATATTTTCATTAGACAGAACTCTCATACGTCTGCCTATTTTCTCAAAATAGAAGAAATCAGTTGGATTTTAGATAATGTGGGCTAGTTGCAAAAGAGTGGGAGCCGGATGATCCAATACTCTGCGTCATCCGCTAATTATAGCTACCAAGCCTTCGACAAAAGGGGGGTTATTTTGCCCATGTTCAATATCAGACACTACTTATTCAACGGTTATTGTAAAAGCCTGCAGCATGCATGATGGGCTTATTTAAGATGGCACAGATATCCACGGGTGTCCTCTGGCAAGACTAGCAATATCTCCTTATCAAAGTGGAAAATGGAAAAATAAAAAAAAATGTGAAAAAGACAGTGATAATACAACAAGTTTGGATCATTAATTTGCAACATTGAACAGAACATGAATTACATATCTTTCTTCGTCAGCAGGTTGGCACAATTTTTCCAGTACATCCAAGCGTCTCTCCACATCCGCCAACAGTCCTCATCAAGTTTCATTTGCTCGTAGGCGGCATCCGATAAAATTTTGGTCCAGTACCTGTTATATACTGGGATCACCTCTAGTAAGACTCCCACATATTTGTAGATTGTGAGGACGATAAGCCTTTGCAAAGGGAGGGAGCCACATTTTGCCATGCATAGATACCAACGAAGGTCTCTCCACAGCCTGTTAGGAAGATGATATACGCCCATATGATAGTGTCTGCGTTTCTGAGACGGCTTTTCCCGCATCAAAAGAACGAAATAAATCGTCATTATCTCATTCAGAGATCCCAGAAGGAACTTCGCCTGCTCTCGGCCCCATGGTGCTTTTGGATCACCAGCGCTATCCCCAACTGTAGATATTCTGGAACCAAGATTCTCGAACAGGTCCCCAGTACTCTTGCTTGCAAGAGACTTCAAGGATAATTTTTCTCCCTGTGGGGAGCCCAGCCCACCAAGAATAGTTCGCCCTGGTAAACTCTGACGTGCTGTATGGAAGTACCTCCGAAGTATAATATAGTCGGCTGGATTCATCTCCCTATCGGAGATTATTGATACAAATCCCTTCAAAGGCGACGGAATTTCTGCCAAACTCGGCTTTCGCGCCTGGAACAGATCCCATGACGGAGGCCCTATGGCGAGATAGACCAGTATGTCCGCCACTGCTTGGAGGTCCTTCTTTGTTGAAAATTGAGAACTATTGACATTTGTAAAGTCCGCAAGAATCACTTGTGGTGTCTGCCATGTGGAGGCTCCCATAGCAAATGAAAATGGACTAAGCTGACCATGTGCAATGTGATGTGAATGCATCCATTCAAGTCGAAATATAAGTTGACTTGCAACTTCTAGCACCAACGGCATGTCAAAGTATCGATTGGATCGGTCGAATATTTCTTCCAAGGAAGGTCCGAGCGCATCGGTAATCATCGTCTTTTGGTTATAAGCTTTTCCAAACCAATAGAGTGTTGGAATTCCAATGCCCCCAGACAGGGTTTGCAAGATTGTGGCCTCGTGATCCAGGGTTGAAGCTATCCTTTCGGTCTTGATAAAGACTTCTTCGAATGTCTCTTTGTGGTAACCTTTAAAATATTAGAATTTTGTTCCTCTTGAAGATAAGTGAGCTTACCTATGCCCACTCCCATGGACTGGAGCCACTGGCTCACACGAAACGGTCCAATATCGTCCATGTCGGGAGACATCGTCAAGGGTTCTTGGATTTGTGTGTCTGGCCCGGCAAGGTCACTTATTATAAGTTTCACGCACCACGACTTTTCAATTGATGTTCTGTGGTTCATCGCCACGGGACTCTGAAATGAATGGACTCATGATAGACCCACCGATAGACTCATGATCGTCGCGCCTCAGGGGAAAAGGCGTCATGCCTAAGGGGAAATGGGCGTAACGCCTTAAGGGTATGGGCGTCACGCTGATATCAAAAATAGCAAGTACGTTTCGGTCGTGTTTCGATGAAGGGGTTGGAGGATATAAAGTGAGGGAGAAGGCTCAATGAGAAATCAAGACTCAAATCAATCGCAATGCCAAAACCGGCTAAAAACACAACTGTCTGGAGAGAGAACAGAAGAAAGCGCGGGTCACAGCCAGACCCTCACAAGAGAATAAGGGCGGATCGCATGCGCTGGTATCGAGCCAAGAGGGCCTCATTCAAGAAAGCAAATGATATTTTTGTTGACGGTTTAGATACTGGCTGTGATCGGCGTGTTTATGTTTTGGTCATGAGCACGAAGCAATCCCAGGTTCGTTACGCAACATACGATTCCCACCCTGAACTGGAATGGATCCCAAATGTTGAAGACGTGGTAAGATCAAATAGCTCCTACCTTGAAGAACCACATTATTCATTTTAATTAGATGAACCACTGGCCTAGACCAGAACTTTGGGACCCATCTAGCTTTGATGACACTCAGCAACAAAAAGAAACAGCAGAAGCCAAAAAAGGTCGAACAAAAAAAGCCATGAGAGTGTCCCGACCACCCATTCTCAAGATCTAAGCCTTGACTATGATTCGGACAATACGCACAGGAACCAGACGCCACGAATCAAATGATGTGCGAAGCTGTTATAGTCACCAATCCTCATATATCAGCACATCTGTGAAGTCGATGCGAATATTGAATACATCAGAGGTGATAGTTTTCCGAAAGGCCATAGCGGAGGTAATAAATGGGAAGAACTTCAATTCCAGCGCACTATACTAGGCTTAGTCCGTAGTTTTGCGTCAATATCACAAGTCGTACCTCCAAAATAATTTGTCGGTCAAGTGGTGTAGGCATGAGCAAGTAAGCGGGATCACAGTTAAGTGATAACTGTCTTATCCAACAGTCGACCTCCCAAAAGTCTAGCTTATTCGAAGCACACCCAAGTCCAAAATCCTTGCGGAGCTCAGCTATTTTGTTCCGGACTGCCGTCATGGATCTCTCAAAGCTGCGGTACCGGAGGAGTTGGGATATAGTTGAGTGAGTGAGCCCGACAGATGCGAACCAGACTACAAGAGCCTTTTCCTCCTCGGTCCAGGAATAACCAGTCATTAGATTTCAGAGGGTGGGGATATTGGCAGTGACCTTGAACTCTGGGAAACCACGCTGTATGTAGGTACTGTTAGATCGCGGTCACATGATGCTATCGTTATGCGCCTACGCCGTCGCACTAATTTAAGAGGGCAAAAGTCCCAAGGGCTAGGTTTCTGGCTTGCATCTACCCTTGTAGGAGCTTTGGTACCTTTCTGTTTTCGCTACTAGCGTCATATGCAGAGCCGCTAGTATGAGGGGGTAAATCAACGCTACCACCGAAAGAGAGTTGCCGCGAATGATTGTGTTGGTGATGGCTGGTATGCTCCACAAATCCGGTTCATCACCTCAGCTGTGATGCGCGCGACAGATTGCCGACCGTCTCGGGCGAGGCCCAGCTATCTTCCGTTGTTGGTGGCGTTAAAGGCTCTTGATCCCTTCCTTTTTACAGCGCTAGCGCCAAGCTCATAATGAGTCCAGTATGTTATAAACAGGATAGACCCAGGGCCAGAGCAGGTCTGCTAACCAGAAAAAAAAGCTACTTTCCTTTCAAATTGCACGATGAAACCACCTCGCTGGTCAGCTTCTGAAGCGAGCCTTTTGATCTCATTGCGAACTCAGTTCCCACATCATACTTGGGAGGAACTGACGTCCTTATTTAATTCCTATCTTCCTTTTCAGCGACAAAGGTCTTCTGATGGGCTAAAAAAGAAATGGAAGAAAATCGAGCCAATATATGTACCATACCATTCCTCCCTTCATTGATCACCCGGCCTTTCCCCCTCCCTAGTTGCCCAGCTGCTTGCTAACGTAATACACAGTCCCTTGCACGTGAATATGGAGCCGGAGAAACCCTCAATCATGTTACGCCCGAGGTACAGAGCGCAATTTTCTTCTATGTTCATACTATTTCTGGTTTCTTCTTTCTTCTTTCTTCTTTCTTGCTCTCAGAATTCATTAACTAATCAAGTCATACAGGGAACCGCTCTTATAGACACGCTATAATTTCTTTCTTTTTTTTTCTTTCTTTTTTTTTGGGGGGGGGGGGGTGAGAAATTCTGCAGGGTGCCCAATCTTGATTTAATATGGATGAGGATTCCTATTGGTTTGGTTTGATTGTAAGGTTGAGAAATACATTCTGTTCTATTTCTCTCCGAAGTCCTAGCGTAACTCGTGGTGTGAGATTCAAAGTCGTGGTGCGAGAAAGTCGTGGTAGGAAAACAAATAAAGGTACAGTTTCTGCCCGCTATAAAAAGTTCCTGGTATTTTACACAACCTCATATCTTTTTCAATCATGGCAAGATGCGATCATTCTGCATGGCTTGAGTTTTGGCAAAGTGAGGCAGGGCCTTTAATAAACCATGGCTGGAGACTTCCACAGATTACGAAGAGCTTGCCAAGCCCCTCAGAGCAAACACCCCAGATCACTTTCTTTTTAGGTCGCCACCTTAAAGAGAAAGCACTTCGTTCCCTTTGTGAGAGTAACTACAAAGGGCCACGACGGAGACATGCCGTGAATATCAGGACTGATAATCGCACACTGCATGCTTTGCATCCCCGGCTTTTCGCTGACTGTGACCCAACATGGCAAGCCCTACAGCCAATTACAGAGGGGACAAGGAGCTGCCATGAAGACCATGTCTTGTCAATGGGCCAGTTGCCTCCGGATTGCTCGACGCATGACGTTATTATGAGCCGGTTACTGTTCATGTTTGTAGACGTGATTTGTATTTTTGCAGATGATGTCGGGGGGCTCAATGCCGTGCATGCTATATTATCAAAGTGGGTGCACGTTGGATCTGCATCTTCCCTTCCACTCGCCATACGACCAAGGGTCATCATTGTTGTCAGCAACACAGCCCACAGCGTGACTCACGATATACTTGACGAGACGGACTTCTTTTTTGAATTCAACTCTGCTCATCCAGATTTACTTCAAGTATTCTCGGATGTCCGCCTCTGCCGTCTACCGTCAGACGAGCTATCTTCCGAAGCTCGATTTCTTTCACTTGGCGCTGATATTTCAAAGCAGCTACACGACACACGCTTTACCCGTATAAAAAACGGAGTAATGTTCTCTGCCACTCATCTAAGCGACCTATTTAAGTTGGCCACAAAACATGTCTGCCTTTCCCCTGCTGACCAATTTGATTTCGTTACTGCTACAAGGCAGCAAAACCCTCTCGATGGAGCTTTCGGTTCTCATCTTATAGACTTTCTCAGATTGAGTGGAAAGGCCACGCTGCCATATGAAGGCATAACATCCCACATTGCTTCAGCTATCCTTATGGATGCCTATCCACCAGGGATGCATTGTCTGTGCCGCCTCCTTATGTAATTTTGCCCACTTACTAACAACACGACAGTTTTCTCTCCTCAGGCACTATTTGAAAAGCTTTACTACGAGATCTGCTACCTAGCACACCGAGAAGTATATATTACAGAGGAGCTCGCGAAATTTCAATGCGAACGAATTGGGAAACGGGTCGAAACTCTTTTTAAATGCATGAGGCTCGAATCTACTCAGTCCGCCCAAGTCCATGATGACAATTTGAGACCTCACAATAGGTATTGGGGATGGTTGAAATCCAATAAGACCTGTTTCGTGTGCATCAGACGAAGTCCGGAGCATGTGCTTCCTTGCGGTCACTCCATCTGTGATATCTGTGCCATGACATTCGGAGATATCACTTTGTTGGCAGAGGATGAGTATCTTATTCCACGCTGTATTCTCTGTGGGGCCACTAAGCCGTTAACGGTTCGCATAAAGCCAGCCACATGCGCTGCTCGGGTTTTGAGCATTGATGGAGGTGGACCGCGTGGTGTTATCCCACTTGGGAACCTTGAGATCCTGCAGGAACTCTTGGGTTCCGATTTACCCCTTTGTGACATGATTGATCTTGTAGTGGGTTGCAGTTCTGGTGGGCTCATAGCACTCTCAAAGTTTATGCTTCGCATGGACATCACATCTTGCAATGCCCTCTTTCAAGATTTGGTTAAAAAGGTGCTTTCGCCAGCAAGAAAGAAACGATTGCTTCGATCATGGCTATCAGATGGTTTGTATGATGTCAAGGCTCTTGAAGATGCTTTACAGGATCATTATGGCGCGACAAGGCGCATGTTTGATACACCACAGGCTTGTATATCGGCTGGGAAGGTCGCTGTATCCGCAAGCGACATCAAGATGGGGGCTCCGTTCATATTCACCAACTACAACGGGGCAGCGCCTCATAGGGCTCAATCAGGTTTGATTTCTGGTTATACTATCCGAGCTTATTTTGTTCTGACATATCGATAGCTTATGGGAGGCTTCGGCCTGACAGTGCAAGCGAACCGCGTGTTTGGCAAGTGTAAGTAAACAATCTCCCAATGCTGCAATTGCCGCTAAACTGATTCCAGAGCTCGTGCTACTGCTGCTGTTCCATGGTAAGTAGATTCTAATGTTGGTTTAATGACACTATGTTAACATGCCATAGCTTGTTTCCTACTATTGAAATTGACGGGGTTGGATCCTTCCAAGACGGCGGTATGAGAAGACATAACAATCCAATCAACCTCGCTCTCTCAGAGGCAAAGCATCTGTGGCCGAATTGCCCCAATCCCGATGTTTTCATTTCCCTTGGGACAGGATCTGAAACTGAAAGCCTCTCTCCGACGGTCCCGCGGTTCCGCAACGTACTTCTGGACGGGTGGCTTCCACGTATCTATCGGTCCGTCTCTTCGTCTTTCGAGGGCCAAAATAACTGGAAGGAATTTCTGGGGGTGGTCGATGATACCCATCGAGAGAATTACTTTCGCTTTGACTTGTCTATCCCCGGTGGATTACCTAGACTGGACGATACCGAATGTATGGATAGGCTGTCAAAGCTTGTCCGCGCTAATCCATTAGGTGACCGAACACAGAGAGATGCGGTCATCTCGTTACTTGCCACGTCTTTCTTCTTTCGCCTTGATGCCAAGCCGGAGTATTTTTCTGGTCTAATACAATGTGTTGGTTCAATTCGCTGTCGAGCTCCAGCGCGGCATGTCATTGGATGTCTGGACAAGCTTGATTCTACCGCTAAGGAATTCTATAAAGATGGAATAAATTTGGGTCTTCAATTAACGACTGAGGATATTTGCCAGCATTGCGATCGATACTTCCGACCAGTGCGATTCGTCGTCCGGGACGTGAAGGACACTTTCACGCTATCACTTCGGTTTGGTGGCCAGCCACACCGACTCAGTGCCTTCCCAAACAAGGTACAATGGTTCACAGAACAACAAGGACTGGAATGGAGTTTTGGATCCCTTGATCATAAGTTAAACTCTCGTGGAGGTTGTCCTATCTGTGAAGGGCAGCAAGCCGGGAGGCCCAGGAAAAGGAAGTATGCAGATATCTGATTTACTTCTTGTTCTGCCCAAGTGCAACTAGACATCGCGATAGTGTTGCGTTATAGTCCTCCAGTGTCTGTCTCAGATATTCAATCTTTTTCTTCAATTCATCGATAGTTCTTTGGTTCTCCACATGCGCTTTTCGTAAATTTTGGAGCTCACAAGCTGGATTTATGGAGTCCATAGCTGTAAAAGAAATCAGAATCTATAAGAAGGAATTGGACCACGAGATGCAAACCTTCGGCAATCCGCGGATGTCTCGTAATCTTTGAGGGGAACGATTTTCTCTCCAGGAAGGTGTACAGAAGGGTTCTGGAAACCTTGTGGACTCATGGAAGCGTTTCGTCTTTAAAAGTGGTGAGATGTGATACACACCTGCATGTGACAGACAGGGATGTACAAAGGGCTCATGTTGGGAGCATGTTGGACTCAGGAAGGAGCCGCTGTAGAGACCACGGTCTTCGCGGCACGGCCGCTTGGGAATCGTGGCTCAACAAGATTTAAAAGGTGGAAACTCTGCAATAATCCGATTCACAACGCTTCTTCTGTTCACTAGGTCAACCATGGGAAGCTTCAGCGACGAACAATTTGAGCGCCTCTTGGCAGGCCTGGATCAGAATACTGACAGCGAGCCGTTTGAAAATTTTCTTGGCAACCTGGAGGACATGCCAGATATTGCGGCATTCAGTTCCTTTTGCGACCCAACCCTCGTCCCGATGATGTGTGACCTCCCGGAAAGCCTTCTTTCCTTCCCCCCGCTCCCACCAATTGAAGAGGAAGTATCTTCTCCAAATACGCCACCTGTCCAACCATCGGATGAATCACCCTCAGCCCATTCTATTCCGACATCTGCGCCCGAGATAAATGAGGCGTTGGAGACAGCCCACTGGGCAAAATTCTTAGTCGAGTCGCAGCGGTCGCAGCTAGAAGCCATGAAGGTGGAGTGAGTCAGGCATGCCCCATCGTCGTTTTCCACTTTTCTAACAACAACTTAGATTAGATAAGTTAAAAGCGTGAGCGTTCTGTATCATGATCGCTATACATGTTGCTGATCATGGAATCTTATAGTACCTTTGAACAAATCCGCAAATACCAAGTCGAAAGTCTGAACCCCTGGGTCTTAGAAGTCCACAATGCACTTCAGGCTCTCGGCTACCTGAAGGATGAGCCTCCGGCCTCCGCAACCGATGGCGAGTTTGACATAAGCATCATCGATTTCCCGTAATCGCACCAATAAAACGATTATCTATGTTTTCTCCATTTCTGGTGCTGTTTTTGACTTCTTGGTTGCTTTCTGTCTCGGATTTCTTTGTCTTCGGCTCCACTACTTGTGATCTACTTGCTTGTATTTTCTTTGTTTGGGATTTATCTCTTTGTCTGGATGTGGAGCTTCCAAAGCAAGTTTTCAACCAATAGTCTTGAAATATGATAAGCTCACATCCCCGGAAGCTTGATTCCCAATTCTCACCCCACAGCACAATCCGTAAACGCCAGGCAACGACTGGTTTTGGAGGCTTAGCAAGCGCCGTTATAATGCGTCACAAAGAATTGAGTGGTTGTCGCCGCCCCGTGCTATGGACAGACTTGCGGCTCGGCTCCTGCGCATCAGTGCTATGGGCAGACTTGCTGCTCAGCTCCTGCGCATCAGTGCAGCGCAATTCGGAGCGCCCGTCCTATGAGATTGATAAAAAGCCCTCCAATCTGCCTGCTTTTTATTCACTACACGAAAACACAACATATACTACTTAATGACGGGCATTCCGTGGACGGACGAGGAGACAGCGGTGCTTCTTGTTTTTTCGATGTGGGGGTACAAGCACGAGGCAATCGCAGAGATCTTGACTAATCGACGAGCGGAGATCCGGGGGATACTCCACACAAATATGCCACCCTCATACACGCGGACAGTTTCCGCCATTCGCAATAAGCTGAACGAGCTCCGAACCCAAAACCCTCGCCTTTGGCTGAAAGAAGAGGGATGGAATCGAGCCGCTATTACAGAATACCTCTATGATTCCATGGCCGACCTCGCCCATGTGAACCGACTCTTGAACTTGAATGCCGCTGATATCAACATTATTACACGGGTGCGTATCCTGAGCAGCCTTGTCAACATGAGGAATTTGAGATACTAACCTGCTGGGTCCGAAGTACGATATGTAATTCTGGTTGGAAGATGTTTCTGAGGGCGCCGTTTCAACAAGGCCAATCTAGACACGGTACTGAACATACTGATTTAGAATGGGATAGCTGTGTTTACCAATATGGCAGGGGGTGACTGTTACTGGCAAAGTTGAAATGGGTTCAAAATTTGTGCACTTTCAGATGTGACGTCGGATCGAAACCCTCTTTGTAAACCAAGATTTGAAGTACCATTCATATCTTTGATACTTGCTCCTTCACTTCGGTTGTATATTCCAATGGCAGATATGTCGTACGTCAGTTTATCGGTATTCCACTTTCGGTCTCATAAAATCATTCAAACATCTAAACTGAATGCTGCGAGAGCAGTCCTCGGATTATTAAGATATGGTCAAACTCCTCTATAGGTAAATCCTTTCTAGTCCAAGGAGACTGCACCGTCCGCTGCGAAAAGTTGATAATCTCAGCTATCCTACACTGAGCATAATGGTATGAAGGACGCATGCCTGATTGCAAAATTGAGGCTAATAACAAAAATGGGAAAGAACCAAGTACTCTGGGGGCGCGACTGCAAGCAGACCTCCGGAGTTCTCTAACTTTCAGCTAGCGCTCGAATAAAACGCTGAGACAAAGGTACCAACCACATTTCTGTCCTTTTATAATCCTGTTTCCACCGGCTGTGGCCGTAATGACTAGTGGAACTCTTTTCAATTTTTTTGTTTTATTTTTTATTTTTTATTTTTTTCTCTCGCTCGCTGTATGCTTTTGTTCTCGACTTAAACTTAGATAAAGGGAGATTGCGCCCAGACGCTAAGGGAAAAAGGTACAGAGAGCCATCATGAAAATCTCAGCCGCAATCACAGTGTGCCCTGGGAATCCAGCCGGACCGAGAAGGGAGCTATGCCGCTGAAAGGTCTGTGCGGCTGTTTCCTTAAATGGTAAGATCAGCGGTGGATAATGGTCTTGCTTGTAAACAAGCTGGCTTGTGTTCTCTCTTCGCCCTAGTGGTACCTTTGTTTAGGTGATTTTTGCTATTTTAGATCGATGATGGAGTCGAGGATTACGAGGCGCAGTGTCCATTCGATTGATGGAAGAAGTCTAGAGACTATACTTTCCGGTCGGTTTATCGGCTAGAGGGTTGTGTGGATCGGTCCATGGCACTCCGCTTTGCCGCATTTACAATTCACCGAGATTGCTCTGTTTCTACCCATCTCAGTCGATTTAAGGGGCTGACAAGTCGCTAGAGGAGCAGAGTCATTGTCATTGCATTGTTGTACCAGGCCGATTATTTACCAATGCCTTACACAGATCCCTCCATCTATTGTCCTTTGTGCAAATGTGATCTGGATGCGGCTCAAACGTGGCATTACCTGCTTGAAGAAGGGACGGAGGAGGATGACACTAGAACGGGACAACCAATACACCGTCATTTCATGGAGATGATTCGCTTGACCGAAGAGGAGCGATCGCAAGAGACTACTGTGCACGACTACTGTTGGCAGATCGTCGAGCGCATCTTCTGGCAAGTCCATTTCGACCAAGCTTGGATTGATCAATTTAAGAGCTACAGTCATCTCCTCTCTCCTTTCATGGAAGAAGCTCCGTTCGACGAAGAATTCCATTTCCTCGATCTAGACGTTTTTATGGCGTTCAAGTCAGCCTGTCGTAAGGACAGAGCGCAACGTCCGCTCTGCATACCTTTGCCCCCCGAGACCATTCAGCGAATCTATCGCTTCCTCGACCGAGAAGAGGATGTTGTCAACCTTGACGGAGTCTTGTCCGTTGGGCCCTGTCCGAAACAGTGGAGGGAGCTTGGGTTTAAATATATGTTGGCAGACGATCTCGACCCAAGAGAGAACATCAGAACCCTTTTTCGCAACCTGCAACAGCAGCCACGAAATCGATTCCCCAAGACCACTAATTATCGAATTATTTGGGCCAATGTTGAGATTCTGTGGAGTGTTATGAATACCCCGTTGTTGTTGGCAAATGTGCCAGCAAGTGCCTCAGTGCTGCATGGTATAAAACTCGATGACCACCACAATTCTACACGGTACACAATTGGGCTTCACGGGGCTCATTACTTCGTCTTCATGTTCAGAGAGTCTCAGGACATCCAAGTTCTTTGTGGAATAGCTATCAATGGCCGACTGGTTGGTTATGAGGGCCCCATATGGCAGTCTGTCCAAGTGACGTCCTTGGCAGGGCTCGAGATTGCGAGTGTGGAGAACGGTCTTGTTGGCATTCGCATCAAGGATACACTCAGCTGGCAGGATAAGTGGCACGGTCATTGTCCAGAAAATAGCGCCCGCGTTACATTTGAATGGGATCCCAGAAGCACTGAAATTGTGGCATCATATGATGTAGGTTTTTTTACTTTTCCCAACCATGCGGTGGAATAAATTCACTAACGTGTATCAGGATCATAAAATTACAGAACTTGGATATCGATATTCTCCTGAGAAGACATGCAGTGCCGTGGGAGGCTCGGGCGACCTGGAGACGGAGCAGGCGCAGCCCATAGCATCATGAGAGCCGTAGCCGTTTTGGTCCTTCAGAAACTGAGATAAGCTCTCGTATACGACATCGACAATGAGAACACAATCTTCTTCCACCGGGAGCGCGAGAAAGCCTTGGCTGTGTTCCGGTCGCATGGAGAGATCAACGGCGACAGTGAGTGGCGCAATATGTTGTGGGATGACCTAGGTAGCCGTTGGATTGTCATTGACTTGGAAGACCTGAACCGGTTGAAGCGCTCTCGTGTCCTTGAACCAACGTCTGGTAATGCACGGTATGGTCATCTCGCAAGGTGAGAATATCCCTTCTATGCTAGTAATATTTCCTAGTTTATCAATTTTCCTGCTTCTACAACCCGATGTTTTTTGGTGATTTTGGATACAGAAGCAGCTTTGAGCACCTGATATGTATTAGCTACCGAAAGGCACGCTTAGGAGTGTTCGGCACTTACCAACTTCACGTCGCTCGAATTGTTCCTCCATCTTTCGAACCCGAAGAATCTCATAGATGATCTCGACATCGCTTGGGTGCTCCAAGTTCCCCTTGTTATTTCTAGCAACTTCCTTCAACTTGTCAGCAGTAATTTCATGGCCACCGAGCTTGCGGATAATGTGAAGTAGCAATTGGATGCGGTCTATTCGGATAAGGTATTAGCGTATGTATCACCGTACATTTAGTTCCATTACGTGGTCCCGAACTCTAATAGATCACTGGTGGAGTCACCAACGGCGCCTACAGGTGACACGATATTGGCTGAGAACTTTCTTAAACCTTTATTCAAGACGAAATGGTATGATAGGTCGTTATTTGCACAACGCTAGAGTATTTGCAATAACCTCAGTGATGTAGCACTTCCTCGTCTCAAAAGTCAATTTTGCGTTTATAAAGGAGAATCTTTCAACGAATACATATCCTTGATTGACTGGAATATATTTAGCGTGATTAACGGCAAATAAAACTGTTCACAGATGCGGAGTAGTCTCATGCTCTAACAAGGACTATCCTATGAAGGGTACAGAAGCCATAGCGTGAAGACGATACTTTGTTACTCTGTGACCTACGGTCAGGAGTACCACTTATGGCGCGCGCTTTTGTTTGGCTATTCCAGGCTCCTTGCATACAAGATCCAGCCGCATTACTTCATGAGATTATGTGTCCTAAACATAGCCAACGGGATAGTTCTTTGCTCTTTGCGCATTCCAACAGCATATCAGTGCGAGTGTATTGGTCTGCTGGCAGTCCGGCTCATTGTGCTAAGCTTTCTGCCTTGTGGTGCGGGGCGTTTTCGGTATTTCCCCTTCGGGTAAATCTGACTGTGTTTAAGTTTGCGCAATCAGTCGGCGAAGACAAACTGCAGGCGGGCATATGAAGCCGGTACGGGTCTTCTTCCTGTTGGCCATGTTTCGGATGCGCAGTAGCATTGTATAGTTGGATCAGCTTGTCTCACTTAAGCTTCTGACTGGACACAGTGACGCTTCCGAAGGAGTAGCCCATTGTCAATTACAGCCTTCCCATAATGTCGCATCCTAATTTTTAGCTATTCTCATGGTCCGCTGGATTTATTTAACAATTAACTTCGACGAGCAGCATAGGGCGTTGTCATCGCTATGCAAGGCGTGGGATTACTCTCGGAAGCCACAGTTGATCGGGACGTCTGACGAAAGCATTTCCTGAGGCCCAGATCGTACTAATCAAGGCCAAGAGTGGGGCGAGGTCCACTGTGCAAGCGCAGGCAAGCTTCACGGGCAGATTGCGTACGGCCGGGCTGGATCCGGGAAAGATTTGCTTCTAAATTGTACAAAATACATTGGAGCCATGGCAGACGTCAGGCACTTTCCGTCGGCCTGGCCATTGTGGATCAACCGCTAGTCCTTGCAGTTCTACTTACCCTAGAAGCTGCGACTCGATAACCCAACAGCGCCAAAGCGAAAGCCTCAGTTGGTCGACAGTGTCTCACCCCGGTCACTGTGGGCCCGTCTAGTAGCATCAATCACGGAGCAAGCCCCAAACTTGCGGAGGGGACAGGCGAGAGATAACCAGACTTCAGGGCTGATATCCGCTTATGTACCATTCACTTCAACCCTAATTTAGCTTACATTTGTCATTATATTGCGCCTCTGGGTTTTCGCCCTCAGTCAGTGAACTCAGCAAGCCTAGTAGCACATAATGTTTGTGCTGAGCTAGAAAGGCAATCGGACGGCCTAATCTGATTCGATGTTCTATTTCTGTCAATTGTGTAATCTAATCGTCATTGACCTAGCCACTGTCAATTTGTCACTATGCCCGGGCATTATATAAAGCGATAGAGATAACAGCTTTGGAAAGCTGGCATTGATTCTGTCACACGATTTTCATTCTCCGAGGATATACCTGTCCTCATATCTGGCTCCCTCACTTTGGGAGAGGGCGTAGCTGGTAGGTCCACCTTTTTCCTCATGCATATATCTACTCTCTCGGTTAGTAGTGAATGTAGCCTCGGAAATATGATTCTAGGGCTACCCTCCAGATCAATTCGTCTAGACTATAACAGGTCTTACGCGCCACCGTGTACACGTCTGGCTTACACAGTTGTTAGATCTGAAATGTTCCTTAAAAAGGCGGTCAAGGGGTGGATGGGACGGGAAACCAAACCAACCCCCCATGTGGAAGACGAAGCATTATGCCGCAACTCTCATATTGATGGGCTACTAAGACTCCAAAAGAAAGTTGCGAGGAAGACTACCAATGTTCTTTTACTTGGTGCGTACACGGGCTAGACCAATTTATGGGATGGATTGCTTACCTAAGACGAGCCTTAGGGCCTGACAATTCCGGCAAAACGGCAATTATCGAGCAATCGCGAATGATCTCCTTAGATGGACGGCAGAGCATTCTTCCCCGCCAATGCCAAACAAATGGAGTCACCGAGATCTCCTTTACACTGAGCAATACCGATTGGCGCATGGTGGATCTAGGTGATCAATGTATCGAAAGGAAGAAGTGGATGCATTGCTTTGAAGACGTGGATTTCCTCATGTTCGTGGTCGCACTGTCTAGTTATGACCAGTATCTAGCTGAGGATCACAGTGTGGTTCGTTTAATGTTGAACGCTCTGTTTGATAATGATTTCTGATGCGAAAACAGAACCAGATGCGGGCAGCAATGAGGCTCTTCGACTCCTTCGCCAACAGCGACTGCTTTAAGAATAAGCCTATTCTCCTCGTCCTGGACAAACTGGATATTTTCGAGGAGAAGCTTCTTTATTCACCTATCTCTGGACACTTTACAGAGTTCAATGGCTCAGACACTACCTTGTGTGCTGCGACGGGGTATTTTGGCTGCCTTTTCCAGCAGATCAATAGAACACAGGACCGTGAAATTGGCATTCACTATACGAATACTACTGACACTATATCGATAAAGTCGATGATGGCTATAATAGCTCAAATGACCATGCGGCAGAAAATGAGGCGGCGCGGTCTGTATTGAAACAAAATAGATTGTATGGAACTGCGTTTGACGCGTTACATCTTCGAGCACAGGCAATTCTGCAATTTCACGTTCTGAATTGGCAGTGACTGTCTGCTTACCAACAAATACAATCCCCTTGTATATATTTGCTTGTGGTATTGTCACCCTAGAGCTGCAATAGTAAATTGGCACCTACAATACTCTGCCTTTTCCACGTTTTGTATTATACCATTGGCCTTGTGACGGATCTTTTAATACGAGGTTAACCAATCACGGCTTAGAAACTCATGTGACTAGGGTTTGAAAAAGCTCCTCTGCGTTGTCCGACATGGACGGCTTCTAGTGGTGTCCGGTGTTAATCCCCGTTGGGGAGACCAAGGTGAATCCGCCGCACTCGGGCCCGGTACTGGTCTTGCATTACCAGTGGAAGTGGTGTCGCCTCCATCATAGATGAACAAAAATTGGGACAGGAGAAGAAAGGAGTGGAAGAATTAGAAAAGCGCAAAGGGCTGGTCGTTCCAAATGGCACGTGATGGTATGCCTTCGATTGTACCGTGCAGTTCGGTGCTGCGACTGATACGGGGTCTTTTTTGGACATTCAGGCAATTTTGTCTTAGAGAAGTTAGACGATGCTATGAGCTCTCTGTATCGCAATTCCTACATCCCCACAAGTATATTCATTTGCTTTCTAAAAGACATGCCAAATCCCTATTAAAGACATAACAAAAACACACCCAACACATAAACAGCGCAAAGGATATACCAAATCGAAATAAAGCACCAATGAGGCTAAAAATAGCATCACTAGGCTCTAGTCCTTTCAATCAAACGCTGTGAGCGTCGACGTATCGACGGAGCGTCTTCAACAGTCACATCCGGCTTGATACTCTCGCTGACTTGCATGGCAACATAATGTTCCTCTTGATCTCTCTTTTGATTTGTTTCTAATAGTTGTTAACAGGAAACCTGTTATGTGACTTTGGCTTCAGCTTACCGACTTGGGGATCATCTGGGACTTCAGTCTCCATGCCGTAATACCCCTGCATATCAAAAATATCGGTAAGGACTAAAGCACTTTCATCGAGGCAGGGATAGCTTGTAGGTAATTGCCCGAAGGCCTGAAGGCTTTCTAGTTCCCCGTAGGCGAGTATATTGCCCGATGTTGTCATGGAGGGTGAATTAATAGCTGGACTCATGTCAAGCGGAAAGAGAAAGCACTCGTCGGTGCAATCGGAGAATTGGGGCATTTTGATTGCTGTACTGTCGGAGTAAAAGCCAGATTGACCTATTCCAGGTTTTTCCGGACCCGTTGAGGGAGATGTAGCACAGAACCCTGGTGTCGTGATGCCCTCGATGTCGATACTGGTATCAAGCGGGCACAAATTGACCGGTTCAAACCCTTGTGTGTTGCAAGTTTGGATATTACCTGGCGCGAGAATAAGTTCTCGATCGAAAATGTTCTCCTGAGGACCAAGAATCTCCATGTTGAGGTCGCTCTCCCCATCATGACCAAGGCTCTCATCAAAAATGGCTATACCATTGGAGGCTAAGCATGACGCAGCATGACCATCGTAAAGCGTGAACAAGTCCACTTTACTGGTATCATGCCAGCGATCATAGCTATAGACCTGGTCATCATGATGGCCCTCGTTGGCACTCACAATGGGATTGAAGGCCAAGCTCCATGGAGCGGAATCATGGGTCAGGTCCATGTAGTCGTCCGTCCACAATGCATAACACGCCGGACAAACCGACGCTCCATTTTTCAGAGTCATTGATGTTCGAGAAAGCATGATGGACCGAGATACGCAGAGTAGAAGTCTTGAATGTATAATATTTATGGACTGGATGAATTCTTGGTTCAAGACGGTGTGCATGGCTTGGATTTATATGCTTCCTGTTATTGTTCACGCCGTATTTAACAAGACAATTAGGCTGACAACCTCTGTTGGCTATCAGCCTCGAGGGTCACAAGATTCGGTCTTGCGCATAGTGCTTTTTTCCTTGGGGTCCTGCCTTCCAATTGATTCTTTGATGACGACACGTAAGTCTTCTTGATTGGAAAATAGCGCACAGCTCTGTTGCTATTCCAGGTAACCGCAGCTTTATGCATTAGCTGTGCATTATCCTGTCCCTACTAGGTAAACTGAGAGCCAGTCGCTGAAGAACCAAGGCAAGAGGGGAAACACTTAGATTGAGCAACTACACATACTGCGCCTCCATCTGAGCCTTCATACACGCTATACGTGCTGTACTCGTCCTAAGAGCCATACAGTCAAGTTTCTTGAATCAAACAGGTCCAGTATTCCTTATCTGAGTCTACGTATTGCCCGCCATAGCGATATATTCCGCGTCGCGGTAAATTCTTCCCGCTTTGTTCACAGCATTGAGATCTGTTCGTGTGTCTTTCAAAATGAGCCTCACGATAGGTAGATCACCGGAGCAAGCTGCCGCTGATAATGCAGTTTCGTTGTCTTTGTTTCTTTGACAGTTGATATCCAATCGTTCCTGCTGTAGTAGGACTTCTACCATCTTGGTTCTACCATATTTTGTGGCGAGCCAAAGAGGAGAGCACTCGTCAGAACCTTCTGCATTGACACGAATATCATGTCTTTTAAGCAGTAGCTCGACCATATCAACATTGCCATCGCGTGCCGCGTGTTCTAGGGGTGTCCAACGGAAAGACCCAAGGATGTTTGGGTCTAGCTCTAGCTGTTTAATAAGCTGTTTTACAAGCATATAATTTCCTCTTTCTACAGCATGATAGAGAGCCGTTATATATAGACCGCTCTTCTGGCCGGTAGCATTAAGGTCCACGCCTTTTCTAGCTAGCAGTCGGCTAGCCACCAGAGAGGTGTATTCCCGCGATTGTCTTAGCAGTTGATATCGAGAATTGAGCGCGTACACCTAAAAACATGGAGGTTCATTTTTTTAGGTCTGAACCCCACTTATTACCCTCCAGCTCGGCCAATCAGGAGCCACAAATCCATGTTTATAGGGTATAAACATGTCGTGAATAGAGTTAACGTTAGTAAAAATAATAGGTTACTATAATTGACTAGTATAATATATATATCGTACGGTAATGAATTAGGTCGAATTCGAAGAATGTCGAATGCTAAGTCTAGGGTGTAATAGTATAAAATTGAATAAGATGACAGCTAGGGGATCGTATAAACCCCCTAAATTATTTACTACCCCCCAATCCTTATACACTAAGATAATCGAGGTGATTCAATTGGTCTATAACCCTAGTTAAGGTGTCGTGATGGTTTTTCGGCGGAAAAAAACCCCGGTCGCAACCCTAACTGGCCTAGTTCCCGCACCCTATCAAAATATCTCTAATTTTCAATCGCCTTTTTCTCGATAACTACTAGGCTGCGTATACTCCGAAGCAAATAGGGGATATCTTAGATAGTCTATTATAACTCAGCAAATTTTCAGCTTAATCTAAGCCCTCTGTAAATGCCCAGTCTAACGAGGAAATTAATTCCCAGTCTAGCGGGGCCCACTTTTTTGTCCCATAGTGAAGCGGAAACCCTAATTCCCAGTCTAATAGACTGGGCCACCCCCCGTGGGATAGGAAAACCCTCAGCTGCAGTCTGCCCTGACTGCTTCCTCCCCCCGGGGGGATAGGGGCACCGATCGCGAAACGCCTTGGGTGAGGGGTCCCTGCGGCATCGATGCCATTATATGGTCTAGGCGTGATGTCGATGGCACCAATTTCGTATTGACCAATTTGGAGGGATCGGCATTGCTTTTTCTTGATGGAGATGGCTGAGTAGTATATCTTTTCTGGAGTTATTTGCCAGGGTTGGCCCAACGACAGATTGTCGCTGCGGTATGAGATCACAGCACAGCGGTTCAATCTTTACCATATACTTTCCGATCGGGAACCCGTGCCTCTCACTGCTCTCTTAGTCTTGATTCTTAATAAGCTCTTCATGACTTTAACCTAGAGATTAATAAAACATCTGCGCTGGTAGTTAGAATCACGGTGTAGAAGCACTTCGTTGGCAGGTACGATCGGCTCAGGTCGAACTAAAAGCGCCACGCTTGCAAGATCGGCAATCTCAGTCGGAAATGTCAAGCTGACGAACAGGTGGCGAGGGATCAGCACGGACGGGCACGGACTGATGTCCCGTCCCAGCCGCTTCAGCTGAAGGGTTCGTCGTGTTTGTATGGAGTTGGGCCCACTCGAGACTCGCGCACGTAGGTATTAACCGATAAATAAGTGGGGTCGGTTGGAGTTCACTGATCTTTCAGCTTTTCCTACCGGTTGCAGCACGTCGAACTAGTGACGTAGGCAAATCTGCCGGCGTCCCCGAGCAATGGGCATAAGAAGAAGACAAGTCCCATGAAAAATTTTTACCATCACTTGTCTATCACCATCTTAGTATCTCCTCCCTGATAATTGCCCTGATATTTTATCCATTATGGCTGGCGGACTTTTCTGTCACCAAAGAATTTCGTCGGAAGAACATGAACAATTCCTAGCTGAACACGATCAAAAAGAAAGGGAGAAATCTCCAGAAAAAAGCTTTATTGTCGACGCCATCAGCTACGAGCTAGAGGGTGGCCGCACTCTTAAAGCTGTGCTCAGGGACGAAACTGGAGGCGAACGGGTATCAAGGCTCGACCTGAACAAGTGCATTGCCCTAGACGGCAGTGACCTGAGATATAACAGACGTAAGTGCACCTGAAGAGCCAAATCAATCTATTGCCCTGAGAAGGCTTACAAAGACAGTTACATTGCGTTGGACGTCTGATGGAGGGTTTTTTGACCAAATCAACCTCAGGAACGGGCCATTTATCCATGAGGATCGTGAGTGGGGTCCGATGGTCTGCCTCGAGTTCACCTATACTGGTGGCAACATCACATGGGGACCCGCCAAGAAAAGGATCAATTTGGGAGAACATGTTTACGCCAAGAATGGCGAACTTGGTTATTTTTCGTGGTCTGGATAGTGCGTATACCCCTTCTCCTCATGATTCAGGCTGACAGGGGAATTGAAAAGCCTTCGCGGCACACCAGAACCACCTCGTCGGGAGCCGTGGCGTCTGTACTTCGAAGATATCGAGACAGCACGTGAGACTGCCAGCATGGCAGGATTCATGGTAAGAGGACGGGATGACGAAGAATTTATCATCTATGATCATTATTCATTCAGGGACTTATGGGAAAGATTCTGTCACTGCTTCCTGGAACTCGCCTTAGATAAAAAGTATGGTGGCTTCAAAGATGCCGATGGAGGTGACGCCGTCGATGAGGAACATCCATCACCTCTGATTCTATGGTTGCAGTCACAGGTTAAGGGAGGCCACATACCAGAAGTCAAATTCGTGGGAAACGACTCCAAAGCTGAACACCACTAGACATACCTGGAAATGGAGATTTCGGCCCGGATTGCAAGATTTATGCGAGCTATATAACCTTTCAAACAAATGAATACTAGTCCTTGATTGTTTTAGATACAAGCAGGCCTCTGAAATTCCTTGTCCATATCAGAATTACCCCGCTCCTAGAGTGCCACCGAACCTGCTGGGACCACCATCGTACTAGGCATTGATGGACCGCGTTGTGACCAGAGTAAGCTGCAACTGCACGAGCGCCCTAGAAGTTTCCGGATGGTGGCTTACAAAGTGCTTTTTATTCCTGCAAACAACTGCACGGACTAGGGGGAGTCTCAATTACTTGTCCTTGACGGCCACGGGAGTCATTATACACCTGAATTCAATAAGATGTGCCAGGATAATAGCATTGTATGCATCTACATGCCTGATCATTCCTCTCACCTTCTTCAACCACTAGATATTGGTTGCTTTGGTCCATTAAAGCGGGAATATGGTAAGCTTGTTGAGACAAAGACGCGCTTAGGGTTTAACCATGTCGACAAGCTTGACTTTTTACATGTATATCCTGCTGCGCACCAGTAAGTCTTCGCGATCCAGAATATTCAAAGCGGCTTTCGAGCAGCTGAAATACTTCTTATTAATCTTGAGGAGATGCTTTAGGAGTTAAATATACAAATAACAACTCCAAGACCATCTAAGGATCTTTTGGAATACGAATAGGAAAAATCCTTTTTAAATTCCAACCCTAGCTAGCATGTCTATGGATTCAGCTGCGCATTGCTTAACTATATCTAGTATAAGGAAATGTAACTATTGTTAGCTAAAGGTTCTATTTACTATTTATGGTTGGTCTATATTCACTAGGGAATAATTAGAACATGGGCCGGCTCTTAGATCTCGCAAACAAATCACGCAATCACGTCACCTTGACAACCAATTTCAAGTTTATGCACAGGGGGAACCGCTGTGGCTGCATTTAAAAGTATATAAACCTTGGCTGCCCCATATTACATCCGTGCACTATTCGTGCCTACCGAAAGCGGCCCACCTCACACAGCTTTCGCGTATTGGTGCTCCCACTCTTTTTATCCTATTTGCTCACCGCTACTGATCGGCGAAGTATTGTGAAATCATCCTGTGACCTTTATTTAACTAAAAAGCAAAGGCCCACTTCGTGCTTTGACCTAGTAGTGGTCTTGCAACAGAAACAGGAATATGACCATTCCTTCCTAATCAGGGTTGCTAGGTTTGATGATTTTGCATGTTTACCCCCTCCCTGGTTTCCTATGTTTTATTTCAATGGGGGCCCACGAGATTAGTGAGTCGCCTATTTATTAATTTACTGGCCGTTCATCTCGCGTAGTGTCCTTGGAAGTGAGCTTAAAGCCCATAGAAGAATTGTTTTGCTTAGTAGCGTTGTGAAGAGCAGTAGATCCGTAGTTGTTCTGTGCTTGTAGATCAATGCCTTGCTGGTTAAGAAGTAATTCAACGGCACTAATATGCCCTTGATGTACCGCTTGGTGCAAAGGAGTCTGTTCGTGGCAATTGACCGCATTTACGTCCGCACCAAATTCGAGTAGGAGCTCGATCATCCGCGTACGTGCGAACTGGGCGGACAGGAATAGTGGTAACTCGGCGCCGTTGACATCTTTGTTGTCAAGAAATGTTGTCGTGCAAAAGCAGGTGGTCAAATGCTCTAATATGAGTCGTGTAATCCATATGTTATCTCGCAGTATTGCACAATTCAGCGGTGTAATTCCTTCGCGATCTACGGCGAGTGCGTCTGCTCCGCTCCTAAGTAGTAGTTCCACTGCTGCTACGTTGCATTCGTAAACAGCATACCAAAGGGCTGTCCGTTTGTCGGGGTCGGTTTCGATCATGCTTAGTGTATTTGCCTAAAGATCAATGTGTCAGTCAATTGCTACAAGAATTCAAGATAAAAGAACGGCTATACAATAATGGTGTCGCAAAATTAAAACTTGAGATGGTGTGGAAAGTTCGGAGGAGGGGTGGAAAGCACTGATTATATGTTGGTTTGCCAGGCTGTGCCCTTATCAGTACCCTTTAGCGCTAACAATGTGATTCTGCAAGACGGACTCATCATGCACGCGACCACTACTCTAATGACTCATGGTGTACGCGACGGCCTCAATATATTTATACGGCCCTAGGACACCACAGTTTTAATCCCATTTTCAGATCCTTGATCCAATTGCTTCTTTTCAAGCTCTCAAAATGTTTAGAAATCTCATACACCTATACCTTCTAGGCACAGTATGCATCATATTTGTTTGCGCTCATCGTCCTACACATGTCGAAGCTGAGCTTCGAGATCTTGTGACTCAAAGGTCCGTTATTGAGCGCGTCGGTATGGTACAAGTCATCAAAGACTTTCGAGATGGCAGCATCGTCGCTGTCGAATGGGCAACGCTAGTCGACATGGCATCCAAGCTGGACAGAGCATCAGAGGAGCTATTGTGGAGTATATATGTGCTACAGATACGACTCAGTCACAACAGTATGTGGTTATCTTAATTCACAATTCCTGTCCTGGTATTTACCAATGAAGACGATATGAATTGCGGATGTACCGCGCAGACCCGAGCCGCTCAAACCGTCCAAGAAGCAATGAACCAGGTCAACAATGCTCGTGACCGACTCACGTCACTAGTAAAAGAAAAGGAGGGAGCCTAAAGTGGTCATGACTCTATTGTGCTATAGTGACGGTGAATCCTATCCATAGAAATCGGGTAGCGGCTATAAGACTACTAGAAATTTGAATCATGTGACATAATGAAATTCTGCCTAGGAACAGACAACCGGCTCAGTGCATAGCCCTTTTCACCAAGCGATCTGATCGTCGGACCTTACTTTCTTCGTCATGTAATGACTTACGTTTCTTTAATCCCACTGAGTCACTGGGAACCACGGTTTCAAGTAAGCTGAGGCCTTTTGCTGGTTTCTCTACTTTCAAAGCATCTCCTTGCTCGCTCCTTCGCTGCTTTGCTAGTTATTGTTAGTAAGAAACTGTAGAGTGAATGCCAGCTCCGAAGGTGGTTGAAGACTTACCATTTTTGCCCTTTCCATACTCGTGACTAGGGCTGTGCTCGACATAGAAACGATTCCTGGCCATTTCCAGGTTTTGGCCATCTAGGTGGAGGTGATTTACGGATGATTGCCCGGAAGCTTGCGGCTCTTCCGGGTCTTTGCAGGCCGAGAATTGGGTGGGCACTGGGATAGGGGTCGAACGACCAGCTATGTCAACGTGTCGCTCCCATGAAGACTCTGAGATGGTTTCCGTGTCTCCATCAGAACTAAGTTGCTCAGTCTCAGAATAGCTGCGATGCTCATCGACGTGGATCACGATAGGATTAGATTCCGAGCCTAGCGGAGCAGGATCGTCTTCGATCACGATAGGATTGGCCTCCGTGCCTAGGTCTGAAGAATCGACGAATTCGCGTACAGCTGCCACAGACAAGTCTGGATGCTCTAGCGAGATGAATGCTTCGAAAATCCCAAGTTAGCGTGGTCAAAACTGCTTCTATTAGATCTCTCACCAAAGTCTTCGTATTCTGTGGAGTCCATGCTGAAGTTATTGGTAAAAGACTTGATTTGTATTCTGTTGTTGTAATGAAGGACTCGTGCGAGACAAGCGGATTTATACCTCAAAACCCACCCCGCTCCCCCCAATAGCCCATCCGTTACGCCTTGTGCTAATTCTCAAGCTCAGACAGCAAATGTCGCAAGGCAGGATTTGATCCAAACTAGCCTGCCTGTCTGCCAATCGTTCCCATGCGCAATGCATAAAGTATGACAGCCGCATACCCACTCATCCATGTAGTCCAATGAACATATCAAAAGATGCTATTTCTATTCTCGGAAGCTGTAGGTCTGCATATTTTTTGCGCCCAGAGGTTCCATCTCAGGTTGATCATGATCTGTTTGCCAATCGTTCTGTGACCTGAGAGATAAGACGAAACGTGTAGGATGGTCTGCGCGTTTCTCCTGGCTATTTTCGGTGCGCATGACGCATTTGCTGCGAAGATACCCTGTTTTCTCGTCCTGGGTGCCAATCGATCGTGAGGCGATGAATGTTGCAGTAAGGACGTCTCGGTGGTAGGAATCTGCGTAGATCTGTGGAGTTTCCGTGACTGCGCGCAATGGTGTCGCGCTGGGTGAAGAGGAGACTTACACTCAGTCAATAGATGTGACAACTTCTGAGCTTCAAGCCCACATTGGTCTCGAGTAGGGTCTCACGATTGCGGTTCTCATGAAAAGAAAACGTGTGATCATGCTAGCCGGAGAAGCTGAGCAGGATGATCCCGGCCTTGTTCGGTGTTCCAACATTCAGCCACTGCATCCTCAAGGCAGATTTGGGACCCTTGCGGTGACAATCGACGGGCGAATCGGCATGTGAGGCGGTAGGTCGTATGTCGGCGCAGCGGACTAAAGGCAAAATTGCCTCATTGTAATCCGCACTGGAGCAATCAATGATGACATGTCCGGCCGTTGCTATTTTCACGGCGATGCATGTCTGCGCTGGGCCGGAACGCAGTGTCCTTCCACCGGGCCCACTGGGTCCTGCTTGCCAGTCGTTCCTCGATCAGAGACCGGAGACCAGTAGATGACGGTAGCAATATTTCAACCAAAGAGGAGAGCAGTACCGTCCACTTGGGGATATAGGATCTCTTCAAAAGCGTGTGCTAGGTTAGAATGCCAATCGTCAGCTACCAGCAGATTCGTTACACCTTACGTCGTCCGCCACGAATGGCGGGTAGTCAGCGCAATTAATTGCAGATATTTTACCAGGATTGAGTATCGCATTGAGTTTCCAGCCCTACTTTAATGGGACGATGGGTGCCATCTAAAAGTGGAGGGGTACACGTGATGGAGCTAGCATGCTGCATTTTATTTACGTAGCTTACTCAGGCTGCTCACCCCAAGTTCAGCTCAGACTTAGTGAGCCATCTAGGGCGCTCGGATTATGCTCAGTGAGCGGATCAGGGCGCTCAAGGGCGTGCTCAGGTTTACTCAGCGAGCAAAAAGCAAGGTCTGAGCACTAATACGGAAAGAGTAACGCCAAGAAGTGGCAGAGGAAATCAAGTACATAGGTTACCTAACTGCAATAGATCACTGGATCGAAACAGTAGGCAGATATGCCATAAACAGCCCAATTCAAATTTCCTATAAAGTAACCTTGTGGACGTTTGCAAGGTGACATTTATATTGTGAAAGTGTGAAGAGAACTTCAAGGCAATGAGGCCAATCACACTTTCGACCATGCTTTTCAAAAAAGAATGGGAGGCGATGAGTCCCAAAATGAACCTGAAGTACATCCTTTCGTGAGTACTTATATCGCCTGGCGATGGGATCCAAGCTAGTATTCCCTAGACACACAGGACATTCCAGCCCAGATAAGCTTTCTATTGGGACCACTACTTGTCTCGATGCTTCCTTCGGTCGACCTTTGAACACGATTCGCTTTTTCAAGGCCTTGGGAATATGAAGGCTGTTTAGTTTCAGTCGTAGCTCGAGAGATCGAATGCGGTCTTCAATCAATTCCGTATCATCGATGGTATCGACATCCCTGTTCTTGAATTCAAGCTCGGCAAGCGCAATTCTCTCCGGCTGAATATTACTGACGTCCGGAGTGAAAGTGACCGGAGTACCTTGCTGGTTTTGCTCAATGATCTGGTTTCCAATACTATCGAAGAATTCCTTCCGGGCTACCTTTTGAGCGCGGCGTTCTAATCGTTTTCGTCTCGTCCGGATCTTTTGTTGCAGTCGTTTCATTTCAATGAACCGCGCGTCTGACGCTCCTTCCGCTTTCTTCAATTTATGAAATTCCGATATGAGTTCGTCTCTAGTTGACTTGACCGCCTTTTTCAAGTCTTGAAGTTCGGCATCCATTTCGATAGACTCTTTTTGCTCAGCATTCAGGTGTTGTGGCGCTGATTCATCTCGTGTTAGATTTCCATGGCATGCGAGATTCAACAAAGAATCTCTCGTCGGAGTTTGCATGAAAATGGATTGAGTGTCATTAAACACAGACATGTAATTTGAAAACGTTGCACTTTTTCGATGACCCATAATTATGTTACGTGAGTGCTCATCAAGATTCCCTAAAATTTGTTAGCATCTAATTCATCGAACTCTAGATTCTCTTAGTCACATACTCAAGTTTTCAGCTGCGCCCTTGCGGTATTTATAGAGTGATCCCTCGTCTTCAAATCCAGCCTTTGCGCTAGCCTTCTTTTCGTATTCCTGTGCCTGCGAATATGAAAAGCCGACCTTACAGTCAGTGGCCCAAGCTCCGTATTTTGTTCTTACAGCGCGCCTGAAAATAGGGATGTTTTTTAGGCTATCCTTAAAATGAATAGGAGTGCTGTGGCGATGGTCTGGAACGTTTGTGAAGCGCCAAATATCTCGAGGGCATTTGATGTGCGGGCTTGCAAATGCATCATCAAGAAAGGCATACATAAGTATGTCCTGAATAACACATAGTCCGAGATTGTCGTTTCTTTCAGTATAAGTAAATGTAGGCCTAGTGATGGTTAGAATGAATCATAATTGGTGGCATAAGACTAGGACTCACGGGGCTCCTTGATTTCTCTTTCCCTTGTTGAGCCTGTGCCTAGCCCTCATAAGAAGAACTTGGGCATCAGGATATTCGGGGTGTCTGACCATATATAGGTCAATATCTTTCCATTTCAGCGCATCATTTTCCTCCTCGTAACAGGAAGACAATACAAGGGTTCCAGGTCGGGCTGAGGTCGAGACCATCATTTTCCGTAGGGTGTTCAATTGAAAAAGAACCCGGACCGTAGGAAAGGCTATGTCGCAAGCGGCCACTAGATGATGCGTGATAAAAAATACCTCGTTAATGCTAAAGGGCGGCTGTTCTTTCGCGGTCTTATCAAGGTCGTGCTCTATGGCCATTGATTGGGCCAGCTCCTTAAGTAAGTAAAGGACTAAGGGTCAGACTGTAAGAATCATACCGAACTAATGTCCTTTCCAAGTTGGTAAGGAAGGCAAAGGCCCCTTTCATCCATCCAGTACATTCTGAAAAAACGCACAATTGTCATGAAGCTGGACTTGTAGTTTATGTCATGCTCATCTAAATACCACTCAAAAAAGCCTTGAACGATCCTCAGCGTGATGTTTTCAAGCCAATATTTATAGTCTTTGTTGTCAAGCTCTTGCACCCATCTGAAAGTTCTTTAGTTAGTTAAAGGATATTGATTGAATAAGCAACGGTATAATACTTCTGAAAGTTAAAATGGATTCCCTTCAACCGCTCCTTCGTCGATGAGACTTTGTTCGTCGTAACAATTGGATCTGGCTGGCGGACAAATGCATTCCAGTCTCTAACCCGCTTTGGTGGCTTTGGGGAGCGCATTTCGGTTGCGGTGGGCTTGAAGGGGAGGAGAAAGCTTGATTGAGATCTAGGTAGAGGGGGAGCGTATTATACTTAACCACTGCGAGCCAAAATGTTGATAACCAGTTCGCAGTGAAAGTCTAAATTTGGCAGTCAATTAATTATCGCCCATGATAGAGCCGCCGGGCTTATGATAGATATGCAGCAAGATCGGGACAATCATGCGCTAAACCCAGTTAAACATATAGCACTAGTCCTAATTAGATCTATGAAAACGCCTATACGGAACCACCACGATTATCTCCCACAACACCACGCACAACCGTGGTCTTTCCGCTGTCCCCCTGGATTACACCATATCGGATGTTTGATGAAAAATCTAGCCATAATTAGCAAAATGACCCAAAGCAAAGGTGGAGTTTTTGGAGACTTGGTCCAAAGCCCATTTCGTGAGGTACAGTATATGACTCGTATTCTCATATTCCCTTTCCCACGGTTTTATCCATGGATGCCCAATGAGAGGATTTTGTTTTTGACCTGAGTCACTGAGCTCGGCCACCTTTTTGATTCCTAATGCGACGTACTAGACCCACATAGTAGTAGTGTATGTGTATAAGTTACTCCATATTCCGTACTATGGTCGGACAGGCGCTGGGAGCCAACAACGCACGGACCCTCGAGGCCGCCTCTTTGCTTTCCAGGCTGCATACAACGTATACCATCAAGCGTCCATCTCCACAAACTTTGACTTCGAAAAAAGACTATTCGTAGACAAATACAAACTACCAAACAGAAAAGGATGACGAGCTTACAGCTCGCTGATGTAAAAAGCTACAGGTGATAGTCGGTCTAGATCACGCGTGCTGCGCATGTCTAGCATAGCGGCTATGCATCGGCTTTCCACGAGCGTACTGGAGCCAACTCACAAGAATAACTGAACAATGCTGATGGAGCTCAGGTAGGGGAGGAATTTTTTATACATGAATTTCCTTCCTAGTGCGGAAATTCTAATCGCGGCATTAAACATCAAGATCTCTTTTAACCTACCGTCTTGAAACAATTACTGTGCTGGGAATCGACGTCTCGCATCAAAAATGACCGAAAAAGTTGAATCCTCCCCACAAATTCAAGATGAATTTGAAGCTTCGTATTTTGAAGTGCTTAGAAATAATATGTCATCTCAAAAAGAGAAGGGAAAAAACAACAAGGAAACCGGGGAACATCATACAAATGATTTCCGTGGTGAGATACGTCCCTTTCCTGGGATTCAACGCTTCAGTATCAACTTTTGTGGCCGCGATATATCACTTTCATCCTTGTGGCAGACATGGGAGCAGACATATGATCGCGAGTTCTTCAAGCAAGGAGGTCTTAAAAAAGTGATAAAACTGACGTGAGCTTGGCCGATCAAAAGGGCACAACACTCATCCATTTGGCAGTGAAACAACCCAGTCTGAAGATTGTCAACTGTTTGAAGGATGTTGGGCTTTTGATTCAAGGAGATCTTTATTTCTACATTCACCTGGTTATTTCTACATTCAAAGACTAACCTGAATTAGTTTAGCGTTTGATAGAACAGAGGGCCCAGAAGTGCATGTGGGATTCAAATTCCAAATCGGATTAGTCTGTGAATGTAGAAATAAATATCTCCAAGCTCAATATTATTCGTGACATGACTTTGAGAAATGCTACAGTCTCACAATCTAAGCCACTGAGCAGCCCTTAATCAATTTCCCAATGGGAATACGGAATTTCCATGATCTTACCTTTATCCCCACCTCCTAACTGATTGGCGCTTGCAGGGTTCTTGAATAGTGACTAATGCGCGAGGAATCACATTGATAAATCAAGGGTCTATACGTGTATTTGTGGAAGCGCTTAAGAGATCTGATCACTTACTAAGGAGAATGTATCCCTTACGCAATAAATAACCCTACAGATGTCGTGGTAAAAACTTCTTCCCTTACATGTACCCCTCCTTTATCAACTATCCGGGACACCGGATTTTAACCACAGACAAAATCAACCGACCGCAATTTTCTGCTGTTCTTACTTTTCAACATGGCAGGGATAATCGGGACTATCTCTGCGATCATCACTCTCGTCGAGACCTCGATCAAGATCTACGACAGTGCTCAGAGGGACGTCAAATTATTGAAGACATTCGAAGTTGTTCGACGCCGGCTTCCCGTTATTATCCACACCCTCGTGGCATGTAAAAGCAACCTCGAATTGAAAGGAGACTCGATACCCGAAGATGTGTGCCAAGCCTTGGACAAGACCCTTGACGTTTGTGAGGTGAAAGCCTTGAACTTAAGAGGGATTTTGAGAAAATTATACCCGGCGAAAGCGATACAAGAGATCAAAGATATTTGAAGATCCTCCGCAGACTTGGCAAAGGAAACAAAGTCGAGGAGATTATGCTTGGCCTCACTGAAGACGTCCAACTCATTGTCAATCTTGATGTGGTTAAGTCTGCTAATCAGCACCAAAACGCCGAGCTTGAGAATATTGTGCAGGAGATGAAGTCTATCATATCCTTAGCACCGGACGAAGAGGGCAGCGGAATGAGTTTCGCTAGTGGAGGTGGAGCACAGACAAACAATATTAATCGCGGCAGTGGGCAGCTAATCAACAACAATGGGTCTGTTGGAACGCAGCACTTCAACTCCAGTAAGTAGCAGGCTTGATGGGATGTTCCTTATGTATCTTATCCGAGGATTGAGTTTTTACGACCTCAACGGACGGTCAAAAAAGCCCGGGTTATTGATGTTTTTTATGTTTCGGCGAGACTTTTCTTTATCGCAAGTTACGATCTGTAATATGCCCACTGTTTTGCCTACGAGATATTCCGCTTTCTGCTTCTATAAGAACAAACACACATCCAATATTTATAACAATCCTCTGCTAACGTTGAATCCTAGTCACTCTTAGGGAAAAGGCAGACTTCCGATTTCGTGGACCTGTCGGTGTCTGTCTCGGCAAAGCTCCTTATATCGCTCCAAAACTCTTCGTTGGTCGTGATGCTGAGCTTGATGGCGGAAACCTTACACCCTACTCGAGAGCTTCGAATGCAAAAACGTCTAGTTCTGGGCGGAATGGGGGGCATCGGCAAAACCCAGCTTGCTATCGCTTACGCAGAGTCGCGTTCTGGATTTTATAGCTCGGTATTTTGGCTGAATTCAGCGTCCGAGGCCGTTTTGAAAGATAGCTTTCGATCGATCGCCAGGCTTGTGTTCGACTTCCAGGATCTCCGACTCCTAGAGAGCAAAGAAATTTTTGAACGTGTACATCAGTGGCTATCTGACCCCACAAATACCGGATGGTTACTGATATTTGATAACTATGACGCCCCAAGTCAGTTTGATATCAATGATTATTATCCAGCGGCTTCCCATGGAGCTATTATAGTCACTACTCGGCGGCCAGATCATGTTGCAGGAAGTTCTCTTCATGTGAAACCATTTCAGGATATCAAAGATAGCCTCGCGATCCTCCAAACCCGATCGAACAGAGAGAATGTTAAATCAGGTACGATATACTCAAAATGACAGACAGGACCTATTAATGACCGCTATTAGATCCTCATGCAAAATGTCTTGTGAAGCGACTTGCTGGTCTTCCTCTCGCTTTAGCCACAGCCGGGGCATACCTTCAACGGAGTCCTTTTAGTATCGAGCGCTATCTTCAAGAGTACGAGAAACGTTGGAACATTGACCCCCGTCGCCCCACCAAGCTCCTCGAGTATCAAGATCGCACATTCTACACAACTTGGAATTTATCATATGATCGTCTAAAGACAGAGGATCTTGACGCGGCGAGACTACTAAAATTGCTGGCCTACTTCGATAATGAGAACCTTTGGCACGAACTATTCTATGGGGGCCTCTCCGATACTTCTCCCGACTGGCTGCACAGAGTAATATCAGACGACTTGGATTTCAATGGAACAATGAACATCCTGACCGAATACTGCTTTATAGAATTCCAGCCAACTTCGGAATCCTGGAGCATGCATAATTGTGTGCACGACTGGACATCGGCAGCTCTCAACAAGAAATTTGAACCAGAACTTTACTGGTATGTCGTCAAATGCATTGACGTGCATATTGATGATGTTGATGAGACTTACCTCCAAAGCACTCAATATTCTCGCCTGGCTGCGCATGGGACCCGCATTGCGCTGGAGCGCTTCCTGCGAGAAGGTGGCATCGACCGTTCAGCTCCTGAGCAGCTGAGCGCCTTTTCCCGTATTTCAATTTTGCTTCAACACCAGATTGAGCTTGTCCCGGCCGAGCGAATCCTTCTACAGATTCTGTCTAGGAAAGAGAAGGAGCTAGGTCCAACCCAAATATCAACACTCGAGACCGCACGCCGACTGGGGTTGCTCTATTCTAATCGAGGCAAACTACGAGAAGCAGAACAGATGCTCCTACGTGTGATAGTTGAACTAGATAAAGGTTTAGGCTCAGATCACTCTTCAACGCTAAGGGCTATCAATGACCTTGGCGACCTATATTTGGAACAAGGGAAACCAGATGAAGCAGAAAAACTGTATATAAGGGCGCTGTCCGAATGCGAAAAGGTTCTTGGGCCCGGCCACACATCAACAATCAGGACTATCGATAACCTTGGAAAACTCTATGCTGTACGAGGCAAGACAAAAGAAGCAAAAGAGATGTTTAGCCAAGCACTAGCTGGTTACAAAAGAGTACTAGGGCCAGACCATACGTCAGTACTGCATACTACCAATAAGCTTGGGGCTTTATACCACGAAGAAGGCAATTTAGACAAGGCGGAGCAGATGTATACCCTGGCGCTATCTGGGTATGAGAAATATCTAGGGCCAAACCACACATCAATGCTGGACTCTGTCAATAACCTTGGAAGATTATATGCCGCCCAAGGAAAACAAGCCGAAGCAATGCAAATGTTTTGTCGGGCACTGGATGGCTACGAAAATAGACTAGGACCAAGCCATATATCAACGCTGAAAACTGTTCACAACCTTGGGATCCTGTACCATAAGCAGGGTAGACTCGATGAAGCAGAAATGATGTTTATCAGAGCGCTCAATGGGAAGGAAACAGCATTGGGACCAGGCAACAGATTGACCCTCGATAACTTTGTTGACCTGGCAGAACTATACATGGAACAAGGAAAACTACTTGAAGCTGAAAATCTGGTATGTCGGGGTATGTCTGGGCTCGAGAAAATCTTATCGCCTAGCCACCCGTCCCTCTCGAATAGTTTCAAGGATCTCGCGAAAGTACTCCCTTTTAGCCGCGAGACCAACGACATCAAGTGAAAATGTTGTATAGATACATGATTAAAGATGAACAGAAATGTCATTACTGATAGATGATGTTGATTAGTTACTTCCTTCGAGAAACAGACTTCGACGCTTTGATAGTGAAAATATCCATTTGGGCTCAGGAACATTTACTAGCTCAGCTCTAGCGCCTATAACATCGTTGATCCTTCACTCTTCTCTGGCGCTAGTCTCAGATCATTCTCTACTTCTAAATAGACAATAGCTTGATCGGGAATCAGTCTTATCGCTCTCTAAAGTAGACACTAAGCAAGCTAGAGTTGAGGATAGGGCAATAGAATAAAATTCAAACAAAATCAACTACTTACTTAACACTTAGTGGTTTATCGAAGCCACAGAAAAAGTAGGTCCTGATTAATGAAAAACATATTAAAACGGCCGCCGCGTGAGCGCTATATGACTGAGAATTGTTAGTATCAGGACAACCATGTATGACGCGTGATGTTTTCTTTGTGTTCCACCAATGATCGCACCGCCAGTGATTACATGCTGCAGAGAATGTAGCTCTCAAAATTCTGGCAAATACAGGGGATCGAAACGCAGCTTTAGACTACAGAAAGCCGGCAGTTGAGGACCTGTCCGAGAAGAATAACCTCCCTATAGAACATAGGAATTCTCTAGTCGGTTTTAACTTTAGCACAACTCATCAATACTCATTAATCTCCCTTCTGTCCAAAAACACACAAACAGTGGTCCACTTCAGTGGTAGCCTCTAGACTGAAGACTTGAAGATGGAATATAATCACTAGCCTTGTATCATATTTCTAGGTCCTAATTGGATGATTATATTCGTAATTACGAATCATCCTCTATTTGACTAACAATATATATTATTAGATCGACTTCTCGTACGTCTGACCTAATACTTCCGCGATAAGGCCCAAGGCAGGGGACTATCTGTCTTATTACCAACATGTGACGAGTCATAGTCAGGTAACATGATTAAAACTGTAAGGTATTGCTTTTATTATACTTGCGAAAGAAGCCTTTGGTGACGCTCAGTATGAGAGTTTCGGTTCGGAGCTAGTAGATGAAGCCTAGCGGAGTGATGTTGCTTGCAAACCTGCTCTGGTATCACTTTGAGGAAGAAGAAAGCTATGAAAAGCCTTCAAAGGCGTTTAAAGCTCCCCAAGTTGTATTTTTCGTCGGTTTAAAGTCGGCCTGGACTTCCGGTGCCGGCTCTTGAATGAAGATTTCAAATGAAATGTACTACTAATCGATAGCCATCCTGTTATTCTTTGCCAGGGTGTCAAGGAGAAAACACAAAGCCCTCGAAAGCCAGACCAGGTCTTTGTTAATGCCTACGGCATCCATGATGAAAGCGCTTTGACGGCTCTGTATACAAGCTGTATCAGGACTCTTCGGCCAACCTCCTCTCCTCGACACTAGCGCCAGACCACCTCCGTTTGCTTGGCTACAAAATCTAGGTGAAAAAGACCACGGCTCTTTCGAAGTCGATGCCACGGCTCTTTGTCCTTATGCGTCCCCGTGCGTGGTTCTACATAGTCCCCTCCCCGCCGGGGGCTGGGCGCTGTTGTCCAGTAACATCCGCACAATAGCCTTATGCCATCGTTCAGAAGCATATGATAACGGCTTTCGGCCAAGCTCATCAACTGCCTCGGTTCAAGCAATACTCGCACGACAGCATTATACCCGTATCTAGAGGCATATAATAATGTATCAGTTGTATCGACAGCAGCTTCTTTATCAAGCAAAATTTGCACAATAGCCTCCTGCCCTCTGGTGCAGGCATATGCCAACGGTGTTCGGCCAATAAAATCAGCCGCCTCGGTGGCAGCGCCTTTATCAAGCAATAGTCGCACAAGAGTTTCATCTCCTCGTTTAGAAGCTTGAGGCAATGGAGTCTGACCAGAATCATTGATTCCCTCCGTGGAGGCGCTGTTGTCCAGCAAGCGTTCAACTATAGCTGCGTGGCCGTTGTCTACAGCAGACACCAGTAGTTTGTCGCGAATAATCTCCACCGAGTCCATACCCGCCCCCTTCGTCAATAATCTGGCTACAGCTTGGTGTCCGCTAGCAAGAGCATATGATATTGGCGTTGCTCCAATTTGATCAGTAGAGTTAGCGCGAGCTCCTGCCTCGACGAGTAGTTTGACACTAGCCATGTGGCCATTCCAAGCGGCGTATGATAGCGGTGTTCGTCCGTCGCGATCTATGTCGTTGACTATTGTGCCTTCCAAAAATGGCCACCTGAAAATATTCCCTAACCGAATCTTTGGATACTGCAGCAATATATTCACAACTCCGTCAAATCCGTTTTCTGACGCCCAAGAGAGTGCTGAGCGCCCGTGAAAATCTGTGCTGCTCACTTTCACATTTTCCATCTCAAGTAGATGTCCCACAATGTCTTCAATTCCAAATTATGAGGCAATCATGAGGGCCGTAAGATGTCTGGGAGATTCTCTGTGTGCTGCCATCCAGTAGACAGTGAAAGAATTTGTACAGCACCTAGATTTTGGGTTGCATATTTCCAGTAGTGACCCCATAAGTTCTGTGGCTTCGATATCTGACTGCCGATAGTGGCCGGCCCAGTTTGCAGAAGAATATCCAGGAAAATGTAGACTTGAAGGTAATGAGAGATTCCTTCACTCTCATCAAATGGTTTAAAGTCAATGAAGAGTAACGGCGGGGTCGAGCTCAGCTGAAAGCCACAAGTTATCATTTGGCTGCGGCTGAAGCGCCAACCTTATACAGATTGAAATGGGCTTAAAAGTGTGGTGCCCCTGGAATGTATAAGTATTTCGAGGTCATCGCGCACGCAACTAGTCATTAGAGTGGTTGTGTGCATGATGAGTCCGTCTTACAATTTTACGAAATCGCATGGTTGGTACTGGAGGGCACAGATAAAAGCACAGAAAAGCAAACTAAGATATTTTCGAGCCATTCAAAACCGCACATGGGCTGTGCACATGGGATTGATGCAATTGTACAACAGAAAACCTGCTTTTTCACCATGTCGCCAGTATACACTCACTCTAAATCGCCAATACACTCATAATCAAGCATTGCCTCAATGTGGTGCCAGTCGCTTCTTCCTGTAGTGAACTTAGCAGGGCTGTTTGAACTGATTCGCTTCAGCAGACGACAAGAGTGATATGGATGGATGTAACAATGTTCATTTTTTTGGTCGCAACGCGTACATTTTGACCGGTAAGAGTTTATATTGCTTCGGAAATCCAGTTTGCAGCTCGGACTTGATCACGTCCATGCCAGCGGCATTGAAAATATCCTTGAACTTTGAATCCATCCTTGTGACACTGCTGTCCAACTCGTCATACATGTCTTTTCCGAGGGGATCAGTGGAGAGGTTTTCCTTTACCACCATGATTCCGGAGTCTTTCAAACAGTCACGACATCTTGCGACGTATGCGACAAGCTGTGCATCTGTGAGATGTCCCACACACCACTGGGTCCAAATCAAATCGTATTTTTTGTGCGGGCTCCAATCCTGAAGACCAACGTTGTATATGTCCCCAACCACACCCCGATGACCCAAATCTCCTTCCTTGAGAGCTTGAGTAAACTTTTCTACTGGCTCGACAATATCCACCACCTCACAGACATCGCTGAGAAAACCCTTCGTCACGCGACCGACGCCCGCGCCACAGTCGACACCTAGACCGAGTTTTTGGTGAACGGAAAGAGTAGGAATTAATCGTCGGACTTTGGCCAAAAAATTTTTGGACCCTTGCAGCTCGATCCGTGTGTACCAGGGGAAGTTGCCAAGCATGGCTAGCATACCACTGGAGGTGGCAGGAACGTTGTTCCAATAATTTATCGACGTGTCATGGTCAATTTTGGAGTCCGCGGTCGTGGATTCATTGAGTGGTAGTCTGTTGACTACAGGAGATAGATTTTGGGGCATACTGCAGAGGAATTGAGAGATTCCGTTCAGGTTGGAGACCCGAGATTTTCGCACTTGTTCCATCATTGATAGCAAATCATGTGACTAATAAAGCCTGAGGCAACACATTCATGGCAAGTTCGGTATACACACAATCAGCAAAGTAGCGGGGATCCCTTTAATTATTTTGATTGATATTGCGAATCAAGTTCTAGTTTCTAATGTTTCTTTCAACCACTTACCACAATCAAAGGTGGACTCCAGAGGCTCTTTGTTCAATCCCCGTACCTCAACCAATTGTAGACCCTGAAGGGAAGAAAGCTCACGGATCGAATTTGAAATCCTCGCACGAAATTGTTGACAAATTTCTTCATCGAAAACAAAGCGCAAGTACCTTAGTCTTTTGAACAGCTTCAATATTTGCACGCATCTTGACCCGTGAAGAGAGGGTAAGCGCAAATCAACATCTGAAGAGGTTCGACATGGCTTCCAGGTCGCTGCTGCTGAGCCAAAATAATTCCAATGATTCCACATTGCTGCGCCCTATTTGACCAATGGAAAGTGCAAACTTGATAAAATCATCCATATCATCGAATTTGAAATGATTCGATCGATACGCAAAGGGAAGTGCGTTAACACATCCATTTATTGACGAGCAGAGCGCTAAATTCTGACTCAACGCAAAGTTGAATCCACTTGAATCTCCAATTGATCTCGGGAAAATATTCCCAAGAAATTCGGATGGGCCTGTGTGTTTCTACTCCTGCTTTTTGATAGCGAGTTCAAGGATACTTAGTCGAAGTTCGTGCGGAAGTTTCACCAGATTGTCGCAATCCATCTTGGTGGAATCTCTTTGATGCTGTCTTTCGTTGAGTTATCTTCAAGTCAGGGAGGGGCTGCGAATGCCTTTGCATTTGATTTAACCCGAGACGCCTCGATTTCAGCCAATAAGAGAGAGAGGCGCAATCCAAACGAAAATTGAACGTCCAATAAGAAAATGTAGTATCCGACATCACTACAGAGCTTCAAGGTAATCGTGGCTTCTTCACTACCAAGCGACTGTCAATCGAAGAGGGACTGAACAAATGGGAAGGGTGGTTTGGCGCTCCTGTAGTTCCTGCCTTCGATGTTCGTGTAGCTCTTTTTTGCCCATGAGACCGTCGGTATAGTTGTGACTATGTTAAAGATTATGAGATAGAACCCATGGAAGTTGAATTGAGTGTGTCATTTTTGCTTGTAAAAGAGGCGAACTGAGAAATTAAACAGGCTCAGGCTAACGTATCAAGAGTCTTTTTACAAATATCCCTGATTTGGATCCATCTTCGTAGTAGGGTGGCCACCTTCCGGTCTTTCAAAGAAGGCAATGGGTCCTTTGAAGACCAAACCACTCCTTTTACACTGTCCTTGCCCTCTAAACCATTAATTGCCAACAGGCTTTCTTCCCAATAAGTTTTGACCCATTTACGGACCCATTCTGTTGCTTCTTCAGAGATACAGCCCGACGATGGTAGACCAAGAACACATTTTTCCCAATCTTCACGTGTCATGCATTTGAAAGATGCGACAATACCTACGCCAAGGCTGGGCCCAGATGAGTTTATCTCGTAATGTCTGAGGCAGAAGGTAGATTAGCTTTAAGTTCCCCTAGCCTAGGGAAAGAGGATTACCCATAGTATCCATGAGCGCGTAGAGCCTCCTTATCGTCGAACGTGATGTCCTGAAACACAACGTCATCCAAATAAACAGCGTCACTTTCATTCCGATCCAGGAAAAAGCCATCTATGCGCGCTCGGGTTAGTATACGATTTAGCAAAAGTGTAATATACAGTAAATATACTCACATTCCACAAAAAGGTAATCATTGGGATGTGATCCGTAGCTCATGAACACCTCATCCCCTTTCTCTAAATTACCACGTAAGTTGTCTGCCCCAGTATAGCCGATCATTAGGGAAAAGCCCTCACCATGACGAGCAGTGGCTCTAAATGTAGACATTTGTCCGTCAAAAACAACTTCGCAAGGCTATTTCACTGTGTTAGATCAATCTGCGGAGTGTGAAGCATGCCAAAGAGATGCTACTCACCGCATTGTCCGCATGGTTAAGGTAATCGCCAAAAGGTACCAAACCTATGGCATCATTCCAGTCATCAGGAGGCTCTTTGCCAGGACTGACATAATAAAAGCTTCGCGTATTCAGTATAAGCCAATGGTATGAAAAAAGGCTCCAATCCGTGGTAGGAAACACGGATAACACATGTTCCCAAGCATCATGAAGCCGCTTCTGTTGTTTTCCCAAGACATTTTGGTACGTATCCTGGTTTGTTAAATTGCAAGGAAGGTTGGGAAACTTATTCCATTGTCCAGATGCGGAAGGGGGCAGGGTGATATGCCGTTTATCGTAACCCCCCGGGCTTTCAGACCACAGAACCGGCAAGGACTCTTGAAAATGTTGCCGAGAAGGCCAGATCTTACGCCAGGCAGCCCAATAATCCAGTAAACCCGCATCTCCGTGTGTCAGAAATGCGGCGAGGATCCCATGGATGGAGGCTTCGTGCGGAAAGCGATCGACAAATTCTCTCGGAACGCAGTCAATTGTGAGCATTGTTGACACGGGAACAGCAATCATAATCTCATTCGCCTTTATAACGTGCAATTCGTTTAGCATCTGCCCGAACGATGCTAAAAAAACCTCCGGTGTGGCTCACCTCTATCGTTCTAGTCGCGATAATGCCCATACCGCGTCCAGGAAATCTAACAGGGGCAACTCCGTTAATTTGGATACCATTAAATAACGCCCATTGCAAGAAGTTATGGTGGTTAACATCAGATTCTTCGTCCTTGGCCATCTTTAAATCAAGAAAGGCCGGCGGTTGCTGGATTGGCACATCCCTCCTGGTCGAGGCTCAGTTATCATTTGTTTTCACGTGGTATGACTACTGTATTAGTAAGCCCATGCCATCACCCAATTGACTGTTAGCGGGTCCGGGGTCAACTGGGTGCCCCACACTGTGCTCACCGTCGATCTGTAGATTTCCGCTCAGTCACCTCCTTCATAATCATCATGATTACTGTGTTGGGAACATTATTCCCCTTGCTCTTTCTAGTTAAGGACAATCAAGATCTTCCAAGACCCTTCAATTTGTATGGGAGTGGGGCCATACAATAGTGCATTGACGTCGATGGGTTGCTTACTCTGCAGGCAGCTGAAGTAGATCGATCAGCTTGGCTGGTTGATTGAACCAGCAGGTTCCAGAGGGGCAAATTGAATTGAGTGAAAGAAACTGAATAAAGACCAGCCCTGGGCGCAGTCAGCCAGAGACAATACTAGATTCAAACTGAGAGGTAGTGGAAACAGTAACGATGAAGCTCAATCTTGTCACTCTCTGTGCCTGCCTGCCCACTTCCCATCCTCTCCGTCGGAGTGAGCACACTTAGGAGTGAAAGCGTCTCCTCCTTAATGTCGGCATGTCGACGTGCTATATGTCTTCGATGAGATTTTTCTGCTGATGTGACCTAACTGCTAGCAACCATTTCGCTCAATTTGACTGTCCAAATAATGTTCTGGCCTAAAACAACCAGCACGTCGCCCGCTAAAGCGAATTGCACAATTGCAGTTTCCACTGGATCTCTGGTAAAATATTGCGCGTTAAACACGCCAATGACTTTTCCATCAGGATTCCGAACCACGATGCCCTCGCCTTCCCCTGTCCACACTCTACCCTTATCATCAATCCGGATCCCATCTGGGGCGCTCATTCTGGCCACTCCAAAAATTTTCTGTTGGTCGGTAACATGTTCGCATTCAAGTCGTACTTATAGATCGCAGGTGAGCCCACTTCGGCAGGAAGCCCCCACGCGCCGCTGTTGTGTTCGCCGCCAAAATCTGTAACCCAGAGCGTCTGCTGGTCTTTCGATGGACAAACTCCATTCGCCATAGGGAGCTCTGTCCGACTGATCACCGGTAGCAAAGTTCCCCTTTGCGGATCGAATCGCCACAGACCCTGTGGCAGACGCTCTTCGGACGTGGCCACGCCTTTAGTAAGAGGCAGGATAGTCATGAACAGGTAGGAATAATTTGTCCCAGGTTGCGTGACCCAGGCTAAATCATCGATAGAATCAAATTTGAGGCCAAAGTATGAGTTCAACACTGTCTCGACATGGCCATTCTCCGGATTAACGGATACGACACCGCCGGGCCAATTCCGGGAGTCATCGCGTAGACACGTGAAATATACTCTTCCCTGGTGGAAATGACCGCCGTTTGGGTTTTTGAGAGGCTCAGAAGACGTCAAATTCTTGATAGTGTTGTCTCGGAGATTCAGGATCTCAACGTGGGTTGGCCCATCGTTGATCCATGTTGTGTACCACACCTCGTTGCGACTTTTTATCCAAACGCCTGCTTCGGCGGCAAAATTTGACTCGCGCTCTTGCACTAATTTGATAGATGGGCTTGGTCCAAGAATATCGAGGAATTCGTCATCATATGAGATGAATGGCATGTGCGCAGCGGATTGCAACAGGTCATTGACGGTCGTATTCATTGTCTTTGTTCCATTGACAAAGCTGTATGATAGATTCGCCGTGAAGGGTGAGGGGAGCAGATACATGTACTCATCCGGGATGGATATGACGTTGCTGTTGCTCGTTGCAGAACATAAAAGTGCTAGCAACACATGAAGAAGAAACAGAGAGTGTAAACGAGGGCGATTCATGCTGATTGACGTGAGTAGGACTGTTCAGAGATTTTGGGAGGAACAGTGAAATAGTCGAATAAAGAGACCTTGGGATTTACGGAAACAATCTGCTAAGAAAAAAAAACACAATCAAAAGACGGGATATTTAATAAGAATTGATCGCTCCACCTTAATTTATTGTGCAGGGATTTAGAGATATGACATTTCCAAATTCAAAAAGGCGCAGTTGCTTCCAAAATTGGCCACCTGGATATAGTCGGTAAGACCGCTAGTAAGCTACCCTCAGTTAGACACAAACATTTAAGGTTCAATATAATCTGCTTACAGTGGACCAGCCCACACTTCATACGAGCAAATCAACCGTGAAAGTTCCATCTAACTAGTCCTCTTGTTACAAGGTCCGTATCCTAATATAATACCGAGAAGTCTACTTTGGCTCTTTTTGATCTATCTCTGTCTTGTTCCAGCTTTGAACTACACCTTGCTGGTGCATCTCATTATTTTGTAGACACTGGTTTATTTAAGGCACCCGTGGATCCTCGGTCTATGATTGTTCCGATTAACATCAGCATGAGAAGTCCAGATTTCTATACATATTTTCCACTCTCGTTGCACTCCATTTAAGTATTCTGCAAGACCAGGCTAGTACCGACCATGTCTATAGAATTTCACACCGAAAAAGAAATCCCCTAAAACAAAACAATTCTTACTGGAATTCAGGGAACTCTTCAGATGTCCAAATTCTCCAAACAAGCCTTTCCCCGTTGACTGTCCCACTTCTCATTATTTCTAAAGCCTTCGTAGCCCTCTCAAGAAGCGTAATCCCGTCAACCACCCGTTGACTGTTTGGCTCAATAGCACCTCCCGCAAGCAGCGCAGGCATGATGTCGCGCTGGAGATACTCTTTTAAAAAGACACTCGGTCCAAGTATATGGTTAGGTAAAAGCGTTTGTTCGCAGTTCTATAGAAAAAGCTTATCTTTTCATAGCTGTAGCTTACAACGTTAAGCACCTTGACTCCGTGTGCCCAATCTGCTTCCGGAAAAAACATCAAAAGCCAAACTGAGGCTTGGCTCGCGTTTATTCACGGATGGGGCGTTGACAATGACCGGAAGTAAGGCAGCTACAACTGACCCTGGTTAAACTGCAATCTTGAAATAGGAAGCAGTGAACCAAGCTTAGGGTTCACGCAATCAAAGACGCAGATCCTACTTGATTTATACTCCGTTTCAATGAAATCTTTGAGAGAATAAACCACCGCGCTATGTTGATAATAAAACGCATGCCTCGCGCCGTACCGTTTAATCTTATCATGATGGCATAGAGAAGCCGTGGCAAGAATATTGCTATAACCCCAATGCTTCAAAATCTATATTGCGTATTGACCGACGGAAGTAGATGCTCCCCATATAAGAACCAAAGTGTCTTGTTCTCTAGGAGTGAAATTCTCCTAACGAGGCCACTAGAGGTCGATACCGGCTTTGGGTTAGGTTTTGGGTCCTAACCTCGGACCTAAGACAGGTTTAAGGTTATACTATGTGACCTAATAAACCCCTAGGTGCCAAGTAGGTAATAAATATTATAAATATACTAAGATTTTATACGGAGTGAACCATTTCATCGCTAATAACCTGCCGAATAGTTTGGACCAACTAGTGGCTAGCAATACCTATCTCACTAAGTTCTAGCTGCCTTCTATTCTTAAACAAGTAAATTCTTATTAGCATCTTCTTTTAAAGCATCACCTTGCTTATATAGAAAAGAATATAGGAATAGATAGTCTAGCTTGATAGCCGATCAACTCATATGCCCGTTAATTATTAGTAAAGTCTATTATAGAACTAACATAGGTAAGCAGAAGCGATATTTTCTTATTACATCAAACACTTATAACCTTTAGTATCCGCTTATTGCAGTACCCTATTCCGCTGGTAGCTTAATTAGGCTAGCGCGACTTATCTTTCTCTGCGTACACCTTTTATTCCTGTAAAGAATAATTTAACTTTAGATGTATTTGATCTAGATCCCCATCTAATAATATTTAAATCCAATTGTTCCTTATTCTTACATAGTGCAGATCAAGTGTCTTGATTGACAAGCAACCGGTAACCCATCAACTTGTAGGATCATAGGATGATCTCTAGGACCATGCCGGTGAGCGGTATAGCCTAGGCCTAGTCCCAATACTCTAAGGCCGCAGAAGGTTAAGTGCTCCCCCAACCAAATGTAAGCTCCCCGTCACAAAAGTCTGCATTCCACCTTCTTGGGCACTGATCTGTTTGGCGAGATTCAATGCCCCCTCAATAGTTGGCTCGCTTGAGACTGCAGCTTGACTATCGAAGTCTTTCCACAATGCAGAGTATGTAGCGCAGAGATCTGGAAAAGGTGTTTCGGGCACTTTGAGGGTTTTATCTGTCACGGGAATAATTAGCTCGTCACCTGTCTAAACAACTAACTTTGTTACTTGCCTATTCTCGTGGACCCATCGATTCTCTCCTGGTATGTGGTGAAGATGACATGATCTGGCCTCACATTGTATTCCGAAAGAGCATGCGCCAGACATTCCATTAGCGCCACTCCATCACGTTCCTCAGAGAAGTGGCTGAAGATAAGAACACGACACCTAGATCATATAATGCACTTTTAGTCGACTGAAGACCCGAAGGAAACAAGCTGGCCAACTAACCTCCGCGGATTCAGGGCATCGACGTTATTTGAAAACCATTCCGCTGCTTGTTTGAGACTCAGAAGGTTGTGCGCCCCATCCAAAAACCATTGAGACATCCCGTCTTCTATAACCTCGAATCTCCCGAGCCACGAAAAGTTGTCGATGCCTCTAGAAATATCGTCGGAGTCCATTGTATGGCCAGGTGCTTTGAGCTGTAAGAGCGTTCTAGCTAGCTCAAGGGCTAGGGAGGAGTTGAGTCGCTGTACTGGGACACTCAGCACCCTGGCATTGGTAGGAAGAGGATTATCAGTCGGAACGAACGTCAGACTAGTCTTCTTTTCGGCGGCACGATCACACAAGACTTTCATGGGTCCTGCTTCCTGTGGCACCGAGAATGCAGGTGCTCCAGGCTTGAATATTCCTGCTTTGTGCCAAGCAATGCTTTCGATTGTAGGGCCTAGCTGCTCAACGTGGTCCATCCCAAGGGAGGTGATCCCTGTCACGACAGGTCTCTGTATCACGTTTGTGGCATCGTACTCCCCGCCATGGTGAGTCTCAAATATTGCAGCGTCAACTTTTTCCCTGATGAATGTATGGAAAGCTAACAAAGCCAAAAATTGTAGGTACCGAGGCTGTCTCGTGGTTTCGACGTCCTGTCCTAAACCGAAAGATGCAAGGCTTTCCCACACCTCAAAAAAGTATTGCGTGAAAAGATCCTCCGTTATTGGTTGATTGTCGATCTGTATTCTCTCTCGGATGCATTGCAAATCTGGGGAGGTATATAACCCGATCCGCTTTGGAAATCCCGTTCTCAAACCATGCGCATGGAGAAATGAGCGAGTGAACGCGCATGTACTCCCTTTACCCTTCGTCCCAGTGATATGGATGATATTAATGTCGTTGACATCACTTTCCTAGGCCTAGTCAGAATGACAACCGTACAAACAAGATCCATTTATCATTCATACCGAGTGTCCCAAAATTTGCAGCCACTCTTTCATTCCAACCAAGCTGGGTACACCTCTCACAGTTTGGTTATCGTTAGGAATCGCTGCGTCCTGAAGGGTACGAGATAGCGGGGGGTTTTCGGTCGGGTTTTCCGCCTTCGCGTAGCTAGGAGTTTGAGGGCATTCTGTGTATTTTTAGATAGGACGCTATATATATTTGTCTGGAAATAATACCTCGTAGCTGCGCTTCATAGGGACGGTGAGCTAGAATACACAAGTGGAAGATGGGTGGTTGACTTTGACATGAGTGTTATCGTGGAGTAAGATATCTGCTCCTCTCGGCTGCGTGTCACTTATCGACACGTGATGTTCCTCGTGACCTCTTCCACATAATCAAACGGACTCACGCGGTAAAAAGAGTAGACAGGTCTCTACCCAGCCGTATTTCCACTCCGTTAATTCCGCTTTCGCCTCGATAAGCTCTCCTTGGCGAATCAAATTTCCGGAGAAAGAAATGGTTAGGTCCCCACGCTGAGTATTGAATCTCGAGTAAGACCCAAAAGCTTTGGGCTGGATGTAGCGGTATCGCGCGGAATCTGTAGGGCACATTCCGACTCTCGCAACATTCTTGACATTCTCATAACTAAGCTGTCTCTATATAAGCCATACGTTTTAGATAAGAATCACAATCATTCTCAATTATCTTTTTTGGTAGGGCTAATTGCTTCAACCTTCCACTTTACCTCGGAGAACCGTGACGCGGCAAGGAGAGTTAATGCAAGTTCGTGCCGAAAAGAGGTCTGCTCTCCGTGTTCTAGGCACATATAATCATATTCGAAAAGTATTCGACTCAAATGACAGTATGATTCTTCCGACTCTCCGTTTCTATAACTTCTGTCAGACCTCGAGTTCCGCACTATTAATAGTCGGACTTACAGTGGTTCAATGTATCTGTTCCTTGGGATCGCGTGGCAAACTAGTAAGATTGCTTGCCATCGCCACATACTCACATCCGATGGCGGCAAACGCTGTACTGCACAGTACTACACCAGAGGGCGTATAGAGAAGGTTCGTAGCCTGTTCAATTCCTTGTTGCAGGAAATTAACGAGAAAGAAAACAGCTTTTCAACAGCATTATCGAATCCAAAGTCACCCTATATAACCTTTGTCAAACATTCATCCCTTTGTTCTTCGCACGGATTTCGGTCACCTCAGCATCACTGCCCCACCGTTTCTGGGAAGACGAGCCTCGATGCAAAATCATCTCAGGGATAGATGACTGGTCCGGAAACGAGAAAATGAATAATGGTAAGTAGCAGCTGGTGAATCATGCTCCACTTGCTTGAAATTGATCTCCCACACCGTGAGGATGGCTTGATCAGTGTCTCCAAGACGAGTCGGAAACCGCAACAGGTCGTTTCGACGAGTCATATAGAGTTGATGATATTTTCCAGGAGTTCTATGCCTTAAGTGTAAGAATGCTCCTACATGCACCAAAGCAAGGGAAGCAATTTAAGAAGGTCCGCAATGTTCCTGGCTTCTTCTCCCAGTATGTGTAGGAGTCGGATGTCAAATCGCTCGAGGAGCGAATGTGTGGCGTCTTTCAGTGGAAAGTGGTTTTGTCACATGACTTTCCTCTGCTATTTCACCAATGAGCCCCTGATCTCGGGTAGTGAATATGACGTGACCCATGTTCATGACTCTTCTCTTGAATGGTGATGTTGAGTTTGAATCATAAAGGATAGCAATTCCGTTTCTTTCTTCTCCACTCATTGTGCAATTGTTTATGTGAACGTTTCTGTTGCAATAAAATGGTCTGCGCTTTGCAGGATTTCAGTGATTAAAAGGAACCTAGAAGTACACAATAGAGAGGGAGACACGTGTACCACTGATCAAGCAAGTGTCTTTTAATCGCATTAATCCAACACACACGTCACACTTCGAGTGCTAGAAATCGCGCGTGCCCAATTTGATGCATGAAGCGCGACGGCAGTGCGTGTACCAATCAAGCTGCTACCCTGCTTGGCTTTTGTTCAAGTCATTTAATTGGCATTGGAGGACTGGCCTTGGGCAAACAGATATTGTTCATCGGAATTTTCAAGTGACCATAATGTCGAGTATCTCCCACTTCCCAGATGTTCAAACAAATGCGGTTACTATGTCTCTACGCGGATGTAGAATAGTACCCCTTTGGACCTTGTAGCGATTTCTTGACGGGTTGTTGGGTTTTGGGCGGGTTTTGCGGTCTACTGTTTGTTGATTAATCGGCACCTCGTATGCATTGCTTCTAAATATTGTTGAAGGCGGTGACACAACAAGCTCCTGTCCCTGTCATTGGAAGGCAAACGTAGTTTGAAGGACCGGGCCGGCCCGCGCCACGGATCTCTTGGCGGCGGCTGGAATAGGAATATTTTTTTGCACGAGCTGGCATTTTGTTTACGTTCTTTTTCATCTATGAGTAATATCCTAATGCAACGTATACTAAATTTATCTCCACTTCGCAGTAAATCCAAATCTAGTCTCAAATTTATCCTATAATGACGGTATCTGTTCACGGTTCGGGATTCAAGCTCCTAGACTCTGCTTCTCTCTAGACCAGAGGTAAGTGCTCAGGGATCATTAAATTATATAACGTCCAAATGGGAGAAACCTGGTGCCATTGTGTCGCAGCACAGAGTAGTTGATATATGGGTTCAACCAACGGAAACACAAAAGACTCTGAATTACTATAATAGCTCCTTTCTGGCAATTTTGGGTTGTCAACGAACGCTGAGTCACTAAACAGCTTATGATAAGAACTTTTGATAATAAAGATCCAAAACGTTCAGAGTCAGTCTATTTGGTTTCCATCTGGTGTCACGTATGTAGTCTTGGACCCAACAACTGCATTCACAGCACCCTAAAACATAAGCATGCCACTGCTTCAAGTTCACAGTCACACCCTCGATGCCGACTCTAGAACCATCCCATTTTCCCACCTGGCAAGCGGACGGTGTCTCCAGGCCTTACGGCAGGTGCCTTTTCTGGTGGGTTTACAAGCCATACGGCATGTTGGTCTTGTCCAGGAGTTAAAGCATTGCTCTGAGGCTCCAGGCCGATGTGTACATCAAACTGGTAGAACTGATCGCTAACAGAGCTGTGGTGCTGCAAGTAAGCGGGATATTGTATACTGGTAGCGTAGAGGCGCTGGTATGACTGCCCTTTGGTGCCCATATGTTTGGGTCCTCATAGTAACCTTGTACGTCATTGGCCCCGCCTGTAACTCCCAAGCTATTCGACGTCGCCCACTGGCACTTGTATTTGAGCCCAAATGCTGATGTCGCAGATAGTTAGATCGTTGTTACGCTTTCGCGCGGATTTACATACAGGTTGAACCATCTGACGACTGTACTATCATCGCTATACCAAGTCCCTCGGCGATTGCCTGACCTAACAGGAGTTAGCGCGGAGACATCAGGAGGAGGCCATCTTGCGTAATATCCGAAAGTAGGCTACTGACTATTATTAAAGGTAACGGGGAGATATGAGGAGACTGTTTCCAGTGTGGGTTGGAAAGCCAACTGGGAGCTTGATTTCGGCCAACATGTCAGCAAGAGCTTCGATCTGTAGAACTGTAGAGTTGAGAGAACTCACTGGTTGGTTGGTCAATGGTTTGGGGTTTGGGGGGTATATGGCTGCCCGCCGGAAATAACCGCATTATCTTCATAGGGACTGTTGACTATATACGAATGATTGGTATCCCAGTTGTAGATATTGACAGCGAGTGAACGTGATGTCAACACAATTCGTGACGAACATGAATAGGACCGCCCCTGCCACGATTCCCATTCCAAGGACGGATACTCCAGCCACCATTGCCGTCCAGTCCACAGCAGTGACAATCCCGTCATCAATAAGCTCATCACCTGCTGCTGCTACAGTATCCTCCATTCCACTGGATGAATCCTGAGACGTCATGAAGCTTTTCAGATACTTAAAGACAACCGATATCACAATAGTGGAAATTATAGAGGCTGTGACCTCTATGGTAGTGTCGCCCCAAATGCGATTGGAGATAGATAAAGTCCGCCCACTGGATGAGTATGTACCAATTTGTGCAACCTGGGTGACCTTTGTACCATTAGAAGTTCCAGAGCTTCCGGAAACGACCGAACTCCCAGAACTCCCAGGCTCCGCGGTGTAGGAGGATAGGCATAAACCCACATGTACCCATCAGGATTATCGGAGTGTCCGGAAATTGACATGGAGTAGATAGTATTATCACTACCATTTTGAAATTTGAAGAAGGCCGCATCCTGCTGATTTTGGATGTTTTGATAAATCGGGTTCAAATCATTGGCTGCCATAGTGGTGCAATTCTGAATCGTGTTGTAGTCCCCAGATTGGTAGGCCTTCTGAAGAGCGGCTGGTGCGTACCCAGCAATACCACTCGCAGGCGCGTCTCCCTCATTTAGCACTGAGAGAAACCCAGAATTAGCATCAGTCGTCCGCTGCCGGTCAACACAGCCCTACCTTCATCCTTCAAGGCTCTTTTACGTATCACGTCTGGCACGTGGTCGAAGATCAGTGTCACAATTATCATACGAATACTGCATGAAACCGGGTCTATAGATGATCCGACGGCATAGCTTAGTAACTAGGATGGACCCATAAATAGTGGAAAATAGGAGTAATACAATACAGAGTCATTTACACCTCCAATTGGACGGATACAGTCGAAATCGTGACAATCAGCTTTGCGAGTCCACTGACTATAGTGTTGGTGTTGAATCAATAGAGTATAACTGCGCGAGGAGAATATGCAGGGATAGAAGGATGTTCGAGGGAGCTCTTCAGTCCATAAATAATCACCTTACAATGATCACATGATTGAATAAATCACTGGCGCCACAATACGTGGAAGTCAGGTGGACTAAGAACTGCAAACAATTACAGCTGCGATGAGGTCACCAAAAGTAAACTGCAGAAGAGGCAAGCATCCAGCACCGGAGTTGTGTCTAGATCATACGGATATCGAGAACCACGATTTGAAGCTAATAGCTGCATCTAGTAAGCTGCGGGCTAGGCCTCACCCCGCCATCGAGCGGACGGCACGCCCTCTGAGGATCCAAGATTCTACCTCAAACATCACACTCTGCAATTTGAGGGTTTAAGAGACATCCAACCTGAGCAGTAGTCCGTTCACCAAAGTTGAAAAAAGTCGAGATAAGAACTAGACACAATGCCGGGGATAAAGCCTCCCGGTTCAGATGCTCTGTAGATCTTCAGATTTCGTCTCCAAGTTGAAGCACTACCATCACCATCCGTATGAATATTGAGAAAGCCACCCCTTAACACACAGCAAGTTCGACCTACCAATCGGGATACATGGACAAATTCAGAACTTCCAAAGGAGCATGCTAGTCTCCAGTTTCTCCAGTCTCTTCTCTTTGGCAAAACTGCGCGGTCGATCACTGTGAGCCTTACATAATCGCCAATTGAGGTTGGTGATCATCGCCCTCTTCTTCCTCTGCTTGCTTTTTTACTTCTTCCGCCATGGCTCAAGTGTTCTACAGTGCAGACGAGAAGCCGAGGAAAAAGCGCGCCAGTCGCCCTAAAGTGCGCACCGGTTGCGTGACTTGCAAGTATGGCCCCCGATGGCCCCCTAGTCACAACCCAACAGCCACCCTGATCGTCCAAGTGCGGGGCTCACTGACAGCTCAATAGAAAATTTCACAAAAAATGCGATGAAACCCATCCGATCTGTCTAGTCTGTACCAGATACCGCCGAAATTGCGAGTATTATGAGACCCCCGACCGACGAACTCGGGCCTCGCGTCTGGTGAAGAACGTGGCGCCTGAAGGCGCGGTAGCGTTGGTTCCCCAGGTGCCCGCGCATCAAGTGGACCTCACCACACAGGAACAATATTTTCTGGACTTTTTTCGACGAAGTACCTCGTTCCAATGTGCAGGCTACTTCTACGATGAGTTCTGGCAACGATTGGTTCACCAGGCCAGTGAAGACCAACCCGCCATCCGTCATGCCGTCATTGGTATGGGTTCCATGAACTATCATTTTGTCCGATCAAGGGCTGGTCCCAGCCCCTGTGATCAACAATTTTCTCTGCGACAAATCAACAAAGCAATTCATTCTTTACAACGCAATCTAATCAAAGAGGGGATGGGTCGTCTACGAGTGGAAACTGTCTTGGTTGCTTGTGTCGTGCTGGTCTCGACCCTGCTTTTCCAAGAAGATGCTGTCTCGGCTGGTCTACACCTCCGCTCCGGTTACAAACTGTTGGAGCAATACTTGATGGAGAATGGCAACCAGAGTGATGTCGCTGCAACGCTCACTAGGGCTTTTGCCGGTACCCATATGGTCTGGTCTTCCTTCAATAGTAACGCGGTCCTCACTGGCGACCAACTGCCGATCCCTCTCTTGCTTCCTCCGCAGGCAGGTGCCACCGATGAAATCCAGAGGGCAAATGACTTGATGGTTACACTGGTGCGAATACTCTCGCATCAAAATAATGCTCACAGATCCAGCATCGAGTCGGTTGGCCCGACAGCTGAAGTAGACCCAGCTGATTTCGTGGGCAAGCTTCTAGGACTGCAGGGCCAACTAAGAGCGTACCGTGATATTCATAAACATCATTTAATCCAACGAGACTTGAACGCACTGACCATCCTTGAGCTGTGGGCCGAACTTCTTCCAATTATAGCAATGGTTGAGACTGGGCCAGGACCGAGAGAGATGCAATATGACAACTTCCTGGAGCACTTTCAGAGGATCCTTCAGTTGGCCGACTCGGTCCTGATGTCCGACAATATCGATGCACCCACATTCTCGGTCAACTTGGGGGTCATCCCACCCCTGTGTCTTCTCGCTTTTAAATGTCGCGACCCCTTTGTTCGACAAGAGGCGCTCTCTCTTCTCCGTCGTTCCCGCCGACAAGAAGGAATCTGGTCAACAGGATTGACAGCCTTGGTGGTACAGCGGGTTTACGAGATTGAATGTGCGGGCCTTAGGCCGGGAGATCTGATCCCCAACACATCTCGCATCAGATGCATGCATGTCGACGTGAGGACCACTGAGTCTCGATTATGCATCCTGTATCATACGGCTCGGGCGTGCCAAGGAGATGATTGCAGACACCTTGACTCGTGGGAAAGCGAATGGTTGGCATATAAATTCGGTCATTCGTAATTGACTATATGAATTCCAAGAATGTATGATGTGCTGAGGCAGAGCATCGAGGAGGCATATTGGGAAATGGGAGCCTCCAAAAGCCAACTCGGATAGACCAGAAAGGCACATTATCGGACAGGCATGGCGTACGTGTTGGAAGGCAAAGGCTTGTTCCAATTGCTTCGAATATCGCTCGACCAAGCCAATACCGTGTTCGTTCCATCTTGAAGTGTAGAATGTGGGATAGATAGACCGGCGCGGCGTGATAACTGCCCCTGCTCACTTATGCAAAAGCGCGCAGACTGGGTGGATGCTAGCTCAAAAGTGCAGTTATATTTTGAACGGTCTCTAATGGTAACTTCTCCGTGATGTGACAATAATCAATTGGCAATGGGGTTTGATTGTGGAAGACGAAACAAACAGTCTATGTCAACATACTAGGTAACTTATGGGGTCTGTTCATATAAAAAACGGCCTCCGACTCTTGGAAGATGGTCAGAGCTCCACTCCCGCCAAGATGGACCCCCATATCAAAAGTATTTAAATCCTTACTGTCTTGTAATCCTGCTTCCACGGATAATAGCAAAATTAATATAGTGTGAGACCATTATTATTCAAGTTCGTTTGTTATCTCACTGGTTGATGGTCATTTTCAGTACGCCTTCCCAATTCCTGTTTCTCGCCTCTCATCGGGTGAAAGAGGCAGTGTCCTTCACCAATTAATTATACAATTATGCATCCTGATGAAGCATTTTCACTCTGAGAAACTCAAGCTTATTCCCACTCCATGTAGTTCTAGGTCCTCTCTTGCGAAAATAAGACACTCACTTGAAAATAGGCAACCTAACAAGAAGACGGTGAAACCACTCAAGGGAGTATCACAACTTTCCCTTCGCCTTTTCCTGTAAGACATCATTGACCAGTGTCACTGTTTTGGCTGCGCAACCATACGATGCTTGGTACCCAAAACCCGCGTGGCCGTAGTTATGCACCACGGAGAGACCATTCACTCGCTCCTTTTCGACGCGTGGCCCATCATCTCTGAAAGGACGTAGTCCAACCCCATGTCGGATAATATCCAGCCCTTCAACACCTTGTCCTTTTTTCACAAGCGTAGGGCATAATTCAATGGCCCTTGTCATGATCCGGACAGCAAGATTAGAGTCCGGCAGTGGATCCCAGTTGTTCTTCTGGTATGAGCCTCCCAAAATCGTGCCACCTCCTATGGTAATGGCGGGTCAGTCATCAGAGATTCTTCTTGAAATAAAAACCGGTAATTATAATGCTTTACCTGCAGCTCGAGCCATCATATAAGCAACCTCATCTTCACCGTCATCGCATCCGGAGACCGAGTACATCGCCAAGGGATCGTTACGGACAACGACCACCTGTCCACGAATTGGGTAGAGTGTGTCATCTTGAACTCCGCCCAGGGTCTTTGAAGACAATCCAGTGCAGTTGACAACTGCGTCGGCTTTCTCGCCCGAGTGATGTGCATACCCTGCTTCAGCCACATGTTTGAATGTGTCCCTTTTGAAAACGACTCCATTCTTGCAACATTGACCGAGCAGCCAGGGTAGGTAAACTGCAGTGTTGATGCACACTGATGTAAAGCGCGAGCCATTCTTAATTCCAGGGCCCAGCTTCTCTGTTGGGATATCTTCAAACTGTTGTATCCCGTTTATCTCATGTAAGTTACTGGTATGAAGAGAATGTCCAGGTTTTCTTACATTGTCCACGAGCTCTTTGTACCACGGATCCTTCTGGACAAGCTCTGCAAACCACCGCCCTGTGGCAGAGTTGGCGTCTTTTTCGCGGCTAAAGACAAGTGTCGCTGTTCGTATTTATAATGAGTCAGTGCCGTATCATTGCTAGTTATCATCCGATCAACTTCGACTCTGCACATACGTTGGAAACAAATGCCCGCCTCGGGATGTTCCTCTGCCAGTTGTTTTAGGACTGACCAGCTGGCTCGTTCCCATTCAGCGTGAGCCGTGTTTGGCTTTCCAACTCTGATTCAATTCAATACAATTAGTGCCTCGGTATTCCAGGAATTTCTATTCACGCAAATTGTATTATACTGGAGAGGACTCACGGAAAAAAGCTCGCACCAGCCCATGGGGAGCAATATTCAATATCATAGTCTCCAGGCATATGTTTAGCCACTACCGTGATCTCCTTTGAGGGATCCTGGGACAGAAGCAACGCCGTGGTAAGTCCAGAGACTCCCGCACTAAAGATTGTCAGTATACCCGTACCCATGATAGGTCAATTACAATATAGAGACATACCCCAGAATTACAATCCTGCCAGCTGCCATATCCGGAGATGCTTTCTATGAAAGAGAGCAATGTATAATTTGAGATGGGACCGAATCTGGATAAACCAAAGGGAAAGACTGGCGAAAGATGAGGGGTGGCTATAGGCGATATGGGAATGTGAAACCTAAAGAGGCATTGATATCCGGAGCAGCAAGGCTGGGCAGAGTCGAGTTTACCATGGCCCATACTGACTCTGTAGCTCGGGAGGGCTGTCAAGACCTGTACTGGCAGAGTTTAGACGCGGGGAATGAGGCTTCTAGAGTTCAGAAGAGAGGAGAAGCGCAAATGATTGGCTCGCGATAGCAAGCACTAGGTGCGTGATGACACTAAACCGGTCGATCAAGGGAAAATATACAGCGCGCTCCGAGAGCGCGCTTTCAGATAAGGCCATTGCTTAGAAAGGGATAGTTGGTTGGTCAAGACTGGCAATTGGCGGGGAAGGGGTCTTTCCGCAAACCTTGGAGAGTTTGATTGTTGAGATAAGCTTCAATTCTTGAGTACAAGAAGTCTCTCTTTTCCTTATACATTTCCATCTTTACAATTGTGTGTTTCTTATTACCGCCTCATATTCCCGTCTTTGCTGATGTTCATACCAACATTAGTCCACCGACAGGATGTATTGAATTAGAACAAATACAAACACAATACATACAAGATGACTATTCATTCAGAAAAAGAATCGACAAGAGATATTGAGGCTTTACCGGGGGATGATACCCTCAAGGGGCAAGTACTTGCCGTGACGGAGGGGAGTACACATCGTGGCATCAAGTCCAGACATGCACAGATGCTCGCCATCGGTTCGTTTTTACTATAGTTAAAGTCAAACTTGCCTTTTTTTTCTTCTTTTCTGACCCGTCTACCAGGTGGTACCATTGGCACTGGTCTGTTTGTTGGCTCTGGTCAAGCCCTACAGTTAGCGGGGCCTTCAATGCTGCTCGCGGGTTACACTACTATCTCGATCCTCGTTTACGGAATGATTACAGCCACAGCAGAGATGAGCAGTTATCTGCCTGTTACCGGATGCTCAATGGCATACTATGGAAGCCGCTTTGTCTCACAGAGTCTCGGATTTGCTATGGGGTGGCTGTACTGGTATTCTTTCGGGATCCTTATCGCCTACGAGATCACTGCCGCCTCCCTTGTCATTGATTACTGGCCCAACTCTGTTCCCATTGGGGTATGGATCACGATTATGCTCATTGTGATTGTGGGGTTGAATTTCTGCCCGGTCCGTTACTATGCTGAAACTGAATTCTGGTTCGCGTCCCTAAAGGTCTTTATGATCATTGGATTGCTACTGCTTTCTTTCATCCTCTTCTGGGGCGGGGGACCAGATCGCCAACGCCTGGGCTTCCATTATTGGAAAGACCCAGGGGCGGCAAAAGAGTATCTGGTGGGGGGTTCTGGCGGGTTCTTTTGTGCGTATTTATACGTGACTACGTTCTCTGTCTTTGCATTCAACTTCGCGCCAGAGCTCTTGGTCATCACAGCAGGCGAGATGCAAGATCCGCAGGGAAATCTCCCCAGGGCCGCAAAGCGTTACTTCTATCGCCTTATTATCTTCTACATTGGAGGCGGAGGCTCATTGGCAGTTGGTGTAATATGTAGCAGCAACGCTTCAGGGCTGACAAACGGTACGGGCTCCGCGGCTTCGCCTTGGGTAATCGCCATCAAGAATGCGGGAATACACGGTCTGGACAGCGTTGTCAATGCTGTGATCATCACGTCTGCCTGGTCATCCGGAAACTCTTATTTATATATGTCCAGTCGAGTACTCTACTCACTCGCAATCAGCAAGAATGCCCCGGGGATCTTCACTCGTTGTAACCGATGGGGTGTTCCGTATGTTGCGGTTTCTGCCTGCTCAATCTTCGCTTTACTTGCTTATCTAAACCTCAGCAATAACACCAGTGAAGTCTTCAACTGGTTGATAAATCTCACCAATACTGCTGGATTTACTTCGTGGGTGTGCTGCAGCATCATCTTCATACGTTTTCGTGCCGCCTGCAAGGCCAAGGCATCCCCACTTCCAGCCTACCTTATACTTCGATCACTCAACCGTGGATGGCATGGTTATGTATGTTCATGTTCGGAATTCTCTGCCTATGCAACGGATTCTCTGTATTTTTCCCCGGTCACTGGTCTGTCTCTTCCTTCCTGACGGCGTACCTTGGGTTGCCGGTGTTCCTTGGCATTTATTTCGGCCATCGTCTTTACGCTTACAAGCATCCTTGGGCTTACAAGCCCGAAGATGTAGATCTGCAGTCAGGACTAGACGCCGTGCGGGAGTTAGCCGTGGGAAATGGCGGGACAAGTGAAGAGGCTGATATACCTAGATTGCAAAGATGGTTGAACGCAGTCAAAGTCTTATGGGAGTAGTACAGAGCATGGGGCCAAATTCCCACGGCTGAGTTTGAATAGTTTTGTATAACGGTTGAACAAATGAATGATGCTAGATTAAGTCGAGAAAATTTGACTCCCCTTCCTTTGCCTAGCGATCAATCAAAAGGGCGATGGAAGAGCTTGTGCAATAGGGACTTGTGCGGCAAATTGGTATCTCAAATTTCAACAAAGCCCAGACAGAACAAATCTTACGGGATGCACGGATCTGACCTGGACTCAAAAATGATCCTTTCTTTAACAGACTGAATTCGTGGACCGGAAACTCGCAAACGGACTCGGAGTCATCGCTTATCCACCTCTTAGGTATATGAACCCTATGTACCATTCCCCGGGCACGCCTCTTTTACAAGACCCATTCTTAATCCTATTGCGGAGATAAGGGATTTTGGTGGCCCAGCTCGCACTTGCATGATATATACACCGCGGTGTAACGGTCATCCCAAAAAGCGAACATGAAGAGAGAGTTTTGGAGAACTTTCCAGGCGCAAGACATTCGTTCGTCTGATGATGATGTTCAAGCTATCAATGCGTATGATAAAAAGACCCGGTTGCTCAACCCCAGTGATGCCTGAGGAGTAAAGCTGTTCGATGGGTTGGATGGTGTCTAGCTTTTGGGCAGGCAACTTGGCCGTGTATGTGGAAATGAGTTCACAAATTGACTTCCGATTTGGATGTTAAATATTATCACTTCATGCTTTCTTGAGCACCGGGATCGCACAGATACGCATCCATCGTTGGGGCCCTTCCTAAGAATTCCTTCAAATTTTCCATCTCGTTTTGACTTCCTCCATGTGCCAGGATCATATTTCGGAATCTTGGGCCAACCTCACTGCTCAAAAGTTTCAAGCAGAAGTTGGAATGCCACATATCAGCAGCCAAATTGCGAGTTGCTAGAAGACAAGTTAATAAACAGCGTGCAGCTTTTTACTGACGAATTGGAGATATCACACTAGAGACAGGAATAATACTTCCATTCTTGCTCCCACATGTAACGCGACGTCGTGACATGACCATTTCCTCAACCAACCCTACCTTCAGGTCCATATAGCCGGGTCTTTCCCCGCAATCTGTTGTAAACCTCACCAATATGGCATGATTCAATATGCTGCTGAGTCTCGGGGCAATGGGTTTGCCTGTCAAATTTGCTGAACGTAACTTGTCTCAGAGTAAAAATTCCTTGATTGACCTGCCGGGCTGCTACAGAGCTGCCAAGAATTTCACCGAGAATCTCTAGGAGGCTGCACAGTATACTTCCCATGAGATAACCTTTTATCAGAGGTAAGAATAGTAACAATTGAGCTTTTGAAGACACTCATGGACCCCACAGTAGATTCGAGCAATTAGCTAGGCGCTTCAACAAAGTCTCTGACTACTCGATGTCCATGAAACATGGCGTATTTGGATCTTCCGAGGAGATCATGTTTGCCAAATATGATATTATTGACGTTTAGTATAGAAGAGAAGAACTTCACCTGTGGTTCCAAATTACCATGCCCTAGCTCATGGAACATTGTGATCACTCCTCAGTGCTCTTGGAGAGCAGACTTGTGGGGTAATGACGTACCTAGGCCGTGGCAGTTGGGGGATGATCCTTGCCAAATATAGAGCAACAATTCTAAGAGATATGAGTAGGAAATATTCCAAGATTGGTAATTCACTAACTGGATAGATATTGAAATTTGCCACATGGCTGAGCTTGTCCTCACGGGGATATATATTAATAGAGAAAGATCCCAGAAAATTCGAAGTTTCTGGTATCTTGAACACTAAAACTTGAACGTCGGGATTCCAAATTTTCTTGTTAGTGATGCCTTTGACCACTCTGATTGTCAGGCCAAAAGGTCAGTAGAATCCGTTACTGAGTGCTGGACTCCCTGTAATATTTCATCTAACTATCGTTCTACAGACCGACTTCGTACCTAACCTGGCTCATTTAGTCCCTGAAGCGTCACCTTAGGCGTTATTTTCGAAACACTAGGTACCACGTGCAGAAAGACCGCGGGTAAGGAGCTGGGAAGTGAGTGAAAATATTAAACAAGATCTATATACGCAGCCTCAAAGGAGAAGTCATAGGAAATTCAATGTAGCATCCGATTGATAAGCCTTCTGCCTTTCCGGTGATTGGCCTGTCATTTCCGGAAATTACCGACTGCAAGCTCTGAAGACCTCGGGACCCACCGGTATTTATCTGATCAAATTTGGCTCTTCACTTGGCATTATTAGCTTTCTTAATTCACCGCGAAACCCGAAGTTTGTGCGAACGCCGAGCATTTTCGTCCCAAGGGAACCCGACGCGTTGAACTAGGATGATCAAGGGTCCAGGGCCCATCTAGCACTGCCCCCCGGGTAAGACACGGCCGAGAGAGGATTACCCAAGTTGACAGAGAACAAATCGTATTCGTGGTAACCCTTTTCGGGTCGTTTTTGCATCGGAGTGAAAAGCTTTTTTCCATGTCACTCGAGCTAAACCAATGGGAACTTTGCGGTCTCCCACATTTAATTTCTGGTTGCATCTGATAAAGAGGATTGGCGACAACTGGATCTCTGGCTTTTGCCAAATGATCCCTTATTAACCACATGCAGTAAATGCGTGAAGCCTATTTTATTCTGAAATGCTCTGCTTCGGCTGGGAAATATGACCTCGCGTACGCTATTCGACTCAGTCCTTACTATGTTTAGACAGGTTGCAGTGAACACTGCCCTGAATACTAGTGCTGCTGCAGGCCATAACTCCTACATGTAAGTCGGCATGGACCTTGGGAAATACACGGCTGATTTACCTTTTTATCCGACTTTCTAGTTAATTTGTGTATATGCTGCTGACTGGCGCTGGCCTCCGGTCCCATTAGTAATTAATACCGTAGTAATTTTCCGGTAAACGAGATAAAGCCAATACCGTCACCCGGAAGAATTTTTCAAACTTTATCTGATTGATTAGATCAATTTTGACTTCGGTGTGTCATCACCTCCAATAGTTCCCTATATCACACGACAATTGAATTGTGTAGAAATTTATAGTCCTAACACGATAGACCTAATTTGTTTTGGTATTTTGGGTTTCGAATCTCCCCCTCTCTTCGGCGGCCCTGCAAGTTTGAAAAGGTTCGCGGGCAGTGCCAAAGAAAATGGATCTTCGCCATGTTTGCCTAATGGCCTAGGCGTAAGTTCTATTCCCACCCTATCAGAATGGCAGAATAATATCTTGCATTCCGGCTTCCTTTCCTATTCGGGACTGAAAAGGAATCTCGTGGGTAAGTTGCGCGGAGTAAGGCTCCATTTCATTTATGGCACGAGTACCAAGAAATAGCCAAATCCACTGTTTGCGCTCTTGGCATAGCTTGTTATCTGATGCGTTTCGGATCGAAGAATCTTAATTAATGAGGGCCTTCCCCCATTGGGTTGTGTTTATCCCGGAATTTTCTGTCATACTTAGATTTTAAACTTGTTTCCAAATTTTCGATGAGTGACTCCAAGGCTGCTGCAAAAATACTGCGTCTGTCCCATAATGAATGGAGCAACAAGTATTTCGCAATCGCTATCGGTGCGATTATGGTTCTTTTTGCTGTATTCCACTGGTCAAGTGTGATTTATTTTCGTTATGGCCCCAAAAAGAGGCATCCTACTTTGACTCGCAAGTATAGGTACGTTCATTCAAAACAGGGCTTAGTACGATACTGACGGTTTGAATGTTACAGAGAAACTCGACGCTTTCTTTCCAGTTCACCGCTAGGACTGAGGGCAGATCGGTCTATTCTATATACCATCTACTGGGCTATCAATCTGATCCTAGTTTTAACCAATGTTGACTTTACAGAGCTCATTAATGTGAGTTGACCTCGTCATTTTTTAGTCATGGTATAGACTTTTACTGACGGACTCCCAGGTTGCCAAACGATTCGGCTGGTTCGTGCAGCTCCTTAATACCTTCCAACTTTATAGCACAGAGACTAACAAGGACCAATCGACAGGATTTCCGTCGCAAACTTGGTGCTTTTGGTCTTCTTAGCCTTGAAAAACACACCGCTCGCACCATTGACGGCCAGATCATACGAGAAGCTTCGCCCGCTTCACAAAGTCGCCGGCTACACCTGCATTTTCACAAGCTGCTTGCATGGTATAGTGTACCTAAGTGCCTGGTCGGAAACAGGGAACCTCGAATCAATGAAGGAGACCGAAAACTTCTGCGGTCCGATTGCTGGCATGGCCATGATGATCATCGGTCTTTCCACCATTGCCTACTTCATGCGAGCCTTCTACGAGCGTGAGTTTCCCTGTCAAGTCTTCCCTCGTCGATGCTAACGAGATCTAGTCTTCTACCTGCTACACATTGTCATGTTCATCTTAATCATGATTACAGTAGGGATGCACCGTCCGAAGTTCTCGTCGTCAACCCTGGTTATCGTGATTTTTACTGCCTGCCTTTGGACTCTGGATCGCTTTATTCGAAGTGCAAAGCTAGCTTGGAATTTCTTCGGAAACTTTGCCACTGTCACGGCGCTGCCCGACAACGCCCTTCGGGTGAAACTCAACCGCCGCATGCATTCCAGTCCTGGATCTCATGCCTTCTTGTGGGTACCTGCCATCCGCTGGGTTGAAAGCCATCCGTTCACTCTATTGTCTTCGAGCCCGACTGAGTTCGTCATTCGAGTGTATGATGGTTTTACAAATGACTTGTACAAGGCTGTGCAAGAGGCGCCAGGGAGATGCTTGCGTTGTTCTGTTGACGGACCATATGGCCAGATCCCTAATTTCAAGGTGTTTGACCAAGCTGTACTTGTCGCCGGCGGCAGCGGTGCCAGTTTTACTCTTGCAATTGCACTGGACCTGATCGAAGCATCAGGAAAATCGGTCAAGACCATTGATTTCATCTGGATAGTGAGAGGAAGTGGTACGTTTGACACTTGGATGCACAGAGGATATTCTTTTATTCGCAGTAACTAATCCTATCTGATAGAGTCCCTTCAATGGTTCACCCAAGAGCTCAAACAGCTTGAGAGCCATCCGAATGTGAATGTACTCATTCACGTCACTCGCGCCACTGACCTCTCTGGCACATCCTTGTCCACCACTCCAGAGTCGCATTCAGAAAAGGCTTCTCTGAAAGACGACGTGATTTCAATAGAGCCTGCTCCACTGGGCTCTCAAATAAATGATCTCGAGAAGGGTGCGTTAGAAATGGCCACGGGCTCACCTTTATCTATAAATGAGATCCGACCTGGACGCCCTGATATTGGCAAGCTTATCGCTGCTGCTGTCGCTTCAAGCAACAGCATAAACGACCGCATCATTGTCGGTGCTTGCGGTCCTAGTGAATTGATGAGTACGATACGCAAGGCTGTTTTCAGTGACGTGTATAATGATGGACCTTCACTAACGCTCTACACTGAGGTAAGCTTACAAGATGACCCCAGGCTGAAATTGACTTTGACTAAAAGCACTTCTCAGGAGTTCGAATGGTGAGGCGATATCAAACACATAAACTACAATAGCGGTGGTTATTGGGCTTTTATTAAAAATGGAGTAGATTATTTAGCTGCCCGGTTATGACTTATGATCCTTAGGAAAAAAAGCGTCTGAGACTTTGGCTCGAATACTTACCTTCTACGACAGTCTGACGAGGCCATCAGCCCAAAACTAATTCTGCCGCATATTTATAGCTAAGGTATAGTAAATAAAGTGAGTAGAGAAGGGGTAATTATAGTGATATAGTAATAGTTTTAATACCCCTTTAAATTCTACCGGTTAAAAATTCAATTTTTTTAATACTCCAAGACTAGTTTCCTAATAAAACACTTAATTATTATAGATAAGGTTAAATCTTATCTTCTATAAAAACCACTCTCTAAAGCAAAAACTGTTAGAAAGTAAGATAATATAAACTAGACCTTGACAGAGGAGTTTTAAGTCCCGTGGGGGTCGCGTGGGGGTCATTTTCATGGGACTAAATTTTAGAGCTTAATGCAAAGGCCCCGATCATTTACTTAATTAGGTAATTCTCTAGCCTAATTAGGTAGTCCTATGGGAAACGGGACTAGGTTTCTAAAAAGTCCCATGGGAAATGTCAAGGTCAAATATAAACTTACTCTTCGGTTTACGATAGGCAGTCTAAAAAACGGTCTAAAAAACGGTCTAAAAAGCGGTCTGTCTAATAGTGTTAAATCATTTGCTATGTCACTAAGGAATATGTAATTATCCAAGGCATAGAGGGGGTAAGGGAGGCGGTGAGAGGTTTGTATGGGGAAATTAGTTTTGAGCTGATGGCCTTATTTGACTGCCGTAACCTTCACCTCTAGAAGCGTCCTAGATCAATATTCTTTGTCACATGTTGCGTGTCCGATTCCTTGATTCCTTGATATATTTTGGAATTAGGAACAGAGGTATTCAGAACATCACCATGATTATTTATCAGTAGTCCATAACATCTTTCAAATTCCTTCTATAGCATAGTCCTCGAAGCTTTCGTCTCTTTATCCAGTAAAGCTGAGCTATCTGCGATTCTTTTATCATCTTGCACGGCTTTCGCTCTCGCTGAGAATTGATATCACCAGGTGAATATATCTCTTTATTTGCAAGTGAAAGATGACGCCTTGTCGGGATTTCCTTTGGTATAAGTCAACATTTTTGGATAGGGGCACAATCGTGCTGTCCTGGTGGGTAAATCCGCGCTCCCAGTGGCTGTGGGTGTTGCAAGTGCGAACAGAGTATCGGGGGCTTTTCCACGTTCCACCCAATCAACCAAGGCCTTGAAACCATCTCCGGGGAACCATCCTGGCCCTCCGCTGCAATGTTCTACACCAGGGGCGGAAAAGAAGCGGTAGTAGTCTCCAACTTTGGGATCGAAGGCTCGGACGCGGTCATAGTAGTCCACTGTGCCATTGTAGAAGGCATATGGATCCTTCATTCCGTGCCAGGTAATCATTCTGTTTCCCAACTTCTTAAATTCAGCGAGATTGGGGTCACGAGTTCCAATAACGGACTGGAACTCCGTCACGGAATTATGAAAGAGTTGTCGGAACTCTTGGAGACCAATTGTCGATAGATCCAGCAACGGATTTTTCGATAGAAATGTTGCAATCCAGTCGGTCGAGAGGAAGAACGGAGTAGGCTCACAGACGTCCGGCGAAGAACAGTTCGTCCCACCAAGCCCTGTGAGAGGAGCATCGTGGGTTAGGCCGTACCATAGTGAGGATCCGTCTGAATCCTTGGGACCAGCCCATACAGAAGCTGCAAACTTCGCACTTTTTTGAGACAACGTGATCGTATCGTTCAGGTTTGTGCAACGCACTTTCTTCCCGACGAGTGTGAAAGCGTCGAAATGGCAGAGACCTGGCATAGAAACAATGCCATCTTTGACACCATCAAGTTCATCGCAAGCTTTGATAGCAAAATTTGTTATAGCATCTAATTCACAGGATGATGGATAATAGTCTAGTAAAAAAGGAATTAGCGACTTTCGGCATTTTTGACGATTCTTTTTCAGACTTACCGAGCTCCTGCATCAACAATGGAGGCCAATACTGGGCAGGAATGAATTCATCCCAGTTGATAGCCGGAGATCCCGCTAAAATCCCATCATACTGCGCTGGGAAATGTTGTGCCAGCATATGGCCTTGACGACCCCCTGTAGAACAACCGTTGAAATACGAATATTTAGGCAGGGATCCATAGAATAACCGCGTGGCAGCTTTGCCGAACGAGGAGGCCTCGTCCAGAGTGATAGAACTGAAATCTTCAATAAGTGGCCAATTCAAGTCGTCACCCTTGAGCGCCCATGATTGAATGCTGGCTGAGGCTGAGTGGCCGCCATCGGTGGAGGCCGCAGAATAGCCCTCAAACACAGGTTGAGCGAGCGAACTTGCTGTACCTGTCACCCACCCACTGCCACCCATACCGACGAATCGGCCATTCCACGAGGTGATGGGAAGCCAGACCCACGTATTGATTGTATCGTTTTGGCCGACATGGGTGTATGTGATAGTGAGTCGGCAAACTCCCACAGTGCCGCTTTTAGTGCTGGGGAACGCGTTGACTAAGTCGCTTGGCGATGGCCAAGTAGTTTGAGCAACCACAGAATCGATTGAAAGAACATCGATGTTGGGCAGAGTGAGAGACTCGAAAGTAGCATTTGTGCACGCTTTCGTGGTATTCCTTGGGGGACGTGCCACAGCTAGATCCAAGATCTGGAGCAGTAGCACTAGTATGCACGAGCGATAAAGAGGAATCAGCATCTTGGCGATGTGAGCTGGCTGGCAGAACAACTGAAGATTCTCAACTGAAAGACATCTGTAAGCTTCTCTGGACAGGGAATATCCTCCATTTTATAGCTTACTCTCGGGAGAGCAAACAATTTTGTATGTAGTTTGCCGAACAACATTCATCCAGCTTACGCCATTCTAGTCTCTTGGCCTGTCACGCCACGGCCTTAAATCTGACTGTGCCTTGATTTAATATCGCTGGAATGAACTTCCGATATCTTTCTTCTCTGGTTGGACGAATACAGGCCCCGATGAGCACCGACGTCTCGGCACCGGTAAATTGACAGTTCATACACTATACCTAGGCACAATGCTTGACCCCATTATCCCTATTCGGTCTAGCTAAGATATTTTGCCCCGCCATATAATCGCCCCAACGGAATATTTTCTCTCAGGCAAAGATATTTACTTTGCCGGCATGTGGTGAGCGCAGGAACAGCAGACTAAATAGTTCTGTGTACTAGCTCAAGCAAACAATGGGGGCTGATCACTGAGGCAAGCATGCTATGTCAACATGTTTCCTCCTTCATATCGTTTTACATTCGCATCATACAGTCCCTGGGTGAATTGAGAAGCTCTTTAGATTAAATAAAATGAGGAAAGAACTCAGCAAGGTAATAAATGCAAGGTCGAGGGGTCAGGTTTCAGTTCTCCCAGTCGTGGTCGAATTTTACTCAACCTGGCGTGCCAAGGAGTGAGCACTAGAGTCGAAATGGAAGCAGCGAAACCCAAGTTGTGCTCAGCCAAAATATCCTCCACGGGACATTTTCATGCAAGAATGGCGATTGGTTTAGATAGGACAGTCAATCTTGAGCTAAAAGTTTTCACCTTTGGTAGTAGTTCACCGGCGTCTATCTGTTCTACCTCTTCGAAAACAAGGCTTGAAAGCCAACGTCTTTGGAGCCGGTCATGGTAATGGGGCCCCTCTAGTATTGAGACTTTGATCCAGGGACATGAATCGATTCGCCGTATCCAACATGCGCCCTCAGGATCCCCGAAGGCTATGAGACCTGGTCATTGACCGAAGAATATCCGACAAAAGATTTCTGACCCTGCTTCTCGGCATCAGCAAAAGTGTAGTTCACGGTGAGAAAGTTATCAAAGCGGCATAATCACCCGAGTCAGACAGCGGTAGCAAGTTTATGTCGTGCTTGTTCTGCAGTTGCACCGGGCTCGAAACTGACCAGGCCTAGAGGATGTAAGTTATATTAAGACCAGATTCTCCACTCAAGCTTTTGGCCTGCAGATTGTATCTATACGAACGACAAGACAGTCGCAGTCGTTCGCACAGGCACAATGGGTCTTCCAACTTTCACCAGAAATTGCCCACGGCGCCGACAAGTTGACCTAGACTATGCGCCTCAAGCCACTTACCCCGGAAAGACTTGCAAAGCACAAGGACTCGTTGAAGTAGACTCGCAAAACCTTTGGTACGCGAAGGTATGAGGGTCCAATTTCGATGAAACCGCTGACAAATTCTACGACAACACAGCCGAGAAGCGCGAAACCCGCCTAAGAGTATTTACCAGGGAAGTGGCTGCATAGTAGGACACAAGACACACAAGCGCATGGCAGATCCTCCGAAAGTTGAGATCCTCGTTCCAACAAAGCCGCCACACCCCTCGCCGGTAAGCAGCCTTCACTTGAATAGGACTACCACGAACTTATGGACAAGCCGAGCTTCATCCCCTCGGTCAACAGCTGTGGTCAAAAATCATCGGCGATGTCACGGCTTCAGATAAATCTATTCAAATGTTGGCTGATACAATAAAGTATGCAAAATATCTATCTCCACAAGATCATTCCGGTAGCTCTACCACGGAATTTCAGCTCCATCGTACTGGTGAAAGCCCTAGGCGTTCTCCATCCCCGGGATGTGAATTTTAAGAAACTTCACATTTATTTCAGCTCCATCCTTGTCGACAATATCAAGGGCTCCTTTGATACTGGTTTCAACGTCAGGTTGTGCCCAATCGCCTCCCATGTCAGGTTTCACCCACTTTCTAAAATTCAATAAGAAGCAGGGTAAATAATAAATATAGATACTTACACCAGGACAAATAGAAAAGAACGCAAATCTATCATTTTCATACTTAATCGCATACTGCGCGGTCAGACTGTTCAAAGCAGCCTTAGAGATCTTGTATATAGGATACGGTGCCTAGGCAAACTTCCGCGTATTTGAAATAGCGCCTACACTCGAGCCCGTACGAGAGAATCCAGTTAGTAACAATGTATCGCGATCGGATTACTAGGGAGCTTATAAGCTTAAGACCTTCTTCTGATTTCCTTCTTTTAGTAGCGGTAGGAGGGCAGATATGACGTTTTGCACAGTTTCGACATTAACTTGGATTGCCTCTATCGAATTATCTATAGCGGCAATACCGTCCGGGGTGGTGGGCATGATACCGGCGTTGTTGATAAGGACATCTAGGCCGTGGGTGTGAAGTCTGCTTTTGACCTGCTTGACTACTGTCCCAATGCTGCTCTTGTCTAACACGGCCATGTGTAAGATAACTAGGCGACCGTTTGAGTTATCTGCCAGCTTCTAGAGTGCCTCGCTAGGTGAATCGCGGATTGTGGCGAAGACTGTAGAGACCTTCTCTACGGGGTGTTAGCTGAGTTAGCGAACGAATTCGAGACCGAGGCCTCGTCCGGCTCCTGTCACCAAGTATAAAGACATTTCTTAACAACTGGTGGCTGTTGGTTGCCAAGCTGTGCCAAATGCGCAGTTATGTTTGAAAGAATTGAACCCGAAGATTTAATAGGTTTTATATTATTTGTTTCTAGCTTATGAATAAGTGAAGCCAGATGATGTATTAGGTGATGTCTATCCCCGACCAATCACCGGTAAACTCCATCGTTATCCTTGTTTAGCTCGCGGTCAACTTCCTAACTGGTAAAGTCTTGGCAATAGCAACCGAGCCTGGAGATCTAGATCATAAGTTACATCATTTTATATTGCTCTTTGTCTGTACATCCACTTATATACTACGGGTATATAAGCCTAACTTCACTCTAATTTTCATAGTTAGCGGTTCCAATCGCCCTGGGATTCTTAATGACAGAACGACTCCTTCAACAAAGGTAAAGCGGCCCTGAATCCTCCATCAGTCGCAATAAAGAGATTGCCCACACCTGCGAAGTTTATTAACTCATGATGGAGACATTTCAACATTGCCTCAATGCGGTGTTCATAGGCTTTCCGTGTGCAAATCTCAGGAGTTCCTTGGACTGATTCACTCAGGAGAGACCGGGGGGGGGTTGTACTTATAACAAGATTCATTTCTTTCCCGTTGCAACACACGCATTATAACCAAGAGGTTGGATTGCTTCGGGAATTCGCCAGATTGACCACATCCATACCAGCTGCATCAAAAAATGTTCTTGAGATCCATATGACTGGTAGTCAAGGGGTAGTTGGACAAACGATCCAAAATGGATACTACCGCTTATGATAAGTTAATCTCAAGCAGAAGCATAAGCTCTTCGCGGTAGTTCAGGCATGTTCCTCACTCAAAGTTCTCTGGCTCAACGCGCCTGAGCGTCGATCAAGCGTTAACACAGCCGCAGCCCCGCCTTGATGCGGCTCAAGCGTTCTTCCCCTTTTTACTCGAGTTTTAATGCAAAGTCAAAGTATGTCCTTTCTCTTTCTATAGACACCTGCTCAAATTCTCATGGCGGCCTCATCCACTCCACATGAAAACATCACAAAAAAGCTCAAAACGAAAATATGGCCTCCAGGCCCCGAAGCACTCAGACCTGAGAAGCAGGAGAAACGTCACCTCCCAGAAGTGCCTGCCGAGAGCTTTACCAGTGCCCCAGTACCTAAAAGTCCGCTAACAAAGGGAAAACAACCAGCTGAAGAGAGCTCTGCCTACTATGAAGCCGGTGGACGTACTTTTAAAACTGTAAAGAGGAGCAATCTTGATTATATATTGAAGCCACAGAAAGAAGATCAGGGGAGAACAAAATTTCTACCGGCCACGAAAACGACAATTATGAACAGGGATCGAAAACGAAAGGCAAACAGAGAGACGCAGAAGAAGACTTGCCTCCTCCAATCACTGATTGGATCACGCGCGTACCATCTATGACATCGGATGACCACCGAAGTTTTGACAGCTTAGAGGTACGCTCGTTGGATTCTCGCGCCACACTATCGCCAACCCATTCTTACCGCGATTTCCGCGACTGGCTTTATGGGGGTCCAAACAGACAGTTCGCCAGCTCCTCCTCTCAGGAGAGTCTCTCAGAACACCCCGAGATACCAGCTTTGAGAGACCTGCCGGTCCCAAGGAACTATTATACAAATGAATGGACATTCTCTCAAGGTTTTGGACAACTCCGCAGTCCCCTTGTGGAAGCATCGCATTGTGGTGATGCTGCTACTCTCAACATCTTGATCGATAAGGGAGCAGAGATCGACATGCAGTTTGCACACGGGCAATTTGGCAGCGCTCTCGTTGCTGCGAGCTTTGGTCAATTTCCAGAGAATGTAAAAGTCCTTCTCGACAGAGGGGCGGATGTCAATCTACAGGTCGCTCACGGGTTATATGGCAGTGCTCTCGTTGCTGCGAGCTTTAGTCAATATCCAGAGAACGTAAAAGTTCTTCTAGATAGAGGGCGGATATCAATCTACAGGTCGTCCACGGGAAATTCGGCAGTGCTCTTGCCGCAGCTTCTGAGAGTCCACGTACTTCAGAGTCGGTCAAGATATTACTTGAAGCAGGGGCAGATGTTAATTTACCACTCTCCTTTGGTAGCTTCAATGATGCAATGTCGGTGGCAGTATACAGCAGAAATGCTGCAGCCATCAAACTTCTATTTGAAGCAGGGGCTAAAGTCTCACCTCTGGCAGCAAGCTTGATACAAAGAGCAGCGTCAAATAACTCGGCTTTTTGCAATGATCTCAAAGGCATGGCATCTGATTACACTTGCTCTCCGGAAACTTTGAGGCTAAAGTTCTATTGCGAACTTCCGTCATTGGCAGCTGATCGCGATGATACTGAATGGCTATTCAACATGGGAGTCTTGATAAGGAAAAAAGACACCGTGGAGTTTGCAACTCTCCAAGATTACCTGTCTCGCTCATTTGATGCAACTGGTCTTGACTTGTTGCGGGGAATCGTCAGAGCCCTGGAAACCCCTCTCAATCTCTACTGTTAGTACGCTTCAACTCTTCTTCATTTCGCTTTCTGATACAAAGGCCCCACTAGTTGATAGTACCATGATGATTCAAGTGCTTGCGCATGGGTATCGGGGATCTATCTCTATAGAGAGTAGCACTTCCACTCCAAAACTGCTCGAGATTTTTAAATGGATTTGCCTTACTGTCAGAAGGCCATTTCCCGGACTTATAGGCCTTTCAAGCTCGACTATGGAAACCATGAGCTTTGGCCTTCCAGAAACTCATTACGACTTGAGACCTATACGGCCCCTTCCAAAGTTCTCCAGAGACAATTGTTGCTGGCACGGTCTCTTCAGCGAAGCTGTTATTTCCCAGGCCCCAGGGCTTGGACGCCAAACCACAAGCCGTGGATTGGAGCTTGACTTTCTTCGTATGCTCCAGCTTTCGGCAGTCGAATATCCTGTTTTCGTTGAATCTGGTCTCATACTTATGGGTTATTCAGCTGCCCTAGTCCCTATCAAAGAAACAAATGATGGAATGATATTATGGCATCTTGAAACCTCCCGTCACGATTCACAATTCAAAGTCTCCGACATCAAAGCAACAAATCGGAAATGGCTGAAAGTCAATAGCTTCGACTACTTGCAGTCAAAGAGGGCACTAATAGGCTGGTGTTCTGAGGCAAATATCCTCCTGGGTACGGATCGGCTCGCTCCCCGCGTTACTTGGTCCAATGCGAAGGTGAAAGCAACCACATGGCACTGGAAAGGGGCCAATCTTCAAGTTCTTGCACAGTCTGCTGCTCCGCTGCAGATGGGTGGACAAATTGGATTTTCCTTCGACCGAGTCCTTAACACTGTCCAATTCAACCCCTCCGAGAATTATCTCAGATGCTTAAGAAATGGTGTCATGGAACATGTCGTACTCTATGATGTTGGTACAGAAAGGGCATGGCTAGTTCCCTTAATCTGTGTACTGCACCATATGCTCCTAGTTTACTCGGAGGGTATTGAGAACGAGCATCGCGTTAATCATGCACCAAAGGCTACCATATCGGGTCCTTCTGCGTCTTTCATGACACTCAGTGATAAAGGTAGCTTGGTCCTGGAACGCTCGGGGGATGACTCGCTTACTATTCGTGAGCTTATCATGGGTCTTTCGGCGAATCTATCGAAGGCATCATTGCACAAGCCAGCCCGTTCTGAAATCTACGGATATGAGTTGATGGATGTCTTAATGGGGTCTCCCAGGTCTGAGTTGAAAAAAAGACGAATCAAAAAGAAGGTCTGGCATGGTCATCTCTGCTGGATGGAATTAGCTGCTTGTTCTGTTCTGACCTTGGCGATGCAATTGTTGGTAGAAGAGTGCCATACTTCTCCTCGCCATGCAACAGTTTGCCAATCGGATACAACTTCATGGCTGCATCCATGCAGAGCATCGAGAACCTGTCTATGACGCATGGCGTTAACGTCAAATCAAACTTCCGTCAGCTATCGCGCGCTCACTTCTGGCAACTTTCTGGGTCTCCATTTCAAAGGTGCCGACCGGATTGTCAAGGTGACTGTTGGAGATGCCCTGACTTTTTGCAAGCAGTTCGAACAGCTCGGCCTTCTGACAAAGATCAAGACAATATCCTTTCAGGTCACTCCAAGGGTGCTTTGGTCTTTGGTGCGCCGCTAAAGGGAAAAATGGTTGAGATGACTACCTTACCAACTGTCTTCACAAAACAACCGAGGGAGATTAAGATTTTAGAGATGAAATCTTGGTACAGGCGAAAATATCGACTCCAGTCGGATATCGTCTCCGAGTCTTCTAAGAAAACTCGACAGGGAAATAACAGGACCTTTGTTATTTCAGATTGAGGATTCATTCAAAATACTGAATAGCGTCTCGTGCATCTCGTGCGTCTATCGTTTCTTCGGTTCATTGATTTTAATGCTATTCAAATCCATCGTAATCAATTTAAGTCGCATCAAGTGCCTTAACTAATTTATGGCTCCGGTGGAATTCTTTGTTCGCTACAACCTCAACAAGGCCGTTGGTCTAGACCCTTCGCGAGATAGCTCTGTGGTTTATTAAGGCAAGATCCCGAATGACCCATTTCCAGGATACGCTTCAGTTATTTAGATTATTTCGTTTTATATTGAAGTCACAGAGTAATAAATAGATATGTCAAACGTAATAATAACTGCCTGTTGGCCTACGCAGGAATTCCTAGACCACGTGTCTGTAATTCTCAAACAAAAAGCCCCCATTTAACTCCATGGACCGAAGGACAATCTAGACTTCAGTCTGGGAGAGAAACTCCGTGTTCTCTGAATGAGATTTCTTTGAGCGTCGTGGTTTCGATGGCCGAGAAAGGATCTTCGATGGGTGAAAAATGCTCATCGCAACCATGGTGAAGAACATGAGCATTGAATCAAAGACATACATAAACACCTCATGGCTAATGAGATATCCATCGTTGCCTTGGGCGTATTCAATCAATCGGAAAATTGATCGAATGAGAATGAGAATGCTGGCCACGTACAGCCCGGTCATGACAAGTTCCCAGGTAGTAGAGCGCGATCGGCTGAGAGACTTCTCAGTGGGGTTATTGCGAATCCGGTAGTGGAAGATTGATGAAGCTACGATAAAAATACTGAAGAACACCAATTGTACGGCAAGACCGCCAATTGTGATGTGTTCGCCAGTGGTCATCGCGCTGAGAGTTCCGCTTGCCATGATCCCGCCGCCTAGATCCATCATTAGTATTCATTAAAGATAGTATTTTAGTGAAAGGGATTGGTTACCTGCTGCTTGCATCAGAAACGCGATTACATCTCCTGTAACGAAGATTGCAGTAAGCCATTTTACTGGCACCAAACTCAACCTCTCAGCATCCAGACGCACGATGAGTCGGCCCAGAGTCATGTATATAGATGCCGCATACAGAGGAGGAGCAAGAAGAATCATGATTGTGCCAACTGAGTAGATTGGGATGTTTTCTTTGTCGTTGTGGGCCAGCGCGCGGCAAATGTAACCTATGATTTGAACTATAACACCTGTCAGATATGCTCTGGGCTCTTGTGGAGATCATGTGAAATGGTTGGAGACCCGTTGTATTCAGGCCGGTTTAACTCACAGGCTCCTCCGACGACGAAGACGGTAAAGTACCAGGATCGTGTGCGAACGACTTGGTAAAGATGATAGAGAGTCGCGAGGGCAAACAGAACAATGAAGATGATTGCAGCAACGAGAGAGGGTGTATAGCGGTAGAGTTCAAAGCTCACCCCATCGTTCTTGTTGGTACTCATGTTATATAGACGTCGGGTTTGGATTAACCGACTTCAAATTGGCTCGGTATACTTCGAGAAATCCTCGAGGCGTATCGGGGGATTGGAAAAACTGTTCGAGGACGTGTAAATGAACAGAAGAAATTGAACTAGTTATACATAAGCGCGACTGCTCGATATTTTAAATTAGACATTTCTCTAAGCGTCGTACTCGCATCCGGGGCAAAAGTACACATATCCGTGGTACTAGATTGATAGACCCACCCGTATTCGCATTCTCGGGTTTGCCGATCCTGTCCCCTGTTCAGTTGCAGGCTTGGACAGCACGTTTCTCGTCTATTCATAGATTGGAAATGGACTGGATTTTCAAGTCTGCCTAGATAGCCCGAGGTTTCAAATTTTCAGGCCTCTGGAACATCACTGACCGATCACTTAGAGATTTCTTTTTTTTTTCTAATACATAGAGTCGATGTACTTTCGTGTTTTCATTGGTAGAACGAATAATACTGAATAGTCTCCGGGCGCTCATTTTTCCTGGTCAATCACTGTTAGCAGTGACAGTAATGACTATGAATGCTATGAATACTAAGTTCGTCCTAGCATGCCTTGCACCGTTGACATCAGTGAAGGACTAGATTAAAATTCACAACAGCCTCAAACTATTGATTAGGTAATTAATCTATAAAGAGAATCTTCAACGACTTTGTCCATAGCCATCATCGGGGCTTATTTCCTTCCAAGTGCTGGCAGGTATGTTTGGATGGATCGGTTTATATGGCGTGCGATGTATGCCCTACAAGTGCACAAATATGTAGCAAACGGTGGTTGTTCCTATCTATGTGATTTAATATATACAAGTCAGTGGCAAGCGTATGACCTCGTTGGGCCATAGCATGAATGTTGACAGTTGGCTATCGTTCAGGGAATCAATAAGCGCATTGACTCTCAGTATCTCGGGTTCAAAGGTGCCCCTCATATACCAAGTATCGACTAGAGTGTTTACTAGATAGAGATGAGCGAGGATGACGAGTGAGTGTCCATAAAGGTAGTTACGGTCGCTTCTCTCAAGCGACGCCAAAAAGTCACTGGGGAGCAAACCCGGCCAGGACAAAATCGATGCCTCTTCAAAATCCAACTGGATCTCCTTGTCTGTGGGGGTCTCGGTTGCTGCAAACCGCAATACTGATAAAATACGCGAGTAAACAGAGTCTAGGATGCGTATTGTCTCGAAGTGCGCATCCACAGCCGGGTCCAGAGTCGTGGACGGCGAAGGTTGAGATGTTGGCGTGCCCGAGCAGCTGGATAAGTCATCCAGAGCGGGTTGGAGCGCATTCAAAGAAGCCCTAATGTAGGCGACTGCTTGATGGGCACCTTCGGCAAATTTCAATAGGCGGGGTGAGCAACGAGAAAGCCGAGATGGTGTATCACACGATGAATTCTCCCAACTCTCATCGCTAGGCGGTAATCTCAATATTTGCCGGAGCCGGCCGTTTTTTAGGACATGCCATTGATCACCTATCACAGAAGTTACACCTCGAATGAGGTATAACCAGTTGAGGCGCAGGATGTCATTTGTTGAGGAAGGGTTGGCCATTGGGTTGCTCATCTCTTCGGCTGCCCTAGTAAGCGGGTTGAGGTCTTGTACCCTAAGAAATGCAAAGGCAAATGCAACAAGAAGCAAAGACCCTGTGAAAACAGGTTCAGCGTTGGAGGGAGAGATACGGGACACTTCTTCTCTGAAGCCTTCCAACCCTCTTTGATGATGTTCCATAACGATTGCCAGGTCCACCGTATCTGAGTCTTCAACAACAGCCCCGCTGGCATCGGCCTTCTGTTTGATCATATGCATGCCCCCCAGTGCTAGAAGCAGATGCATCAGATATCGATTTTTGCTCCCTAATTCGGGGATAATCCGTTGCCAAATATTGGATCTCCTCTGGTGCAACGTCATTTGGCTTGCAGTGTGTAGATGATAAAACTGAAGGAGCATCAAATCAGTCATCTCTAAATCTCCATGTCGGTGTTGTTGGGATTGGTTCGAGATGATAACCGGTGCTGTCGCATTTATTGATAAAGGCTGGATGCAACCGAGTAGTGGACCTCCATCAGACGGTCCAAAAGGATCTGGTAACGGATACCCATGGTCTTTCTCCGTATCTGCTCTTGATCTGGAAGGTTTCTTCAAAGGCACGCGTGGGGGAGGGTAGGAGCAGGGTTCGCCTCTGGAAGAGCACGTGCCACAAGCGGGTTGAAGCTCGTCGCACTTGGAGAAATGAGTATATGGTCGGTAAACGGAACCAACAAGACTAGGACGTAGTGGTCGTACCTTAACCCTTCGATATTTGCAAGGATAGCAGCCATTGCGGGATTTGGTGTGGCGGGCGCGATGTCTTCTCACAACACGTTGATTGTCTGCTGTTTCGGAAGCTGCCAAAACTACCATGTCTTCGTCCATTTTTCGGATAAGAGAAGTTTCTGAGGGTGAAATAGAATATCCACCATGGTCGCAAACATTTGTGCAAGTTGCAGCCTATCTGTAGTGACTAGTAAGCTAAGAAAAATGCGGTGCAAGACCGGGTTATAGGGCGGTCCACAGCAACCGGAGACGTAGGCACCAAGCGGTTTCCAATTCCGTTTCACAAGGCTGTAGGCAACTTGATTGGAAATTAAAAAGCCCGTATGGAATTTTGAACTCAACTCTTAGTAGTGCAGCGAACCTGCCTGGAAATACTTCGAAAATTGCTGCCTAGAGGAACGCGAGGCCGTTCAAAGCCAGGGAAATAGGAAAGGAAATACTGCTCGAGGACAAAATAAAGTTGTATCAGCGTGGGATTTGCCCCTTTTTTCAATGGGAGTTCAAGCGTCATATAAAAGGCACTAAACCCTCACCTACCCGAGTGAGTATCACCAATCTGCTTTTAGGTTTTCGAGAGTCTCCCGACAATCGCTTGGAGGAGTATCGCAGCAGTCTCAAGACCATGATAATCGTCACTTCCCTAGTCTGTATGATATGTCAAACTCGTTTTTTGTACGGAGTTTTCTTTTGTAACAGAGCTTGCTTTCTTTGCAAGGGGACCTTTAGTACTGCTTCGATTTGTCCTAGAACTAAGCAGTATCACTTGCAGGAATGTTCTTGGGAATAAAGCGAGTCACTAATCGTGAACAGAGGTGGGAGTGAACTTTGGTACACGGTGTGGAATATCAACTTTGCTTTTCTGCGTCTTGCAATGGAAATATCGAGTAAGTGATGACCTGATGTGAGAAAAATAAAAAGTAGAGCGACAACTAGTAATTTATCAGAGAGATGAAGAGTAAGGAAGCACTGTAGTTTTCTATCAAATTGACTAAGTTAGCAGCACATCACGGCCTGAATTAGAGGGCGCCAGAAAGCTCACTCATAAACGGAAGTATCCATCTTAACACAGATATATTCCCACTGTGGATCCAGATGGCTGATCTGTGGCTCTCTCAAAAAGGTTTTTGGGGACCCACCCGTATTCTTATTCTAAATACGAACACGTCCAGATTCACCTTACGTTTTCAACAATCCGTGGACACAATCTTGATGACCATGTTTGAACTACCGTTCTGTTTAAATGGCCCGAGGGAGCTCCTCTCCTATCTTTAACTCAGGTATAGGGCTTTCAAGGTTATGGCCATGGACTCACTCAAATTTCTCTTCGCCCTGATTGCGGTAGTCAATGCGGCTTACAGCTTGGCTCCACACGCCCAGACGCGCCATAACCCGGCCATACCAGGATGGCACAGCGACCCCAGTTGTATCTTTGTCCCTGACAGAGGCAATACCACCTTTTGCGCATCGTCAACGTTCCTCCTAACGCCCGGAATCCCAATTTACGCCAGCAAAGATCTCACAACTTGGAGACTAGCCAGCCACGCACTTTCCCGAGAAGCTCAATACCCGGAGTTCAATTTATCCATTCCCCAAACCGATGGGATCTGGGCTCCCACACTCAGATATCACAAGGGGGTGTTCTACGTTATTGTCATTTACAAGAAAAACATTTCTGGAAAAAGCACCGGGCTGATATTTAACTCCACAAATCCTTTCAGGGACAACGCTTGGAGTGTCCCCGTTCAGTATCAAGCCGAGTCCATTGATCCAGACCTTTTCTGGGACGACGATGGTACATCATATGTTGCAACAGCTGGGACCAATCTTCAGACAGTGGACGTTACAACTGGTGCCCTAGGGGAACCAAGGCGAATCTGGAATGGTAGCACTGGCAACTTTCTTGAGGGGCCCCATCTTTACAAAAAGGATGGCTTTTACTATCTCCTGGCAGCAGAGGGCGGCTCGGGACTGAATCACTCCGTTACGATAGCACGGTCAAAGGGTCTCTGGGGCCCATACCAAGGTTATGAGAAGAATCCTGTCTTGACAAACAGGAACACCTCGGAGTATTTCCAGAACATCGGGCATGCGGATCTGTTTCAAGATGCGAATGGCCATTGGTGGTCTTCTGCTTTGACTTGGCGCTCTGGCCCAGAGGGGCAGACATATCCCATGGGCCGGGAAATGGCCTTGACACCTGTGGCCTGGAAGCAAGGAGACTGGCCCTCTTTTGCGCCCGTGCGTGGAATTCAGGAAGGATGGTATCTTCCACCTTCAAAAGCTATTCCTGGTGACGGACCTTTTGTAAATGATCCAGATATCGTTGATTTTGAGCCCAACTCTACCCTCCCTCGCAATTTTGCCTTCTGGCGTTGGCCTAACAAGAAGTCATATACCGTCTCGCCACCTAGTCATCCTAGGACGCTCAGGCTGACACCATCAATGGCAAGCATTACGTCTGGGTACAAGAATTACACAGCCGGATATGACGGTACAGATTTCACTCTCATTATGCGCCGACAGACAGATACACTGTTTCAATACAGTGTTGACGTTTCCTTCGCACCAACGGTAGAAAATGAGGAAGTCGGGGTAACAGTGTTTCTCAACCAAGTCCAAAACATCAATCTTGGTATCGCAATGCTGCCCGCCAGTTCCACCAACAAAACAGACTCGACGCTGAAGCCTCACTTCCGTTTTCTGGTATCTGGACTTGGGAGCAATGAGAAGGATATACCAAGTCCTTTCGTTACATCTGTGCCAAGTTCTTGGTCGCAAGGTCCTATTCGCTTGATCATCCGTGCAGCAAATGAAACCCATTATTCATTCTTCGCTGCTTCAAGCTCTCGCCCATGGGATCTTTTGAGATTAGGGCAGGCTCCTGCGACAATTGTGAGTGGTGGAGTTGGACCGTTTACGGGTATGCGCTGTTCCCTTTCCTAACCGTCTTTGTGTGTCGCGCTAATTATATACTACTAGGCTCTTTGGTAGGGGTCTATGCGACCACTAATAATGGAAAGGGATCAACCAAGTCGTATATCTCCAGGTGGAGATACTTCGGCCTTGCCCAGGAGATTGGAAATGGAGACCTCGTCCACTCTTAGAAAGCTTATTGACCGGGAAGGACTTTTTCCGTTACTGTACATGCTTATAGCTCATCTAAACAAAAGGGAGGCATAGAATTGAAAACTTTGAACTACGAAGGCCGGACGACTAATGGAGAGAAGAAGCGAGAACATGTTATAATAGACACCAACAGCGTTCCGGGGATCAGGGTTTCTATAAGATATATATATATATATACGTTAGGGCAACTCTTTGAAGCAAGAACTGCTAGCGAGTAGTGTTTTCTTGAACAAAAAGGATCACAGAGTAAAATGTAAATGACTAGCTGCGACTGTGGCACCGCATAACCTTTAGCGCTGAAAAGAAAGCTTAGATTTAATAATATTTATCCAAGGTGCGTGACTATATAGGGCTCTCAAGCATGTTGCATTTTGTGAAAGAGCGCGATAAGGGAGAAAAAAACAAAAGAGAGAGGGGAAAAAAGAGGGAAGCAGACTCGTCTATTTTTAGAGCCAGAAGAAGAAGAGCATGTGGCAGATGTGAATATAAAACATTGAGATCATGCGCCAAGTTAAACTCCGTATGGTTTGACAATCTGCTCTCCCGGGTTGCGAGTCAATTCATAATCCGAAACGATATCCAACTGGCGAGTGATCTCATGTGGATGAGCGACATTGAAAACAACCATCGCAATGAAGATGAGCAGTGAATCAAAGACATACAAGTAAACCTCATGATGCAAAAGGTAACCCTGATTACCCTGTATGTATTCCACAAGTCGAAATGCTGAACGGACAAGGATCAAAAGGCTGGTTGCATATAGAATGTTGAGATGTTTGCGCCATTGAACCTCTCCAGAGAAGCAGCGTGGGATAGGGTATTTGCGCAGCTTGAGGTCGAACAGAACAGAGACGACGATGAAAAAGCCAAAGAATATGATTTGGACAAAAAGGCCAACAATGATAATGCGCTCGCCAGTTTTCATGCCGTCAAGACTTCCGCTACTCTGAATGCCGCCACCTAGATACAAAGTCAGCATAATTCTTTTTTAACGCTGGTTGAATCTTTTTCGACAATACTTACCAGCACCTTGTAATACAAACGATATCACATCACCAGTAACAAAAATCTTGGTAAGCCACTTCTTTTTCAGAATCGCATGCGATTCCGCCTGTAGCACCAGAATGATCCGCCCGAGTAGCATGTAAATTGAGGCTGCCAAGAGAGCCGGGGCGAGGAGCAGACATAGCGTCTGCACTATGTACGGGCCTAGCGTCCAATCTGGACTCTGTTTGCTTGACGCGGCCCGCCCGATATATCCAACAATCTCAACTGCTCGTGTTAGCTCACGTATCAAATAGTATGTAGTCAGGTCGCACATACAGAGGCCTCCTATCACGAATGGAACGAAAAACCAAGTCCGAGTTTTAAATAACTGGAAGATGTGGTAGAAGGTGGTGCCCATAAAAAGGAGGGTAAAAAGGACAGCACCGCCCATGCTAGGGTTGTAGTGATAAAAAGCGAAGATTTGTTCCTCATCTGAGCGAATCAAAAGCGCTTGATGTTGCATTTTGGCTCGGCTGGCCTTGGTATTGTGGTCAAGTTTGGGAAAGGTCCTGTGTTCCAGCAGGTTGAGTACGGCTCTTGAGACTCAAACGTCTTGAACTTGTCAGAACAGTTCTTGTAGTTGCCTTATAATACTTTACATCAAGTTTTAAAATGCAATTGATATAAATAACCCCGGTTTAAGGGGCATCCAGTTCGTTAATTCGTATGTATTGGAAGGGTCCGAAAACGAGTACGGGTGGGTCGGCAGCAAAGCCGACTCGAATTATTCTTCTTTCTGGGTGCCTGATTCTCCATGATGAGGATACTTATGGGCAAACCGTAATAATACTGGCGCCTGACTGTCTCATTTAACAGGCCATATTGATCAGTGCCTGGAAGTGAATTATTGCTGTTGTTTCAGGATAGAACAAACCGGCTCACAGTAATGCTTCCCTCAAGCTCTACAGTTGCAAAATTAAAGATCCCATACCGATAGCCCATGAAGAATTCCCATGTGGCATTCAAACTGTAGCCATCCCCCAGATCAGTGAAGGTAAATCCATCTAAGCTGTACGCAAACTGCCCCGTCGCAACGGTGGGCTGAATGTCTGCTGTTGCACGCAACCAGACTTGGTCCCCATAAAATCCCACCGATGCGATTTCGTCCCCCGTAGATATAGTATTCCAGTCACTATCCATTCTCAGGCCGGTAGTAACTCCAATATGGGTGGTGCCATTGTTATTGACAATACCAATCCAAGCGGAAGAGTCCCGAAGCAGAGCAAGCCCAGCCCGACCTCCAGCTTTGATAGACGAAGTGCTGAACTGAATTGTGGCCGACGATTTCGGCCCGCGGATCCGGTGTGTGAGAGTGTTTTTGGCGCGATATAGATCATTCGTCACGGAAGCGACTTGGAGAGTAAGTCCGTTGTCAATGGACCACTTGGAATTATCGGGGTTGTGGTTCCATTCCCACTGTGCGCCCAAATTTGGATCCGAGAAGGTGTCGGTGCTGTCTTCCGGAAAAGACGAAGTCGTAGTACTCGCTGCAATGTTGGGTGTATCATAAGTCGTGCTCCAGGAACCATTAACAAGGTTGACTGAGGGCCACCCGTACGAGTCCCATTCAAGCGGTGCGAGAACTGGAATACGTCCACCGGGGTAGGCATCCACAAAGGCCATGAAATACCAATCTCCGTTAGGGGTATCCACAATACCTCCCTGGTGTGGATTTCCGCATCCCGGGACTGGGTTGCCAGCATCGGTGAACAGCTCTTGAATTGTGTAAGGGCCCCATGGACCATTCGTGGATTGGAGAACATACTCCGAGGATGGATATCCGGGTTTGACTACCAGGATATAAAAGTTGCCATCTTTTCATAGAAGCGAGAACCCTCGATATATCCAACATCTGATTTATATACTACCTTTGACGTAACTTCACTCAATCCGTCCGATGACAGCTCGGATACATGGATGTTGGTGCTTCCATAGGCGGCATACATCGTATCATTGGCAGCCACTAAGAGACCAACGTCGTAGTAACAAGAGTCGATTACAGCAGCCTGGGCCCAGGTAGCATCAACGGCAGAGGCAGTGTAAATATATGTCTTGGAGAAATCAATACACCCGATCCAATAGTAGGTTGATGTGCTCGCACGATATCTCAGCGATGATGCCCATGTGCCTTGGATATATGCTTGGCCGCCGTCTAGGTAGTAACCAGAACCAAATGCCAGCTCTGGCACTGAGTGTCCAACCATCTCCCAATCCACGAGGTTATTGGAACGTAGGATCGGGGCACCGGGAGAGTAGTGCATGTTTGATGCGGAATAGTAGAATGTATCGTCGACGCGGAATATGTCCAGGTCGGCAAAGTCCTCCCATATAATGGGGTTTGAGAATGTTGCAGTCGCAACGGCGGCAAAGAATAAATGAATAACTAGTGCGAAATTCATTTTTTACGCTGAAGGAGGTTGATAGTAGTTAGGCTTTCGAAATTTAACAAAAAATGGCTGAGTGTTTTATAAGCAACAAACCCTATGGGGAATAGGCTAAAGGGATGGGAAGCCACGTAGTCCCTGAGACATTTTACCCCAAATATATGAGCATTTGGCTATTCAGGTAGATCACTGCCCTATGTTAGCAGTACTGTCGGCATCATTCCGGCGTCAAAAACGGCTAATGACTTCGGACTTCCACATTCTCGAGTGAGTCTAAGCTGAGAAACTTCAAGCCACGCCAGGTATTCCGATGCCTTAATTTATGCAGAACGTAAGATGCTAAAGATCAGATTATTAGGCTTGTATGTGTTTGTCACTTTCATTGTGCCTAAATTAATTATTATAATTTATTAACAAAAACGTGAATCATTATCGCGACTTTGCCTCGATGTACCAAGATAGGCAAATCTGCGGTGGAGTATACTCGGATATTATATGGTGGTATTTGTGCCTCCTGGCGCGAGAAAATAATCAATGAATAATATACCGGGGACTTCCGAGTCTCCAAGAAAAGTGATTAGGCATCTATTTATTTGGAAGGTATCTTGGCCTTATATAAAGTTGGCCTAGGGCTTTGGCTTGTAACATGATATATACGGAACTCGTCGTGCGACGATATCATCTTCCTACACTTTCTTAGCTGTAGGATTATGACGTCTTGCTGCATGCCATTTAACAGATCACCATCATCTTGGTTATGCCCGTAACATGTGTTTATTAAACATTAACCGCGGTTACAATTCTTCGCTCTCTAAGACCTAAGTTCGCCGTCCAGTCTCCCGGTCAAGCTCTCTACACATATCTTGACGCTGCAACGTTACTCGGTGATCGACAAGTATCCACTGATTTTCGGCCACACTCAACTTGCTATGAAGTTACATATCTACTCCATATATTATTGGACCGTATTTAGTGCAGAACTTTAAAGACTTTAGAGGGCTAGCGCTTATGGCGATCTTACTATATAGTCTAGAATAGAAGATCCCTACTTTAAATAACAAGATTTTACAGCACAATGATACAATAGTAGATAAATATTAAGTTGCAAAATCAAGTATGAAAGCTAATGAATCAAAAGAGGATATATATACCCCGTGAAGGCTTCATCGATTCGGATAACCAAAAATTGAGAGCCGAACCGCGATTTGAGCGGGGCCTCACGAATAATGATACTAGGGGACTAGAATTCTGCTTCTGTTACTTTGTAAGTCAGTCTGAGATCAAATATGAACACGGTATAGCGAACCAATAAGCGCATATCATTCTAGAATACCAAGCTGAGCGGTGAGGAATACGTTGTCTTTCCAAAATTATAGCCTCCACAACATTTACCTATCAAGGGAACAGGATTATGGTATTATATTGCTAGCTATTCTTCATTTAAAGAGCATAGTAGAGTACTTCAAGACCGTCTTTGTAGAAGGAGTCCAAGCTATGACGAGGTGTCTAGAGCGACGAACTTGTAAGAGGAATAGGGACTGATATAGCGGAGTATCGACCGCTCGTTGCAATTGAACACGATTGGATTACATCGGAGTTCTCATAAAACAGGACAGGTCGAGTGACTCATGCAGTTGATGTGAAATCTGAGTGGCATCGGCTCACATTAAGGTGTAGTGCTTCAATAATAGGATAGGAAAAAGCAAAAGACCTTATTTTTCAAAAAAGAATCTGCAAGTCCAAATACCATGCCTTACTTATAGAGTTCTTCGCTTTCCGATCGCAGTTCCCTAGTAAGAGAAGCAGTCGAACTCGGGTACGCGATTCAGTACGCGTCTGGGCGGTCAAACCACGCCAAACTGCCGCTTTTGAAACACAACTCCCTCCTCTACCCAAGTCCATGTGAGAAAGCGCCTATCATGCCTTCTCGCTCTCGCCCTCCTCCCGAGGTCGAGGATGACACAGGGCTTCGCAGCCTCTCCTTCAACCAACCCCTCTCATGGCGCGTGGGGCGCGCCGCCATTCCCATCGCGGATCTCCTCGAGCGTCTCCAGACGCTCGCGCAGGAGCTTCGAAAACTCGACCAGGAGGAAATTGACAAGGAATCTCTCCGCAAGGTCTCGCAGGAACTTGCCAGCGGGAATCTGCTTGCTCATAAGGACAAAGGTGTGCGGGCGTGGGCTACGTGCTGCATCGTTGATGTCTTGCGATTATGCGCCCCAGACGCGCCGTTCACGCGCAACCAGCTTAAGGTATGGCCATTGACAATACACCGATTGTGCGGGTGCTTTGTGCGATCGGACTTTCTGACTTGGGCGAATTAGGATATCTTCACTTGTATCGTGTCCTCGATTATCCCCGCGCTGGGGGATCCATCCAACGCCTACAATGCACAGCACATCTACGTTCTGGGATCGCTTGCCGAGGTGAAGAGTGTGGTTTTGATGGTCGATCTCGATCACCCTGACTCGCTCATCGTACCATTGTTCACAGGATGTTTCGACATTGTTTCAGGGTCCTCGAAGGCATCCACCGGTGAGGAGGTCGCCAAGAATGTCGAATTTGATATGACCCGAGTACTTGTCACAGTTATCGACGAATCGCTTGTCCTGGCGCCAGAGGTGGTTGATATCATTGTCGCACAATTCTTGCGGGTCGACCCACGAGTCATGGACACCTCGAACAAGAAAGGAAAGCGCCCAGATAAACAGGTTGATTCTAAGCAGGATACCCTACTGTTGAAAGATTACCCCGCCGCCTATAACATGGCAAAAGCTATTTGCCAGGCTTGCCCCGAACGAATGACCAGCCACATCAGCCAGTACTTCAACAACGTCATTATCGATGCATCTGTACCGGCTAGCCAGACAAACGGTTCCAAGCATGGTGCCCGGAAACCCAATCTTGACGACTCTGATGAGGAGGGAGAGGACATCAAAGAATTGAGCAAGGCTCACCGTCTGATTCGGGAGCTCTGGCGTGCCTGTCCTGAAGTTCTGCAGAATGTGATTCCCCAAATCGAAGCAGAACTGTCTACGGAATCAGTGTCCCTTCGATTGTTGGCTACGCAGACGATCGGAGACCTCGCGGCAGGAATTGGAGTTGCAGGGCCCCCTCCCTCACCTCCCATGGACCCTGCTACGTTCCCACCTGTGGCTCTGGTAGACTACGACAAGACGATCCCTCAACCCAATGTTCTGTTGACTCCAGTCTCTCCAAAGCCTTTCTCCCAGGTCCATAACTCGGCGTATGAAGCATTCCTCAGTCGTCGCCTTGACAAGGCCCCGTCAGTCCGCGCTGCGTGGGCCACGGTTGTGGGACGGATCCTGCTAACATCTGCTGGTGGCTCTGGCCTACACGAGAATGAAGAGCAAACACTTGTCCGACACCTTGCTTCAATGCTGCGCGATGTCGATGAGAAAGTTCGTGTGGCGGCAGTGGATACTGTTGGGCAGTTTGGCCTATCTCAAATTGTTCACAAACTGGGTGTGGATGGTGGCTGTTCAACACCAGACTCGCTTCTTGCAATTCTCGCTGAACGAGTCAAGGACCGTAAGCCCCATGTTCGTGAACATGCTATGAAGATTCTGGCTCGGATGTGGGCAGTTGCCGCCGGTGATATCGAGCAGAATACTGAGCCCGTCGTTTCGCTTCTCAGGGATGCACCATCCAAGATCTTCGATGCATTCTACACAAATGATCAAGAGATTCATGTCCTGATCGACCACGTGCTGTTCGAGACACTTCTGCCCCTTTCATACCCGCCCATAAAGGCGAAGCTGACTCGCGGCAATTCGAACCAATCACAAAAACAAAAAGATAGCCAAGCTTCTGAGCCAGAGCAAGAGACGGATGTTGATAAAATTCGTGTTCGTCGAATCCTTACCCTGCTCCGTGGTCTAGACGAGAAGGCTAGGCGAGTGTTCTTCGTCATGTTGGCACGTCAATTGTCGATGAGGTCGGCCGTGACCCTTTACCTCGAGGCATGTGAGAAGTACAATGTAAGCAAACCTCTGTCCTATGTTCACAACCTACAGCTCTTACTAACCGGATTGAAGGGCGGCGTCTTTGACAAGGATGAAGAACAGATCAAAACCCAGCTGTCCAAGATTGTGGATTCCTTATCCAAGACCTTCCCGGACGCTGCACGCGCATCAGCAGATCTCTGGAAGTTCGCCAAAGTACATGACCGTCGCAGCTACCAGTTGATTCGCTTCACTATGGCTGCTGTGAGTGATTATCGCACTGTCGTCAAGGCTACAAAAGAGCTGCAGCGCCGTGTACAGACTGCCAACAACTCACCGCTGCTTGAAACATTGACTCCGCTTATATACCGCTGCGGATCCTTGATTTTCAACCGCAGCCATATCCCCGCAATCATGAGCCTCTCCCGAACTGATGAGAACGGATTGGCCAATGCCGCTCAGGAGATGCTGAAGCAAATCTCCTCTCAAAATCCAGAGGTCTTGGAGGCACAGGTACAAGAAATGTGCAAAGACCTTGAAGCTCAAGCTCCCAAGGCTTCTTCGGCCGGTGATGCCAGTACCGACGACATTCTGAAGGCTTGTTCTGGCTTCGCTAAGAAGCTTCCTGCCAAACTTCCCAAGGAACGCAAGTTCTTCCAAGCTCTTACCAACTACGCCCTCTACAGCTCGTCACCGCATGCGGCAAAGCACGCTGTATCAATTTTGATGGCTACCGCTGACAAAAAAGAGATGTATGCCAAAGATCTTGTACAAAGGTGTGTTAAGAAGTGGACATATGGGTCTGATCGGTTCCTCACTCGTCTGGCTGCCTTGTCGCAGCTCAACCTTCTCGCGCCAAGAGAGGCAGATGAGGAAAGCGATGCAATCATTGCTATTGCTATCAACCAAATTCTGCTCACCAACCGCAACCCTGAACCAGAGTCTGGATATACTTGGTCAGAGACTGTGGATGATGAGACAAACGCCAAAGAGTGGGCTCTGAAAATCATTGTCAACCGCCTTCGGGCTAAGGATGGGGCTGACGATGAA